AATTTTCAAATACCCACAGCTCTTTTGCAAAAATAACCTGATTCTAATAACCACTTTTCTAACAATTTCAGCTATCACTTTTTAAAATGAAATTCATCACTTAAAAAGTACTAAAATTTTTAAATATAAATAATCCAAATTAGATTTAATCACATTCCAAGCCTTTTCACGCAAGTTGCATGGAAGGATGCTATTACCTGTTAGTAACTTGCACACAGCTTGGCTAAAATGTTATCCTGCAATAAGCTTCTAGTGGCCCGTTGTTTGACAACCCCCCCCCCCCCCAAAAAAAAAAAAACCAACCAAATCCCAGTGTTTTGCTAAAAGCGCCGGGCACACGATTCATTCACACTGAAATACCTTAAAACAGGTGGAAATGAAAAAATGTAAACATATTTTGACAAGAGGCAAATGAGCCTTGAGTAAGGCTTTGGGTGGTCCCGCCGCAAAAGAATTGATAGTTTTATCTCTGGTGGCAAGAACGAGACCCTGGGCTTCAGGCAGTCATGATTCAAGAACATTTTCTCATGGTGAATTAATCTCCCCTCCAAGACCCATCTCCAGGCATGTTATACAAGCAGTAACACGAGCTCCATTTCTGGCTGTCTACAATAAACTAAACAATTGACCGAGTCAACTCAAAGGAAAGATTTCTGCAGCTCTGAAGGTAAAAAGGCGAACAAAAACCTGAGTTAACCACGGGAAGAATTGAAAGATTATCCTGTATCAAGCAAGAAATCAACGCAAAAGAAAGTAACAAACATTTCAAGAAATTAATCACAGTTTCAGGTATTGTTGGAACATGCGCTTCGTTTCAGATTCATTTTGTTGCCATGAAATCACAGCTGGCTAACAAACGAAACGCGACCAGCCTTTTGCATGCATCAAGTATTCGAAGTGTAGTCTAAGGACATGTGATATGGAACGGTAGGATGCGGGCAAGCTAATGTTGACGACAAAATATGCAAGGAGAGGCAAGTACATATTATTTCCTATCATTGCTCGCTAAGATATCCGAAATACGATGAAGTTTACAGGTGCCCACTGTTGCTGTTGCATACCAATATCCAAAGCAACAAAATGAGGAACACACGTTAGAAGTTTAGTTGTTCAATATCTAAAGCAAAGAATATCAGCACACCCAAAAAAAAAAAAAAAGCATATAACTTCTGTCCAACATGATTCCATTCATAAAGAAAAGACATAACTGATTCTTTTTGTGTGACATGAAAGTAAAACAATCATAAATTGAGCTAAGACGCCACTGATCCTAAAAACTTCAACGTAGATTTATTGCATGATGATAGATTGTTGCTATGATTCCCATTTCTTATTGCTTCCCTCTAAGAGAAAAAAATGACGAACATAATGAACAAAACCGTAAGTCACAGCAAAATTTGCTTAAATGAACAAAATTCACAGTTAAGGATACAAAGGAGGATACAGTCATATGCTGAAGCCAGATAACTTCTTACTGCAAAGTTATGCAAATAACCGCATCAAAATGTAGAACTTTCTGGAATCCATACAGAAGTTAAAGCCAGATAGTATATATAAACCCCCCCCCCAAAAAAAAAAAAAAGTTACCTGCTCTGGACGCTGTCCCTTCAGAGTTCCAGCGAACACAGTGTACATGATGGCTGTCACCACAGTTTATCTTTTAGTACCGGGGGAGACATTATCTTCATAGAGATCAAGAGATTCTGAAGGATCATATCGATCCTCAAATGCCCTTTTCAAGGGAGAATCATAATCATGATTCCTGTGAGAGTTCCCTTGCCACCTATCTCTGGATCTCGACTTCTCATCATACTTTTTCCTCCTTGAATAATCATGTTTTCTATGACAACTGATACTGTCATTTGATGGGCCATAACTATTTGGTCCTTCAGGGCCGCCAGAAGCATGTTTTCTACCATAACGTGCATGGACAGTATTCCCATGAGCTTCTATATATCCATGCTTTCTGGAATGTCCTTGTCTAGGTTGTTCATAATCTCTAGGAGAGGCATCCTCTAGGATCTCGACAGCTTTGCTTTTGTCACAATAGATAGTTCGTGATTTCTGTTCATAATGACTTGGATTACAAACTGTTGCCACAGATGACTCACGACTGCCTTTTCTTAATATCTTTGCTTCAATATCCATGTCACGGCGGGAAAGAGATTCCAATGGCAACATCCCACTCTCATCAGATTGCTTCATAGGGCTCCCAACACCTCCCGCCTGCTTGATCTCTTCCATGTATTCCTCTATTATATCCCTCATCACCTTCAAAAGGAGAACAGAAATGAATATAGAGCTTACTGAATAGCTGGGATTAAAATTTTCATAGTCAAATTATACAAGAAATGATGCATCATGGTACTATTCAAGCTATGCTTGTAGAAAAAATTTTCATCTGATTCTGACCTGTACAGTTGATCTCTTTATCTTCTTGCCACGATAAGACATTCTTCTACGTTTGTAGTCTCTTTCTTCAGCTAGTAACTCCTCCCGTGTCTTCACTCCGGTTGTTCCCTGTAACCAACAGAAAGTTTATGTATATTAAGTACATGTAGTGTGGAGTACATCAGATAAAAAAAGAGCATCAATAAATATTTAGAATTAGTTTCTCTAATGTTATTGACATTTTGTGCTACTCCGTAAGGAAGGCAGTTAGCAAATGTATCTTAGCAATCCTTTGATGTCATATGAAGAGCTTTAGACTTAGAATTTTAGACTTAGAATAAGGTCCAACACATCATTGAAGCAAACTAGTTCATCCCAGTCATTTTTACTTTCGGTGCTCTAAACAAGGCCAAAAGAAGTAAAAGCTCATCCCATTATGCATAAAACATGATTCAGGCAAATGTAGATCAGAAAGCTCCGCTGCTCATTCACATCTGATTAAATTTACCATGTTAGATGATTGCTGTCGAGGAAGCCCATCGTAGTCAATCACAGCTCTATAATTAGGCCTCTTCTTCCTCTCCTCATTCGCTTTCTCAGTCAAATAACAATGCTCAGCAACCCTAATGGAAAAAGATAAAATATAAAAGATTTATTTTCGGACATAGTATTCACAATAACTTAGTTTATAATAATCAGGGGCAAATCAAACATGATGTCCGCGAGTGTCAGACCAGTCACATCTCTTAATTGTTTAGAAGAAAAAACAACATGTAGAGCACGGACATAGTAGCCAACTGGTGGAAAAGAAACATGCAGAATGCTAAAGATTAGGTAACAATTCTACAATGAAAATATGTAATCTGTAACGAAATTGCAACTATCCAGAAGAGTCTAAGGTTAGTTATGTTCAGCTCGAGATTACAAATTGATGATTGGAATTTGCATAATCATAAATCATGAACCTTTTTCCCAAGTTCTGTGAATTTGGAACATTTGGGATGTGTATAACAGATATATTAAATCTCTTTTGGACTCCCCAGTAATTTTTAAATTCTGTAAATCTTCTTCATGAGGTTATTCTTTTGGGGGGTTTGAAATGTGTAAGCAACATACAGCTGAAATTTGTTTGATTGCTGAGAGAACCACAGTCTCTTCATTCTATCTTCAAGCAAAGATCGCTCATGCAATGCTGCAATAGCTGCTGCAACTTGGGATATGGAGACATTACAGCTACAAATAGTTCCATCCACAACGTTGTTCTGCCCAGAGTGTGCATTTCCTTCTTGCAGAATGTCATATTTTGCGCCCTTCATGTCCATGCCAGCAATATTTTGATTCCGAAACTTTTCTTTAAATGGGGGGGCTTCAATGTCAGCTTTCCCAAAGGTATACAACAACAGAGCTGATGCACCGTCTAAAGTACACATCTTAAGCAAATCAAGAACAAATAGCTTTCCCTTCGTTGAACCATACAAAATTGAAATTTGTGATGTTAACCATGCCGATGACCGAACCAAAACAGGACACTCGGAGCAATCTAACTCCAAAAGCTGATTGTTCAACACATCCAATGTATTTAAAGCTTCTCTAAGAATCGACTTCAAACATAAACTAAACAGTAAAAATATATGCTGTCCCATAGGCATATCAATCACAACACCATATCTGGGCGAATTTGCCATTATCCATCTCATGAAATCACATGCCTTAGTAATTCCTACACCTCCAATCGCACGAAGAACACCATGCGAGCATGTAGTAGGATAATCATCCCAAGCGTCGACCTCTTTCTTGATAGTCCAGTACTCGGAGGGAAGAATTCCCAAATGCTCTCGCTCAGAATACTTAATCTCTATGTCATTAGCCTTAACAAAACCAAAGCATTCAATTGATAATATACCAGGAAGCGTAAAGGTTCTCTTCATAGCATCCACATCGGACAAAGTAACCACACCCGGGCAATCATGGTAAAAGAAGTTAAAACCAACGTCGACGTAATCCTCCAAAGAGAATAAGAGTTCAGCGTGAGGATCATGGAGAGTTTGTTGGAAGCAGTTGTCCTGGCGACAACGATCATTGAACTGGAGGGTTTTGGGGTAAGAGAGAGAATGAAGGAGGTCGTCGGGATTGGGGAGAGGGTGAGGAGAGGAAGGGCAACGGAGGTAGTGAAGAAAAAGGAATTCAGGAGGCATCAGGTGGTGATGATTGAAAGGGCATTGTACGAGATTGGGGTTAGGGTTTTGTGAGTGCGGTCGCAAGAGAGAGGGGAGAGAATAGAAGGTGCGGTGCGAGAGGTGAATGAGGTTGTTCAGGGATGAGAGGGCTGTTGAAAGGTCGGGTGGCGAATTGCAGGGAGGATTGAACATCCTGGGGCTAGGGTTTGTGGGGTGGAAGGTCAAAGATGGAGCAGAAGAATCCGTCATTCGTGACCGCCGCACCGTAACTCCAGATTCAGGTAAGGCCGCCAGGCTTGCCCCTGTTGGGCCGAGGTTTTTTGTTTTTGGGAGGGGGGGTGTTTTGGGTTTGGGGGGATGTTTTTTGTTTTTTGGTTACAAACGGCAAGCTAACGCTTGAAAGTACAAAAGGATAAAAAACAACAGCTTCAGCTAGCCCCCCGCCATCGTTCTTTTGTCTCTCCAAAATCCTTCCCGGCACCATGCTGGTATTTCCGGATATAGGATGACATCCTGACTTGCGACTTGCACTGTTCGAGTCATGCTGTCAGCACAGTGGATATTCTCTCTGTTTGCATGTGAAATGATCACATTCCACTCCTCATACAAGAGTTTTCTGGTCTCCTCTATTTCCTCTTTAAAAGGGTGGTTGGTTCTGCTATCTTTTATCAACATATTAATTGCCTCCAGTGAGTCTGAATACACATGTATGTCACTAATATGAAGTCCTTTGCAGACCTCGAGCCCGGTCTTGATAGCTAGGATTTCAGCTGTTGAGACCGGGTAAGCTCCAAGTGCTTTTTCAAATCCCATAATCCACTCTCCTGTTGCGTCTCGTATGACCCCATCGCATGTCGCTTGGCTGTACTGTCGAATAGACGCATCTACATCAAGTCTCACTTCGCCTTCTTTTGGTGGCGTCCAGCTTCTCTCATGATTGTGTTGGAGCAGTTTATGGGATAGAGTTCCCATAGTTACTTCCTCCATAAGATGAAAGAGACACTGTTGTTGCACCTCAAGGCTTGAAGGGATGCCTTCGCTGAAAAGCTGTTTGCAGTGTGCCTTCCATATTAGCCAACACGCGTGGCTGAATATTCTTGTCCATGGCCATTGGTGAAAGCGAGCTCTGCTAGGATTTGAGCTCCCATTCTTCTTTAACCACACTTGTAAATCACAAGAGAAAAACATATGTTGTTTGTTAGGATTAAGGAAGAAACACCACACCTCTCTTGCCCTCACACAATCTCTTAGGGTATGTAATATGGTTTCCTCTCTATTACAACTACAAGGGCATTTATCTATATGAGTCAACTCTCTTTTTGCTCTAAGAGTGTTCGTGCTCAATCTCTCTTGGGAAGCTTGCCAAAGGAAGAATTTTATTTTTTCTGGTATATGCTAGCCAATGCCAAAAACCCGACCATTGTCCTTGACCGGTAGTCCCTCCTGAATGAACCAAGAAGTTGTAAGATACTTTGACTGTGAATCTATCGTCAGACGCACTTTTCCAACAAAAAAATCTGGTCTATCAATTGTTGGGGGTTTTATCCTTGCCAGAATATGTACCACCCATGTTGGAAATAAACTTTTCCATCGATTCACGTCCCATCCACCATTAGGTAGTCTAAAATTTGCTACTGTCTCATATTCATTAATGTGCTCAAGGCTACACGACGTATAGTGAATGAGTGGTGCTTCCAGCGGGGCCCATCTGTCCCACCAAAATTTTGTGGATTGACCATCATTTATACATCGACCAATCCTAGTTAAAAAGGTCTCCCAGACAGAGATAATTGCCTTCCAAGTGATTGAGTTATACCTGCCTCTGTTCACCAAGGGTATTGCCTCCTCTCCACAGTCATAGGTACTTCGTAGACACCACACCCATAGATCCTTAGTTTGTGTGATTAAATCCCAACAAAGTTTCATTATGAAAGCCTTATTCTGTTGTTCCAAATTCTTTACACCCAAACCGCCTTCTTTCTTGCTTCTGATGACCTTTTCCCAAGCTATCAGGTACATCTTTTTCATCGTTTCATCTTGGCGCCATAAGAAATTTCTACTGATTTTCTCTATTTCTTTCAGCACCCCCTTTAGCAATAACGTGGACTGCATTTGGTAAGATGGGAGGGCTGACACCATCGCTTTGACGAGCATGGTTCTCCCTACCATAGTTAGGTATCTCCCTTTCCAGAGTGCTAGCCTAGTCCAAACCTTTTTGATTATGTGCCTAAAGGTGTCTTTCGTTATTCGTGAGTGAATAAGAGGAACACCAAGGTATTCTCCCAGATCAGGAGTAATTCCAATTCCAAGCGTTCGACTTAAATTCAAAGCCCTGTTCATGTGGACATTCCTAGAGAAGAAGGCTTTGGATTTGTCCAGGTTAATCTTATGACCCAAGACCTTATAGAATCTCTTCATCACTTGCTTAATGATATTCATTTGTCTTGTTGAGGCTTCGGTGAATAGCAGTAAGTCATTGGCAAAGAAAAGGTAAGAAATTTTAGGTCCATCCTTTTTAAAGCTGAGTAGTTTCCATCTTTGGGTTTGACATTTAGTGGATATCAGGTGTCCGAGCCTTTCCATGCAAAGAACAAAAAGATAAGGGCTGAACAGATCGCCTTGTCTCACCCCATGTGACGGTTTGAAGCTCATGCCCTCCTTTCCATTCCACAGAACCTTCAGAGTAGCCGTGCTTACACAGTGCATAATGATCTATACCAAGTTCTCAGGAATCCCAATGATGTCCAAAGTACTTCTCAGAAAATTCCAATCTAGGCGGTCATAGGCTTTTTCCATGTCCACTTTGACAGCTACTAGGCCTTTCTTGCCTGGTTTAGTCCTCATTAGATGAATGGCCTCTTGTGCTAGAATAATATTGTCGCAGCTTGATCTTGAAGCAATAAAGCTACATTGCTACAGTCCGACTAACTGATTCATGATAGTTTGCAATTTGTTTGCAATCAGTTTGCTAATTACCTTCAATCTAACATTACAAAGAGATATTTGCAATCAGTTTGGTGATTACCTTCAAGCTAACATTACAAAGAGATAGTGGTCGCATATCCTTTAAGGTAGTCGGGTGGTCCACTTTAGGAATAAGCACTATATTTGTTTGGTTGAGTGCTTCAATCCTATTTGGCTCTCTAAACACTTCCTTGACCATTTCACATAGGCTATTTCCTACTTTATCCCAATGGGCCTAGGAAAAGTGTGGTTGTAGACCATCAGGATCGGGGCTTTGAAAGCTCCCATAGAGAAAGCCGCATTTTTAATCTCAATATCTGTTACCTCTATATTAATCCAGTCAATTTGTTGAGGTTGAAGGTTAGGAAACAAATTGGGCCAGGGGGTTCTTCAAGAGTTTGGCTATCTTTGGTGTAGAGGTCTTTATAATACTTGGTTGCCATCTGATGTAGGCTCTCTTCATCTGTCACCCTAGTCCCCATTTCATCTTTTAAAGCCATAATTTTCTGCTTTTTCCTCTTGAAAACCGTTGAAGCATGGAAATATCTCGTGTTTTTATCTCCCCATTGTAACCATTGACATCGAGATTTTTGGTACCACATCAATTCCTCTTGGAGGAGTATCTTGTTATAATCAGACCACAGTCTTCTTTGTAATCTTTGTAGACCATGATCAAACCTCTATTTCTTGACCCTTTCAATTCCTTCTAGTCTCCTTAGTATCTCATTTTTCCTCCTTAGAATGTTGCCTATCTTCTTGACGCAATATTTTGGAATTTTTTTTGGGGGGATGTATTTTAATGATGATTTCTCTCCCTCATTATTTTCCCTCCAAATTGTGGAATTCGGAATTTCGGATGGGGGGATGTTAGATGTATTTTAATGATGATAAACCAAAATGCCTTTTTTCCCCACCTTTTTACGTGGCAACAAATATATTTGGTTTTTTTTTTTTTACTCGTTACAACATTCATCCCTTATTTGGATGGAAAGCAAATGAGAGGAGAAAGAAAACTATAAAAAAAAAATATAAGAGAAGATGGGACATAAGACTCGCCTCTTTTTCTCTCCACATATGAAGAGGAAATGAGAAAAAAATTTGCATTCTTCGTATGCCCTCCTTAAATATGGTTTAATAATCTCACATTTTGATGTTTGATGCAAATTTTTCTTTTTAATTTTATTTATGGCCTCTTCATAATTCTACAAATTAAAATTAATAAATTATCTTAGTGTTTTTGTTTAGTTTTTTTGTTTTATGTTTTAGTTGTTTTGGGTCTTGTGTCTCCTTTCTACCCCATAATAAAAAATAAAAAATTATCTCACTGTAATATGGTCAGATTCAAAACCAACGTGCAAACTCTATTTTTTCACATTCAATGAAATGCACGCACAAATTAATACTCTTTCGGTCCTTAATATAAGATCCATTTAACTAATTTGATTAGATTAAGGAAGTTAGGTAAGTTAGTTAATTATAACAAATGTGACACATTTTTCCTAAAATGCCATAATCATCTTTCTTAATACCTCATCTCCTTTTCTACTTGATTATGGTTGAGGGAGTATTCATAGGAGTAATTTAGAAAAAATTGATAAATATGAGAAATGGGTCTTATATTTAGGATCAAAACCAACTCAACAATTAGGTCATATATTAAGGACCGGAGGAGTATATACATATCTTCATATATTTCAAATTTTATTTTAAATTTTCATTATTTATCAATTATTTTAAATAATTTATTTATTTCTTTAATTATGTTTAATTTAAAAAATTTGCCCAATTTTTTATTTACCTTAAAAATAACATTTTTACTAAATTATTTTGTTTTTAAAATATGATCACATGATAATATACTTTTACCAAATAATGATTTAAAATTATTTAATGATGTTAGTCTTAATATGATGCTTTCATGGTGATGTTTAATTTGATTTACAACATGATATATTTTAATATAGAGATAAGAATATTTTAGTCATTTATGTATTTGCTAATTTCTTTTTTTCTCTCTCCTCCAACCAAATAAGACAGATGATAACATGTTTTCTTGATTTTTTTTGTTTTCTTTTCTCCTATTTTTTTCCTCCAAACTTTTCTTCCCATGCAAAAGAAGTATTAGTTTAAAAGAGGGAATTGAGGGATTTTCAAAAAGAATGGAAGAGAATTTTACTTCTTGTTTGGCTTGATTAAATGAAGACATCATGATCGTTTTGTTTAGGAAGGAAAGAAGAGTGAAAGCAACTAATTATAAGTCATATTTTGCCTTCAAATTATTTTCTTTTTTTTTTTCTATTTTCATGAAAAATAAGACACAATATAATTTAAAATGTTTAATTAATTTTTTTTAATGCAACGCGAATAAATTCTAATATATGCGATATACACACAAAACGACAGGAAGATACAATGAAAAAAAAAAAGCGTTATTTTAAATTTTGCATAATGATAATTTCGACAGCACCATCTCTAATTTCCTCCTCTGAAAACTCCTCCTTTGCTTAAAAATTTTATAAACAATTACGAGGAAACAATTTTCATCCTCTCCTCGGAGAACTTTAAACCAGACATAGGTTGCAATGAAAAAAATTTCCAAATAAAAATACTAATTTTATTATTATCATAACATATGACAAAATAACGAAATTGAACTCACATTTGATGAGATCTTAAAAACTTCAATTATAGTTAACGATCACAAACCACTAAACATTTAAACAAGCGATAAGATTCCTGATAATATTCTTTTCCCAAAATATTAAAGAATTATTATGAAGTCAACACAAAAAAATATAGTTAATAAATCTCGAATTTCACAGTAATAAACAACTACTGCTGACTTGTTTTTTTTTTTTTTTCCCAACCTTATTGTAATCCTCCGGAAAATACAAAAAGAATAGCGAATACACCTTTCCGCGGTCTCACAGCTTTCCGCGCCGACATCTGAAAAAACATTTCTCCGGAAGTGAGATATGCGTGAAGGATCCATCCAAGCCTCCAGTCCCAACTATTTATCTTCTACGTCCACCGTGACGGGTTTGGTAGACTTCGGCCGAATTTAGTTGACCCTTTTTCATCACATAAATATTCAAACAAGCAACATGTTTGAAAGTCGCCGAGAGCAAATCAAACCGCGTCTCTTTGGTTTCTTTTCGGAACAGTAAACACAACAAGGCACGGCTAAGCAGAACCACATTTAATTTAACAGCCAAGATGAAAGCAAATATTTCCTTTAATAGATGCGAAGTCCGTCACAATTTGTATTATATGAATTACTACAGCACCCGCCAACAATTCAAGATAACCACTACTTTCTCTTGATTTTCTTATCTACATTCCCGTCTAATTTTCTAACACCTATCTATCATAGGGGCATTCGATATCATTCTCGGTGACCTTGAAATGTTGCGGACGCTGACCAGAGCAATGCAAATTCCACATTTTAAAATACCCCCTTTCAAGATTAGTCACCTGCAAAGTTTCAACATAGCTTCAAAATCACGCCACAGCGGACAATGGAATAACCATTAGAAGGAAACCATCATATCCACTAACTCACCCAGCGGGCTGTGTCGAATAGAGGGCAAGTCATACGGACAGCTTTGAGCCTGTTAGTAAGGGCCTGAAGCTCTGAACGGTTCAAAGCCAGTGATACCGCTCTCTCCTCATACTCTTTCATGCTAACATGATTTAAAGAACAAAGCAGTTCAAAAAACTTTAAATATATACCTCAGATAAGACACACATTAGAAGTATGGTTCATTGATTGTCGTGTTAAATGACATATACGTAGAAGATTAAAGAAACAAAATCAAGCACCATAATAATTTAAAAAAAGGCTATGATTTAAACATCACCTACTTAATAAGGATTGTACTCTAAATCCATCCTTCAAGGAGTCAGCAATACTATATAGAACCTATTTTTATAGAGAGAAATTTACCTGCTCACAATCATCTCATCCCCCAGATCAGTGGCAAGACAAAGGGAACCAGCAACTCTCGTGGCCATTTTCTCAAGAGGCAGGGTAATCATGGGCAAGCCAGCCCATAATATGTCTGTTCCCGTGGTATGAGCATTGCATAAAGGCCTAAAAAACATAACCAACTCTATCACTACTAAAAATATATAACCAACTCTTCAGAAGCCACATACAAAACTGCTTCACTGAATAGAAGCAATTAGAAAAGAAGGGCAAAGGGTGAATCACGGCCAAAAAAGAGTAAAATGATAAACAAATTTACGTGTCAAGGAACAAGTCTGCTAAAGCACTGCGCCTGATGTGTTCATTCTTCATGGCAACATCCGTGAAAATAATTTGATCTGGCTGGACCCCTTGTGCGGCAGCATCTGAAATAAGTCCAGAAATCACAAATGATGACAAGAAAATGAATCCCTCCAAATACTACAAGATTAAAATATAAACAATACAAGTGCAGAGCAAACTAACGGCAAGGATCACACATTTTCCCAATCAGACACAAACATTTCAACGCATCATTTAACACCACATACATGCCCTCAGTCTCATTTCACCAGCCGCAGGAAATCTCAGGAGCCAGAGCGCGCTGTCTGGCACGCGTTTGAGAATATTGCACCTGGAATAGAACAAGCAGACACATGAGCAATAAAAATGCCACTACCACAATAAAGGAGAATGAAAAAGTAGCTATATTCCATAAAAGCAAACCTATTCAGCATGAACTGCCAGATTTTGATGATAATGTTGACACTAAAAGCAAGAGCTAATTATTCATTAAATAACTAATAAAGAGCATCCAACATTACCATGTATTAAAGATCTCCGGATCCATCTTGTACAACTGATTAAAGCATGCAAATATAAATTTATTCTCTGGCAGACCATAATCTGCTCGTTTTTGCCGGCACTTTGGATCTAACACATCCTGATTTTTCTGAACAGAAGTGGCAAAGCACAGAGATTCAATGCCATGTATCAATGTACGAAAGACCACAACATGGAATTGGACTACTACTAAATTTTACCAGTCCATAAGTCTAACCTGTTTATAATCATTTACAAAGTAGCAGTGGGGAAGATGGACCAGCTTTTCAGAATAGATATGTGCACACTGCAGTGGGGAAACAAACTGGACGAAATTTTAAGCAGCAAAAAAAAAATGTCAGATGAGTCCATAACACCCCAAAAAAAAAAAATGATTGATTCAAGTATGCAAGTGATTCAACCTCATCAGTGACCAAGTAGTCAATATAAGTAGCCCCAGTAGTTCCAGGGAACCCCATATATGAAACTTGAATAGGTGCAGGTTGCATAGCAAATATCTCATTTCTGGCGCCCTGCATAAAAAATCGGACAACAACACTGGGTAATCAAATGTAACACAACATTAAACTGCGCTATCAGAATTTCAAGATTCACCTCCAAATAAGAGTATAACAAAACTTTCATCCAACCAGCGCATGAAATTTAAAAATGAATAAATTTGCAGCCTAACATATAAAAGGAACATCTGATGTTCTCACCAAATAGATACCACAAACAAATGACCACAGAAAAGGGGGGAACAGCTACCTTTGTATAACCATTAAGGTTGACAAGAATTTGAATCTTATCATCATTAATCATTTTAGCAATCATATCAGATGACATGGCAGATACATCTACAAAGTGCTCGGCTTCAGACTGAATGCGTTGTCTCCATTCACTCCCATCATTTGAACTTAAAGCATAGCAGAACACCTACACAGAGAACACCAATTGACACACCAAGAGGAAGCAAATCCAGAAATCATATAGAAGTTGTAAAAGCTAAATACCTCAACATTCTTCCTGTTGTGCATGCCAAAAACAGATCCCATGAGATGAGACAGTGGATGATTACCAAAATCACTGCTCACATACCTACAACCCAAAAGAATCCCATAGTTGAATAAAAGAACAAGGGCTGCAAGGTCGGATGAGTTGAAAAACGACATTCAATAACATACCCAACCCTTAGTCTCTCAAAGCCTCCCTCACGTTTGATTGGAATAGGAGCAGCGTGGCTAAATGGAGGAAGAGAAAATCGAGAAGCAATCAAGGAGCAGTGTGCAGCATATTTACGGCTGCAAAGATGAGGACAAAACATTATGAATTAGCAGCATAGCTTTGAACAACACTTTCCATCTCACGGAAAATCCCATACCTAATTTCAAGAGCAAGCATTGCGTCAAGAGGATATGCTATTGCATGGAAAGGCTGGACACTCGGAAGAACAGACATCTGGACAGCAGAAAATCACAACAAAACGATAATCAACAAGAGATGTACATGTCATATGCTCAAATAAATATAACGATAATGTTGATCCTGACATTGATCTGCCGTCTGATTATCCCTTCAACTTCCTTGAACATCTTATCACGATCCTCCCAACAGCAGACACACTACAATTTGACACGAGATTATCTTATTAGGTCCCAAACAATTTATGAAAATGCAGCTTTCCAATAATGGATTGACTTAGAAATTAAAAAAAGTGAATTGACCACAAAGCCAGCTAAAAACGACCAAGCATAACAGTGTACACATGTGCTCAAGTAAAGAGAATCAAGACAAAACAAGTTTAATCCTGATACTCCAGAACAAATTTAGAGATTACAGTGAATGGTTCCCTTCATAAAAGGACATCATCAAAAAAAACATACTAAGGGGGGAAATAAATTCTTTACGATACCTGAAGCGTGTGCAGAAGATTGCAAGTAGCTTCGGGAAAGTCTGGACGAAGTATCAATGCTTGTCTATAGCTCTTTATCGCAGCCTCTACATGTCCACTGTACAAATATAAAACAAAATGCTGAGAGATCAATTGGGAAATAAAATCCACATGCCACAAAGAGAAGATACTACTAAAGAAGTGATAATATCAGGCTCAAAGAATCGAGTCCAAGGATTGGACCAGAGATCAGAAGATCCCATTTAATAAATATGACAATTAAAAATATAAATATACTTTAAGGTACCAAAAAGCAAAGTAACTCAAAATTATTACCAAACATTTGAATAATATATAATTTAAATAAATAAAAACCAAAGCATAACTCTAAACCAATACTATTCTTTTCTAATCCCCCTCTCCATCACAAATATACCAACTAATACCAAGGGAATTATTGGAAAAAATATTAATTACTTCATAGATTTTGTAAAGTGACTTATAAGACCATGAAAAGCTTCTCGAAGGCAACCCGTAATATAAATAGGATTGGGGGGAGCAAAAGACACTCACCAAAACAAATCAAAAATTGCTACACAATTCAAAAATAATTTCTTTCACTTCAACTCAATCAAACACATCAGAAACATTGCAATTGTTTGAACTCCCAAGTACATGGATAGCCCTTAGCTACAGCTAACTGAGGTAAATAGCCGAACAGAAGCAGCAGAAAATGATGATAACATCACAAAGAAAAGCAGCTGCTATTAGTTATTGAGAAGCTGGCACTCTCGCTACGTACAACCCTGATAAAATCTTCTAACACCTAACCTTCAGTCTCTCTACCTCTCTTAAAATCCATGACCAATGTCAATTAATGGTTGGGTTCCCGCATTTGCCCCACCTGCCAGATCATTAGGAGCTAACACTTCTAAATCTCTTATAATATGCTTTCACTTCTGGCCCAATTGTTATCAACCCATCAGCGACTCAAGAAGTTGTGTAGACTATGCATAGAATTTAAATCGCTGGGGAGTTGTTTGGGAACAAAAGATCTTAGCATACAAATGGAAACCTCAACAATATCAGTAAAAGCCAGCTGACAATAGCTGCATTGCCATCAAGAGAAATTTGAAAGACTCATTACCTATCTTTATACGCCGAAGCCAGATTGGCATGGGCCTCAGCCATCGTGGGCCTGACAGCAATGGCTCGTATATAGTCCTGGATAGCATCACTAACTCTACCAATCTCCTTATAAGTATTGCCCCTGTTTACAAGCCCATCGGCTGCCAAAGGATCAATGCGGAGAACCTCATTGTAGCATGATATGGCATCTGCATAGTTCCCCTGCAATAAAGTGACCGGAAATAATTTAACAAATTAAATCATAAGCAGTATTCTCATTGATAGTAACGTTTAGAGCTATATTTCTGATCCTCATAGTTCTACATTCAGCCAAAACCACGTAGACTGGACCCATAATTCATTGACACTAACTAAGATGGACACCTACTATCCACTGAACATATTTTATGAGAGGTATAGCTACCTGCTGCTTATATATGATGGCAAGATTGTTGAAAGGAGCAGAAAGTCCAGTAGTTACACTCAATGTAGCCTTGTAATATGAAGCAGCAGCAGCAACCATATTCCTGAATAAAAATTTTGAACCGGGATAATCACTATATCTCGTACCATTACTAATGAGAAGATTTAAAATGTAGTTATCACAAATAAGTACCATTCCATGTATATATTTCCAAGGTTGGTGAGTGCTTGCGGATGGTTAGGTTGTAATGAAAGGCATTGCTTCACGCCAATAAAGAGTAGTTTAGTAATAGGACAGATATTATAGTCATTTGTTGACCTAAACAAAAATAAAACCACACTTCATGAGAAAAGCATACATTGTAGCACTGGATTGCTTCCTCTACTCTGCCAACATCTTTTAGCGCATTGCCCTACAGAAGAATTCCAAAGAAAATTATGCTATTGAGCAACAAGTTTGACCATCTGGCTTACGTCAAAATAAAACTGAGACACAACAAAAGAATCTACCAAATTGTTATAGGCCTCCAAAAATCTGGGATCGCATGCCACAGCTTGCTTATAATGTAAAATTGCCAGGTCTAGTTGGCCTTGCTCATAGTATGTACTGGCCAAATTACCTGAGCAACATGAAATCAAGTGATTACAAATGACACTTGGCAAAATCTAAGCACGCCAATCAACATAAAGTCAAATTCAGGGCTCTTAGGACCATCATGAGATCTGTCACCATCAAATTAGAAACTAATAGAGCTATAGCTAGACTATCAAAGGAAAGGGGGGAAGCAAGCATGCAGCAAAATGACACCATCCTGTTCCGCCATTTGCTTCGCCCCCATCTTCCACAAAGCAATCAAAAGTAGCAGTAAAATAAGTTACAATCATAAACCGGTGGAACTCACCATAAGCCATAGCATAATTTGGTCGAGTTTGCAGTGCATGTTGATAACATGCAATAGCCTCTTGAGGCACCCCTAAAGCCTGACAAAGGAAAACCATCATTGTTTCATCCAATAACAATTCACGTAATGTATGGTAATTAAAGTAATTTAATCCAACCATTCATACTGACATGGCGTTTTGAACTAACCTTGTATACATTCCCAAGGTTCAGATATGCATCAGGAAAGGAGGGTTTGAGTTTCACAGCTTCCTGTGTTTTTTGGGTTAGGAAAACATAAGCAGAGTCAGAATATCTGCCCTAAAGATATGGGAGAAGTATCATTGACATGATTTTCTCTCTCATTATATCAGAACCAAGAAATAGAGAGATTTCAGATGGCATAATCACCGCATACTTATTAAATACAAGTTGCTGCAATTACAGATGAAGTTCAATTTGATAAACGAGAAAAACATATTAGCAGTAGAAATAATCTAGACAACCCAGTGCGGTCAACCCTGCAAAGTCCAAGATTATGAATATAGCATATACAAGAGATACCTTGTAATACTGAAGTGCCCGGTTGAGATCACCAGATTCCATAAACAGACCAGCAAGATTTGACCATGCAATAGCAAAAGTGGGTTGAATGCGCAACGCCTCAAGATAGCAACTGTATGCCTGCACAAAATGTTAGATTCTGACTATTTGCAGTCTTGGAGAAGTTACAACAAGACCAACCATCATCTGAGCCCTGGCTTGAAGACAAGAACTTGACATCTGTACCGAACTGTGAATTTTGACACAGTTCCACGCACGAATCATTTAAATCAGTAACTAAAATGTAAACAAGAGACGCAGGGTACAAAATACTAAGCATGAAGGAGCTTCCAGGCTTCTAGGCCAACGCACAGCGAACTGCATTGAGCCTTAAAAAAAAAATTAAAAAAAAGAAAAGAAAAGAAACGAAAACAGTGTGCCAGCATAATGACAGTGGGAAGCCGTACTGGGGAATCCAGCAGAACATTGGCTAAAACTGGGAAGCCAATTCACTGTTCAGAGACAGTATCGATTCTAGCAGCTGGAAGTGTTATATTAAAATCCAGTTGCGGGTTGTGGGTTGTAACAGGAGTCAAAGAAAAGCAAAGACTTGTCCCCTATGCTACAAGATATGAAAATTCAAGAAGGAAATCTACAGGATTAAAAAAAATACAAAGGAGGCATCCACTTAAACAATGAAATTCAATAAGCTCGGACTTACTTCTTGCACCAACCCTTGAGCTTTCATTAAATTCCCCAAGTTGCTATGGGCGTCAACCTGCATTACACAGGTATCTCATAAACATCAATAAACCACAACATATACAATGCCCAAGCAATCATCACGTCCAAGAACATGAAACTTCATATGAAGTCAATTGTTTATCAAAAATATGAGCTAGATATCAATTGCTTATCAAAAATATATAAGCTAGAATCCAGAGAGAATACCATTAGAGGATTAATGGATAGTGCTTGACGACAACACTGTGCTGCTTCATTAAGTCTTCCTTTGCGCATGTACGCACTAGCTAAGTTTGACCATGCATCAGCAAAATTAGGCCGAAGCTACAGCAGCAGAATCAAAAAAACACAAGAGACGACTTTAGCATAAATAACATTGTGGTGAAACTGCAGATTTGGTGAAGGAGGAAAATAGGAAATAAAACAGCAGCTTTAAGTTACTTGCAAATCACAAGGCAGAATGTCATAGTAAAAAAATAAATTCACAAAAATATTAGAAGTATAAAACTATTAATAGTTAATTGCTTACAGACCTCAATGGCTATCAAGTAGTAGCGAATAGCAAGGTCAATATTGCCTTTCTCCTGCACAAAGGATAATTTTATTAATAGCAGAAGATGCACAGAATTCAAAAGCTGCATATAAATATGTAAAACAAGTCATTTCCTTTCATAGCAACTTTACCCACCTTCCATGCATTTGCCATGTTCCCATAACACTCGGCAAAATGAGGTTCAATTCGAAGTGCTTCTTCATTTTTGGCAATGCACATGTCGAAATCATGCAACTACAGACAAATAGGCTCGCATAGTCAAATGCAACGTAGGTGAACAAGAAGGAGATGCTGAGGATCATATGGAGTCATCAAAGACATTACATGATAACAGAAAGAAAGAAACCTGATAATAAATTGCGCCCAGAAGTAGCAAATTGTCAGTGCGGAGTGGATTTCTCTCATAAACAGTACTGCTATGCTCAAGTGCTTGTTTGTAATTGCCAGTCTTGTACATTTGGTGTGCAAGAGTTATGTGCAAATCTTCATCAACTGTTTAGGAGATAACCCGGGGTGTAAATTAGTTGGCACGATTATTGACACATGAAATACATAGTGTAAATAAGCCTTCTCTGAAATAAGAGAAGCGTCGAATGTAGTCCGTGGAGTATATCGACTTAAATAAGCTATAGATCAAACGTATGGGTCGATAGCAAAAGTTTAGAGATGCTGAATTTGCGATGTGTTCGCTGAAGGAAGGGGGGCGACTCTAAAAAGCACAAGACTAAGCTATTTACTGTTCACCAAACCAGCCTTCAGGACACAGTATAAGTGTGCACCAAGGGAAGGGAGGGATTTGAAATATTTAAAACAGTCCCAATAAAAGCTCTATCTACAAAACATGAAGACGTGATTGGAGATCATCGAGACGTCAACCAATAACGAGCTTATTTCCACAAAGATCTGAGTATCAGTATTAGCAAAATGACAAGGATGCATAGAACTGATAATAAGTGCAGAAGAAAAAGTAATTAAGGAAAATAAAAAGGGTAGTGCATCCCAAACTTCCTCGTATATTCGTCCACGTTTAAACTCAATTGGATACTAAGCGAGAGAAAACCACACCTTCATTAGAATCATGACGATGCAACGGCAGTAGAGAGAGTGCCGAAGGCTCAGGCTTGACGGAGAAAGACTCGACCCGATCAGCAGTGAAGGAAGGGCGAGTTATGCTGCCAGAGCCGGGGAGCTGGGGGTGAAGATGATGGTGGCGATGGTCGCCCTGCACAGAGATCATGGTGATCTCGAGGCGGAGTAAGAGAGGGAGGAAGGGATCACCAAAATCGGGAGCGGGAGAAGATCATAAAGAGAGGATCGCCAGAAAGATGAGAGAGATCGGAGGCCGGGAAATCCAAACCCTAAGGGGAAATTTTCGAGGGTGTTCTGGAATGACGCGGAGGAAGGGGAGAGTTGGAGGTGAAAGGGCTTTTATTTGCGCGCTAGAGAAGAGATCTGGACCGTTGATAATGGAGAAGGAAGGTGATATCAGGTGGAGGACTGACACGTAAGTAGACTTTTTTAATTTCTTCCCACAGTGGAAGACGCGTAAGCGGATCTTCAGATACTTGAGTGTCATTGGAAATTTTACACAAGAATGTGCCATGGAAATGACATGGCTCCTTGTGAGCTTTTAATATTTTGGCCGGTGATGAGTTCCTTCTCCTAGGTAAAAAATGATTTGGGAAAGAAAAAAAACCGCTCTTTTCACAGTATGTTTTTTCCTCGTAGAATATGATGGAAGAACGCATAGGGTGTTGAGGATTTTTCCCCCTTTTCAAGCGAAATGCTGACACTAATCTACTCTCGTCTGCTAACCCGTCTAACCACCTTGCCTTGTCACCGAGCTCCCACCTGAAAAAACGGAACTTGCACATCCCCTTAGCCCGATGCCGTCCCTCGTCATCCGGCCACCGCACTAACTGTCCATTGTTTGACGTCATGTGATAGCGGGGAAAGAAATCGGCCGCCCATCTCAATGCCAAAACCACTTTTGTTGTTCTGAGTACTAACCCTTGCCTTCAGTATTCACTGTTCACGGCTATGGACATCGTCCGCTATTTTTTCCACGTATTGTCATGCTGCCTTTGCTATGCAGAAGGAACTGTGGCTTTTGAAGAAAACGAACAAGATCTTTTGCCAAGGAACCTCCTTTTGGTTAACCAAAAAGAAGTTATTTCACGTTTTTGAATTCTGAACAAGACCAATTTGTTCCTTTGCTATTTTTGAGAACTTCCACTGCATCAATAATACACAAATGCCTGCAGAAAAATGATACTAGGATCTTATTACTTTTTCGTGCCATGCCATATGTATTCTTAAAACTTGGTTCCATTTTTTGTTCCTATTTCTATTTCATAAAATATCCTTCGCAAGCCTTGGAATAATCTTGTTATCGTTTCACACCACGCTTATTTGGGGAAAAAAAGGGATAAAAATTAAAACAAAAGAAACTGAGTTAAATTGGCTTAAAAAATAGGATTAACATGATTTCTAGTCTCATTTTGATTTTAATCTCTCAAGTTTTTTTCATTTAAAATTTTAATCCTTATAATTCAACAGAAACTTAAATCATTTCGCTTCTTGAAGAACTAGAACCAAAAAGAACCAAAATGAGGACAAATTTTAAAGACCAAGAATCGTATTAACCTTAAAAAATATGTTTAACAATTTTTTCCAACAAGTATGATTAAAAGACCAAAATTACCTTTAGAAAAATAACGTCAATTTTGACGGATTCCACAAAAAGGGAAGCAAATAATGTTGGATTGTGGATGGGCGACAATGAGAATTCCATCATGCTCAACTTGAGGAGTGTTTAATTTTAACTTATTTTAAGTAGTTTATGGCCATACTTAGGAAGTGTGAAATTTTACAGAGCGCAAAAATGTTTTTTAAGGAGCTTTAATTAATTTATTTGTTTAAAAAATTATCAATTTTGAATCACCGTACGTAATCCAACAGTACAAAACTGAAGTAATATCTACAGTCAGTAGAGAAAAGCCGCTTTCGATTCCACCGGAGAAGCAGAGTTTGGCTTCATTAGATTTGAGAAAGACTGAGGTGTAATGGTCAGCAGGGAAGTTGGAAACTTGGAATTGTCATTCGCATATCTGGATTCCCAAGCTCCTCCGTTGCAACTGGTATGCGTGGAGAGCAATGAGGATGACAAGGCCATGGACAGGGCAGAAACTCCAAAAATCACATCACCTCCCTAGGACTAAGGAATCCCCCGCTGAGAGCATGTGCTTCAATTTTCAGTAACTTTTTAATTTTAGGAATATTCATAGCTTTTGACCTCTCTCAAAATTTGAAGCACAGAACGGCAGCAATAGACTTACGATGATTCAGCACCACCGGCATTGGAGGTGTTGTCAATCACCTGTTTAGCTGATATCACCCTGTCCAAGGTCTCATCTGAAACTACGATCCCTGTCGTCTCCAAGTCAGCAACTACTGCTACAGCCGCATCTAGCTCCCCGAGATCAAGGCACACTGAGATGATCTCATCATAAAGCGGTCTGAAATTTGGGATTAAAAAGGAACCTATAAGCGGCGAACGACATATAGGGGAACAAGGAAAGTGGTAAACATAACCCGGTAGGCCGACATCCATTAATGCAGTCAATGACCAGAAGGAAGAAAGAAAGAAAAGAAAACCTTGCTATAAAGTTATGTAGAGCTTTAGCATTTAAAGAAAACATCAGAATGAGTTTCAAGATTTTCATACATCGGGGAGACCAATGCAGAAGAATTACAAGAGCATCGTCATTAAAAAGAAAATGGAATTACCTCCCAAATTTATAACCAAGACTATGAGTTGTCTGCAATATCGTCAAGAAAGATGAAGGCAAAGGTGCTCTTATGGCAGCACGCAAGATTATAGCACAGTCGCCAATAGTTGGGGTTCCTCCCAGTTCTATAACCTGCATCATGCAACCCAACATCCCATTCAGCATTTAGTTTTTCATCCTCAAAGTACGGAGGGCAATCAAGAAACCACTATGTACGTGTATGTGTTACGTATGGCTCCTAATATCATACAGAACTTTTAGCAAGACCAGAGAAAGTCTCGTAGATGGTCACAAGATATATATATATATATATATATATATTGAATATATTGAATTTATTTTACATTTACATTATGAATTAACCAAAAATCATAAAATTGCTACGATTTTAAACTTCCGAGGTAAATTCACATCCAAAAAAACTTTTCAAGTGCTCGTCGCTCTTGAATGAAAACTTTCGGGACAAATTTGCCCATTAGCCCTAATCATTACAACATCAGCATGAGACCATTCAAACAATATTTCGTTTCCAATGGAGAGAGAAACGCATGTTGCCACACGTACCACTCCAAAACATAGCTGAAGAGAGCAAAAGGAGCAGTTCCACGTAGAAAGAAACTAGTCAAAACTTGTGAACCAAACTAGCCAAACTACTTTCAGTTGACAAATTAAAAACATAATCTCAAATATTTCTTGCATGCTAACCAAACACAGCACAAAGGGAGACCAAGAAAGACACTTAAGGAGGTTATGAATCAGAACCTCTTGGTGAATGACATATCAAGCGTTTTGCAATCCATATAGCTAACTTCACTTATTGGGGTAAGACTTGATGCTATTGAAGAAGCAAAAATTCTGATGTCTACATGAAATCAAGTTAACTAGTAGCTGAAACCAATTTAAGAATCAACAACAAAAACCATACAAATGACAGCTAAAAATAGGATTCACATGAAGATGTGATAAAGGTGTGGTTGCTTGCCTTCTGCATAACTTGAATGGCTAACTCAACTTCCCATTCCTGAGACCACCTACGTGGACATTTGTTCTTAAATTCCTTCTCCCATGTCCACCCCCAGGCATCAGCTATGGTATACATGTCTGATACATCAAACACTTTCCTTTTTCTTAGCTCCTTAAATGCCTCAAATATATCCTCAGGAAACCAATCATCGTCATCGTCATCCTGCATGGAAATTCTTTAGGTCCCAAAAGCGCATTAACAAAGTTCAAAAAGCAAAATTAAACGATTGCGAAATTGACAGAAAATATGAGCACATGGACGTGGCACACAAGACTATCAAGAAAAATGCTCACCCAGATGCTGGTTATAGCCCGGGATTTTTTGCATATTTGCCTAACTACCTAAGCAAGTTAGATAAACACCATCTCCCCACCCAAAAACGGGGTAAAGGTCACCATGTGACTTTCATACCTCGACCTGCAACTTTGATGCTCTTTTTGAGTTTTTTGATGTGGAGTTCGGTTGGTCAGGATCTTTCAACAATTGAACCCAATCATTTGAAGAGGCTTTTTAGCTTCAACTTCATTGTCCTTTACTCTGTCTACATCTTGGTTGTCTGCTGGTTCTGCTTCTTCAGGCTGTTCTGCTTCCTCCTCCTCCTCCTCAGCTTCATCATCTTCAACATCTTTTGCAGCATCTTCCACAGCTTCAACATCATCCAAAATTTCAGAAGGCTCAGGTTTACCGGCATCCACTGACTTTTCATGATTATTAGTCATGGCTTCTCCCAAGAAGCGACGCTTCCAAAACTCAGTCTCTCCTTCATGCAGCTTTATTCTTGAAATTAATGCATCCAACTGTTCATCCACCTAAAAAATAGACCAGATTCAATTTTACACATCATACATGGAAGATCAAGGTAAGAATAAATTAAAAGGTAATTTTTTAACATGTGTGTATACGTGTACTGGATTACCTCTTCTTCCTCTTCCTCCACAGGAGGAACCCAAAGGGGCCGACCACGAGATCGATTTATTCTCCTTGCTTTCTGTACGCGCTGGTAAAGAACGTTTCTAGTTCCATCAGTTGGCAGACCTTGGGCTTCCAGTTCTTCCTTCAATTCTGACACTATCATCTTACTAGCAGCCTTGGGCTTTAAAACATTCTGCTCAGGACCCTTTATAATTTTCTTTAATCTCTCCTCCACCTTAATGTAATCAAATTCAGATACACCATCACCTAAGGCTGAAAGTCCTTCATTTTGTAACGTCTTTAGAAGTTTCCGATGGTGCATTTTCCACTTCTCAAGACACCTTTGTTTAAAGGAGGTTTCCATAGGGTTGGAATATATAAATCCAGTAGCATCAGGGTCTAGAGGCATTTTTCCTCTTCGAGGAACCCATCGCTTGCGCTCTCCAGTAAGGCCACCCTCTGCGATATACCTGTTAACAAAATAGGAAGAATGCTTTTGATTATTGCTGGCACCTGCCTTAAATAGAGGGTGGAAAGAAAAAAGGAAACCAGAAAAATATGCTAAGTAGTAGTACAAAGAAGCAAGAAAACTGGTACAGAGAACCAAAGGATTCATGAATCATCAAGCTGAGTACCATCATTAGAAGCATTCCTCTCTTAACCCCCCCCCCCCAACTAACTACCCGCGGCTCACTTCATGTTATCCCAAATATACCCCACTAGCAGACTATTACTGCTAAAATATACTAGGACCTCCTTACCACATAATCAAGTATCAAAAAGTTATTTTTACTTATAATCAATATTTAGAATTAGATCAGCCTAGTTTGTAGTTATACTGTATTAAAGATGTAAACGATAGAAACACAATTCATCAACATGAGATCAAATGACATATACTTAATCTGCAAACTGCTCATGCGCAGCATCCAACAATTTTGAAAAAAGATGTAATTTAAATTCAACCAAAAAGTTCTTAATCATACCAGACTCAATTAGGGATTCAGTGCCCAAATCAAGGATAGACACTGTCTCTCTCTCTCTCACACACACACACACACACTTTTCAACTAAGAATGCGGAAAGAGCATTGCAACAGTAACAATACCTAGCAATGTAATCGATCTCATAACCAAGTTCAGCCTCCTCTTGTAAAGGTTCAATCCATGAGCTGACCAAAGTCCGGTATTTTCTGCTCAATATCATCGCTCGTGGTGGAATTGCTTGCTTATCTTTGGCCATAACTTCCAAAGCTTCAAGCATTTCAACAATCCTTCCTGAATTTAAAAATGACTAAGCTGAGGCAACCATTTGAAACAGCTGTAAAAACATTCAGGCTAAAAATCCTTCCCAAGTTAGTTCTAACTTTCCCTCCTCCTCAACAAACCTTAATATCAGATCAGGAACAGCCAACATAAATTTATATAAGATAGGTACATGATTAATTGTAGAAATCAACTATTGTTTAAGTAAACCACATACTATCCATCTTCACGCTAGGAACTTAGTACCTTTTCTATATGATAGTAGTTATGTTTATTGTCGTTTCTTGATTATCCACATAAACATCAAATGCATAGCCCTACAGTGGAGTATATCCCAAGGTTGAACATAATTTCATAGCCAACCGTCTTACTAAGTAATATAGTCATACCTTCCCGACACAAAGCCCGTAGATACAATGAAAGTGGATCTCCATAGTTCCCTTCATTATGAAGCAAAATTGTGCCACCTTCAAAGTTTTTAAGGGCACGAAAATGCCTGATAGCTTCTCTTACAACGCAGTACTTGGTAAAACATTCCACTAGCAGCCTGAAAAGAAGGTGGTCAATCAGGCTAGAAGAAAAAGTCAAGCTCACAAAATACAGAGACCCGCTTCCAAAGCGAAGTAACTCAGCAGCTCAGCTAATGCATACTTCCCCAGAGACTGCGAGTTATTATTCAGTTCTCTAGAGAGCGCATAAAACTTGTGAGGAACTAAAATTAATGCATGGTAGTCTATCCCCAAAATGACAAAATTTATCAATGGCTACGTTATTATGTGTAAAGCATTTAAAATAACAGTCAACACACACACACACATGAAGATAATGTGTCTTACGCATGGGTCTTAGCATTTGGTTGTATGCGCTTGTGATCTTCAACCATCATGCCAAGCAACTCAGCAACATCTTGCATTCTATGTGTCATACAAAAACAGGGTGATAGAATCAACGTACAATACTAATCAATCCAGTTAAGATTAAATTTAAAGAATCCATGGGGAAGACTGCACATTATTCTGCATAAAATGTGAAAGAGGTAAAATGTGAATAAATTAGCGCATATTTAAGAGAAAATTAAAGGCATTACAGTCTCTTATGTCTTAGTATATAGATAAAGGGGCAGGAAATGGTGTTAAATGATAAGTCTATACAATTCATCCTAGCAAATTTGCTCATACTTCGAGAACCATGTAGGTTGAGGTTGACTAACAATTTCAAGCCATTTGAGAACATAGACCATCATTCATAATAATGATATATGAAAATGAAGTGCATGGGACACACAAGCAGTGAACTAACCTGTCATAAGATTCAGCTCTAGTATATGCTTGAATAACCCAATTGTAGGTGTCCGTGTCAGGCTTCATAAAATCTGTTGCACAAAGATAATCCATTTCACATTGAAAAATATTTGAGAGCATGTTGGAAAAAATCTTTAAATCATTCGAAGCTTGATAAGGAGCATAGCTCTTGAAGACAAGTTTAACACAAGCAACGCACACTATGAAACCAAGATTATACTGGAATGGTTAACAGAATTAATATCAATAAGAAAATATAAGCACCAGAAAAGGGGCATGGAAGAAGTAAAAGAAGACATTGACCTTCTCCATACTCCATATTCTGAAATGTAGCAAAAGCTATTTCAGGTATTCCGCAGGTAGCCTAATTCAGTTAAAGCAGGAGAGGTTACATAAGTTTGGTGCAATATTCATTAATCATAATGTGAAGTAGCCAGGCAAAAATCAAACAGTCTCAATCAGTTTTTCACAGTTAAGTGCAAATTTATTTCAAAAAAAAATAACAGTTGTTTGTGCAAAATATGTGAAAATCAGAAAATGTACCGCAGCCCCGTCTTGTCATCAGAAGAACCACATTAATTACCTTCACGAAGAGTTGTAATAAAAAAGAGAACCACAAATTACAAAGCAAGGATTTGATTGGTAATTTCAGGAACTGGATAAATATATTAATATGGCCCATGAATCAGGGCCAGAATAGTCCCCAAGGGATAATACCTAAGAAGAAAGAACTGCTTGTGCAGCCTGTAGCTGTCCTGACATCTATGACCTACTCAATCTCATCAATGCGGGGGGAAAAAAAAATCAGAACATTGACCACGTTCAGGAAGGGCACCTGCACGCTGAGCAGACAGTTGAAATGAAATGTTGTTGCCATCCTCCCTGCCGCCTCCATCTCATATGCAATTTCTAAGGCATTGGAATGATCCCCCACTTTGCAGTCTTCCTCAATTAGAAGATCATAAACCTTATCAGTAGCTCTCAGGCCTCCTTTGGCACCTTCAAAGAACACTCGGTTGGCATCTTCCAAATGATTGCTCCTAACAAGTTCCTCTGCATGAAATGATAAAGGTCACAAATACCATGTCCAAAACCATGTAAAGAGGCTGTGTTGGATAAATACATCACATAAGTAATTCAGAGGGTTTCGTACCAATAAGCACTATCCATGCTTGACGTATGTCAAAATTTAGATTTTCCATAGCCGCAAGTATTTCTAGACCTCTGGCGGCACGCCCTTTGCACCCAAATAATCTGATCAAGGCCAGAAATGTCTCGTGAACAGGGCGAAGCCCTGCACTCAGCTCTCTTCTCAGCGATTGTATCTGCATGTGCGTAAGGATGTACGTTTTAGCTTCGCAATGGCCCTGGGTTTGAGTTCAAGCCCGAAATCCATCCCCTTTTTTTTTCTTGTCTTGTTCAGTCTTATTATTTTTCGCGAAAAAATACATTTAAGCCAGAGACAGTGTTCACAAAAATGTTACTCGAAACGATCGCACGCATGAATTTGCTTTAACATGCGCATTGCAGGAATTGTGTTCAGCCAAATGATAAAAGAAGGAATACCGCGGCTTCTTCATCGCCGTTGAGGACATGGGAGACTATCAAGCCATGAAAGGACCTGGGACCGGGACTGAGCCCAGCAGCAATCATGTCGTAGATAACCTCAGAGACACCGACGGAGTCGTGGTTCCGGGCCCGGTCCATGAGCTCCTCCATGAAAGTGAAGCGAAGCCCATTCTCAAGCGCGGGGTCGTCATCCTTTAGCTGCCTCTTCCTTCTCGTTCGCTTCTCTGGAGCTGAAACCGCAGCGCGAACAACAACGCTTCGACGAGATAGTCGACTCAATTTGAATGGGAAAGATGTGCAGGGCAAGAGAACAGCGGACATGAGGATAAGAAGTGGGGAGGGTCGGAGGGAGTGATGCTGTGAAACACGGCTAAGGCAGCTGCTGGCCGAGAAAATTCTGATGAGGCAAACAGCGAAGCCTAGCGCCTCCAATCTGATGAAGTGTATCTTCTCTGAAATACCACTAAATAAATAAAACTACCATTTAATATAATATTTAGTATTTTTTATATTATAAGCAGGAGCTGGCGTCGCCTGTATACGCCGCGCCTCGGGTGGGGTGTGATCTGCGTAAACCAAATATATTTATCTTTCGGTTTTTTTCCAACGGGTCCATGTTAAAGTAACGTGAACTTTTTTTTTTTGCCCCTTTTCTGAAAGTAACACGAGACCTCAGTGTTAAGGACGAAGAAAAGTGTCCCAAAAAAAAAAGAAGAAAGGGAAAATTTCAGTTAATGACCGTAGAAGACAATTTATATCAATCAATGGCCAAAATTTTCTGAAATTTTACTGCAGGACCAAGGTACCAAATTAAAATTAAAATTTAGAGTTAGATTACAATAATGCCCCTCCCTTTTTATTTTATTAAAAAATAAATATCAACCGGAGATAATGTTCCGGACATCGGATGTCGGAGGTCCGGCCACCGGCGCTCAGGTGGTTGCCGCCGCCAGTGGCCGGAACAGTAGCTCTGGGCGGCCTCCGGTGGCCAGAATTTTTTAAAGTTATGACTTCAATTATGTTATTTGAGGTTATGACTTGCTCATTTGCACTTAAACACTTGCATTTGAGGTTGACTTCAATTATGTTATTTGTAAATTGCCTAATTTTTATTGTAAATTGCTGAATTCCACTTGTAAATCGTCAAATTTTATTTGTTCACTTACACTCAAACACTTACATTTTGGGTTATGCATTCTCTTGTGTTTGCCAAATTTGGGTTGTAAATCTTCAAATTTCACTTGCTAATTTGCACTTAAACACTTGCATTTGGGATTATGACTTCTATTATGTTATTTGTAGATTGCCTAATTTTTGTTGTAAATTATTGAATTCCACTTGTAAATCGTCTAATTTCACTTGTTCACTTATACGCAAACAGTTGCGTTTGTTTTGTTATATGTATTTTTACTTGCATCTTATGTTTGAATGGGTTGCTTGACTTGGTGATTGCAAACCTTTTGGTGTGCCAAGGGGTCATGGGTTCAAACCCTCCCTTTGCCACTTTGTTTTAAACAAAAAAAAATTCCGGCCACCTGAGCGCCAGTGGCTGGAACAATATCTCCGGTTAATATTTATTTTTTAATAAAATAAAAATGAAGGGGTATTATTGTAATCTCACTTTAAATTTTAATTTCAATTTGGTCCCTTGATCCTGTAGTGAAATTTCAGAAAATTTTGGTCCTTGATTAATATAAATTGTCTTCTGCAATCCTTAACTGAAATTTTTCCAAAAAGAAAAGCACAGTTTGTAAAAAGCTCTTTGTATTATAATAACTTTGTTTCTTAATATAAAAGTTTATTTGACTTTTATTTTGATTCTAAATATAAGACTATAACATATTTTGTCTCTTATATTTATCTAATTTTTTTCAAAGTAGTCCTTGTAATAATATTAATTATAACTAATATACTTGATTATTAAGAATATTTTAGAAAAAGACGACAATTATTTTTTACAAATAACTCACGTAACTAATTTTCTTAATTTACTCAAATTAGTTAACTAACTCTTATATTAAGGACCATAAATAGCATAAAGAAAATATGTCATACATAGTGTTTAGCCAATTAATTAGAGCTTGTAAGGTATTGTATTTGGTCCCAAATATATGATCTGAATCTACTTTGTCCTAAATAAAAGGGTTTCATTGTAATGCACATGATTAACAAAAGTATTTTTAAAAAAATAATATATATTTATGATAAATAACTAATCTACCTAATTTTTTAATATTCACAAATTAGTTATCCATAGCTTTTATATTAATAACCAAGGTAATTTGATATTCTAATTGTTATTATTCAGGGGGGAAAATGCTTCTATTGTTATTATGATTATGGAATATCGTCAATATTAGAATAGAATGTAAAAGACACATGCCACTTCTCAAAATGCAAGAGAAGAGAAACCAGTCAATTAAACATTTTTGGATTGACTGGAAGAGAAAAGCTATTAATTGCTCTTAGTTGATTATATTTTTTGCAGAATTGGAAGATGCATGTATAACGAACGAAGGTGTGTTTCCTTTGTCAGATATGCCTAGAATTAGCTGTGGGTTGGAAACACTCTCCCACATGAGGGAACCAATTTCGGTGCTCATCACTTTGATGAGCACTCCAAAATCATCAAATCTAAACTGTTTATGTCTCATTTTGATGGTCCAGATCTTATTTATTTTTTATTTTTTATTTATTTAAAATAATTATTTTAATACGTATAGAATTTAAAATAGAGATAATTTCTTAACTATCATTCTTTAAAAAAATACTCCTCCGGTCCTTAATATAAGACCCATTTAACTAATTTGATTAGATTAAGGAAGTTAGGTAAGTTAGTTAATTATAAAAAAAGTGACACATTTTTCCTAAAACACCATAATCATCTTTTTTAATACCTCATCTCCTTCTTCTATTTGATTATAGTTGAGGGAGTGTCTATAGGGGTAATTTAGAGAAAATTGATAAATATGAAAAATGGGTCTTATATTTAGGACCAAAACCAACTCAAGAATTGGGTCCTATATTAAGGACCGGAGGAGTATTTTTTTATTTAGAAATAATTAATTAAAGATTTTAAATCTAGACAATTCAAATAAGATATAAACGGTTCAGATTTGATGAGCTTATGGTGCTCATCAAAGTGATGAGCATCGAAACTAGTTTCCCCACCATGAGATAATTGAACTGCCAACGAAGAAACACTCTAACACCAACAACCCCCCCCCCCCAAAAAAAAACATAACATTTGCCATGGGAGGTGGAAGTGGTCATTGCTGCTGCAGATACTACCCGAATTAGGTGGAATATGGATACAACGTGGAAATTAGGTCCCTCAACGCTGTAAACCCCTTATGCGTGTGGGCATTGTCACCCAGGCGCATGTAGGATAGTATATCTTGCATGTTCCGAGAAATTACTGCCTTGCAGATTTTAAGTTCCTAGCTACATGGATGTTTTCTACTGCATGTTAGGAGTACAAGCAAAGGTGTCTCAAAAGCTAGCTTGTAATACGAGAGGGCCTCTCAAACCTGTAAGTGGTCTCATTCCTCATTCAGTCATGCAATAGTTCGTAACACGTGGGAGTTATTGGGAGTCGTAACAATGCGCGTTCATTCAAGGGCTAGGCCGATGTTTACCGGCTGCAGCTCGCTTTACATGTGTGAGTATGTATAAACCGGAATCACTTTTAGCATCCATCACATTACATTGAAGAACACTTTAAACCTATTAGACCTTAATCATCCATATCTCATGATTGAATGGTTTGGATTTGATTTTTTTTATTTATTAGAAATAATTATTTTAATATTTATAAAATCTAAAATAGAGATAATCTCTTAACTATTATTTTTTTAAAAAATATTTTTTTTTATTTTAACAATAATTAATTAAAGATTTTAAATCTAGACCATTCAAGTGAAATATAAATGGTTCAGATCTGATAAGTTTAAAATGCCCATCAAAGTGACGGGCACTGAAATTCGTTCCATATAAATATAAATGGATAACTCATTTTGAAAAGCTAAATAACATGGACTTATATAAGCTGATCTATCTTCTTGCTATCACCTAACAACCAGGCCAATTAAAATAGTACATCCATTCCAGGAGTATACATGTTAATAGAATAACCAATTGATTGGTGACTGATATATTTAATTCCACAGCACTGAAACACAACATCTAGATAGAGAACTAGATCAATCGGGTTCCGAAAGGGTTCATGCATTGCAGGCATTAAACGAAAACATATAATTGGATTGGATTCTTAAAAATTTATACACGCAGGCGCAGGCGTGCACGTAATGATAAAAATTTAGCGGCATGCGTGATTATGCAATTGAAGAGATTAAGTGGAATGTGTGCAATGGATCAGGGGATTATGCATCCAAAGCCAAGACGGTGGAGAGGTTGAAAGGGTTCATGTATGCAGCAGAACCGGTCATGATCTGCTGCACAATGAGTCTGTTGGCCTTTTCGGAGGGGTGGAATGGATCCCAAAACGCATACAAGCTGCGGTCGGGGCACAAGTTGGAGAGTGGCGTGCATAACCCTAGCCCATTGTAGGGTCCTTGACCACAGCAAGCTACTTTAGAGGTGGTAAACCCTGTACGTACGTGCCCAGCCAAAATAAATTCATTAGTTCACCCTAGCTAATTAACGACAATACAATATAATGGACGAGTACGCATAAAGGAATATACGTACCAAATGCTGCAGGGTTGGAAACGAAGTCGCTGTGCATTCGAGCTGTGTTGGCGGCGATGAAGACGCGTCTTCCAAGCTTGCTATTGAGTCCTTGCAGCATATGCTCGAGCTGAGGGTTGTACAATGCAGCAGCTCGTTGTAGCTCCGCAGAACAACCACCATTGGTGGATCGCATTGCCAGTTCTGCTGGAACGCAGCCCAGCGGTCCGGTGCCCGTCACTATAACCCTGCGTGCTCCCAGATCGTAAAGCCTCTGATCCACATCCACTCATTAGTCATTAGCCGTTAATTAATGAAATGTTAAACTGAATAAATTAATTAAACAGATGCGTGCGTGGGCATATCCTAATTCTTACCTGCAGGAGTTTGCGAAACTCCACGATTAGAAACTTGACGTAATTAGGCAGAGAAAACTGGCGGGACCTCGCAGAATAAGGCACCAGGTAGTAGTTGTTCACAAAATCATTGCCGCCGACGGTGACGAGCACCAATGCCTGGTTCACCAGCGTTCTTGCTCGCGCCGCTCCAATCAGTGCGCCCAGTCGTCCCTGGTATTCTCGGAAGTAGTCCAGCTGTCTATACATTCTTATTATGTTCAGCTGCAAAATATTAATTTATCCATTTAATCTGGCAATTGATGATATATAAAATGATAAGATTGAGTTAAATAAATAAAAGACACCTACAAACTGGGCACCAGTGTCGTTGAGGATGCCAATTCCAGCAGAAGCAAAGTTGGCACCCACTAGGAGTTTGTCCCCCCGCAGCTGGGGGCTCAAGTAAGGCAGAGCAGACTCGGCGCCGAGCTTCTGGCCTGGTTCATCAAAATGGCGGCAAAATACATACTCCCAAGTTATAATGAGGAAGAAAAATTAAGAAGGGCGTACGTAAGTGGAAAAATGAAAGGAAACAAGAGGGCGGGGGCGGAGTCAAACTGATAAGATCAGGGATGTTGAAGCCGTTGGAGAAACGGCCAGTGGGCCTGCGAGTGGGATAGTCGATTCCATAAGGAGGGGAGTCAGCACGCGCGGAGGTTGCCAAGTAATTGTTGTTGCCGGCGTCAACAAGTGAATCTCCAAACACAAAGAACGCCCTGGGCCTTTGCCTCTGCCTGGGCCTGGGCCTGCCCACCGCTGTACCCATTGCCAACACCACCACCAAGCACATCAAATTCAAACTCCACCGCTTCCTTCCCATGGGCGCAGTTCTCACTTCGTTCTCTCGCCTGAATGTGTTGTATGCGTCCGGGATTGGCAGCCTTTTTTATAGTCCCCCCACCCAACCCCCCATCATCATTCCACTAATCTCGTCCCCTCACTTTTAGGTGCTCATCACTTCTATTGGATGGAACCGTGTGATACCAAGCTTCGTTTTGGCCGTGCATGTGATGCGCGTAAATGAGATGGGTAGCTTTAATTTGATATTTGATCTCATCTTCGTGAAGTGAAGCTATTGCAACCGCGTCTTTATTAACCCCTCCCCCTCAACCGCCCTACAAATACGTACCGAAATTCCAGAGGCGGCAAAGCTGCAGCATGCTGCGCTGTAAATATATTTACATATATAGCAAATTAAATTAACCCACCTATACTTGTTTCTTACGCTACTTGACGGCGCAGTAGGGTAGGATGCGATCATTATTCTGGAAAGCTGGAGCTAAGTCTGCGGTGCAGCGCACCTCCCTCCTTGATTCAATTATATGAGGCCTACGCCTCTTCTTTTATAATTCAAGTGGCAGCTGCATCCATGCTTGTTTTACCGCCGCTTTATTTCACAGATCATCGTCTAGTTCTCCAACTGCCACTGCTTATTGTTGATTACCCATAAAATATCACACGCCAGACTCCAAACTAAGGCTAACAGAATTAACTACATACACGCGCTTTCTCTAGATCGATCGCAACCCTTTTTCGGTGATTAACTTCAAAATCCCGGCGTGTCTTGTCCGGTCCAAATCATTCTCATATGGAAGCGTAATAATCTTTGAATAGTAAAATTCTTAAATATGTCCAAACCTGTATAACTCTGATATTGGCTCAGGTGCTGTAAATTTGACTGCTTCAGAAACAATTAGTTCAGTCTATTTTCAGATCGAACACTTCGAAATCAAGTTTCTTCCAGGCTGTACAGACATCTTCCAGGCTTATGAAGAATAATAGTGAATGAAAATTAGAAACACGATATAGTTTTTTTTTTTTTTTTAAGCAAACTACGAAATCCATTTTTAAAAAAATTCACCGCTCATGCAACAAAAGATACTCACACTTTAATTTCGTTTATATGTTCATGACTTTTATTCTATTAAAAAAAGAATTTTAAAATTTATTAGTTCAGTTCAGTATTATTTTAACCCAAAAAAAAAGTGAGTTGATCATATTTAAGAGCTCACCAAAACTGGGCAAGCCATTAAAAGAGGATTTATTAAAACATCTATAAATTGTCTACCAATAATATTTCATAATAACAATGAGAGATTTACACTAAGTATCATTAATTACCAGTCAAGTGCCTGTAAACTGATGTATCAATTGCCGAGTCCCCATTCGGTGCTCATCAGGTGATGAGCACCCAATACTCATCACCTGATAAGCAATCTGAAAGATCCAGATTAGATATTATTAAATAATTATTTTAAAATAGAAAAAATTATATTTTTAAAAAATAATAGTTGAAAGATTATTTTTATTTTTTATCATACACCTATTAAAATAATTATTTTAAAAAAATAAAAATAAAAAAAATAAATCTAGACCGTTCAAATCTGTCCAAATCTGACAAGTATTGGATGCTCATCAAAACTGATGAGCACCAATGTAAATCCATCAATTGCCAGGCCAATATTGGTTGATATATAGTTTAGTGTTTTCCACTCGAAATCGATCGGACTCTTGTCTCTAATATGTGATTCACGTACGATGAGACGTGAGAAAAGAAAATTAAGCAGATCACGAGATTACATGGGATTCAGTAAAATCAATAAAATGCGTGGATAAATATCGAAGTGAGGCAAATATATATATATATGTATATAAATATCGAAGGAGTGAAAAACATTGCTCATAGTTCAACAAAAATTATACTGCTCATGACTTGTACGAATAATATTAGTCATTATAACTCTAGTTTATTGGTATTGATTATTTTTTCGCATTAAAATTAAAAAATAATAATAATAAAAGTATTTACTCTATCTGTAATTATACAGATGCTAAAAATTTAAATTTAATAAACCACACTACTTGCAAGATTATAGTAAGCTTCGTTTTAGAAGATATACACAACGGGAATTTTTTTAAAAAATTGATTTCTACCTTTTAATTTAATCTTTATTCTACGTTGTTGCAAGACTTAAAGACAGTCTTTCAAGCTTCTTTTTTTTGTTGCTGTTGTTTCGTTCCCATTATTTAATTATGAGATTAAACTCCTGATCATTACCCCCAGGTCTGATTTGATCATCCAAGCTAATCTCAAGCGGCTTGTTTATCTTTCTCCCTTACGTTGTACATGGTCAAACAGAACTAAATTCGGAGTTGGCACAAAAAGAGAAAAAGGTGTTTGATCAGGGCAGAAGCACGTTTAATATTTTTACATATGCCTGGCATCACTTCTGATCAATTTAGAAGTATGGGATCACGTTTGTTGGGAAACTCTGGAGCGGGGTTTTAATGTTGCTCAAGGGGGGTTAAAACCGCGTGGCGTTGCTTAATTAGGATAAAAGATTTGATTTCATCGGTGAAAAAACACTTGGATTATTATGCTGCAATTAGAGTCTCTCAGCGCTTTGATCTCAGGTGAAACGGTGGGTAGCAGAGATGGTCGAAAGAAGCGGTTTTGAACAGCGCACGCAAGACGACAAGTTCTAAATTCTAATCGAAGAAAAGACTGAGCGTTGTAAGTGGACATTGCCGACACAGCACGCACTTGCTGGCCCTGATAGCGAATGTTGTTTCTCTCCGGAATATAATGGTCCGAATATGATGATATTCTCATACGAGGCGGCCATATATACATGCATACGTGACGGACGCGCATGAGTATTTCAAAGATAAATATCTTTCCTGGGTCTTCACATGATAAATTGGGGAAGGCACTGAATGGGAAAAAAAAGTATAATGATTTATTTGGCAGTTTTAGATATGTAGAGAGGAACACAACAAGATTGAGAGAGATCACACATATTGCAGTACACATATGGATATGGAGAGTATAGGCGGCAGGTAACACTAATGAGAAAATGAAGACGTAATAATAATAATTAAATAGGAATTCGCATTGGCCGGGGAGATTAATTGAGGGAGGAAGCCAGAGCGCGATCCAAGGCCAAGGCGGTGCTGAGATTCATGGGGTACATATACTCGGTGGGGCCGCTCATGATCTGCTGCACAATCAAGCCGTTGGCCCTCTCCGATGGGTGGAAGGGGTCCCAGAAGGCGTAGACGTCCCTGTTGGGACACAGGTTGGATGCCACCGTGCACAATCCCAGCCCATTATAGGGCCCTTGACCGCAGCACGCCACTTTCGATGTTATAAATCCTGCACCCAACCAAATATCAATCATATCATACGCCCTTTCATCGTCCCATCTCATCTGCCCATTTCTCTCACTTCCTGTCAATCAAATTCCCCGCTCCTTTCGTTCTTTCGTCTATTGATTCCCATCACGTCACTGCTCTGCTCGCCTCTCCTTCCTTCATTAATACTCTCAACTCCCCTTTCCCCTCCTCCACATTACTATTAATCGATCACTCCTCCATTTTGTCATGTCCTGGATATCTTATCAAGCTGGCTCTTAGCTAGCCTATATCTAGATTCTAGCCACAGCCTGTCATTTCAAACTCTTATCCGCCATCACCGTGCCCTCACAATATTTCTCAACCCACTCGCTTTATAGTAACTTCTGGTGACTGGTGTAACTGGTATTTTAATATTAAAATCCAACCTAACCAAATTAAAAGATTTTCTAATATTCCACGCATATCTACCCTACAGTATTAATCAAGACCTGGTCATGACGTGACATGCCCAACAATAATGCAGAAAGTGGGAGTGAGTGATGAGTAATATTACCGAAGGCTCTGGGATTAGAGACGAAATCATTGCTCATTTGCCGGGTGTTGGCGCCGATGAAGACGTCGGAACCGACCTCGCTGTTAAGCTGAGCCAGCATCTGAACAAGCTGAGGGTTAAACAGTGAGCCCGCCCTTTGCAGCTCCTCCGAGCATTCCCCGTTCCTGCCTCGCATCGCTAATTCCGCCGGCACACACCCCAGCGGCCCCGTCCCCGTCACCAGCACCCTCCGCGGTCCCAGATCATATAGCCTCTGCACTCCATCCCCATTTTTAGTTTTTCTCAGTAAAATAACATTATATTTCCAGTTTCTTTCCTATGTTACGTGCGCCTTTTAATTAATTCTTGTTGTACGTGCATGTCTGTGTGTACATACATAAACTACATCACAGGCTTATCCGTATGTATAAATATTTAAACTTTCAGAAAATACGCAAATCAAACACACACGTGGGGCAGAGTTAAAAAACCACGATAGAGAGTATAATAATAATAAGTCCTATGCAACATATAGTATTTATGAATAATAAATAATGATGTAATTCAGTTTTCAAATTATATAATAAAATCCATAATTATTAGTTGATTTATTTACAGTTTAATAACAAAGGGCGTAATATACTTCAAACTTCGTTATACTGATGAACACCTACGCACGGCTATAACTGAGCAGACGTGAACAGAACAGCGCATTAGGAAGACAACTAACCCTGAGGATCTTCTTGTATTCAGAGATTAAATACTTGACGTAGTCGGGCAGGGCGAACTGGCGGGATCTGGCAGAGAAAGGGACCAGGTAGTAGTTATTCACAAAGTCGTTGCCTCCCAGAGTGATAAGGACAAGTGATCCAGTGACTAAACGCTGCGCCCGCTCCTTCCCAACCAGGGCGCTCAGCCTTCGCTGGTACTCCTGGAAGTACTCTAGCTGCCTGTATATTCTTATTATGTTCACCTGTTGCCCACAACATGCATATCAATTACAGCGACAAGTTGATTACAAACGTATAACTGTGTATGACCGAAAACTGATATATTCACTTACGAACTGTATTCCAGTGTCGTTGAGGATGCCGATTCCAGCAGAAGCAAAGTTGGCGCCCACAAGCAGTCTTTGTCCGGTGAGCTCTGGGCTTAAATACGGCAACGTGGATTCTGCTCCAAGCTCCCGACCTGCAGCAGTGAAAATTAATCAGTTAATACGAAGGAAGCAACAACGGTACGTACGTGAGCATGTACGCTATAAATTAAATGAATGAGGGGCGGGATGTGCGTAACCCAACTGATAAAGTCAGGAATGTTGAGGCCATTGGAGAAACGGCCGGTGGGTCTGCGAGTGGGATAATCAATGCCGTAAGGCGGAGAGTCAGCTCGAGCCGAGGTGGCCAAGTAGTTGTTGTTGCCATTGTCCACCAGTGAGTCCCCAAACACGAAGAATGCTCGGGCTGCGTCTGCCCCTCTCATCCCACTACTCGCCACTGCCATCACTAGACTCACCACACCCCAAGCCCACCACCTCCACCCCCCTGAACTGCCCATGGATATTTTGATATTATGAGTAAAAGCTAACTAAAGTGCTGTATATGAGCTCCCCCTGTACTCACCAAAAATCAACTCTAATTTCATGCCTCACTCCATGTATAGCAGCGAGCCTTATATAGTTTCCACAAATGCGAATGGCCCACGTTGCGAAAGCAGATTAGCACAGGGGTAGTTGCGTATATTGGAAATAAAGGTCCCTCGTCTGACCCCGTCACTTCACTCCTTCGACGCGTAATTCAGTTGGTTGGTTCCTGTCATCTTCTCCCCATCTATCTCTACTTTTACGATATCCAACAAGGAGCGTGGCATTTTGTTCCGCACTCGTGAATCTGAATGCACGTTTTACTCTTTATGAACAAGGCATTAATATCACCCCGTCTCCGCTTTGCCTATATAATTTTTGCCAGTATAAATATGTGCGCGCGCGTGTATCCTGAAACATGCATCCAGTTGTATTGAGTTTACAGCATCTAACGTATCTCTTTTTAATGTCATGTATCGTATTAATTCTAAATATTTTTCTTGCTTCTTTTGTTCAGTTTTGAATTTATTTATGTTTTTTAAGAAATAAATCAAAACCATACGATATTAGAGTTTTTTTTTACCCCTTGAAGAATCAAGATATCACTACTTTTATTTAAAGAACAAACATCTGAAAATTAAGTGGAGACTTTAATTACTGACTGCATGTATTAATTAGAAAGTGTAAGAGATAGTCATATTAGAGGCTCAGGCCGAGCTGTATTATTTTAAGTGCTTACGAAGACCTTGGGTGCAATTATTTGCAGCGGCAGTTGGTATATGAGGTTAATTAGTTCAATTGACCCAAAAAAAAGCTTGCCCGGTGGAATGAATTATATATGCCGGTCGCATCTTTTACTTGTATAATTCAAACTAGTGAATGCCGTATAAAAAATATGCAATTTCAATCTCGCTTCATCGGATACAGATGTACGCGTAATAAGACATGCGAATGCATTATAATAACAAAACTGTGCTCTTGTACGTCGTTCAGTGCAATGTAAAATGCGCTCTTAACTTGATGCGAAGACTGTAGATTGCTTGCCCGTCGATCCCCTTATCTTAAAAAATGTGGAAGTCGGTTAGAGATCGCAAAATTCATCTTCCTGCCGCGTTTAGACTTTGGTTAGCCTCTGGATTAATTCACAGACGACACTTAGCGTCCGGATCAGGGGTCGTGTGTGTCGGGTAATTTTATCTTTCTTAATGAGAATTTGGCACAGTCAAGCTCTGTCTTGACTCTATATATATACACACACTGAGCTGAATGTTTAATGGCCTTAATATCCAGAGCTGGCCATTTTTCACGGCCTCACGCATCACCACCCGGAAATTAACCGGGGCGTGCTACAATCGCGTTATTATTAATGCGAGCTGACCCAGCTAATTAATGTCCAATGGGAGCCATTCATCTCCATCTATCTTCCAGTATACCATACAAAAGTCTACCGCTTACCCCCGGCTGAGGTTGACCGGTCAAGTTTCTTAAAAATAATTTTACGGGCATGGGTATATATACACGGATGCAATCAGAGCAGCCAAGAGAACAGAGATATACACGTTAATTAAAAGAAAAAACTTTTGAACTTTGTGGTTCAAGATTTCTATCTCAGCATATATGATATAAAACTTGCAACAAAGTCGTGCAATTTAGAGATCGTCCTAAACAATGTAATCTAATTTATTTTAAAACCGTGCAATGCGGAAAGTAAAAACGTATAATTTTAAATGTAAATTGAAATACAGTGTTAAGTTCACTTGCGTATCAGCTGGTCTCCCCAAATCGGTAGCTAATTCAGATGCGACCAGAGAGTTGCCAGGAAGCGACTTGCAGGGCCATGTCCGGTCATGGCTACGGTTCAGTGCAGGTGAAAGATCAGAGAAGCAAACAAATTGATTTCCTCGTGCATGTGTTGGCTCTCCCACAAGCTTGTCCCGTGAATTCTTCTATATTTTTGCGTTTTTTGGCACCCCTCTTTTTCCATGCTAAACAAGAAATTAAAAAAGAGCGACATATTGCCGGCGGCAGGTAGGAGGGGTAAATGGGCTCCCGATGAAATGCATTATTGTCGGATACGGTATATTTGAATTTCTAACTTTGAGGGGACCGGGTGCTTCAAGAATTGAACCACAGTGATTTGTGCACAGAAAATACAGTAAGAGTGGAGGTTGGGCGCTAATTATTGGAAGACGAGGAGCGATGAAAATGGAGAAAATAAAGATAATATGGGGCCATATTGTGCATGGTAATAGGAGATCAAGGAAAAGTAGCCCAGGGATGTCTAGATTTAATAACGCCAACCACTCTACACCTATTTCATTGACATAATATAAATAATTTGGCGGGAGAAATGGCCGGTTCAACTAACCCCACAAACTGCTGGTTTGATTCGATTCCCCCTCTTTTCTTCAACCTAACTGTGAGGCTATTCAATTCCTGACAAGCTTGCAAGTCATTACTTGAGCTTAAAATCACTCTCCATCACACACACACACACACACACACACGCAACTCACGGTCTTTATGTACCGCTCCTGCGTCCCAACACCCCCGCTAATAAAACACACACCAAATTACATACCGTCTACGCTCTCTTATTCCTTTTATCGTCAGCTTCAATTTTTTGAACTTGGTTGGTCCTTTGGAAGATTTTTTTATTAACTATACGTGCCTCTCATATCTTTTTTCCAGCTCATTCTCTCTCTTTTTTTTCCCGCTCATTTATATTATCTCTCCCACAAAAAGTGATATGAAAAAACTAATTAAGTTGCATATTTTAATTTGCCGTGCTCTGTTGGATTCATGAGCGCGATATATGGGCTTTTTTTTAGGACGAGTTTAATGGGGAGAGGATGAGTAGATAGGGAGTGCAGGCAGCAACGTAACGCATTTGGAGGCCGAGTTATGAGAGAATTAATGAACGAATTGTGCCGCCTCCTAAATCTGGTTCGCTCTTAAATGCAACCCCCTTCGCCCCTGGATTCATCTTCCAGCTTCAATGCCCCTACCCCCACTCATGCTACGTACAGTATTTGGGTGCTATCAGCATACTATACCTACCTACGGTCATGCCATCTCTTTTATACGTATAAATTCAATGCGTTAATATATTCTTTTGATTATTTTCCCCGCTGCAGCTTTTGTTTTCTAATTTGAAGTTTGCTCTCACTCGTTTCAACAAACCTTTTGAAATAATGACGGCACACTTGACTCCCCGTGTTCCAACCTTTCCCTATCCGAACTTGGTCGCCCACATCGTGCTGATTCACGGCAACAAGAACGAATTCATTTGCATCCTCTTGGCTCCTCAAAGCAGCTTGTACATGTGAAATTAAAAGATATACATAACACGTAATTTTCATGGCTGTGGTCCTGTGGAAGTCTAGATATTTGGCGTGCGCAAAAACAAGAAATGAGACGTACTGATTGTTCTGAGGAGATGTGTGAGGAAAGGGTTACGAGATGGTGAAGATGGCACCAATCACGTATGTTATCAAGTTTCCATCAATCTAGATGTATAATTAAGAGGATCCAGTAGTTTGAAATCCATATGTACAAAACTTGAGAGCTAAAATGACTCCGCTTATTTGTCTTGGCACTCCTGGATCCCGAAAGCGCCCCTCTCTTCGCCCACAACTCTGAAGTCTCCACGTCCGCCTCGTTGTGTGGGCCTCGCCCCAGCATGCTCTCTTCCCCCATACAAATCCATCATTCGTTAGTCATCACCCTTTCTCCTCTGGCCGAAATGAGTTTTAACGCTTATTGAAGTGATCATATTTATCAAATTTCAATAGTTCAAATTTGATATGAATGACCGATATTTGATATTTTTGTTTTTCAAAAAATGTTTTCCTTTTAATAGTTACATAGTTCAAAATAAATGCAATTTCTCAATTGTAACATTTTAAAAAAATATTTAATTATTTGAAAATTTTGAATTTATGCCATTAAAACTGATTCTGAATGGTTTATATCTCTTTATAATGGTGAGTATTAAAACTGGTTCTCTCGCTTAACTTATGATCCCCTTCTAGTTATTCCACTATTATCATTATTACTCTCTTCATGTAATATTATACTTGATTACACCATAATTATAATAATCAAAATGTAATACCATAATATAATTAAGCACGTCTCACCTCCAATCCTCCCAACCCAGAAGAATTATTAAATACCTGCGAGCGTCTTTTAAAATTTAAAAACAGTTCAAATGTACTTAACTACCAGCTTTCCTCTCTTGCAGTGATAGAGTCTGATGTTTAATTAAGGCATGCTTTTTTATGGCTTTTTTGATGTTTTATAAGTGAACAAATGATTTAAATGGGCAGTGTATATCGAAGGCAGTTGAAGATTGCCGAGCAGCTGTCACTGTCCTTAATTAATTGGGTAAAATCTACTAAAGCATTTCCTCAAGCACCCTGTGAGCGCAGATGAACAGAGGAAGATAAAGTACATCGAAGCACAATCTATCGATCTATCTGTTATTCTAAATTTGGTCAGACATGTGATGAGAAACACCATTATATTTGTGCATCAATTACATTTACCTGAAATGACATGAATCAAATCTAAAAGGTCGTGCTGCATTTTAAGTCGACAGTATCGCAAACACTATTTGCTATTATGTATATGACAAAAGACATCAGTTGCGAGAATTCATTATTTTTTCACATACCTTCCCCGTCATATTTCTTAACGGAGCATGATGACGAGTAAATATTTCTGAATAATAATATAAATAAGATAACAAGTACATAATACAAAAAGCACACACTTGAAAAATATGAATTAATTATATAATTAGAAATCATATACCTATAAAATTCTTCGTTTTCGCAAAAGACATACCTATGACATTTAATTAACATTTAAAATGTTGGAAGAGCATAAATATAAATCTCTTCACTTAAAATGTGAGGACGACATGGTTCGTTCTGGTCACTCATGGGCCGATCGAAAGAGGCTAGATCTTGGGCAATCTTCTCCAGGCTTATTCCCCACCAAGGTCCAGGCCTCCTTAGGACTCAGAAGCCCGTTGAGCCCACTGACGCCCAAACCGTCTCGTCTCCTCCCCCTCCTTCGCTGGCTCTTAAAGGAAAACATCTTCAGTGCAGTCCGAGGCTCAGCTTGTCAGCTGCTTCTGCTAAAACCCTAATCATCCCTCCGATAAACTGAATTACTGTGCATGAGGACTTCCTTTTTTACCCTCTGATTAACGCATCCTCTGGGATTTCCATACCTTCCCGTTTTCTAATGGCGGACTCATTAGATGCTCTTATTTCTATTGCCGAATTTGTTTCAACTGCGTCCACCACCAAACGGGTTCGGATATTCCGTGATGAAATCCCATCGATTTTGAATAACTTAGGTCAGTGGCCACGTCTCTACATCTGACATGCCATTTGCAGTTGTCCAGTGAAGTCTTTTTCTGTACCATTTCGGACATCCTGGAATGGATTTGCATACATTTTCCCCTTACTTGATCAAGTGAACTGATATGAGTGCTTATTGCAATTTATACTGTTCATAGATATGCCGAGAAATGGAAGTGTGATGCACCCGTCCCCTTACATTCTGCATATACAAATCTAACCTTGTGTCCACTGCTTATTTTAAACCAACTGGGAATCATGTCTGATTAAGATAAGTGGTCCTGACAACTTACTCTTCCACTACCGGGATAATGTGGGAATGTTTCATAATCGATACGGTTCAGTGGCTGATTCGAGGGGGACAAAAACACCTACAAAATTTACTGTTATCTGTAATTTTGCGTCCCCACCTAAAAAAGGCCCTGAAATATTTTTCTTGCAGGTTTTAACCGGAAAAACTACTCTTTAGTTGTAAAAGCTTGAATTTTGTTATAATTAAAGGCTGACAGTCTAGTTTCTTGCAGTTTTCAAGTAATAGAAACATTACCGAAAATTCTTTTAGAGTTTCTACCACAAAAGTAGGATAGTAAATAATGCACACACATCGTCTCCTGTAAAGATAATAAATATGCCTTCACACACCTCACACGTCTTTTTGTGGTACAGCCTTAGTATTAGAAGGAAAAAAAGAAGCGAGTAAAATAATTTAAATTTTGAAATAACGCATTACCCTGGATACAGGTGGATCAGGGGAGTGATTGGAAATTTTATTTTATTACATACAATTTTTTGCTGCTATCCAACAGCTGACGTTGATTTTTTATGCAGATATATGAGTGAGCCTCTACAGTGATACGTAGCTTTGCTCTGCTGTATATGTAATTTTCGGGTCATGTTATCATTTTTAATTTCTGACCCTCAAAATATTTGAATCCGGGATCCGACCTGGATGGGGTTGCAGTGTTGGGATTATTGAAAATTCTTGCAAAGTATAGGTTCTATGTTTATTTCTCTTGCTGCAGAGTAGGGGAAGACGAATGAAATTTGGGAAGCTGAATAACCTGTTAATACTAATTAGATATCTTACTGTACAGTAAATGCTGCCTGCAGCATTTTTTTCTTCGATCAAACTGTCACATACTGCATATATCTTATGCGAAGCTAAACATCATTTCATAAGCAGAATTTTCTTGTGATATCTCAACAGTCACTTTGAATTTTTAACTATGCAGAAATGTCTCTAGACGTGGCATCATTCTTGACAGATGTAATCTTTAGAACAGTTCTGATTTATGATGATCGTGGATCAAGGAAAGCTGTTGATGATGTGATTGTAAAAGCTTTAGGTGAAACAGTGTTCATGAAAACTTTTGCTGCGGCCCTTGTTCAGAATATGGAGAAGCAGTCGAAGTTTCAATCACATGTAGGCTGCTACAGACTGCTCAGTTGGTCATGCCTTCTTCTAAGTAATAGCCAGTTTGCTGCTGTTTCGAAGAATGCTTTGTGTAGAGTAGCTGTAGCCCAAGCTTCATTACTGAAGGTTGCCATGCAAAGATCATTCCGTGAGCAAAGGGCTTGCAAGAGGAAGTTTTTCCATTTGTTTTCTCAGGTTCAGCTACCTTTATCATTTTAAAGAAAATAACACTGTTCTGCTCCTTTTGGATTATCATCATCATTTGTTCTATTACAATGCATAGAAGTTGATAGAACATAACGTGACTCCTCATATATTTCCAGATGCCTAATATTTATGAAGTCTACATAGAAGAATTGAAGGGTGCTCGGATCCCATTCAAGGACAGTCCTGAATTATTATTGTTGTTACTCGAGTTCTCTATCCAATTTCCATCTTTATTTGGAGAATTTAAGGTGAGATTCTTTGATAACTTCTGTATGTGTTTGACATAAAATGTCCATTTCCGTCTCCTAAATTTCTAATGTATTTGTTTGCTTGTCACAGTCAGCCTTTCTTGATATATATGTTCAAGCAATACTTAATGCAAAAGAAAAGCCAACAATAGTCTTATTGAAGCATTTTCTCCCCTTTATTCACAAATGTCACACGAAGATTTTCAAAATATTGTGGTCCCATCCTCTGTTAAAATGCTGAAGCGAAACCCAGAGATTGTGTTGGAATCCGTTGGAATTCTTTTGAAGTCTGTTACACTTGATTTGAGCAAGTACGCTATGGAGATTCTTTTAGTGGTATTAGCACAGGCCAGGCATGCTGATGAAGGGAGGCGGAATGGAGCATTAGCTATAGTCAAGAGTTTGAGCCGGAAGTCTAGCAACCCAGATGCTTTAGAAGCGATGTTTAATGCTGTCAAAGCTGTTATTAAGGGTATATATTAACCTAATGCCTATGTTTTATGATTCCCCTGAAACCATTTGGAATAACTTGTTCTTGCTCTTATTGATTAGCTGTGCTACTTATGCGTTTTAAATATATTTTGATTTGATCTTATGTGTTCAATAGGCTCAGAAGGAAGATTAGCTTTTCCATATCAGCGAGTAGGGATGGTGAATGCAATCCAAGAACTATCTTATTCAGCAGATGGGAGACACCTCATCAGCCTGTCACGTGCAATATGCAGTTTTCTTTTATCGTACTACAAGGATGATGGTATAGCTCTAATTCCCCCTGTCATATTCATGAAAACAATTCAGTTGGTTTTTCACATTGACATCTAAACTAATTTGAACTCTGCTGGCATAAGACTTTAAGAGGCGGATTGCCAATCGCTTGTGCAACCTCCATAGTTCTTCTTCATATCTGGTATTACTTTTTCTTAATTAAATTCTTTCTGTTGATTGCTAACTCGTGCCCAAAACCTTGAGTCACAGGAAATGAGGAGGTAAAAATTGCAATTTTGTCAGCTTTAGCTTCTTGGGCTGTTAGATCTGTAGATTCGATTGAGGATGGTACGGTTGCCTTTTTTGTTTCTGGTCTCAAAGAGAAGGAGCCATTAAGAAGGGCATTTCTACGTTGTCTGCATGCTGTTTGCATAAATGCAGATGCTGCCACGAAGGTGTTTGATCATGTCATCAGCTAAAACTCTGTTTGCCAATTTAATCTAATATCCAGTTTGTACAGTATAACGTTTGACATTCAAATTTGAACTGCATATGTAGCAGATGTCATCTTTGCTGGGACCTCTTGTCCAGCTTGTAAAATCTGGTTTCACTAAGGCAGTGCAGCGATTGGATGGAATATATGCATTGCTATTAGTTGGGAAGATAGCTGCGGTTGATATTAAAGCTGGTTAGTATGACTGAAGCCCTAAGTCCCCCCCCCCCCCCAAAAAAAAAAATTGCAGCTGAATTGGAGAATTGGTTTTATTTACCTTCATTTCTGTTATTTTAAATTTTCATTTATTGATTTGATCTTTATTTTCCCAGAGGAAACATTGGTGAAGGAAAAGCTATGGTCTCTGATATCGCAGAATGAGCCTTCTCTCATACCAATTTCCATGGTGGCTACAGTGTTACAAATTTTTTATTGCCTATTATACTGGTTCTGTTCTAGACCTATCTGACAAGTTGCTCCGCAGGCTTCAAAGCTGTCAGTTGAGGATTGCGTGGTGTGCGTTGAACTTCTGGGGATATTACTTATGGAACATTTACAGCGGTAATTGCCAATAATAATTAAGAGAGAGTTGCCATAATTTTTTCTTCATGTTTCAACCTCAGATTTTGACTTAAATTCTTTTATGTGTGTGTATATGTATTTAATTTTTTCTACCTTAATTTGCAGAACATTGGCCAACTTCTCTGCCAAATTGCTGTTACAGGTGACCCCAAATGAACAGTGCAGTACACCAGCTTCGTGTATTGACATGTTGTATCAACTAAACAATTGTTATATTATTTTTTTTTAAAAAAAAAAACTAAATGATTGTTAATTTATTGCAGTTAATTATCTTTTTCTTATGCCATCCGAGTTGGGATATTCGAAGAAGAGCTAATAGTGTTGCTAGGGGGATTATTTCTTCTGCTCCAGAATTATGTGAAGATCTTTTCTTTGAATTTTCTAATTTTCTTTCTTTGGTCGGAGAGAAACTTCGTGCTTCAAAAATAAGGTAACACCTGATTACTCTCTATTTAAATTTGTACCGTCTCAATTGTGGGTTCTTTGTGACAAATAAAAATTCTGGAAATATTTTGAGGGTCTCGTTCTTAACTTACCTTCAACAATTTGTCGCTTCTTGATATTATAAACTTCACATTTTGCTCTTGGACCTGCACGAAGCTTAGGGTGCCTTCCATCCCCAAAGTTCTGGATTTTCCTTTGTAGACTTTTTGCCATATTTTCATATTTTCAAAATTCTAAAGGCTTCAGCAGTGCCAAACGCTGGGTTGGATGACCTGTATCTATCTTTGGTTTAGCTTCATGAAGGTCAGCTTCTCCATGTGGATTTTCACTTGGGAGAAAGATCCTGTCTGTTTGGTTTGATAAAATTTCTTCAACAATATAAAAACTGATGCTTCTGTTGGTTTGATAAAATTTCTTCAACAATATAAAAACTGATGCTTCTGTCCCTGAAGCTGGTACCATATGGGAGCAGCAAGCCAAACATTTTAAGAGTTCAATCCTTCTTCTAATTCCCTTGCCTATTGATATGGCTCCTTGCTGATAACAATGAAGGGCCAAAACTGTGTCGTATATTTTTTAAGCATGTTTCTGTTTCTGTTTTCAATCAAGTCATCCTGTAACTAAAACTTTTGTACGTGCAGTGACACTGATATTTCTTCAGACCCTCAAGTTCCTTTCATTCCATCTGTCGAGGTTTTGGTAAAAGTTCTTCTGGTAGTGTCACCAGCAGCTCTCAAGGTTTCTCCAGATTCCTTTATCCAAATATTATTTTGCTCACATCATCCATGCGTCGTTGACAGTGCAAGAAGAGAAGTAGTGTGGAAGGTAACTCTTCATATATTGTGTTCTTTGTGAGGTTTTATTGTTACACGAGATTACTTTTGCGGAGCTTAAGAGCTGTGGGGTGTTTGAATTGGTGGTTTGTTTATTGCTTAATTGATGAGGCACTTGTTACATGATGTGAGACAACAGCTTTGTTTCTATGTTTCTCACTATCTTTTGATTAGTTTTATGGATGCTCTTATTTCCTTTTGTTTCCTATGAACCGTTGTGGCTCAGTGCCATGTGATCTTCATAAGATACTCTTGCAAACCTGCCCCTTGCTTGCTGAAACTTTCCCAGTGAACTAGATAAAATGCTTTTGCATATTGTTATCGATTGGCAGTGATTATCGTAAAATGACTGATAATGTGATGGTGCAAAATAAATGATTAGATTTTTTATTTAACTTAGTATGTTATTGCAAAAATTGGTCCATCTCAATATATCATAACTCAATAAATGTTAATATTTTCCTTCCTCACTTTATTCAAGATTTAAGGTGGAATTCAGTTTTATAATTGTATGACAGTTTTCCATTCCTTTTTCCCTTGTCACCTATTACCATCAATTTTTTGTGGTGAGCTGACTGTTTCATTTTGCTTCCAGAGGCTCTCAAAGTGTCTTCGAGCAAATGGTTTTGATGTCATTGATATCCTTTCAGCAAATGTGGCGAATATTTGCAAGGTAATTGTTTTCGTACAATGCACAAATTGAAAATAGGTTCTAAAAGATGATTGTTATGCTGCTAAGTGATATTGTTTTTGTGCAGGTCTTACTGGGACCAGCTGGCTTGAAGAGTGATAATTTACTCGAACAACAGGCAGCAATTTCCTCACTTTCCACAATGATGTCTATAATCCCTGGAGATACATATGTGGAGTTTGAAAAGGTGTTCGAGCTATTTGCTTATGCATGCTTTGGCTCATTTTTTATCGGAGTCGGTGGCGCTTTTTTCTAGAATATTTGATCATTACTAGTCTGTTATTGTTATTAGGAAAGGATATTTGACTACTAACATATATATCCTTTTGTATTAGCAAGAACGAAGTAGATAATCACCTATTCTAGCACATATTATCTCATTTAAGTGCTTTCTGATTTCTAATTGCTAACAAGTGCATGTTGTTGATGCCAGCATTTGCTAAATCTCCCTGACTGGTTTTCACACAATAAACTTTCAGAGAATGACATTCGGGTAAATTTTATGGCTATTAATTTTGCTTGTACTGTATTTTTGGGGAAAAGGATTTTAATCATGGAATCTTTTAGCATCTTATGTTCCTGATACTCATTTCTTGTGCATTTTTTTTTTTTAAATCGTAGGGTTTATTCTCAATGTATGTTTTGAGGGCTAATCCTGTTTAATAATGTTTGCATGTTGGCCGCAATAAATGAATATTGATACTTTTATGTTTTAAATTTGATATCAATAGGGTTCAATAAGTAATGCAGGGTGTTTATTCATCTTCTTCTTTTTCTTCCTTTTGCTCAAACCCTACATATTTTTATTTTTTTCTGGAACCTAGGAGACCTGGGGTGTGTGGTGTACGCCTTCTGACTTGTGCCTTCCATTAATGGTCATCTAGTTTTTTTCAATGGTGTTTTCTTATTCGCTGAAAAAAGTTAGAATACACTGTTGAGTAAGATGTTGATTTTAGAGCGACAAATAAGGACTTTGTGTTGCGCACACACGTGTATATTCTCGCTTAATGTTTTGGGTTAAGGGAATGCTTGCTATTGAACTCAGATAGTCTAATGTTTGCTTTGTCTACTGATATATTAGTACTTTTTTGGTCAATTTTTTTGGTTTTTATTACTGAAATTTCTTATATTGTTTATTTATTCAGTGTATGGGATTCTGCTTAGGTTTTTTCTCACGTTCTTTCAGATTTTTCATACCCCTGAAGGAATTCTTTCCACGGAGCAAGGAGTTTATGTTGCAGAGTCTGTTGCTGTGAAGAATGCAAGACAAGCAAAGGGTCGCTTCCGAATGTATGATGATCAAGATGGCATGGTACGTCTATTGTTTCTCCTGTTTCTGATTACTTTGCCTTTCTATTTAAATTTGTTATGCTTTATTGTTCTTTTGACCAGGATGATGCTCGTTCTAACCATATAGTGAAGAGAGATCAACCTAGCCGAGAAGCTGCTGGTACAGGGAAAAGGGATACTGCAAAAGTGACTAAGAAGGCTGGCAAGTGGTGCTTTTGTGTTTATGTTAATCTTTATTTGTATTCCTTGGTAACAAAGTTTACATGGATGCTCTTTATGAATATTGCTATTATGATTCTATAGACAAGGGGAAAACAGCAAAAGAGGAGGCTAGAGAATTACTTCTCAAAGAGGAGGCTTCTATCCGTGATAGAGTCTTCAAAATTCAGAAAAGCCTATCTCTGATGCTACGAGCTCTGGGAGAGATGGCCATTGCGAATCCAGTTTATGCTCATAGTAAATTGCCTTCAATGGTATTGCCTGTTAAATGCTTCTCTTTTGCAATATTTCTATTTTGTCTTCTGAAGATTACTGTATCATTTTCATATTCAAAATCCATTACTATTCCATGAGGTCTGATTTACTTCTGTTAGGTGAAGTGTGACACTGTTAGATGTTTATAATTAGGAATGAGAGAGAAAGATAGAGCGGGGGGAAGAGAGAATTAGGAGAAGAGAGACGGGAAGAGAGGACTCGAGAGAGAGAAACTAGCAATACCCTAATTCGTTCAATTGTAATCTGAGAGATGCAGTGGGGGTATTCATCTATTTATAGGCTTCGGCAGGCTTATTATCTAACTGCGAACTCCTAACTACCTAACTTTTGCATTATTATTACTATTATATAACAGACACATGAAATCATTTTCACTTGATTGATTTGAAAAAGATAAAGAGAGTACAGATTATTGAGGCTCTGATGAATACAGCCCTAGAGTCATGCCCCGGGGGGGGGGGGAGAAAAAGAAAAAGAAAAATCATTTTACTTATCATTTTAACATTTAGGCCTAACTGAAATATGCAGAGAACAGTATAATCAAAGTGGCTTAGAGTGCAATGAAATGTGTGGAGAAAGTTGACAGAATTAAAAAAAGGGTTACAGCGGCCTGAAATGATTAATTTGATGTCACTTCGTCTAAGATCCATAATTCTAAATGTTGACCTTCCCTCTACCTGGTCCATTTATTTTGAATTGCATTTTCCCCAAAAGTATGACAAGCGTGCGTACTTTCTAGATTAATTTTAGTTCTTTTATATGTTGCATTTGTTTAATAAGATCGTATTTGGATTTAGTCTGAGTTTAATCTTGTGTCAGGTCAAGTTTGTTGAGCCTTTATTACAATCACCTGTTGTAAGTGATGAGGCCTTTGAGACCATGATAAAGCTATCAAGATGCACTGCTCCTCCTCTATGCAATTGGGCCCTTGACATTTCTACTGCTTTACGTTTAGTTGTGACTGATGAAGTTCGTCATCTTTTGGATCTGATACCTTCAGTTGCTGATGAGGAAGGCGATGGAAGACCATCCATCAGCCTTTTTGAGCGAATATTAAATGGATTATCTGCTTCTTGCAAATCAGGGCCACTTCCTATTGATTCTTTTTCTTTTGTATTCCCGGTAAGTAATTCTACTTTACCAATGCACTCTTTTTAAGTTCACTGAAGCTTTTACCTTTCTAACTAGGCATTGTTATCAGATAATGGAGCGTATTCTTATGTGCCCAAAGAAAACAAAATTTCATGATGATGTGCTTCGGATACTTTATTTACACCTTGATCCTCATCTTCCTCTTCCTAGGATCCAAATGTTATCGGTAAGTCATCATACATTCTATGCTTGCTCAAACAAAAGACCCACTCTATACTGTTGAGCATTTTTTTGTTAGATTTCATATATTGGTTTAAGCTTGGCTGATATCTTTTGTTAGGTTCTCTATCATGTGCTTGGTGTTGTTCCAGCTTATCAGGCATCAATAGGGCCTGCACTAAATGAGTTGAGTCTTGGTTTGCAGCCTGATGAAGTTGCTGCTGTAAGCATGCTTGACTCTTTTCACATGGATTTGTCACTGTTTTTACTATTCTTGATCACTCCCCCTCATCCCATGCCTGCACACATGGAGTATGTGTGACGGTGCTTATGCTGACTCTCTATTTTCCTTTTACAGGCTCTTTGTGGAGTTTATGCAAAAGATGTTCATGTACGTATGGCATGCTTGAACGCTGTCAAATGTATCCCTGCTGTTGCTAGTCGTTCTCTTCCAGAGAACACTGAGGTTGCGACAAGTATATGGATTGGCTTACATGATCCTGAGAAGGTTTGGTATTTTACCCTTAATAAGACTTCACAAGTATAGTATCTAAGCCATTATGTGTGGTCTAGGCTAGTTTGAAAGTCGTCTGAGGCTCAGACCTCTCTTGCCATTTGTCTCAGAAAGGTTGCTGTCCCTTTTTTGTCAAATAAAAAGGTTACTTTCTCTGAGTTTCCCTGTACTGGTATAAACTTTGATTTTCACTCAAATTGCCTAATTGACATCTTTGCTCCTTTATTTTTAATTTGCCAAATCAATCATTTTCATTTCTTAGAAAATTGTTTTGTATTTTCTTTATGCCAACTACATCAATAAATATGCTGTGCCTACTCATCCCTATTGTCAATAATAAACACCAAATATAGTTTAATTGCTGCTGTCAGTTATTTCAACAAATACTGATGGTCCATTGGGTGGGTTGAGCTATTGTATTCAGATAAGGCGTGCTTTAGATACTTTGAAGAAGATGCCAATTCATTCATATTAACACTTGGATCTAACAAAACATGAGTATTCCTGGGCCAACTAGTTGGGTCTAATTGCTCTCTGCAATCTGCAAAAATTAAATTGACATAGGTTGAATGGGGCAAATTGGCTCTAGGAATCATATGGGAAAAAGGTGGTATTGTAGTAAAATTGCATCAAGCAATGATGACAGATTTGACTATAGTGATCATAAATAATTGATGAATTCATCTGGTAAATGGTTCTAACTTTGCAATTTCGTGTGTCACTTGCTTAGGACATGTTCTCCCCTGACCCCCAGGCCCCTGCTGTCTCTTATTTCTCTTGTTCTTGGTCTGGTTTTTTTCAATTAATGCTATAAGATGGGTATTACAAACCATCATTTTAGCCGCTCTATACTTGAAATAAGAATATTTTGGACTTCTGAGTATAATCCTGATACATATCTTGATTTGATGTGCTCTTTATCTTGATATTCACTTCCCCTGGCATTCCAGTCAGTTGCTGAAGTTGCTGAAGAAATATGGGATCATTATGGTTTTGACATCGGAACTGACTTTTCGGGACTTTTCAAAGCACTATCTAATGTTAACTACAATGTGCGCTTGGCAGCTGCAGAAGCATTGGCTGCGGCCTTGGATGAACACCCAGAATCTATTCAGGTAAAACTGATTTATAGTTTTCAAAGCTTCGTTTTTGTGATTTTATTTTCCTGCCGTCTCATGATTTTTTTGCTCATGATTTTGCAGGAATCCCTTACCACTTTATTTTCACTGTATGTTCGTGACATGGGTGTTGGGGATGATAATATTGATGCTGGTTGGTTGGGTAGGCAAGGAATTGCATTAGCGCTTCATTCAGCTGCTGACGTATTGAGAACAAAAGACCTACCTGTTGTCATGACGTTTTTAATTTCGAGAGCACTGGTAATCTGAATGACATTTTGCATTCTTTGTGTTGGGGTTCGGCTATTTTATTTGATCACGGTACAGTTGGGAACCTAAAACCTGATTTCTTGCTTAATTCTGTTCAGAAACCAAAGCCTCCATTGTTGGTTAAATTTGTTTTATTAGCCTCAAACATGAGGAAGCCTTCTTAAATGTGATGCGCAGGTTCTTTTTATCAGTATTAATCTGTGAATACCTCATGCTACTTATTGTTGTCTCTATCCTTTCTCTCTGACAAAGTTTATCCGTCATCTTATTAGATTATTCTCTATTTCATGTGTAATAAGGTGGACAAAATAATGAATCCTGTTTTCTTAGAAAATATATTTATTTGCTGGGAAAGGCTAAGTATGTCATTAGTGGAATTGATTTGATTTGCAGGCTGATCCCAATGCAGATGTTAGAGGGAGAATGATTAATGCTGGTATCATGATCATTGATAAGCACGGAAGAGAAAATGTGTCTCTGCTATTCCCAATCTTTGAAAACTACTTAAACAAAACAGTGAGTTCCTTATCAAGTCGAGCTTATATTAGCAGATTACTCCTTGTAGGGTTCTTTTTAAATGCATAGACACCAGTTACTTTTTAAAAGAATGAGTATATTGTGTTACAAGATCTATAGGTTCCCTTTGGTTGCTTATTTGAATCCTTACTCTTAGGCATCAGATGAAGAAAAATATGACTTGGTTCGGGAAGGTGTGGTTATATTTACTGGAGCCTTGGCAAAACACTTGGCAAAGGTGATTATGAAACTTTCCTTTCTTGCTTTTCACCATTTGGGCACTTAAATATGTTCATTCCAATATTTGTATTTCTGTTTTGGAATAGGATGACCCTAAGGTTCATACTGTTGTGGAGAAGTTGATGGATGTTTTAAATACTCCTTCAGAAGCCGTTCAACGAGCAGTCTCAATGTGTCTATCTCCATTAATGCAGGCAAAGCAAGTATGTATGCGTATTATATTTTTAACTTTTGATACCTTCACTTGTGCTAATGCTGATCAGGTGGAAATTGATTATGAGATACTGATGGGTGGTCTAGGGCTTTGCAATCATTATTTTACTTCTGATATCTTCACTTATGCTTATGCTGATCAGGTGGAAATTTATTATAAGATACTGATGGGTGGTCTAGGGCTTTGCAATCATTATTTTAACTAATTTAGTTGTTCTTGTCCCTGTTTCTTCCTATCCTGTATTGGCTATGTATTGCTTAGGTTTCTTATCCTCATTGCTGCTGGTTAAATATATGCTTGCTTCTGGGTAATTTATTTTGCTGAAGTATGAATGTTGAACTGTTGCTCTACTTCTTGAGTACCTACTGCTTGACGTCAAAATGAACACTTATGGTCAACCTTTTGGGCCATGCTTGATTTGGGCCCAAGCTAATTCTCCTGACTACTTGCAACAGGATGATGCAGCAGCTCTTGTTAGCGGACTGTTGGATCGAATGATGAAAAGTGAAAAATATGGAGAACGTCGTGGAGCTGCTTTTGGACTTGCCGGAGTGGTTAAGGGTTTTGGCATTTCTTGCTTGAAGAAGTATAGGATTGTAGCTCTACTTCAAGAAGGTTTTGCTGACAGGTATGAGATAACTCTGTTTTACATGTTGTGACTATATTTGTTGCACCCTGAAGTCCTGAACTGTTGGTGTCGTTCTCTAATGTATCCTTTACTGCTGCACTATCAGTGTTTTTCATATTCCTTGTAGCACTTTCGAGTTAAAAAATTTCTGACTTAATGCAAAGGTGCTGGTGCTAGAGTTTGTGTAAACTTAATGCTGTTAGCCGAAGCTTTCTTAACGAATTGCTGATTTCATGTTTTTTGGTAGATGGACTTGGGAATATTCTTATTTTCCGTGGTATGCATTTTCTAATGCAGGAATTCAGCAAAATCTCGTGAAGGAGCCTTACTTGGATTTGAATGCCTTTGTGAAACACTTGGAAGACTGTTTGAACCGTATGTTTATGCGAAAGAGATTATTGTTGTTGTTGTTGTTGCTGTTGCTGTTGTTGTTTTGTATCTAAAGCCTTTATTCACACTTTTGTTCAGGTATGTGATTCAAATGTTACCATTACTTTTGGTTTCCTTCTCTGATCAAGTTGTTGCAGTTCGTGAAGCAGCTGAATGTGCTGCCCGCGCAATGATGTCTCAACTTACTGCCCAGGGAGTGAAGCTTGTCCTTCCATCTCTTCTGAAGGTGATTATCTTGTAATTTACTATGAATGACAAACTTTTTACCAACTTAAAGCCTCACATGTCACTTTTAAAATCCACACAAACTAGGATCTGACATGTAGGACAAAAAAAAAAAAACCTCACGCTACTATACTTATAGCAACAAAAACTTATTAAATTATTTAGAGACTTTAGAGAAGTTTTAGATTTAAAAGTTTTACTTGGTTATTTATTTTTTGACTTCTTTATTTTATTTTCATATTTTGGGCTCCCTTATGCGTTCAGACTTATTAAAGGCATTAGTTTATTTTGTCGTTTATGTTTTCCAACTTCCTCCCTTTCCCCACTTTACATCTATTGGTTCTGCATTGGTTATATTCTTACAATTCCTTCGATAGGAAGGGTGAAAAAAAATCTCCTCATGTTATCCCTAAGATCCCCTGAAAAATACATTTGTCCTGACAATCACTGAGGTCTGAAGTTTTTTCCAGTTTACTTCGAACAAACGTGGCACATAAATAGAGAGATATTACATATCAACGTAGCTCTACCTATCTATCTGGGAACCATTATCCCCAATTCTCACATTGTTTTCGTTGAACCATTGGATGTTGATATGAGTGGAAGGAACTTGACACCCTTTAAAACAAGGTTAAGAGTTCTAACTTTATGGTTGGAAAGAATCACATTGGGAGTTACTTCTAATTGGGGCTTGTCAATGGATTTGTCTGTAATACCGGATACTAGAGTTATGCCCAAAGCTTGTTTTGCAGCCCACCCATGACATTTGTTTCCACTCTGAAGTATGGGTCAGGATAAAAATATACTGTGGAATGAAGTATTGCATCACTAATCCTCTTTTTCAGGGTCTTGAAGATAAAGCTTGGAGGACAAAACAAAGTAGTGTTCAGCTACTTGGTGCTATGGCATACTGTGCCCCTCAACAGCTGTCTCAATGCCTCCCTAAAATTGTCCCTAAGTTGACTGAGGTATTCCACATAGCAGATGTTACTTGGAGGCTTGTGATTCTCTTCTGTTTTATGGAGTATTTGTTATGTTTCCTAATTCCTCTCTATTTACAGGTTTTAACTGACACCCATCCTAAAGTTCAGTCAGCTGGGCAGATGGCCCTTCAGCAGGTTGGTTTTGGGTTATGAAATGTTAATTTTTGCCTCTATTAATATGGTTATTTTTTTCTTCTTGTAATTTTTCTCAATCATATATATTTTTTTTCAAGGTTGGGAGTGTAATAAGGAATCCAGAAATAGCTGCTCTTGTCCCTACGCTTCTTATGGGTCTTTCTGATCCCAATGAACACACAAAATACTCCCTCGATATTCTTCTCCAAGTGAGGTTTTTAGCTGGTGGCTGTTTGAATTTGTTCATTCATCTTTGTTACCTAAATTTTCATTGATTGGCCGCAGACAACATTTGTTAATTCAATTGATGCCCCATCGCTTGCATTATTGGTACCAATAGTGCATAGAGGATTAAGGGAAAGGAGTGCTGACACTAAGAAGAAGGCAGCACAAATAGTTGGAAACATGTGTTCCTTGGTTACAGAGCCAAAGGATATGATTCCGTACATAGGATTGCTGCTTCCAGAAGTGAAAAAGGTTCTTCCTTATTGTACCCTTTACATATTTGTTTTGGCCTCTTCTCACTATGTCTGAATTTTAAGAGCAGGTTCTTGTGGATCCTATACCTGAAGTTCGTTCAGTTGCGGCTAGGGCCCTTGGATCCCTTATCAGAGGAATGGGTGAAGATAACTTCCCAGATCTTGTCCCATGGTTGTTTGAAACGCTCAAGTCTGAAAACAGCAATGTTGAACGCTCTGGAGCTGCTCAGGGCTTGAGTGAGGTTAGACTTCCTTCTTCTTATGCTTCCTTTTGGCATCTTCGATCATGAGCATCTTGGAATTTGATTGTGGTCCTGCTGAGCTTCTTACTTGATATATCCATCCCATTATGAGCCAGAATGGGAATCTTGAGACTTGAGTAAATTAAATTGACTCAAATTTAATTTGGAGAGAAATTTTTCGATGGTCTTCATGGTAGAAACTTGATAAGATAGAAGTTCATAAAATAAAATAGTCCAATGCAAATTCCTATAATTTTTGTCTAGCCATCTACTGTTTTGGCTCCCTTTGGTTCTTAAACGTGCTAATTCCTTACTTTTTTTTGGCATTTCTATCGCCTTTTCTATAGCTAGCTTTTGGTCGGGGCTTTCTTTTTCAGATTTAAATTTCCTCAAAGATTGCAGAGATCGTTTGAGCTATCATACTGTTACACTTTGGTTTTGTTTCTTGGGTGTTTTTGGATGAATTCTATAGCAAAAGAGAGTGAACGCTTTGAATGGCCTTCGTGAAGAGAGGCTTAAGTGACATATTTCTTTTAGTAAAGGTTATACAGCTTGAGATAAAACCAATGGGGACTTACAAAGTCTAGCTAAACAAAAAAGAAAGATAGCCTAATGTTATTCTAACAGTACAAATGATGGGGGCGGTATCTTTTCAATGCATTTAACTATATGTTAGGATTGTACAAAGAAGAGGGATACCCAAGCTCAGTCAACAAGATATTGATTTAACTACTTCATACTTGATTGATGCTTGATAGGGTGGTTTACTGGTTTGTCACTTTACATTAGCTATTTTTGACATAGTAATCCATCTTGATGAATTGTAGGTCTTAGCTGCACTTGGCATTGAATATTTTGAGCATGCACTTCCTGATGTCATCCGAAATTGTTCCCATCAAAGAGCGTCTGTACGAGATGGATATTTGACACTGTTCAAGGTGACATAATGAAGGCCTAATACTTTTCACAATTTGGGCTTTTTACTTTAAACGTTGTGATTGACTCTTCTTGTCAAAACTTTCTTGTAGTATTTGCCACGGTCATTAGGAGTCCAGTTCCAAAACTACCTGCAACAGGTGTTGCCTGCTATCCTAGATGGTGAGCTTGCTAAGATTTTTTGGGTGCATTTTTCTGCATTATATGCTTGGCATTGTGATCTTCTTTTCTGAATTAGATGCCTACATTCTCTTTTTGTAGGTCTTGCTGATGAGAATGAATCTGTTCGTGATGCTGCCCTAGGAGCTGGACATGTCCTGGTTGAGCATTATGCAACAACGTATGTTTACTCCTGCTTTTGTCTTACACGCTGTGATTTGAATATGTTGCCTGGATAAAATATTTTTATTCATATTTTAAATGTGCTGTGTAGAAGAACATTTATTGTATTGTTTGTGGATTGTAAATTTTGGTGAACTATGGAGTAAGAAGTGGTGAAGATTAGATTGTATATACTGTGTCTGGCATAAGTGGGCACCCCACAAATGTCTACTGCTACCCATTGCAGCCATAAATAATTTTCCCTGTACCTCTCTACAGGTCTCTACCTCTGCTCCTTCCAGCTGTAGAAGATGGCATTTTTAATGATAGTTGGCGTATCCGACAAAGCTCAGTCGAGTTGTTGGGTGATCTTTTATTCAAAGTATGTGCTGCTGGTTGGGCTACTTTTTTTGCAGTTTGGTTTTATTTATGAGCTAATTTGCATTTCATCCAGGTTGCTGGAACATCTGGTAAAGCTTTGCTTGAGGGGGGCAGTGATGATGAAGGTGCCAGTACTGAGGCCCATGGACGAGCTATCATTGAGGTTCTGGGAAGGGATAAGCGTAATGAAGTCCTTGCTGCACTGTATATGGTTCGAGCTGATGTTAGTTTGTCAGTTCGCCAGGTAATGGCTCTAATGTACCTCCCTTTTTCTTGTGTATTAGTTTATACCGGATAAATTTCCTCTGGCTTTGGATTCCTGAACTATCTGTTCACTTTGCTGTGACCAGACTGTCATCTTTTTCTCATAGCATTTGTATAGCTTACAGATGTTTCTGTTATCAGGCTGCATTGCATGTGTGGAAAACTATTGTGGCAAATACTCCAAAGACACTCAAGGAAATTATGCCAGTTCTGATGGATACCCTGATTTCTTCCCTTGCATCATCATCATCTGAAAGGCGGCAGGTTTGCACTGATATTCAATAATTATGTGTCACAGCCTGCAAACATTATATGTTTTAAATTTGATTATAAAATAGGTTGCGTTTGACTGCAAACATTTTATTTTTTAAATTTGATTTTAATATAGGTTGCTGGACGATCACTGGGTGAGCTTGTCCGGAAACTTGGTGAACGGGTACTTCCTTTGATAATCCCAATTTTATCGCAGGGGTTGAGTGACCCTGACAGCAGCAGAAGACAGGTAAAGTCTTATTTTGTGACTTCTTAATTTATGTTGGAGGTATCCAACAGTCAGCTACTTGTATTGCTCAGTTGGATGCTATTATGATGTTCCCCTCGGTTGGCAGGGTGTATGTGTTGGTCTGAGTGAAGTAATGGCAAGTGCTGGTAAGAGTCAGTTATTGAGTTTCATGGATGATCTTATCCCCACCATTCGAACTGCCCTTTGTGATAGGTTTGTTGATTTCATACTCATTCCACTGTTGTTGGATTTTTTTACTGTGTTGTCATATAACCTTGTGTCAATATGCCTTTTAGCGTTGCTGAGGTCCGCGAATCGGCAGGTTTAGCATTCGGCACTCTTTATAAGGTTATTGTCCGCTATCTGTTGTTGTTTTTGTTTTGAACGTGGTATATGAACTTGAGCAAACATTTTCTCACACACCCTAAAAGTATTTATGGTGTAGAGTGCTGGAATGCAAGCAATTGATGAAATTGTTCCAACGCTTTTACATGCGTTAGAGGATGATAAAACATCTGATACTGCACTTGATGGCCTCAAACAAATCTTAAGGTAATTTTTGCGGTTTCAGCATTTTCATAGCAATCATGAATAATGCAATTATTGCTGATGATAGTTTTTTGTTAGCTTTGACTAAATGATTTCATTTTCTTTCTCAGTGTCAGAACAAGTGCAGTATTGCCTCACATTTTGCCCAAACTTGTCCATCTTCCCTTGTCGTACGTGTTTTACTCTAATCATATTTTTGTTTTTAATGTTTTATCTTTTGTCATTCTGTTCTAAAACAAGTTCTGCTATTTCTCCAGTGCCTTCCATGCCCATGCACTGGGAGCTTTAGCTGAGGTTGCTGGGCCTAGCCTTGACCATCATCTTGGTACTGTACTTCCTCCTTTGCTATCTGCAATGGGCGGTGATGACAAGGTATGAGAATCTGGATTTATCATATTTTAAGAACTGCAGTTCTTATCTCTTAGTTTCCTTTCTGATGCTTGTCTACTTGGAACAGTGGCATTTTAAAAAAAAATTATATTCTTTTTGTTTGTTGTTACTTGTAGGAGATTCAAACTTTGGCAAAGGAGGCTGCTGAAACAGTGGTCTTGGTTATTGATGAGGAGGGCATTGAGCCGCTATTAGCAGAGCTCATTAAAGGTGTTAGCGATACTCAGGTACTTTTGTTGTTAATACTATTGGACTTAAACATACTCTTTGTCGTGCCATTTCCCCCCCCTGACAATGAATGTTACAGGCTGCGATCAGAAGATCTTCTTCATACCTGATAGGATATTTATTCAAAAACAGTAAATTGTATCTGGTTGATGAAGCTTCAAACATGATAGCTACACTGATCATCTTGCTTAGTGATCCAGATTCATCTACTGTTACTGTAAGTTTTATGTGTTTATCATAATATACTGTATGTTCTATGCACAACGTGTTTATTGTCTGCCCTTTCATTAGGTTGCTTGGGAATCTTTGTCAAGGGTCATCAGTTCAGTACCCAAGGAGGTACTGCCTTCATACATAAAACTTGTCCGTGATGCTGTGTCAACATCCAGAGATAAAGAGCGTAGGAAGAAAAGGGTAGGTGTGAAGATTCAATAATCATTCTGTTTTAGTTTTCAATGATTAATTCAAAAATAATGCGGAGCTTTGCTGTTTGTTAACTGTTTTGCAGGGAGGACCTATCATCATACCTGGATTTTGTCTTCCCAAAGCATTGCAGCCTCTAATGCCTATTTTTCTCCAAGTATTTCTCCGTTCTGCAGTTTTCTTAATGATAGAAGTGTTGCATGTTATGTAGATTCATACTTCCAGTTATAATTTATTTACATTCTTAGGATATCTAAAGATTGTGTGTCGTTATAGCCCTATTGAATCATTTATATAATTTTTTCATTTGCCTCTATATATAGGAACAATGCAGTCTGCTTTGTTTGTCAGGGACGAAAATGCTAGTGACCCGAAACAATTTAATTTTCTGGGTTCTTGTTGACGTGAGCTATTTAATTGTGTAGAAAGTGTATTGACCTTTGTGATCCGGTGATTCTGGAATTTTATTTTTTCACCCCTTGAGACATCCTTCACTTCTCTCATGTTTGTTCCTGACTATAATGTTTGTAATTATTTATCAATGTAATTACGTTGATGATACATACCACCGAATATTTTACACTGCTGGCTTTCTAACCACACTTTATGATATCTACATTTAGTTTTTGGATTTACGTGTCCAATCTCTGATATATGCTTTGTGTTCCTAGGGTCTCATAAGTGGTTCTGCTGAACTAAGGGAGCAGGCTGCTTTGGGACTTGGTGAGCTGATAGAGGTAACAAGTGAGCAATCACTCAAGGAGTTTGTCATCCCGATAACAGGGTAAGTAATAGAGAAAATGACTAATGCCAACTGTATATCCTATTCGTGCAAAATGATGTCTGTATGAAAAGACCCTGGATTTGTGTTAAATCATAAACTATTCTTTTTTATGAATTATTTCCTTCATGGTCTTTTTGTTGCACCCACCCGTGGCATTTAAATGATAGGTTTTTATTTTAATAACCAAGTACACCATCAAATTATTGTTGAATCCAGAAGGACGCTCAGATGGGATGGGAATCCTCTCATGCTAGTTGTTGGGCATTCCTTATGTCTTGTTAATTGGCTCCCTTTGGAGAACCAATGTCCTGACAAGTGCACTCTACAGCACTTTCTTTGGTGATAGATCACTTAGCTTCCTTGCTTCCTACTAGTCAAAACCCTTTGTTGGTAGCGCTTTTTAAATTTATCAACTACCAAATTTGATACCAATTGAGGGCACACGTGTGGGATGGAGGACAATAAACTCACTTAAATACTCCATTAAGCACTCCATACCATGCAGCATATCAAATTCTCACTTGCAAAAGCAAAGGCCTTTGCTAGATATAATAAATTACTTTGACTCACGCTACTTTGTTCCTCGCATTGCTTTGGGGGACATATCATCTACTTATTTATTCTGACTTTTCCTGTAATGTTTATCACAGGCCTCTTATCCGGATAATAGGTGATCGCTTTCCCTGGCAAGTGAAGAGTGCCATTTTGTCTACATTGAGCATCATGATAAGAAAGGGTGGCATGGCCCTCAAACCTTTTCTTCCTCAGCTGCAAACAACCTTTGTTAAGTGTCTACATGATAGCACAAGGTTAGTGGGAGAATAATGTTAATCCCATTATCTACAATCACACACTAATGGTGTCTTTCATCTTCTGTAATGTGCTTGATTTGATTTATCTCCGTATATGGTTAACCACAGTTATGGATCTTGTGGCAACCAATTTTATTTTTGTCTGTTGTGCTCATTAGCAAATTTATGACTGCAGAACTGTTCGATCAAGTGCTGCCCTGGCACTTGGAATGTTAAGCGGACTCAGTACTAGGGTTGACCCCCTGGTTGGTGATTTACTGTCTGGTCTACAGGTGGTGTTATTTGAGGTTCTTAATTATTATTTATGGCATAAGTTGACTATTTATGATACATCTTAATCATGTTATACTGATAGACACAACCCAATACAATATTGTGGAATTGGATTGTTTAGGGATCAGATGGTGGCGTTCGTGGAGCTTTTTTGACTGCTTTGAAAGGTGTCCTGAAGCATGCTGGGAAGAATATGAATGTGGCTGTTAGAGGCCGTGTTTACAACATCCTTAAGGAATTGATTCATCATGATGATGACCAAGTTCGGATGTATGCTGCAAGCATTTTGGGTATCCTGACCAAGGTTTGTCTCTTTTTTCTGATATGTAACCATTTGCTACTTATTCCTTTTTCAGATGTGGTTTTTATTTTCTTCTGTTTTGTGTTAGTGATAGATGATAAGTTTATTGGCTTGTTACTATTTGTGCCATCAGTGAGTTTTGGTGCTTTTGTCTGCATCACTGTAATTTGTGGGATATAGCAGATGGCTGAATCTATGTGTTACTGCATCATGCCTCTGATATCTTTTTTGACTGTCTTGTGGTTGCAGTACCTTGAAGATATTCAGCTGAGTGAACTGATTCAGGAACTGTTAAGTCTGGCTTCATCACCAAGCTGGCCTTATAGGCATGGCTCTGTTCTTGCAATGTCTTCCATGATCCACCACAATCCATCCCCAGTTTGCCTGTCTTCGTCTTTCTCCTCTATTTTAGACCTCCTTAAGGACGCTTTAAAGGACGAGAAGGCATGTTGATTCAGAAGAGTTGTTTTTACTAAATTGTTACAGTATTTTGATTCTGACATATTTTCTGTGAACCAGTTCCCTCTTCGGGAAAGTTCAACCAAGGCATTAGGATGGCTCCTATTATATCAAACTCAGGGGGATCATTTTGACCCTGTGCTGTACAAGGATGTTCTTTCATTGCTTGTTTCATCCACCCGCGATGACTCCAGTGAAGTTAGAAGAAGGGCTTTGTCTGCTATAAAAGCCGTTGCCAAGGTGTGTCCCTTGACCGTCCTGCCTTGGTCAAACACCAACTTGTGAACCAATGCTGTGAAAATGTTGTGAACTTTTCATTCCTGACATTGCAGGCGAGTCCTCCAGCCATTATGTCTAATGTTACCATTACTGGCCCTGCACTCGCTGAGTGCTTAAAAGATGGAAATACTCCAGTAAGACTTGCCGCAGAAAGATGTGCTTTACATGCCTTCCAATTAACAAAAGGTATTCTGACATCAATTTCTTTATGCATTTCATGACTGGGAAGAATTGCAATAGGCTATCTATAATTGTTATTATCACACTAAACCCTATTTGCTTGCTGGACCGTCTCCTTTTGGAGTTTCTAATCTATCCTAGGAAACCATAAATCGATCTGTCAGAGTATTCATATTACAGCTATCCAAGTGTTTCCTAGTGTGGAATTCATGAATGCTATAAAAACCCTTACTATTGTGATGGAGGGAATGATGATATCTTGTTCATACTGATTTCCAGGTTCAGAAAATGTTCAAGCAGCACAGAAATATATCACTGGCTTGGATGCAAGACGTCTGTCGAAGCTTTCTGAATATAGGTATGTATGGTTAGACTTTCATTTCAATAGAATCTTGGTTTCAGACTGGTGCAGTGCAATTATTGTTGAGAGTTGGGAATCTTGTTTCCGTCATCAGATCACAATCCGTTTTCTACATATATCATATCTTTACGTGTGAAAATATCTAGGAATGGAGCAAAATTAAAGATCCCCATCTAAGGATGTTAAATGGAAAAATTGTATAATTTTGACATTAGTCAACAAAGTAATGTAGAATTTTCCTTTGAAAACAGCTTTTCCATGGAAAATTTCTTGGAAATTGAATTAAGCGGTATGGGACAAAATTTGTAGGTTAGTATTTTTTTTTGGGGGGGGGGGCTGAATGTGGCGAGTTTTATGCTATAATTTTTGAAGAGTTTCAATGCAACAGCCCTTTTTTTCCCCAAAAAAAAAAAGCATTCTGGTGCTATGAGCTATGATTATATTGTCGTGGTATGAAAAAATTTAATGACGAAAAATGACTAATAAAATTTTACCTATATAGCTCTTATATGTGATGTGGTGAGATCTATTTAAGGCAAGCGTAGATGTTAATGTTGATGATAAATTTCTCTCTTGCTTGTCTCTATTACTGCCATGTAGTGATGACAGTGACGACAGTGAAGAAGACATGTCAAGCAGCTGAAATGCGTACTTTCCATGGGTGCTGCATTCTTTTTCACATCATTAGGATGACGACACACAGAGCAGATAAGCGACCAAATTTCTCTGGGCACGTTGTTATAGTGGCAATAGTAGATGGATGAATTTACGCAGTTGAGGCTTGATAGCCAATTTTGCCATCGGGGTAATGGTTTTGTCTCCATAATTGTAAATTAGATGAGGCGTACTTTTTGTAACTATTTGTGATAATATAGTGTTTTATTGTTTATCCGTGCAACGATGCTCCTTGTCATTGCTCCGCATGCTGATTATTTCTCGTGTTTGGATGCTCGGCGTCTCAAGTTTTGTCATTATTTGTAGTGAGGGATGGTAGGAAGGGTCGGTCAAAGTGGGCAAATTGACGACGGGAGATGATATCAATTCCAGATTTATTTCTCGTTGTGCGCGCAAATATTGAGATTTGTGCATATGCCAAATCAATTGAATATATTAACTAAATAGTAAATTGAAATGCAGAAAGAATAGCCATCATGAGCCATTCGATGTAGTGCTAAGATTACTGTTTATTCTAAAATTAGAGTTTGCGGCTATGGCGTGTGGATTAAAAATATATAATTAATGTAAAATACTATTGTATACTTTGAATATTGAATAGTATGGTTAATTTTAAGATAATTAATTATTGAAATTGAAGGGGGGTACGGTCTAGTGATCAGTGTAGGTGGAAACAAGAGATGAGGAGGAAATGAAAGCAGATGGGAGAGGAAAGCGTTGTGATTATGATATGATATAAAGCGGCAAGAGGACTACGGGGTGGGAGTGGTGGCGAGGGAGTTAGCAGGCTCGATCTTGCCCATCATGAAGCTGCCAGGCCTCACGCTTTCTTCTTCGTCGTGGTATGCATATGCAAAGCCGCCATGCCTCGTCAGATCCATTCCCGCCATCTCGTCTTCCCTCGATATCCTCAGCAGCTTCATCTTATTCAGCACGTAGAACAGCGGCCCCATCGTCGCCGTCACCCACCCGCACACTACCACTATCCCTACCACCTGCGCCGCCATCAGCCTCCCTCCCCCTCCCATCAGCAGCCCGTACTTCCTCCCTCCTCCGTACACCTCCTCCACGTATTCCTTCTTCGCCAACAGTCCCGTGAACAGCAATCCCCACGCTCCGCACCCTCCGTGCAGCTGCGCTGCCTCCAGCGGGTCGTCGTACTCCGCCCTCGCCGCCAGCTTGTTCAGCCCAATCAGCACCCATGCCGCCACGAAGCCGCATATGATCGCCGCCCATGGCTCTACCACGGAGCACCCGGACGTTATCCCCGCAAAGCCCCCGAGCATCCCGTTACACACGTCTATCACGTTCCAGTGTCCCACCAACAAGCGTTTTCCGAACAAGGTGGTCAGCGCTGCCGTGCACCCAGCCAATGTCGTCGTCACGGCTGTTCTACCTATCGCACTCCATTGACCATAATAACTCCCACCTCCTCCATATCCCTTCAAGATCGTCAGGAAAGAGCCCGGGTTAAACCCGTACCACCCGAACCATAACAAGAAGGTTCCCAACACAACGAGGGAAGCGCTGTGCCCCCGCAAGGCCACAGACCGGCCTGTCCGGTCGAATCTCCCAATTCTTGGACCTTCCAGATAAGCACCCCACAACCCTGCTATGCCGCCCACCATGTGTACCACACCCGAACCAGCGAAGTCAATGGCACCGGACCCAAATAAAAGGCTGCCGGCCCGAGTGGGGCTGGCCCATCCGTCAGCGGACCAGAACCAATGGGAAACGACGGGGTATACGAAGCCGGTGAGAAAAGAGGAGTAGATGAGGTAAGCTACGAATTGGGTTCTCTCAGCAATGGAGCCGCTGGTGATTCCTGCGGCTGCTATGGCAAAAGCCCATTGATACAGGAAGAAGCTGTAGTCTCCGGACGGAGAAGGGAAGTGTCGGAGGCCGAAGAAGTGGCGACCGATGAAGCCGTTGGAGGGAGACCCGAATGCGAAGGCAAATCCAAAGAGATAGTAAGAGAGACCGCCGGCAGCGGCATCGAGCACGTTGGTGAGCATGATGTTCATGGTGTTCTTGGCTCGCACGGAACCGGCGCACAGCATGGCGAAACCAAGTTGCATGGCGAACACCAGATACGCTGAGAACAGAAGATAGGTGTTGTTGACGGCGTAGGTGGTGTCGCTTAGCTTGACGGATATGGCTTCGAGTTGGGTACAGAGATAGGTGGCAGCACCGGTTGCATTGGTGGCGGCGGTGAGGAGTGGGGCAAGGTCAGCGGCGGAGCAAGAGAGAGAAGCCATGGGGATGGAAGTGAAGAAGGAGTGAGCGAGGGATGGATGGAGGCTGATTTATAAAGATGGCTGGAATGTGTTTTTTAAAAGCATTGGGATGTCACTAAAAGGAGATCGACGGGAGAACGTAGCTACGTGCCTTCTCTTGTTGTAGCAGCAGTATATATTATGATTGTTTGTTTTATTTTATAATTTATCAATATAGAATAATTGTGCTGGTCATGAATCCATCCGTGCCGACCATATTCGGTACGTTCTGGTGAGCACAAATCTGATCTGACAAGAAAGAAGAGGAGGAGAGAGCAGAATATATGGGTCCAAAATTATAAATGACGCATGAGGCTCTATCTATGTGGTTCCAATTTGTGCGCTCAACATTCACATGCGTCCAGATTCCAGGCGGATTAGAACCAGTGAACTGGTCTGTATCAGAAGCGTTCCTTAGTGGCTCTCGTGAAACATTGCTTTTTGGGCCATATTACAAGCGATGGCGGGGAAGTTAGACATGGAAACAAGAAATTGGAGATGCATCAGATTAGCCCCGATAGCCTATCCCCAGATTGGTTGCTGATTTTATTGAGCGCAGGAAATCAGACACTAAACTTGATGTGCATGTGTCCAGTCCAGCCTCCTCTAATTAGCAAACATGCCCAAACTACTCCTCAGAAATACTCTCTCTATTCATAAGCTTTCATTCCTTTACTGATTCATTACTTTCTTCGTGTTCGCCCATCAAGTATTGAGTTGTTTTTCTTTCGGGAGAGAAAAAAAATTGCTGACGAGAGCGATGACCTCGACATAATTTCTTATGGCCGTTAACGGAATTTGATATTTGTGGTCCTTAGATTTGCTTGTATTGTCTTCATTTGTTCTGGGCAAGCCGTTGGCTTAGATGTAAGACCAAGGGAAGTAACCCTGTTAAAACAGTACAGTAACAGCTAACTCCTCGCCCTACTTAAATCTTCTTGTTTTTATTTCCAATATAATATCTGGCCGTTCCTTGATCAGACGTTCTCATAAATATTATTCTTTTCTGGAGTTCCGATTATGCCCCCGTTGATTTGAGATCTGCTTAGGAACTGAAAGGGAAAGGCAATGACGGGAGAAGCAGTGAGTGAACCAAGAGTACAAATTCATTTGAGTGATCAACTGAATATTTATATAAACATGGCTGTCCTTTTTGGGGAAGACACAAAAATAGTAATTAAATTATGATGCTGCGAGCGGACACCGAATCAAGTTATATTAAACAAACCTAACCCAACCATAGAATGAGTAATGCCTCGTACATTTAGCTCATTAGCTGCTGGATTCAAGGGGAAATTTCTACGGACCTCGCATATGGTCGTTGACTTAGAGGTTGAATGATTTGTACGTGAAAAGGAAAGATGGTTATATAATTCTTTTTATGATTGTCCCCCCAGTGAAGCTACGGCCATTTCAGCCATTATTATATGAAGTTAATATGGCAAAAAAAAACATAATTAAGGAAGCAACAGTAGGGTAGTAAGGATCGAATCCATCGTGTTCGGTTCAAGCAGCAGATTACCGTCATTGTTAGATTAGAAAGTTGAAGCGCTGATTATTATATAATTGGTAATTATCGTGATTAAGTGAGGAGAGCAGGCTGAGCATAGAGACTAATTAAATATAAATCCATATTATTACGGCATGATCAGGGGATCTGACAGGGACGAGCTAAGTACCTTGAGCAGTCTTGTTTAGCAGCGTCTTTGACAATCAGATTAAGCAATATCAATATGATCTGGGCTTTTGTCAGCAAGCATGCATGCACCAATATAAATATATATATATATGTATATATATTTGGATTTTATATAATTAAACTTCTTCGGCAACATGGTGATATATACCAGTAGGAAAATGACAGCCTCACACACACAGACACACACACACACACACATATCTATTATATAAATTATATCATTAATTGGGGATGTGACCTGCATTTCGTGGAGCTTCCATGCGTCTGAAAAATCACTAAATGATAATAAAGCCCCCAGTCACTGACGTGGAACCTATATGAGGCTATAACCAGTCACTGTTCCATTCCCTCGCTTCACTTGACAAAGAGAAAAGGCCAAACTGATGAAGCACTTGTTTAATTAATTAATTAAGCATTCTCTACCGTGCTCATTTGTTGTCTCCCCAGAAGCTTGTGGGATTCCAACTGCTTTCACTCTCGTTACATAAAATTGTGCTTCGACTTGACAAGGTGATAAACTGATATTTGATGTGGACGATTTCTAGCAATTTTGTTGGATTGGGTTAATGCAGGCAGACTGACTAGCCCGTTGGGCTTTTTTACCTTTTTTTGCTAACATGCTTTAGCCTGTGGTAAAACAGATATGGGCGAGCCCAAACTTCAATCACTTGGGCCACGAATGCAGGCCCAGCTCCAAGAGCCGTGATTTTGAAGGATTCCTTTCAATCTGATGACGACGCTCAAATTCAGGAAGCAAGGAACTAGGCTGCTTGAAGAATGGAGAAAATTGTTGGGTTGGTTGAATCAGAATTGATGCACTGGTTAATAAGCAGGGATTCATCCGTGAATACGTGATGCAGGACAGCGAAACTGCCACGTTATGAATGAATGAACAAATGGGCATTAAAAAAAGAGTAACTACTTGTATCCGACGACCCCCTCAACGGCTGACTGAATGGACACAAATCACCATCTACGGTGCCACTGGCACCCATCACACTCAGACTGCGTCGTCATCATCAACATTCATTCCTACGTCTGCCCGTTATAGCAACCCTTGATTCGTGTACTCGTGTCTCACTTGGGCGTCCGCCAATTTAAACTTACAGAACTACGGCAAAAACAAAAGAACAAAAAGAATACGCAATGCTTTATATTCACACGAGGACAAGTGATCGCACCAAGGTCAACAAAACCATGATAATCGTCCACTCACACAAGAAAATACGCTATGAGAAGATAAATTGAAATTCTTGTCTCAATATTCTTCACAAATCAGGTAAACAAAATTAAACAAGTTAAGATTGTTGGTCATGGGCTTTGACATTTGATTGCCTTATCATACCATTCCATTTCACCCGTGACAGAAAGCCAGAACCTGAGGCAAGCAACCCGATCTTCAAAATCAAAACCATATAAAGGAGGATACACTTCATTTTGTAATTCATTTTGCCCACTCCAAGTCTAGAACTTGTGGGTCCACCTTTGATTGATGATCATGCTTGCCTCTGGACTGATCATGAGTCAGACGATCCCAACCCATAATGTGCGGCAATGCAAACTGCATCAAAGAGCAACATATGGCAGAATGTACGACTAAATCAGAAAAACAAAATCTTGACCCTGCTAATAAAAAGCCGAGATATTGAACACTTCACATCGACTCGTAAGTCCAACATATCAAGAGATCAATTATGCAACATTTCAACATTATAAGTATGAGCAAGAAAAGAAAAGAAGGGAATCTGCAGGAACCTAAAAAGAAAATATTTGCACAAACGACATAAATGAGTGCAACAGATAAAAAAACAAAAATTGCATTCACAACATATCACCGGATTTAAAGTACCCAATTCAACTGAAATAGTGGTAAATTTAACACTATGTGGCACTTAACAGATCTCCTTTCTGAATCAGAAAACTTCTGATTCTTAATAGCCAATAAAATGTTAAGCCAAGATGCAAGGCATCTCTAGATTGCATAAATTAAAGTTACAAAATGGTGAATGTGACTGTTTAATAGATAGATCAAAAGACGACAAGGTAACCATTTTGCTAAGAAGATCCTTGCTAATGAAATAAAATATTAAATAACCTCCCCATGGCATGATTAAAGTAATATAATAAAAATGATTTGAAAAAAAAAAAAAGAGCATACGCTGCAAGCAGTCTTCATCACAGCAAACTCAGCAGTTGTGACGGGAACAGACAAGTATTCTTTGGTTTTTAAAATGTTGTTGACAACAGCTGCCAAAAGATGTTGATGTACCAGTGAGCGTATGAGCGGGCATTACATGAACATCAAAGCCAACAATATAGGGCCTTACACAAAGACATAAAGTAGCAAGAGCTGTCTGCGTGTGGCTTAATTGATAAGCTCTTCCTGACCTGACCAGCATTACTGCAGCATACAGTAATTACTAAACCATCAAGAACTAATTTTTAAAGCTCATACTGCATAAACTATAAATACAAAGTACAATTAATAGGTTAATGCTATGTGAGTTCCTTCACTCCCCACAACGGTTCTCCAAGCTATAATGATTTGGTAGAGAGGTAGTCAAAAGTTAATCCCAAAGATTACAATACAAAGGCCTACTTCAGATCAATTTTTGACAGAAACAAACCTTGATAACATTGCAGGGTCATGAAAGAATTCACAGGAATCTGTGGGGCCCATGCTTATCAAAGAACCAACCTCCGTCGCTGAGAGAGCAAATCTCTACGAAAAGGCAACCACCAGTAAGTTGTGACAGAGAGTACTGATAAGTGCAGATTTTATAATTAAATATGTATAAATTTTAGGTGATATTAGATTGAATTTTTAGATACTTTATATCTATTTAATTTGTTTTATATATTTTCCTCCCAAGTCTAATTAACAATCTAAAAAGATATATTTTCATAAAATCTCCTCATGGCTTATATATTTCGCAGATAATATAAAATAAAATAAGATATTTCAAAGGATGGGATTGTTAGTTGTAATTATCTCTGAAGATAAAAAGAAGAGGAAGAGACGTGGGGAGTTAGGATGAACATGTGGGGTCATTATCTGTAATTTTCCCCGAAGCTCAAGGAAGAAGAGACACATGGCAGATGCTGGAGGGCTGTCTTTATACGCAATATTTGCTGGCAGAGAAGAGGGTCTTAAGCCTAATTTTTTCTAAAATCAGTGAAGTGATTTAATCGTTTATTTGGACTGCATAATATATATTTTAATCTTTTAAGAGTCCTAGAGGAGGAAAACTTCATATATAAATAGAGGCCCTAGGGGTCACTCAAGGGCATCCAATCACAACTCGAAACTATTAAGAGCAAGAAATTCTCAAAGTATTGAGATAGAGTCAAATTCTTATCTCAACTTCTTTAATTTCTACTGATTGTTTATCATGATTGGGAATTTTAGAACGGTGATATTTATGAATTTCTTTGTGTTTCTCTAAATTCCCAGTTGGGGTAAGGATGCAACCCATTGAGAAAGCTAGTTTCTTTTGTTTTGTTTTGACTTTTTTATGGATTTTTTTTAATGAATATATTTTAGTTTTTCCAGTTATATATGCTTCTCTTGTTGTTCATGTTGATTTTATAATTGATCACCATTAAACCAAATCTATGGGTAATCTTGATGGACTAGGAGCTGAAGAGAGAACCTAGATTTAGAGAAATAGACATAAATATTTAGGCGAGGGATAGTTCTAGATATTTATGGTGACTTAAACTATAGCTTCATAGTTTAATTAGTTATTTGGGTATTGTGGGAATGAACTAGGCACTAATTACAAAAAGACTAATAATTTGGGAAAATATTAGGACGCCTTAGGAATAGTTGTCACTATAATTGAATAAAGAGTCAAATCAAATGATAGAAACGAGCTACCTATGGGGTGAATCTTGAACCCCAACCTTTTAAGTGACTGGTTTCTCCTCATAATCAATTGTCTTTTGCTTTTCTATTTTAGTTTTAATTCATTCTCTTCAAATAATTTGGTTTATTACTTTTTGTTTGATTATTAATTATCGAGACTAGTAAATACACAACCTCCCTGTGGGTACGACCCTAGAATACTCTAGGATTTATTACTACGTCTATTCTGTGCACTTGCAGAGCAACCAAGTACATATGATGCACAAAAAGATCTCAAATTAGTTCCTTCTCATGGGTATTTATTATGGCAACTAAACAAAATATTAGTGACATGTTGCAACCAAGATACTCTAGAACACGGTTGATTTAGCCTACAAGGCTGACCTTCAAACAACAAAGTACACTAAAAAGATAAAGGCAAAAAAGGGGAGAAAAATTATTCACCTGTTTCTTCTCCCAATCATATTTGCGCTCACCAAGAGCGGGTACAAAAGTCATCATCATTGAACCACAGCGATCAATTACAACGGCCCCAGACTTTGAAAGTGGAATTCAGAAAGAAGAAATTTTGATTAAGACCACAAAAGAGGTGCTCAATAAATTGTGATAAAGAAACTACGAGCTTACATCCAGCTTAGTGAAAGTTGGAAGTCGGGGACTCAGAGAGAGTGCAGCTTTGCCTTTGAAAACGGAATATGGAACATATATTTGACTTGGAGTATATCCTGCAGGATATCAAGTGGAAAAGAGATGCAGGGTCTTGATTAAGTTAACCTCCCAAAAAAAAAAGGCAAATCCAGAAAATGCTAGTTTAGAGAATGCCTTTAGCGGAATAATCATTTGTTGCCGTAGAAATGCCAGCTGAATGGGTAGTAGAACCACACAGAAGCCATAAACTGTCTCTGAGATCAGCTTTCTGAGATAACATTGTCTCTGATACTCGATGGCTTATTGATGATATCAATTCAAAAATCAATAGAACTATACATTATTGCTCAATACATATCGATGATAATAATTTAATATCACTGAAGGAACTTTCATAGTTCCACGATTAATAAGCACATAACTTACAGTATTTACAAAACCAAAATGTATCTTATCATTTGAAAGGACAAAGTTGACCTTTTACATAGAATTTCTTGACGAAGCACTGTCTACTGAGAACAATGCCCACAACGTTCGTTATCATATCATCGGTTATATTCTCACAACCCAGTAAAGCCAATAAGCCATTGTCTATACACAACGACCCCCAAAAATTATGTTATTCAATTAACAGATGTGTAGTGGCATACAGCTAGGAATGAACTGAACCCTGATAATTTAGATAAACCTAAACTTTCTTCGTAACCTTGTTTGTGTTAGTATATCTCTGGGAAGACGCCAGCTATCATATTTAGGTTTTAAATCGACTTCTTGTGGTCAAACTCTCAATGAACCGTTCACTAAGCAGAACAACAACAGAGGGAAGAGAGCATCACGGGTAGCCAGCCAACAAGACAAGGGGTGGCGAAATAGGTGTGAAATTTTTTTTAGAGAACCTCAGCAAAGAAAAGCACGGTGTGCCAAAAAGAATCGAATACTTAATTTCACGGCTTCAACAGTAATATGAAGAAATTTTCCTTCTCAAGCTTAATATTCGGGGCTGCCACGGGAAGTTTCAAGATATTTGTCTCGCTTACAGAAGGGGGGGTTACACTAGGGCAAGAAAAGTATAAAATAAGAGAGGTGAAAACAGCAGGTGTATATAGCGCATAGGTGATACAGAATGACAGGGAAGGCCGGAAGGGAGCCTTCGAGGAAACGAAGTTCAGTACCTTGAAGCGAACAAGCGAGACAGCTTCAACATTTTCGGACAAGCGAGACAGCTGCAGACAAGGGGGTCTAGAGTGATGTGGAGTGTGGACTTTGACGGGATTTTAATTTTCGCGGATGGAACTGAAAATTCTTGTGCCGTCCAGTCGGTTTCCGCTTAACGCGTTGACCCGAGTGCACCACACGGGTCTAAAACTCGATCCGACAAGCATGTCAAATATTTTTTCTTTTTAAAAACACAAAATCTCTTTATTTTGGGGGCGCGTGGCGTGTTCTCCGCCCTCGGATGGGTCGTGCTCATCGTCATCGTCCCGTTTCCTGAAACGATTGCCCAGTCTCAGCCGTTTATGTCCACGTAATAATCTGTACCGTCCAATGGGCTCAAGTCCAATGTCAACACACGGCCCTCGCACCACCGTCAACGTTCATGTTCACGGATTTCAATCGCCAGAAGAGGTAAGAATGGAGAAACATGGGAAAGTTTTACTGTGGTCGAGGATTTATCACTCCCGAAACATAATAATTTGATGAATAGAAAAATTTGGAAGAAAACATATAACAAGATAAGAGACAGAAGAATTTATGATAGATGGGGAAGTAACTTCTTAAAAATTATGAGAACAATGAACCAGAAAATTTTTATTTGGAAAGCTAATAAAGTAATTATAATAGAACGGACCAATTTAGAATTAACAAAAAAAACGAAAAAGCTCTTTAGCTTTGTGATGGTTTTTGAATTTTCAGTAACGCTTGTTCGGCGGTGTCCTCTGCACTGTTGAACTTGACCCAGATGTTGTTATTTAAGATTGAGTGTTCACGGTTGACTCGGCTAGTGGGAATCTGATCAGGAGAAACGAAGAACACGAGGCACTTTTCATGATTCAACAAGCCCCGAAACTTGCCAGCCATATATGTGCTGCCAGGTTTGAACTCCAGTTCGATGTGAAGCGTCCAGGACTCCGCCTGTGGTGGGCGTCTTAAAGAGAACAGCAGGGAGGAACAGACACTGAGCACACTCCCGCATTGACATGGCTTTTTCGGTTTTGAAAGCACTATCTTTGACATGGTCTTTTTTACTCCTGAACAATCACATATTTAATTTGACATTTCTAAAGAGAGAATAATTTAAACAATGCTAATACATCAATGTCAAAAGTTATTATAAAATCATGTTACAATAATAAAATTATCCCATACTACTAACGTGTATTATTATGTTATTATTTACTATCTCTAGTTCTTAATAGACCTCGTTTGACTTTTATTTTGGTTCTAAATATAAGACCCCAATCTATTTTGTCTATTATATTTATCTTTTTTTTTCTAGATAGTCCTTCCAATAATGATAGTTTTAACAATAAACTAAATTAACAAGGATATTTGAGGAAAGACAACACATATTTATAACAAATAACTAACTTAATTTATTTTCTTAATCTGCTCAAATTAGTCAACTAGCTTTTATATTTAAGACCAAATGTAGTATTTTATAAGTATATTTACAACTTATTTATTATTGATGTGACTTTTTTTTTTTTGGGGTTTTGAATTCAACGCGGCTAAGGAGTGTTTAGATTAATTTCTTAAAAATAATTTTACAGAATTCCGTATATTGAGAAAAGTTGTGAAAGTATCAGGGTGTTTGGATTTCCAACAAGGACAGCAAGTGCGCCCGGGGAAATGGGAACCATGGCGTTTTGGGCAATCAGCAAAGCCTCAATTTCCGAGCCTCACCGTACGATTTGGTCTGAAGCAAAATTTTGGCGCGTTATGAAAAGAAGTTGGTACATAAAATGGGGAGGGAGAGAGAGAGAGAGAAACACGCAGTTTTGCATTATTCATTTAAAGGGTTAAAATACACACGGCATTTTAGATTTCTTTTAAAAATATATTCAGTACCTTAAAATATTTAGTGATGTATTTACTATCTTAAAATATTATTTAGTGTAATTTTACTTTTGAAATTTAAGGTAGTAGATGCACCAAAAAATAATTTAAGATATTGAATGCATGTAAAAAAAATATTTTAGAATATTGAATATACCTAATTATAACTTAAGATGCTGGACGATACTTAAAAAAATATTTTAGAATACTAGATATACTATTAAGTACTTTAAGTTATCTTAAATATATCTAATTAAGTGTTTTTCCAGCATTTATAATTTTTCTTATAATATATTAAGTCTTTTAATTTTAATATTTTTGTTAAATTTATTAAACTAGATACATTATTTATATATATAATAAATTTTATGTCTTTTTTAGTCATTTTACATATAATTTTTTTTTTACTTATCCAAATAAGTTTTAATTTGTCAAACTAATCTTTTTATAAAAGTTAATCAAAACATAAATCACATCATATTAACTTATTTTTATTTTAATTGACTTTTATAAAAATAAAATAAAATAAAAATTAATTTATCACCATTAATCCAAATACAGTCTATTTCTAAAGTATTGAATGGTATGGGTTGGATGGAAATATTTGGAATCGCGGCACAAGCATGCACGGTGGAGCGGTGGAGCGGTGCAAGGGAAAAGAAAGTGTATTTCAACAAAAAAGGACGCATGCACATATCGACGGGGGAAAAAAAAAAAAATTAGAGAGAGAGAAACACAAGGAACACCCATAAATTATTCGGGTGAATCCTTCGAGTTCATGGCCTAAGGGGCAGGCATGACGCGGACGCAGAGAACCGAAGGAGTCTAGGTTCGCTTCATGTAAATCTGCGTGGGCCCTACTCCCATAGCTTCTCCATAAGCCCCGAGACATGGGCGAACTCAAATATCTCTTGGCTTTCTCTATTGATTCAGCCCACTTACTGTCGGTTTAATTTTCCTTTGAAATCCTAGGTAAGTGCTTGCGATGAAATATTTACTGATTTAGGGGAAGATCATAACGATTGAAATCTGTTCTCTTTTATGCATCACTCCACCGCGTGACTGTGTGTGGCCTTCCTACCTACAGAAAGGACAAGGTGATTCGGGTCTTCCTATTTCATCTCTTGGTATAATCGCAGCTTTCTTTGATCATCCTGAGGTTCTTCTTCTTCTTTTTTAAGTTAGTTATTTCCAAAAATAGAAAGAGTATGAAGAGTTTGGGCAGATGCGATTGTTAGATCTCGAGTCTTGAATTCCGCAGATTATGCGTCCGCATCTTACGAATTCTGCTGGTGGACGAAGCTTCACTTGCCTTTCTAGAATAGACTTGGATAAGATTTGGAATATGATGTTTTTTTGCGGATGATATTCAAACAGACTAACCAGACAAGGCGCCATGGAAAAAGCATCAGCCTTTCTTTTGTTGGCTTATTACGTCGTCGTCTCCGTTTCTGCCATCGATAGTGATTATGCGCAATGCAATTGTGACGAAGAAGGGCTTTGGAGCATACATAACATTTTGGAGAGCCAAAGAGTTAGTGACTTCTTTATTGCCATAGCATATTTTTCAATCCCCGTTGAACTCCTCTACTTCGTTAGCCGCTCCAACCTACCCTTCAAATGGGTGTTCCTTCAATTCATTGCATTCATAGTCCTTTGTGGCTTGACGCATTTACTTAATGCATATACTTATTATGGACCTCACTCCTTCCAGTTGGTGCTCTCCCTCACAATTGCTAAACTCCTTACAGCTCTGGTCTCTTGTGCAACTGCAATTACCCTTTTTACTCTGATTCCTCTTCTTCTCAAAATCAAGGTGAGGGAGCTCTTTCTGAAGCAGAACGTGTTGGACTTAGACCAGGAGATTGGAATGATCAAAAGACAAAAAGAAGCAAGCTGGCATGTTCGTATGCTGACTCGGGAAATTAGGAAGTCTCTGGATAAGCATACAATCTTGTACACTACACTTGTTGAGCTTTCTAAATCATTGGACTTGCATAACTGCGCTGTTTGGATGCCAAAGGAGGATGGACGAGAAATGGACTTAACCCATGAGTTGAAAACAAGAAACCCCAAGATTTATAACTATTCTATTCCCATAAACGACCCAGATGTCTTAGAGATAAGAAAGAGTAAAGGGGTAAGGATTTTGAGACCTGAATCAGCACTAGGAGCCGCAAGTAAGGGGGGATCTGGGGAGTCAGGTGCTGTTGCAGCTATTCGTATGCCACTGCTTCATGTTTCAAATTTTAAAGGGGGGACGCCTGAGTTGGTTGATACGTCCTATGCTATTCTGGTTTTAGTTCTTCCAAATTCAAACTCTAGGGCTTGGAGCCACCAGGTGATGGAGATAGTGGAGGTAGTTGCTGATCAGGTCGCTGTAGCCCTGTCTCATGCATCTGTTCTTGAAGAGTCTCAGCTTATGAGACAAAAACTGGCAGAGCAAAACCGAGCCTTGCAACAGGCTAAAAAGAATGCAATGATGGCCAGTCAGGCAAGGAAATCATTTCAGAAAGTGATGAGCCATGGTATGCGCAGGCCTATGCATTCAATCCTGGGTTTGCTTTCAATGTTTCAAGAGGACAATTTGAGATCTGAGCAAAAGATTATAGTTGACACAATGATCAAAGTTGGCCATGTTCTTTCAAGTTTGATTAATGATGTGATGGAGATTTCGGTAAATGATAAAGGAAGCTTCCGGTTAGAGATGAAACCTTTCAATTTACATTTGATGATGAGAGAAGCTGCTTGTATTGCTAAGTGTTTATGTGTACATAGAGGCTTTGGTTTTAAAATTGAAGTCCAGAAGTCGTTGCCTGATCTGGTGATAGGGGACCAGGCAAGGGCTTTTCAAGTAATTTTGCATATGATTGACTATTTATTGAACATTTATGATGGAGAAAGGACTTTCATTTTTCAAGTTTATCTTGAAAATGATAACAGCAATAAGGACGATAATTTTTTGGGAATATGGAGATCAGGCGTGCAAAATGATTATGTATATATAAAATTTGATTTTCAGATAACTGGTACAAGCTCACGGTCAGACGAATCAATTTCAACAAGACGCTATGCTGGTGGAAGGCACTACAACAATGAACCTAATGAGGACCTAAGCTTCAGCATGTGCAAAACTTTGGCTCAGGTATGTGCATCATTCTAACATATTTAATATATATAATATAAATTATTTTCTCCACTTGATATAGTCATATGATGCTCCCTGGGTTGATTTTTGAAATTGTAGGTTATAGCATTTTCCTGCTTCTAAATTTCTCACTTTAATTTAAAATTTGTTGGCAATTGGACTGTATGCAGCTTAGGACATTTTTGCTTGAAACAGCCTATGTAAAGGTTGATGCTTGATTTTATAAATTTAATAAAGTTGTCAGATGTAACAGTAAGAAATAATCAGGAAGTGAGTACGCTCTAAAAGATGTTTAAAAAAACAAAAAGATGTTATTTTAGTATATGCTGCATCAAGTGTTGTGCTGGGTGGGAGTCTTGGGGACCTATGTTGCATGCTTGCTTGTTTAAAACAACAGTTTTGGTTCAGAAACCTTTGTTGCCTGATTTCTGGTTTAGCTTTAATGGAGAAAAATGCAGTGGATGGGTTGAATGTCTTTTCTTAAAGAGCTAAAAGCTTCCCCACCCCCACATTCATCATTTTAATGGTCATGTAAACGCTTTTCTTGATAAATGAACAAGAGGTTCTTTGCATAAAATACATTAATTCCCATAGATGTTTTACAAGTTAGTGAATGACTGTATTCAACTTTAAGTTTAGGGGCATATCTTGACATACACATTTAAGGAAGAGTATGACATAACCCCCAAAAAAATGGAGGAAGGGATTGAAAGGTAGTTACTGGCATTTAGAACCATATATATGTAATGGCCAGTTTGTTGTTTGGGGTGTCGCAGAGGAATTCCTTGAATTGCTCTCTTTATTAAGATCCATGTGGCCTCATGTAAAGCGGACGAAACAGCGTCAGCTTATATTTTTGAAGATCCTTTGTTTCAAATTGGATGGCGCATTGCTCTGGCACTTTCTGAAGTCACTTTTTCTTTTTCATCCTATGATTGAAAGTACGTAAGTTTTTTATTGGAACTCATTGACAGTCAAAACGTGGATAACTTTCCTGATTATAGAGTGAGTACTACGTCAATCCTATAGTATTGGCTTAGATGGTTGATCGACTCATTTCATGGCCTTCTAGTTTTATCAGCTTTTGCCAAGTGGAAACTTCAGTGAAAGAGGATGTGTTTCTTCTAGCACTGTATTGAGAAAGTCTAATTCTGTGTGATATGTTAGTCCATAATACTAATCAGTACTTGAGATTCAATTTTGGTTGAACAGGCTGTTTAAAAGGTGCTCGCTTTGCTTGTCTGTTATGACCTGTAAATCTAATTTCTTATTTGAATTTAAGAACGTAGTTGCTCTGTCATCATAGTTTAATGACATTGCGCATATGCTTTGTTTCCCCCGCTATTGCGAGAATTGTTTATATTACATCAGTCACTCCGTATGGAGGTAAATCAAGGTTAAATTTTCTGATTTTAATCTCATTGGCAATTAGGCATGATCGAGAAAATATTTTGGTGTCAGAATTTTAGTAATATGAGCCCCTGTGTTCAAGGAAACAAAGATGATGGCGGGTTTGAACGTATATGGACTACCCTATGGAAAATTTTTTTGAGATCATTATTGTTGCTGGATTTTCATTTGAGGTTCATCAGCTAGATCAGGAGACCAATCGGCAAAGGCCGTCTTGCATTCGTGTTTTTGATTAGTGACAAGGGGTGGGTAAAGAAATTAAATGAAATTTATATGCCTTAGAAGATTGGTTAAGTGGGAGCATGCTCTCTATGTGAAAGGAAATGTGAACTTCTTTTCTTTTTTTAATATTCTGAGGCTGGTGGATATTGATATGATCTTTTGTGGTAATTCTAACTTTACAATGCGGAATAACTTGCAGATGATGCAGGGCAATATCTGGTTATCACCGAACGCTCTAGGTTTGGCGCACAGCATGACACTTGCTCTCAAGTTTCAGATAGGGCCATCTCACGGAAGAGCCATTTTAGCACCTAAAGATCCTTTGGACTCTCGGTTCAGAAGCCTGAAGGTTGTGTTAACCGACGATGATGATGTAAACAGGACAGTGACGAAGAAACTTCTTGAGAAGTTGGGTTGTCAAGTAACTGCTGTTTCATCGGGGTTTGAATGCCTGGGTGCTATAAGTGCATCTGGTGACACATTCAAAGTCATCCTTTTGGATCTGCACATGCCTGAAATGGATGGTTTTGATGTGGCTATGAGGATACGGAAGTTCCACAGCCGCAACTGGCCCTTGATCATTGCTCTCACAGCAAGTGCAGAAGAAGATGTGATGGACAAATGCCTGCGGGTTGGAATGAATGGATTAATTCGAAAACCTATTCTTCTGCGAGAGATGGCGGATGAACTTAGAAGAGTCCTGCAACGCGCAGGCGAAACATTGTGAGAACTGATAAGATTAGGACGATGCCAAAAAGTTACCAAAGCATATAAAACCTAGGCATTCTGACTAAGGAGAACTGAATCTAGAGTTCTTTGACAAATAAATTTGGGGGGTTCATTTTGTTAACCGTGCTCTTCATCGAGCTTCTTTCCGCCAAATTATGGGTTATGGTATGAGGTCCAAGAATTCAGCGTACGCCCCTTGTGGTAGCATGTACTTGATTTTATGGTACAGATATCTGGGGGTTAAAACGAACTTTAGCATTTTGGAATATAAATCGTACAGTTAATTTTACGTTCTAATTGGTTAAATCCATCGACTAAGATGATGTGCGATATAATTGCTCCCCACAATTTCCGGAGTGTTGTTTTAATATAAAATCGAGTGCTGGTGTTTAATTGCATCGTGTTGCCTTTGATTATCCTCACGCCAGTTTCAAGCAGATGTCATTGCAGGAGGGAATAGCGCGTGCGCGCGCACATACGAAGAGAAACAAAAAGAGGGGGTTTATTGGCAGAACTCATCTTCATAATGGGTCATTGATTGAACTTAAGTTTTTTAGGTTTAAATATTACTCCTCCGATTCTAATTATAAGACCCAATTGACTTATTTAAGGAGATTAAGGAAGTAAGTTAAGTTGATTATTTATAATAAATAAGTGTTATCATTCTTAAAATATCTTTGCTAATTAAGTATATTGGCTAAAACTATCATTATTAGAAGGATTATCTTGGAAAAAAATGAATAAATATAAGAGACAAAATGGATTGGGGTCTTATAATTAGGACCAAATAAAAAGTTAAATGAGGTGTTATAATTAGGACCGGAGGAGTACTATATTTTAAGCAGCCAAATTCATGTTAACATCCCCACAGAATAAAAATAAACAGATGAATTAAACCAAACCTGACGAACATAGGGAATGCGATATATTTATGAAGAACCACTTAGACGTAACTTTAAAATGTTGTTGTGAAAAAATAAAGCTAACTCGTGCATTGGTATGAAATTTGAGAACGGATGATATTATTCATGACTGGTAAAAAGATAAAATTCTTTATACTTTTAAAATTTTATTTCTATGTTGCTTATTTTATTATAATAAATTTTAAAAATGTAGTGATAAAAATATCAATAATTATAGATAATTTTTTAAATTATAATAATTTTTAAAATTCTATAAGGAAAATTCTTGACTGTTACTAATTCCCTCGTCTTCATAGTAATTAGAGTTGGTCTCCTTGTTATGTATTTAGCCGATGTTATATTTTCGTTCAACATTACTATTTTCTGTGTTTTTTTAAAATACTTATTTTTTGTGGAATTAAATATCTTTTTATAATATATTATACTAGTTATTTGAATTTTAATAATTTCATATACTGCTTCCGATCCTAATTATAAGATCTTATTTATAGTTTACAAACGGGGTCTTATAATTAGGACCGGAGTTAATACTATCTATGGTTTTTAATACAAGAACTAGTTGACTAATTTGAGTAGATTAAGAAAGCTTGTTGAGTTAGTTATTTATAATAATGAGATGTTTTCCTAAAATACTCTTGCTAATTAAGTGTATTGACTATAATTATTATTATAAGGACTATTTTAAAATAAATAAATAAATATAAGAGATAAAGTGAATTGAGATTTTATACTACCTCTGGTCCTAATTATAAGAGCTAGTTGACTAATTTGAGTAGATTAAGAAAAGAAGTTAAATTAGTTATTTGTAATAAATGAGTGTTGTCTTTTTTAAAATATCTTTGCTAATCAAGTGTCTTGGTTAAAACTACCATTATTAGAAGGATTATTTTAAAAAATATATATAAATATAAGAGATATAATAGATTTGAATTTTATATTTACGATCAAAATAAAAATTAAATAAGATTTTATATTAAAACTGGAAGTAATTAAATAAGTTTTTGTACTAAGAAGCGGGTAGCATAGTATAAGCAAAGGCGTCAGGGCGGGGTTTAGTTGCTCCTCTCTGGCGCGGCGGATTCAGAGAATGAGCTGCGAAGCACAATACTTTTCCAAGGACTTTGAGTGGGAAGAATTAAGGGCAGAGATCGAAGCAGACCCTTGTTTTCGTTACCACTTGCTCCCATTTGAGCCGTCTTCTTCTTGGAGACAAGCAGAAACCGACGTGAATGCCTGGGAGCAGTTTCACAGCCGTCATTCCTCCGGAAAATTCTTCAAGGTTTCTCCGATGCAAGATTTCTTTATTGGACATTTATTTTAAACTGTCTTTATTTGTTAATTGCCTAAACTTTGATTCAGGAGAGACGATATTTGGTGAAGGAATTCCCTGAACTGCTTTCTTGTGGAAAAAACGCAGTTTTGGAAGTAGGTTGTGGCAACGGAAGTACTGCTCTTCCCATTTTACGGTAATTTTCTTCCCGAGGAATGGGTCGGAGACAATACTGTGGTGATCTAATTTTTGTGACCTTAAAACAACATTAGTGGATCGAATCCTAAACCCTGACTAGTGATTACTTCTAATTCGTATTATCTTTTTGTTTGGCTTGGCCTATTTCAAAACCCTTTTCCCACGTTGAGGACCCAACGAAAGAACTGATATTCGCTAATCATTCGCAGTATGACATAAGGACAAATTTAACCCCAACCCTTTAACTGGTCCTATGCGGGTAGTATTTACCTTCTAGACTCTGGACAATATACGTGAAGGAATCTGCTTTGAGCGTCCTGTATAGAGACGCGTTATTTCAAGTGAGTTTGATTGGTTATTGCTCTCGTGCAGACAATCCGTGTCTGATTATGCACTAATGTACCCCCACCATGTTTCCTGTGGAACACAGGCATGCCCTAATCTGGAAAGTCCGCCCTGTATCTCCTTTCAAGCGGCATGCTTGATTTGTTACACAGAGAGCAAGCTTCTTTTGCTCAGTTGTGTTTGTGTGGTGTGTTTCCGTAGATTTTTGGCTAGTTATAACATGGGTATACTGGTGCCCAGAAACTCTTGATATATGCAGAAGGAACTATGTCCCTTGCGATTCTGTGCTGATTTCTTGGTTTGATGATGCAAACATGCTAAAATCATTGAGTGTGAAAATTACCGGAAATCCAAAACTTTCTTGAAGATGGCTTCCCCATGCGACAGATTCACACTGCTTCTTTAGGAAACTTGAGTTTTAGTTGCATATTTGTGGCTTACTTGAGGTCGACTGCTTATTTAATGTTAATGGTTTAATGATTCTTGGATCAATTATATCCATTTTATACTCTTTTTTTAATACAACGGAAAGAATATCCATTTTATACTTTAGCTTTGAGAGAATTTAATTGGTTTCAAATGTTGGGTGATAGTTGCGAATCAGTTGTTCATTCATGTTTTGTTGGTTTGAAGATTAAAATAATTTGCTTTCCTTTAGTCAGTTTGTTTTATTAGCTATTGGTTTTGGACCTTAAAATTACTGTTGTTAACAAAATTTTCCTGTTTTAGAGCCAACAAAGATGTTATTGTTTATGCATGCGACTGTAGTAGCAAGAGTTTGAAAAGAGCACAAGAAGTTATAGGTTCTGCTACAATTGGCTCTTTTGAAGACCGTTTCCACACATTCTGTTGTGATGTTTCCACTAATGGATTTCCCCAGTGGTTGGCATGCAATTCTTGCCGAAATAAGTTTTTGCAAAAGCAGCCAAACTGCTTGTCAGGTTTCTGCTTGATCTTTCTGGTAGTGGTGTGTTCTATTTTGCTTTGCCATTGGATAAGTGAGATTTAATTATATTTTCTCCAGAGTTCAAGGAGGGCAATGAACCATGTTTTACCAATACATGTTCACCAGATGAATGTGATGGTTGTACTGGTGGAGTAGATTTTGTAACTTTGGTAAGACCTTTTCCTTCTAAGCTATCATGTTTAATTTTATGATGTTTCAAGACCACCAGTATATATATGAGACCAAAACTAGTGTTTAGAGTTATTATATCAATGGTATGTTATTCTCTATGCTTCTCTTTAAAGTCAATATCTCTTGTCATAGAGGTGTCTTCGCATGCATAACCATCCTTTTTAGGCGCTTTTCAATTTTATTCTGGAGGCACGCATTTTTACTCTCATCTTGTGGCTCTGACGTGTCTATGACTTTTGCTTTTTCAATGTCTTGGTGGTAGTATAGTCTAAGATTGTTTGGCCTGAAGCGATGCTATATCTTTCTTGTCATCTGTCTGGATTTTTCCACTTGCACTGCAGTCTTGTGTCTAAAATGAAAACACGTTTTGATGACATCTTAATGTATTAGTTGCCTGCTTTTGATGGATAATTTATCAGATATTTACTCTATCAGCAGTACCACTGGAAAGAATGTTGAGGTCCATCAAGGAGTGTTTTGCTGTGTTGAAGCCTGGAGGAATGGTATTTTTCAGGGACTATGGTAATAAACTAACAATCAAGTTTATCTGGAATTCTTGTGAAATATTGTATGCTGTGGCGCATTTAGCGGGTCGTTATCACAGTATTTTCTAACCAAGATACAAATCAGGTCTGTATGATATGACCATGCTTCGATTTGAGCAAGCTAAGAGAGTTGGATTCAGGGAATACAAGCGATCAGATGGCACCCATTCATATTTCTTCTGTTTAGATACTGTCAGAGACCTATTTGTTGGTGCAGGCTTCACTGAGGTACCGTGTCCCCCCCCCCCCCCCCAAAACAAAAAAAGATTGGAGGTGCTTATTTTATTAATCTGAGAGTCGACTTTTGGGGCTAATGCAAGTGACGAATATTTCATGTTAAAGAAGAAACAGAACTGTATACATAATATTGTGATCCAGGATTAAATTATGTACTTATCTGCGTGCTCATTGATGTGAACTGAACTTAGCATCCGTTCATAGCGTAGTGGTTTTCAATATACGGTCTGCACATCATAGAACCTCCCACCTGTCAACCTTGTGTAGCTTGTGTGTCTCATGCTGTTTCTGCAGTGTTTTTGACGTATGGGTTTTTGCTGTCCGCCATTTAATTTTGTCTATGAACACTGCAGCTCGACCTTGATTATTGTTGTGTCAAGTCCGTGAATCGCCAGCAAGGGAAGAGCATGCGAAGGGTGTGGGTTCATGGGAAGTTTCAGAAGCCTAAGTTTGTTTAGAGTTGTCTAAGAATATTTGCGAAGTGACATGTAAGTTCTGGAGAACGTATACGCACTGGGAGAAGAGATGGAAGAAAAGGGGAAACCTTTATGGTTTGCAGTCCAGTGATGGAAGTTTACTGATGCAAGATCCACCGTTTTCTGAATACATGAACCAGCCACCCCCCCCCCCCCAAAAAAAACCCCGGGGTGAAAAAACCCAAGGCAGCGTTGTTTGCTCTTCATTGGTTATCTCGTCTGCATTTGTTGATTTACAAGTGTACTGTGACTATTTTCACCCAAATATAAAAAAGGTGTATTTGACTGAGGCTGAGTACGTTCTTCTGTCAATCCTGTTAGTTTTAGTTTGATCAAGTAGTAATAGACAACCCTCTGCTTCCGGATAAATGCTATTTCAGATTCTTCTCCAACGTTAAACAGAGCATGCATTCCATTACTTGAAAAATCTACCATGCACATCATTTAATCGAGTAAACAAGCTTCGGTTACTCTAATGATATACAATAAAACAAGAGGCTGAGCTAGACAATAAGATATTTGGAAGCCACACAAAGCAGGTCCCGAAATCATTCACTTCTATGCTTAATTTCAGGCTCCGAGCTCCACTTCCATCTCAGCGTAGCACATCATATCCAAGGATCATGGCTTCAGGCCTCTGACCGCTGCAGCAAAAATCTATCAACGAGGCAGTCAGCACTAGGAGTGGAACCACTTTATCAGTTCTCTTTTACTTGTTAGCAGTATGTCATTAAAATAATGTAGGCAGAGACTGAAATTCAGAAAAGAGAAAATGCTGCATATTTCCCCAGGGAGCTAGAGCATGCTAAGGATCATGCATGCACATATGCAAGTGCCCAGCTTCACCTCTTTTCCCCTTTTACAGCCCAACCTGGCTCTGACCACAACATGATATGCATCCGCATCAGATATAATTGCATGCAAAAAGCAAGTGGTAACATACCTATTATGACATAAATGAAGCGACTTAACTTAATTAGGCTTTTTGAATTGCTAAAGTAGAGCCACTGCTATGCTAAACACAGACAACCTGACTGATTTTATGCCATCAGCTATCGCCTAATTAAATTAAAGATAAATTGATAACCTGATCTAGAATCAAAATCAAGTTCACAATGTTGAAAGCAGATCCCAAGAACAACTCAGCTATAAAACAGACACTTGAGAAAAGGTAAGGAAAAAAAAAAGTCAGACAAAGCCATGCACGTCAATATTGGACAATTATATGAACAGCCCTTTTGTTTTTTTTGGGAAGGGAGCAATGCAATCCAAGTTCGTTCTACACCAGATGGTCGTCACGAAATCTCTATTTTGCTTGCTTTACTTGCATTATTATATGAAAAGGCTAAGATTTCCACAGGGAATGACCAAAAATATATAACGACATCAGTTATACAGGGAGGAAACTGCAAACCTTAGATGGAGGCTGGGTATGACTCAATGCTGCATCAGAAGATCGAATTTGTCTACTGCTTCCTTCATACCTTTCAACTCTTCGTTTCTCCTCCTTTTTTGATGCCATAGACCCCTGCCCAAGTTCCAAATAAAAAAGACAGAATTTTACACAAGGAGAACGCCCATACACCAGAGACAATTACAGATGGTAAGAAAATACAAACCTTAGCTGGTTGTTGAAGAGGTTGTCTCCCATCTGCACCACGATATTGATTGTACCTACTGCTTCCCTCGTACTGGCCATAGTTCCTTTTATCCTCATGATATAATGGGAAAGTCCCATCATCAAATGTCTCACTGTAGTTAGTGGATGATGTTTTATCCTTTTCCCTAGATCTGCTCAGTGATCGTAAATTATAAGATTTCACAGTTTCGGTCTCTTTATAACTAGTATTTGTTTGATAAGGTATATTGTTCTGAACAACAGTTTGAGAATTCTGATCCTTCTTTGAGAACTGCAAAGCTGCCTCTTGTGCGCCAGCTATGGCCAGAGTTAGGGTTGATGATCTGTCTGCTTCAGAAGATGCTTCCAAATTAGGAGAAGACACAGAGATGCAGCCTGGCTGCAATGAAAATGAATCATGTGGATCTGGAAGGGGAAACTTCACTGGAAGCGGACTCGCAACAGGAGACAGACCTCTAACTGCAGCTTCATATATCTTATATAGGTAGGGTAATCAGCCTTTGCACAAAAGAAATACCACGAGGAAGATGGAAATGCGAAACCATATTACCTTCTTTTCCAAGTTATAAACACCTTGATATCCTCTCATCTCAAATGGAATCAACAATTTCTGGATAAAGGATGGAAAAAGCACCTCACCAACTTTCATAGACATACATAAAGTTCTCACACCTTACAGTTAAAATTGAATTGAATAACAGTTGCAAGACGCAGACCTGTGGATGTTCACATAGCCAGCAATAATTAGTTTGAGCTTCCAGCCTAACCTGAGAGCACAAGGGTCAAGTCTGGATAACCATGAAATGAATCAATTCAAGTTTAAAATTAAAAGGGGAGAGATAAATCAGCTTCCTACGCTTTCAGGGACCTTCCCCCAGCAGGCTAGCTCTTCCTGTCTTAAGCAGCCTACAACCTCAACACAACCTGTAGGATGAAAGAATTCGTGTTCTGTATTCTAATAGGAAGGGAAATATTGATAAACTGCAGTGAAGCAAAATGGAGTTCGTTCTTTTTTATTCAAATGAAGAAATATATAGTCAGTTAAGATGATAGATGAATAACCGTTTCACATAAAGTCAACCTTAAAATGCATCTACCAAATGACTTTTAAGTGTCAGCAAACGGAATGCAAAGTTAGACAATCAGGTACAAGGAATAGCGGAGAAAGAGATGGAGGGCCAATGCTCGTTTACTCGCGCGCAGTGCCGACCACGAGCCAAAAAAATTGTGCTTGTTTTGAAGTACTATAAAACATCACTAGAAAGAGAAAGTTATAGAGTGTAAATCAATAATCCAAAGAACAAATTGTGCTTTTTTGAATTTCAAGAGGGACAAGGAATAGCGCCGGTCTGAAATTAGTCTATGTACATTATTGACATTGGCTGCGATCATGATAAAAATGATTAAGAAACAGTATAAAAGAAAAAAGTCTAGATTTAAGGAAGAAACTAACAACAACAAAATAAATTCAGGAAGTTAACCCATCAAGATAAAGGGAAATGGTGCCGGACCAAAACTTATTTAAGCTAGGGCGGTATTAACCACTGGTTAATATAGAGAACCAACACAAGGCTTAAAAGAAACTCTTAATTGAAAAGAACGCAATTCTGTATACCCAAAAGCCTTGAAGTTGGATAATGCTCTGGAAACTTAATATCAGTTATTCCATTTACAGCATAAATCTCCCTGTAGAAGTACTCCATTGCCCTGATAGTAGACTCATCAGGAACTTTACTGGCAGCATGAATCCAAAGACGACCTTAATAGACAAAATTGTATGCAATAAGAAACCATTTTGTAGAGAACTAACAACAGAAATCATTCAAAATAAATAATAGATGGAAAAGGAAAACAGTTTACCAATAGAACAAGAAAATGGACGGAAATAATATTGACGCAGGCATCTACTACGGTTTCTTTTTTCTTTTTCTTTTTTTGGGGCGGGGGGGAGTAGGAAGAAAGATTAGAGTAGTTGACTTTTAGAGCTTATGGCTCTTCACTTTCTATACGTAACAGACGCCAACAGGACGTACGGTGTAGAACTTTGGACTGAGGCTTCTTATCTTAACATCAGCAAAATCCCGGGACCGGGATCCGCATTAGAGATATAAGTGGTGCATAGAGAATACGTAGCAGAGAGTAAACGCGCGAAAAAGAGGAAGGAATTTGCCACCAAATACCTCTGACGGGAGCAGGCCATGACCTGCCCTCAATGCGCTTAATCCCGTAAACGAGCAGAGAAGCCCAGGGTTGATGCATAGTCAGACATGGGTTCCTATAGTTCCCGGAATTATTACCTCTCATCGTTCGCGACTCTGCACTCGAATCTCCAAGCAGCACACGTTTAATTCTGAAAAAAGTAAATAGACTAGTAGGCAAGACGCGGAGGAGTCTCGTTTTCTCTGGCCTTCAGACTTAAAAAGTGATTCTGTGATGAGTTGCGTGCACAGCTACTGGAAGATCAGTCGCTGCCGTTGATTCGCCGGTCAGAAATTGGCCTCTTAGGTTTGGTAACTTCTTCCATCGCCGACGCACGCAGATTTTTAGTTTTTTACATTAAAATTGACCCCATGTTTTTTTTTTTTTTGCCAACAAAATTGACCCCATGTTGAATGCTGGCTAGGATGCCAGCTCAGCATGTGACGTGGGCGGAGGAAGTTGAATAAGAGGTGAATCAGTTTTGTTTGACTTCTCCCCCCTTCGGGGCAGTGCTTCAGTGAACCAAGGGAAGGAGATTAAAAAACTAGCAATACGTTAATTAAATACTTATTTATATTAAAAATTCACATAAGAAAATAACAATCTTGTTGGGGGAAAAATATGCTTCTTCCAGCTAATAATATATTTTGAGTTTGTATCTCCTAGCTTGTCTACTGAAACTTTCAAGAAGGCATAAGTCAGGTTTAAAATAAGCTTCATCAGATCCATAGATCACACGTATACATAGAAATATGTATATTCAAATATTCCTAGAAGCAAAAGAATGAAAATCATTATGAGCAACCAATATAAGTTACAAATATTAATTTAAATAATTATAAACATGAATGTTTCAACTGTAAATTAAGTATTTAAATTGAGTAAGTTACTTAGATTAGAGGCATCAAAACAACGTCAATTGTGAATGAGAAGAAAATTTGGTAAAATACTATTTCTGATCCTTGATATAAAATTTTGTTTGATTTTTATTTTGGTCTTAAATATAAGATAACAATCCACTTCATCTCTCATGTCTATCTACTACCTCCGGTCCTTAATATAAGATTCCATTTGACTTTTATGTTAGTCCTAAATATAAGACCCCAATCAATTTTGTTTCTCATATTTACTCAATTTATTTCAAAATAGTCCTTCTAATAATTATAGTTTTAGCTAGCATACTTGCTTGGTAAGGATATTTTAGGAAAGACAACACGTATTTATTACAAATAACTAACTTAACTTCTTTTCTTAATTTCCTCAAATTAGTCAACTGGCTCTTATAATTATGACCGGAGGTAGTATTTTTTTTCAAGATAGTCTTTTTAATAATAGTAATTCTAGCTTATATACTAATTAGCAAGGATATTTTAAAAAAAAACACATATTTATAACAAATAACAAACTTAACTTATTTTCTTAATATACTTAAATTAGTTAGATAGCTCGTACATTTAGGACCGAAAATTGTGTGTGTGTGTGTGTATCATTTTTTTTACAAGAAAAGACAATAAAATACCTTTAAAATTGCTAAATGGCATATCACAATGTGAGCAAATTTTAAAATCCTGAAAATATAAGGACAATATTGTCATTTCATGACATTTAAAAATTTTAAAATATTATAAGAAATCTGATTTAGAATTTTAAACTCTACCCATCTTAATTTTTTTTAGTCATTTTAAGAGTATTTTTGTGTCTTTTCTCCTATTTTTATATATTTACTAGTTATTAATTTGTGTATGGTAATTAGCAAAGATATTTTTAAAAAAACACATTTATTACAAATAACTAACTTAACTTATTTCCTTAATCTATTCAAACTAGTTAATTGGCTCGTTTATTTAGGACAGGAGATAGTATATATATATATCATATTTTTTATAAGAAAAGACAATAAAATATCTTTAAAATTGCTAAATGACATGTCACAATGTGAGCAAATTTTAAAATCCTAAACATACAAAGACAATATTGTCATTTCATAACATTTAAAAATTTTAAAATATTATAAGAAATCTGATTTAGAATTTTAAACTTTACCCATCCTAATTTTTTTTTAGTACTCCTCCGGTCCCTATTATAAGACCCAATTTGACTTTTTATTTGGTCCTAATTATAAGACCCAATCCATTTTGTCTCTTATATTTATGCATTTTTTTTCCAAGATAATCCTTCTAATAATGATAGTTTTAGCCAATATACTTAATTAGCAAGGATATTTTAGGAATAACAACACTTATTTATTATAAATAACCAACTTAACTTACTTCCTTAATCTCCTCAAATAAGTCAATTGGGTCTTATAATTAGGACCGGAGGAGTACTTTTAAGAGTATTTTTGTGTCTTTTCTCCTATTTTTATATATTTACCAGTTATTAATTTGTGCATGGTGAATATAGTAACCCGAGGCATATGATATATTTCAGTAATTTGTTTGGGGAAAATTTAGAGCTTTTACGGTTTGTTTATATATTAGGGATTAGAGGATCTGATAAAATACGTATGTAAGAAAAATTTTATTTTTAAAAATACTTAATATTGGAGTTTAAGGGTGTGTTTGGATGACACCAAACCGTGGTTTGGAAAAGTGATTCTGGAGAATAGATTCTGAAAAAAATAGATTATGTGAAGAATAGATTTTGTAAAAAAGTGATTCTGACAAGTGAGAGTGTTTGGATAGTTGTTATCAGAAGCACTTTTTATATATACAAATTACTAAAAAAAAGACATAAGTTAATATGATAATTACAGAAAAAATAGATTTTATGATATATTTTAATTTGAAGAAATAAAATTGTTAATAATATGTTTTTTACCAACATAATTAATAATACATAAGATAATATAATTAATAAATAATTAATGTCTATATATATTTATAAAATATAAGATTAAATATATTTATAAAAAAATATGTTTATAAAAAAAATAACAAGATACATATCATATAGGCCCACACACTCTCCCTTTTTTCTCCAAAAGCAAAAAAATTTTGCTTTTTCCAAAACCATGGTTTTGGAGTCAAAACCATGGTTTTGACCCAAAACCATGGTTTTGGTTTTTGGAGAGGCTGTTTGGGTAGCATTTTCTCCAAACCATGGTTTGGGTCCCCAAACCATGGTTTGGGGTACTATCCAAACAGAGCCTAAGTATAGTTACAGAATTTGGCCGTTGAGGGGGAGACCTATCCCTCTCGCCTCGCTGTGCATTTTCCCCTCTTGCTTTCCCACTAATACGTTAGTGCGGTACCTTGTCGAAAAAGCGAAAAAGGAATTACTTTCACGTTTCACCTATTCTTTTCTCCACAAAGAAAAGGAATGTCTAAAATTCTATCGGATCCAAACGACACCTTTCGGCAGCAAAACGACGTGAACCCGTCACTCCTCAGTTTCCCCAAGCCCCCCAGACATGCCATTCGCATGCTCCCTCTTTTCTTCATCGTCTACTTCGTCTGCGGATTTTAGGCCTTTGCATCCTATCCAATAAAGACGTTGACTTTCGGTCTCCTGGGGAGGAGAAATGGATCAATCAGTTCTTGATGACATCATCAATCGTCTGCTTGAAGTTCGTGGTCGTCCGGGTAAGCAGGTTCAGTTATCGGAGTCAGAGATCCGCCAGCTCTGTGTAACTTCTAAGGAAATTTTCTTGCAGCAGCCTAATTTACTGGAGCTTGAAGCACCCATTAAGATTTGTGGTATTTTAATCGTTCCTTTTTCTTTGTATTATTCTGTCTTCTTCTCTTGTTGACGAGGATTCTGCCTTTCATCCTTTGGAACGGGATTATTATTCAACATTTTCAACAGAGAATTGTAATTCGGGGAATAATCTAACATGCTTTTTACTTGGTACCTGCCATTCCTCCTTGTTGTGGGGCGATTTCGCGTTTCAGCATACGAAGAGCTGTAGTAGAATATGGTTTCTCCTTGTTTAGAAGGGGAATGTTTTCAAATTTGAGATTTGGATGTGAACCAAGTGTTTTTCTCATCATTTTGACATTGTTAGATGATTCCATGATTAGAAGTTGACTAAGAGACTGTGAACTCAAAATCCCCTCCCTTTTAAAGTGGGTGATTCAACTACTTGTCTGCTAGTGGTTTCAGATTGCATGTATCTCTATGCAAACTGGTCTGTGCCCTATGAACTTCGATCAGTCCCGAACCTATTCATGGGATGGGATTATTATATATTTGATAGCTATTTATCTTCTGTCCTCCCGTGCCCATATTAAACTGTCAATAGGTGTGAATAAAATGCTTCCCCTGCCGCAAAATGGAGCAGGTAAAATTGCTCCACACAAGTTGTGTGGTCTTGGTCATTACTAACCGTGGTTATATATATATATATATATATATATATATGAATGCTGCTTTATGTCTACAAAATCTAGAATACGTTTTAGTGTTTTGCCATGTTATCCGACCACAATCTGCATTCATAATTTAATTAAACACTGCTTGCCTGCTGGGCATTAAATTATTTTATATCATTCTCTCATTTTCCCAGTTAGGATTTGAAAGTTGTACAAAGATAGCATTCTTACCAAAATTTGGTGATGTCATAATCTGCTGCTACTCTAAGACGAGTTACATTGCTAGTGTAAGACAAAAGATTTGGAATTTTTCATTTTTAATGCTTAAAGATACATTCAGATTTTTTTTAAATCATTTTTTTGGTCCTGGTTTGTTTCATAATAATGAGCCGCAATATTGTCTTTTGTTTAACTTAAGTTTCACATTACTCAAGTTGCAATGGTGGCAGATTCACTGAGCATTATTGGTTTTTCCAAATGAAAAGTTGAGCATTCTAGTATTTTCTCCATTGCATCTTAATTGACTATGATAGGCCCAAGCCAGTGGGGAGCACTCCCCCTACTAAAATAGCTCACTGACTACTAACTGCCAGCCACCAGCTATGATGCCAAATGATAGGTGCTCAAGCAGTTGACGAGTTCTGCCAAAAGCTAGTTGTTGAGATGCCATTAAGTGCCTATGAGACTTCAGAATCCATTTTACTTTAATCCCTGTCAGGCTATCCATCAAAAATATTTGGGGTTTGGGGAGAAGGACTTTTAGAAATCTATAGATCATGCGACTTGTTGGATTGCTAAATTTAGTTGTTTCATTGCCCCTAGTAACAGGGATGCTAGATGTACAATGAATCATATTTTCTTAAAGATACAACTACTGCAAAGACTGCATTCCACCTTTTAGAGTATATAGGTTATAAGCAGTAGATGAGGTAATGACCTCAATTTACTAAAAATTAGTGCTGTTAAAAGTGGATGAGAGGCATTTACTGATAACAAACAAGAAAAAAGAGGATGATGGATGACATCAACCTGGCCCATTGTTTCAGGTGCCCAAGGTAGAACTCATTGTGCCTCTTGGTACCTCAACTGGATGTGGCCATGTTAGCTGCGCCTCATTTTTCCTGAAACCCTGATAGTGCTGCTACTCTCCTCCTTTTTGGTTAGATTAACTACTCACCCTGTACTTTTGTCAAGCTTATTTACTCACAGCTTTGATTTTAGATTTTTATGTCCTTGATACTTTGTATTGATCACCTTGCGTGGTTGAGGGTCCCACCCCAACTCAGCTTACTGGGGCTACCAACCTTAAGTCACATTATGCTTCTTGACAACACTGATAAAAAAATTGAAGCAAATTATGAATAAGTTAGCCTCAAATTGACAAATTTGCAGTAGCCTACGAAGATGCTATAGAGAATCCTATAGCACAGGCTACGCTGATTGAAACACAGATGAGGAAGTTGATCTTTATCTCACCTGGTTATTACTTTTTCTAGTTGATGTAGATTTTAAATACAAATGCCGGAGCGTACAACCCTCCAAGATATAGTTGGAGTCTACCGTGATTCGCTCTTAATTAAAGCTCTAGAATAAAATATTCTAAATTCATTTATTATTTTCCTTGCTGCCGAAAAGAGTAGGCCGAAATCCAAACTAAGAAATGCGGCTTTCATAAAACACAGTTCACTAATCTAATGATTTGCATTGTATAATTTTAACTATTTTATTACATCATATATTCAAAAACAAGAAAAGCCTAGTCTCAGCTATGCCAAAGACTCGAATTATATTTCACATATGCAATAGTTGAACACTGAGATGTGATGCTAGTAACAATCATTGTTACTTTGTTGGAAAATGTTGTGAACCTAATTTGAAATCTGGAGTGCTTAAGGGTGCAGAGATCCTTGAATTATGCGGATGGAATCCATCTATTGCATGTACTGTTAATTTTATGGCTTGGATATTGTTTGCAAAAAGAAAAATTTCTTGTCTTCAAATGATTTCTTAATTTTCTTGCCTTGTTCTTTCAGGTGACGTGCACGGTCAATATTCTGATCTTTTGAGACTTTTTGAGTATGGTGGGTTACCCCCTAATGCTAACTATTTGTTTTTGGGGGATTATGTGGATAGAGGGAAACAGAGTTTAGAAACAATATGCCTTCTCCTGGCTTATAAAATAAAATATCCTGAGAACTTTTTCCTTTTGAGAGGAAACCATGAATGTGCTTCTATAAATCGAATATATGGATTTTATGATGAGTGTAAGAGAAGATTCAATGTAAGGTTATGGAAGACATTTACAGATTGCTTCAACTGCCTGCCAGTGGCAGCTCTTATTGATGAAAAGATTCTGTGTATGCATGGGGGACTTTCACCTGACTTGCATAATTTGGATCAAATAAGAAATCTACAGCGACCCACTGATGTGCCAGATACGGGTTTGCTTTGTGATCTACTTTGGTCGGACCCAAGCAAAGATGTTCAAGGCTGGGGAATGAATGACAGGGGAGTTTCTTATACATTTGGTGCTGATAAGGTGACAGAGTTTCTTCAGAGGCATGATCTAGATCTTATCTGTCGTGCTCATCAGGTTGAACTCTTTCTTTTGTTGTCGAATGTCATGTAGTTTTCAGGATTAAATTTGGATCCCTTGTGTATGGCAAGAGGACTGCGTAATATTGCCAGCAATCCTAATCTCTATCAGGACCATTATAGACCCTTTATTTTATGTAATTGTGGACTTTCTGCTTGCAAATTACATACAAATTACCTGAAGCAAGCACTCTTTCCTGTATGTTTTTAAGTTAACTATGCTTTCAATTTAAAGTGGTTTTCTTCCCTGTATGTTTTTGGCAGGTTGTTGAGGATGGATATGAGTTCTTTGCTAACCGGCAGCTTGTAACAATATTTTCAGCTCCTAATTATTGTGGGGAGTTTGACAACGCGGGTGCCATGATGAGTGTTGATGAGACGTTAATGTGCTCTTTCCAAATATTAAAGCCTGCTGATAAAAGAAGGCTCAATTTTGGAAGTACAGCCACTGCTAAGCCTGGAAACTCTCCAGCAGGTGTCAAGGTATGAAGATATATTCATATTTGCTGATTTGTATTATTTCGTTTTCCGTTTTTGGGGCTGTCCACTCTTGATGACTTGGGATTTGTTGATTATTCCCGCTCGTCTTCACTGTGCCTTGCAGTCCTTCCTGGGTAAAGTTTGAAATCAATTTTGGTGGAAGATTAGCTGGTTCAACAGGTCAGCTTGGCCTTTAACATGTAATAGCTTCAAGAAAAGGAAACTTGAGTTCAATTTGGTCTGCTATGATATGTTGTAAGAAAGAAGGGTAACACTATCATGAACTAATGTAAACCATTGTTGCTGGTACGGAGATGGATTACCAGATGGGGTCATAATCTCTTCCTTGTACGCTAACAGCAGGTATATGTTATTCTGAAAATTGTAAGCTTCTCAGTTCTCTCCGAAAGATGGATTCAGCAGCATTTGTTGGTGAGAACTAATTAAAAATGCTCATGCAACTGGCATTATTGATAGTTCGAGCGGGCGAAACAATTTGATAGTTCCCCCCCCCCCCTTTTTTCCTGGGTTGCCTCTTTGTTTTTGTGGAAACCCAAGTTTCTTTCACCTTGGAACCTGTGGAAATTGATTTCGAGGCACCGGAGTTTGCTTCATCCGAGACAAAAAGGTGCTGGCTTCTGGCAATTTTGCGGGGTCTGTGCGATCACACCTGTGAAGACGTATTCCTCGATGGAAGTGGGGTTCTAAGTTTTTTTTTTTTTTTTTTGGGACAAACTAGGGAGCATGAGTTTAGACGCCCAACACGACAGAGTTGAGGATGTACTTTCCCAGCCCTGCAGTCAACCCAGAGACGCTTCTTAATTTCATCGAACAGGATATAGACGTGGAGAATTAGAAGTTGTTTCTGTTGAGTTCTAGCAAATTACTGAAGAAAGCATGACCCAGTATCCGTATTGTAGTGCCTCCCACTGGATTCCGTTAATATGGCCGAGCATGCTTACCTTAATTCCACGGCTACTTTAAGTCGTTCTCTAGATAACGCTTAACTGGTGCTATTTAATTAAGATTAATGCCCAAAACAATGGATCTTGCGTCGTAGGTTTTTGGTTGGGACGACGTTCTCGCTGTATTCACATGCAGTGGGACCAAATAACGTCGGAAAATCAGTAGCAGAAAATCATATTTAATGCGATTGGAAGTATATCGAGCATGATTCGTAAATGGAGGGGTTCTTGATGTTGCCATGTCCTTTATATATTTATATATACATACACACACAGATAATTTCTGGTTTTTAATATAAAAACTAATTGACTAATTTAAATGTAATAAGAAAGTTAAGTTAATTATTTACAATACTCTTACTAATCATGTGTATTAGCCAGAACTGCTATTTGATAAAATTTTTAACATGTGCAACTACTACAAAGACTATATTGAAAAAAATAGGTAAATATGAGAGACAAAGTAGATTAAGGTGTTATATTTAAGACTAAATTAGAAATCAAACTTATTTTTATATTAAGAAATTGAGATAAGATTATATAAAATTGTAAAAGAAATACTCCCTCAGGTCCTTATTATAAGTTTTAAATAACTAATTTAAGAATAAAGTAGTTAAAAATGGTTTAAAATAGCAAATATGATAGAAATATATTTGTTTTCAAATATGTTTTTATAATAAATGAGAAAAAATATGAAAGAGCATGTATGGGAAAATGTGATAAGAAAGAAATAATTATGGGCAATAATGAAATGTTAAGACAAAATCAAATTAAAACTTATAAAATGAATTAAATTTATATATACTACAGCAACCTCTTATTTAAAAACAAGAGCTCAGGATGGAACGGCCTTGCGGATATTGTATTGTAGTTTGGAGATGTTAAGAAAAGGAGAATGCAAGAGAAGGCACGTGGGAAGGGCATCGAGTGTTATGAAAGAAACGAGACGTAAAGGAAAAGACAGAAGGAGACCTGTGTTGGCGACATGATTAAGGAAGCAAGTAACAAACATTTGGTTTTAAATTATCCACTTGGGCTGGATTAAGGGGAGATGATCACATGGGTGGGACCAGGCATTGCAGCGAAGAGACATGTGGCGGGTTCAGAGTTTGGCTCTTTCCCACCACGCCTATTATTGCTCTTCCGTTGTTCCAATCACCACTCCCCTCGTGGCTGTGCTGTGAGGGTCTTATACTGTAGGAGTACTGTCTACCAGTATATATGCCTACAGTTACAGTTGAAGCGTGGGAGGGCATTCAGGGGGGAAACCATTTCGCTTGCTGTGTTCCGGAACTTCCCACTTCCCACTATGATGAAATGGTGCCCTGCACGGAAGGGAAGGTTAGGTTGAAAAGGGCGATCAGGGGGCAGGTGGCGCGTGGTGGGTCCCACTCTCAGGGCCACATGGAGAGAAATTAGATGATACGCCAGGTGCGTACAGATAGCTTATCGTCCTGAGGATAGGACCGAGGGCGTTCTTCCAAATGAAGTTGTTGGGCAAAACGTGAGAACTGTTATGGACACGTAGTTAGTTAGTGGATGTCAAAGCAAGTTAGGATTAATAAAAAAAAATTAAAATACATCCGACACCTCAAAATATTTTTTTTGGAGTGTGTTTAGTATCCTAAAATATATTGTAATATATCTAGTATTCTGAAATATTTTTTTAGAGGCACCCAGCATCCTGAAGTATTTTTTTTGTCTTGGTACATCCAGTACCAAAGATATTTTTAGGTGTTGGATACACCTAAAAAAATACTTTAAAATATTAGATACACAATAAAATATTTTAAGATGCTGAATATATTTGAGAAAATATTTTAAAATGTTAGATACATCTGAAAAAATATTTGAAGACCCTGAATGCACTTTAATCCTTAATAAAATTTGAAATGGGAATTGCAATTTTAACGGAGGAGGATTTGTTGATGCCGACCCGCAGATGCCTCCATTCCATTTGGGATTTTTCAAAGTCAGGGGAAGAGGCCCCATCGTAATGCTGTAATCCGTACCGCACCGCACCGCATTCTAGAAGGGATCCGCATTCTCCAGCATGACTTGCAATGCACGCTTTCCAATGTGCATGTGGTCCCCGCTTCATCCCTCTTCCTAGCTCCTACCCATTTCTCAAAAAAAATCTTATAATTGCACTATAAAAGGATTACTAGAACAGCATCATATATTCTCTTCTGATTCTGTTTACAAAGAATTTTTAACATATTTTATACGAATTGAGAAAAATTTTAAAATATATCAATTCTCTATTAAAATATAATAATTTTTTAATTTTATCTATATTTAATATATACCTCTTTAAAAAAGATAATTACCTACAATATAATAAATGAGAAATAAAATAGTATATTTATACTGAAAATATAATAAATTTATTCATAAATATAATCAAAATAAATCTTTTCTTTTTAGTTTATAAATAGGATAAAAAGAGTATTTTTATATTCTTAGCAGCATCTACCCGTACTACCAGTATTATCCTCCTTCACGGAATCATAATCGACTTTTTGCTCCCTCGCATCGCATGGAATCAAATACCAAACAAAGAATCCGGCCTCCCCGCGGCTGTCCACATATGCCCCCGAATATTCCTCCCATTCAATAATAATCTGCCATATAAATAACTCAGTGCTCCTGTGAGCCTGAGATTCCAGATGCTGCCCGGCAGCACATATCCCGGGGTGTTATGGGAAAATAACTAAAACAACTTATCGGTCGTTGCGTTGAATCCAAATTCCAAGCATTGGGGTTTCCCGGCTGACCCGCCGCGCATGTGACCGCGGGACAGTTCAAGTCAAACCCCACTTCCTTTGCTGATTGCCAAAACCTGAGCTTCCGCGCCCGCCCCCCACTTTTGGCTCTTTCCGTGCCCCCCTCATCGAGTCACCGGTATTCAGCCGGCCCCTCTATTTTCTATATTTATTTTTCTTTACAAATTAAAAACACAAACTAAGTCTCAAGTACCGACCTTCATTAGAATTCCTATCGGATTGGCCCCCCACTACTTTTTCTTTCTTTTCTGAAAAAATAAAACAAAATTATTAAATATATTTATTCTCTTTTTCACTTACGCTTTCCACCACACATTCCTTTGCGTTCATAATTCTCTTTATTTTAATAATTTTCATTCCTCTCTTTTTTTCCTCATAACTAAAGATCATTTTAAAAAAATTACTTTTTTTATATAAATATTATTTGTAATCAGTTTTAACCAATTTTTTATTAACACGATTTCGTCAAATGTAAGGAGTATTTACAAATGAGATATCTCACGAAAAAATCAGGAGAATGTAGTCAGCTTTATATGAAGAGCAGTCAAAGGGCCAAAAAAAAAGAGAAGGAAAAAAAGCGATATCTGAGATTTTTTGTTTGACCAAGGTGATATGCGAAGTTCAAACGTGTATTTAAATATAAAACGTTTGGTTTAATTTACACAAGACTAATGACATTGAGATTTGAGGGGCTAGGCTAGAATTTAATATATTTACTGTTAGCGGCCAACCATGAAACTGAGAAATGATGGGCGGTGGGAGGTTTAGTCCTCCGGAGTCCGTAGAGTGCGGATCAAGAGATAGATGAAGGGAGTGTTTGGCATTCTTAAAATCGCAGTTTTAAAAGTACTTTTTTACAAAACGAGATAATCTCCTCTATATATTTACTTCGTAATCCGTAAAAACACTTCTGAAACTATAGTTTGATTTTTATCAAAACACCCATGAAATCTGACGTGACTGAGTACTATGGTCTATAGAGGATATGATAAGAGGCCAAAATATAGTATTCATTAATTAACGGGCACGAATACAATAACCCCAGAAATTCTTGCGCTTATATTGGGATGTTACATGACTTCCGCTTTGATTCTAGAAATTTATATATATATATTGTTTTTTTTTGAAGCTGAACCGTGGGGACTGGTAGGTAGACCCACCCTTCCTCCATTCTAATTTCCAGCTGAAAACGCCATGCGTGACGACACCATCTTCAACCCGTGAGACCTGATAAGTGGTACTAAATTACCAGTACTGCCCCTCGTCTTTTTCTCCATATCTTATCATACTTGTATTTATTTAATTAACTCTTCACACCACAGCCTAGCGGGGGAGGAACAGATCAGAATTACAGGATTAAAAGCATTCACAGTCCAAACCACTCCCATTACAGGAAAAACAAGAACCAGAAACATGGCCCTGCTTCAAAGAGGGGTAGGATATGCCCCTGCTTCCTCACTTCCTATTAACTTTTTAGGACGCAAAGCAAATTACAAAACCATCTGATACCCATAAAGCAGGATGCTCAAACCACGTGTATCTACAGCTCAGTTTCAGATGCTCTCTACTCTACATCTCCAGAAATTTTACATATCAAAAAGAAAGAACTAGCGGAGCTCGTTCGCTTTGGAATCTACAGGCTGAAGGCTCTGCTCGTCCCGGAGATAGATCCTAGCGGAAGACTGCCTGCGAATCTTATTGGAGCTTTCACGGCCGGACGGAAGCAACGAAGAACAAATATACAGAGGCAAAATTTGTTCAATTGTTGGTTCGCGTGTTCCCCATTTTTCAAGTCAGATCGGTGGCCTCTCCTCCGCTCAGGATCCAAGGGTGCCCTGCAAACCGACCATTTCGCTTATCAGCACTGAAATCCCAAAACCCCACTCACTAAAATGCATTTAGTTTCACAGTATACCGCCAATTAATTATCCGAATCTCAAGGCACAGGAGCAGGCAAAACGATTGAAGCAAAATCACCCGATTAATTAAATTTTCGACCAGTATACTCGAAACAAAAAGGGGAGAGAGAGAGAGAGAGATTAATAAAAAAAAAAAACATACTCAGGGCTTGCTCTGCAGATAATCGCCTGGATGCATCCCTGCACATCATCTTCCTCATTAGATCCTTAGCAGCAGAAGACACGGACCTGAAAACTCTAGACGGAAACCTCAGATTAGCCCTCAACACAGCCTCAAAGCTGTCTTCGGCCGATTCTCCGTAAAAAGGCGGAATCCCTGACAACATTATGTACAATATCACTCCACTACTCCATACATCTACTTTCTCGTTGTACGGTCTTCCCAGCAGCACCTCCGGCGCCACATAATGCGGCGTCCCCACCACCCCGCTCATGGTCCCTCCGTCGCCGAACCACTCAGCCGATCCAAAGTCCGCGACCTTAAGATTATTCTGGGAATCGAACAAAATATTGTCGGGCTTGATGTCCCTGTGGGCTATGCCGAGACGATGGCAATGCGCAATCGCTTCTAGGAGCTGCTTCATGACGGAAGCGGCCTCAGTCTCCAGCAAGGGGCGATCTATGATGCGGTCGAGGAGAGTGAGGGGCTCACAGAGCTCGACAACAACGGAGAGGAAGTCTTCGTCCTCGAAGACGTCGAAAATCTGAAGAATATGAGGGTGGGGGGAGAGGAGAGCCATGTACTTGGGTTCATTCTGGAGGCACTCGCGGTCGATGGAATCGGTGAGAAGGCGCTTGTCGATGACTTTACAGGCGAAGAAATCGTTAGAGACGGAGTGGAAGCAGCGGAAGACGGTGCCGAACCGACCACGACCGATCTCTTGGCACAACTGGTACTGCCCTTTGAGTTGCTCACACATTATACTATTATAGGGTTGGAGGGGGAAGGATGGGGAGAGGACTGGGAGGTGGGGCATTTATTTATAGAGAGAAGGGAGAATAGGTTTGGAGATCGAAGCTCGGAGCGATGCCTTGGAATATTCGATGGGAGGGTGGGTACTGCGACCAAGACCTTGCCACGTTTTGATTCTGTTGACACACACTCTCTCTCTCTCTCTCTCTCTGATCTCTCTCTCTCTCTCTCTCTCTCTCTCTCTCTCTCTCATGGCCCAATTTTCCAATTCTTCAAATTCTCTTACCCTTCTCCTCAGGCGTTCCTCCTCCGCCACCCTTCTCATCATTTTCAAGCACTATTGCTCTTCGTCTCTTCCCCCCCTTTTCTGGGTTTGACCTTTTGACCCACAAATTTAACTTAACCTATGCCGCCGTTACTGTTCAGTGATTTCGTGATTTGATTGGCTTGTGCGTCACATGATACTGGGAGTAATTAGTATAGCCAAAGCATGAAAACACATTGGTTTCAATTACAAGTATGTACACAAAATGCTATGGAATCTATGCCAATGATAGTTCCAAATTAGCTTTATTTTTTTATGGAAGACATAACTACTTCACGTAGAACCAGAATTATACATACATATTTTAATTAATTAGTTGCTAATAATTAAATAGGAACATTCAAATGCGACGGGGCACACAGACTCGCGTTCTATAACTTGGACTATATATACATATATATATGGTTATGATTATCAGCTACCTAATTCATAAGTCACAGAATTAAAAATGTACGTTAGTTGGATCCAAGAAACCATGCACCAAACGACCAGCAATCTGGCTCACCGTATGTGAAGCTTATTAAGCCTTTAATCCCACACTGGCTGACTCAGCCCTGATAATATAAATAATAATCATCACTCTGGATGTGGGACTGACAAAGAAAAGAGGACTATATCACCCATTGTTTAAATCCCAGAAAACAACAAGCTTCATCGTCGTGGGGAGAGCCCGTCATGTTTTATCGTCACGGCTTGCATCACTCTCAATCAGAGAAAAAGATCATAAATTCGATATTGGCCATGGCGACTGCAACCGGCCGACTGTACTACTGCAATATCATTAAAAGTCATGATTAGTTTTACTTTAGCGAGTCTTTATTCTTTTATTTGTGGTCTGAACCAAAGAAAGGCCCTTGCCTTCTCTTTTACCCCCTCTGGATTTCGGATGTAAACAGTGGCGGAGGCTACGCATGCCATCCAGGCCTGACCAACATAATGGCAGTAACTCAAAAGGCCTCGCTGATAAAGCTCATATCACGCCAGACAAGGTCCGGATAAGGCTAGAGTCCTTAAATATCAAAACAGACAATTGTTTGATTTCTTCTTCTTTTTCTCAAAATAAAAAAATCCCAATAATCAGCGATGTATTCATGAATCCATTCGGGGTAAGTGCCAGTCCAGTAGTCCTTCACGTATGAGTAAGGGGATTGCACCATCGCACTGCCTGATTTTTATCAAAAAGTATTCATATAGTGGTTGATCGGTCATGTCCTCACCATCATTAAATTATTTATATGCTTGTCAAAAACTATTTATTATAAAATAAGCCTGTTCACAGGCATGCAAGATGCCACCCCCACTTCTCCCCCTTTTAAGTTTCATTTCCGCCATTATTTGATACTCCCTCATTTCTTATTATAAGAAATAATTAACTAAATCACGTTATTCAAATTATTGGTTAAAACCAATTGAAGAGGAGCCGTGGAGTCTTTCTTCCATGATTTTGTATTCGTGATCTAGAAAATGCTCCGCCACAGCCCAACTCACTATCCCAGTGACTGGAATGGAATATCCTGTAAATATATATATAAATTCCAATTTCAATTAAGATTTATTAGAAAGAAGACGACCGACCGCGTTACTGCAAATATATTACCATGTTCAAAGGAATGAGTATATAATAGTTTATACGTCTGATAGGATAAAAATGTTTACAATGAGCATAGTAAGTAATAAAACAATTATTTTCTGTGTAAAATAATAAAATAGTCATTTTTATTTTGGCATTCCATTTTTATATTTTCTAATAACATAAATAAATCGTATTATTAAAAAATAAATTTAATATAATGAAAATAATAAATATATTACAACATTTATATTTAATTTTTAATTGGAAAAAATGTTTTAAAATTTTCAAATCATGAATAAGGAGCAGCCATCCATACCAGATGTTGAAAAGCCTTGAGATGTTGCTCTTCTGTTCTGTTTTGCCGTTGCTTGTCTTTTTTTTTTTTTTTCCGTGCCTGATAGGATGTACCCAGCTTATCATTCAAAAATAAAAACAAAAAAGCCTTCAGCCATCATGATATCTAGTCATCGAGACGTTATGGATCGCATCTTGTCGACCCTTTTGCTTTCGCTGATTCCTGAATATGTTGCTGGACAGTGAGAGGTACAGGTGGACGATTGTATCGGATACTACTACTTCATCAGGGTACGGAACCTTTGATTGCGGACATTCTTTTGTACGGCCACCCAGGCTCTTGCTCCCCCTACTTGGTGTGATGTAAAAGTTAATTTTAAACACCCAGAAACTTTTAAAATTTTTTTTTTTAAATTTAAGATAAATTTTTTCATATATTTATTTAGTATATTTTAAAATTATGATTTGGTTTTCATAAAAAACTGGTAGTTAAATAAGTAATGTCTAACAAATGCAAATTAATTTTTTAAAAATATTATTTTAATTATGATTATCTTTCAATAGAAACCTCAATGATTTGTGTACTTAATAGAGATATTTTAAAAAATAAATTATAAATTTAAAAAATAAAGTGAGTTAAAATTTTATATTTATAATGAAATATAATTCCTAACTAACCCATATATATACCAAAGGCAATATTTCCTTGTTGACTGAAAAATTGAGTCATATTAATCATAAAATATCCACTTGGGCAGGAAATCCAATAATTCTACTGCTATTCATGATTCATGAACACTGCCATCCCATAAAATTTACACTCACATCGCCAATTCATGAGTCACCCTCCATGTGGAGTGGACAGCAGCATTGCCGCCGGAAGCCGAAGTCGGGGGGGGGGGGGGGAGGACTAGGGGGCTATTCCACTAATCCTAGTTAATTTTGTGGCCTTCTCTATATATTTAAAAAAAATGATGCCGGACACAATTAGAAACTAAAAAATATATCGAATATCCTATTGGATCTGGATCAAATTAGAACTATGACCAATTTATCAATTCTATGATCTAATAAGCCGGTTCAATCTAATTTCCTCCAGCATCGTATGTACTCAAATAGAACTGAAAAGTCAATGCTTCTCGTGTTAATCTCAACATTTACCGTGAAATATATACGCAAGATTGAGGTGACGAAAAACTGAGCTCTCCAAATTCTAAAGCGCGGCTAAAGAGAAAATTAAGGTCGGGCAGTAAACAACTAGAAGCACAAATGGAAAAACAAATCAACTCTCATCAAATCAGAGATAAGTGTCTCAATATTATGGAAGCAAACCACTAACAGACCTTCAAAATTAACTTTGCCACATGTGTTCATTAATTTAGGAGCCCCAAAATAACAAGCGTATTCAATGAGATCAATTAATTCAACCTAGCAGCTCTCCACGATCGTCCTCACTTAGTATGGTCATTGCAACAACGCAACAAAACTTCCCTGATAATGGCCGCAATATTTGTCACTACCAGCGAAAGCCCTGAATATTGTCGCTGCTTGCCCAATGCCCATCAAAAACACATTTGAGGTGAAGCTCGGAATTTCCCTATCTTAGGGTTGAGTTGGCACCATCCACTTAAAAGCCGATCCTCAATCCAGTGTCTGAACAATAGCCGGTCCATCAGCTCGGGGGCATTCATCTTTCTCTATCCCTGTATTCATAGATTTGCACATGATTAATTGAGACCAAGTTTCCCACGCAGGTCCAAGCAAAAAAACGAATGAAGTCATAACATTTTGTCTGAAACCACAAAGCACAAAATTCACAACTCCCAAGTTTCTTCAGAGCACAATATTCACGACTATAACTATCAAGAAGTCATCTAGGAAGCTTAAAGTCATACAAATAGCACCCCAGTTTGCACGCTGTAGGAGGCATAACCGCATTAAACACAGAGCATTTGTCAGACGATAGCCACAGCACCATGCCACCATCATAATTTCGACATAAGCACTTACATAACAAGTCTTAAAAGGGAGCTTCCAGTGATTCGTCCCACACTTCTGCGCTCCCATTAGAGGCATCTTCTACATCTTCTTCCATTGAAAGCCTAATATATTCTCTATGAGCAAAGCGATCCCACTCTGTCCACGTTGGATTTTCACGTTCCTATTCACATGTGACAGATACGTTAAGGAAAATGTCAGCCATGGCCAAACTCACCAACTTCATGTTTCTGTTACTTGGGATATGATATTTCACGCACCTGACGAATCAAAAATGGGTCATGAGTTTCGAAGGCCATGAACTTGTTTAGATTGAACAGGATATTAAAAACACTTCCAGAGAGTTTACTGCCTTTCAGGTCACGCAGAGTTATATAGCTCTCGTTCTGCACAATGAAGAGTTTATTTTGGCATAAAATAACGTTAGATACAGCATGCAGGACATGTATATAGCAAGAGGAAGGGGTAAAACGCAAGGCATGATTATATAGAACAAGTCGTGATATGCCATCTTCCTAGACGGTAAAACTTGGGAATTTCACATAACACAAGGGGGGAAAAATCAACCAGTAGGAGAGAGAAGGGCAAACCTCAGGTCCAATCATGTCAATTATCTGGCACAGGATGTCCTCAAAAAGCACAGGCTCTTGAGCCATGCACTCCATCCGGTGCAATTGCTCCTCATAAAAAAATTGCAGCTCATTCCGCATCAGAACTCCATTTGCATCCAAATCAATGCACTTGAACCTAAGTATGGCAATTCAAAGTCAGCTCAAACAGCAAGTCAATGACAGGTGCAGGTCAATATTTAAGTTCTACATTTGGTTTTTTGGTTTTCCACCAACTCTCAACATGATCGATTTTTGTGAAGCGTTCCAAACCAAACAGACGTGTTTCTCAATTGGACTGGTCGATTCAGTCTAATTCTTAAGACATTGGGCTCAAGTAAAATACAACTTTATCAATCAACTTCTTGTCACACTATTAAAATTTCCTCCAACCACCCCACCTATTGACATTTTATAGATAAAAGAAAACAGTAAATATTCCAAGACAAATAAAAGAGGGAAAGACTACCAATACTCAAGACTAGGCTCAGATGATTTATCCTCTTCTGACAGTATAAAGTAAACAAAATCTTCATATCCCATCTTCCCCTCAGCCTTGCTCGTAAACTTTCTGGGAACCTGTGATTATATTGAATCAACTCAAAATTATATAATTTCAAAGGGGAGGGGTTGCTCCTGACAACAATAGAAATCTACTCTCAAAAAATGCAATATCTAATCCACAAAAACCTGAGAAAATATTCTATCAACAATTCGATAGGTAAGTGCGTGGTTGCCATATCTAATAAGATTCTCTTTGTCTATCAAGAAATCGTGATCCGTATCCAGCTCCCAAAACTTGCAGTATATAACATAGAAATGCTCATAAGAGAAGTACCTGCGTAAGGGTGCAAAAAAGATTTTTTTTTTAAAAAAAAAGGATTAAGGCGATATAACACTATATTTGATCAGGTAGCAATGGAGCTGCTTTTTTCTTTAAAAGAATATTTTGAGGATGAAATTAATTTAATGCTGTATTCACACAACATGTCTACCTCAAAACCTTGTTAATGTCTTCTTCTTCGTCAGCATGTTGCATTGCATCAATTATGTTTCCACGCTTCAGTTCCCTCAGGGTAAGACGACCATTCCCAGATCTATTTATGTAGTAATATATTCTGTATATTACAGTTTCAGCTGGGCCATTGGAAAGACAAGTTAAGAAGGATTGCACCCAGGGGGAAATATTATACCAATAATCATGACAACAAAAACCAGTATATGCCTAGACATCAAAAAACAACTTTGAAGTAAACTTCCCTACTAGTTCTCCTACCTGGTATTCAACACACAGATAAAGGGGGGATTACCCAATAAAGGGGTGTTTGGATATTTCTTCAAACCATGGTTTTGAGAGAAAATTATCCAAACACCACATTTTTTCTCAAAATCACTTTTGAATTTGAAACATGGTTTGAATAAAAATAACCAAACACCTTAATTTTTTGCAAAATCACTTTTGATTTGAAAACCATGGTTTTGGGTCTAAAACCATGATTTCCCATGAAGTGAATTTTTTTTTACTTTTGAAGGTATAAAACCATGGTTTGTGATATAAAAATATATATTACTACTTTCGATCCTTCATAGAAGAGCTTGACAACTAATTTGTCAATATTAAGAAAATTAGTTAAATTATTTATTTATAATAAATAGGTATTGCATTCTCTCAAATACTTGTTAATGATGTGCATTGGAACTACTATTGATAGAACCTTTAACAAGTACAAATTAACATGAGGACTACTTTAAAAAATGGATAAATGTGTGAGATAAAACAGATTGGTATCTTATATTCAAAATCAAATTGAATATCCAATTAGCTCTTATACTAAGGACTGGAGGTAATATTAATTAATTATATTTTTTCACATATAATTTATTATTTCAAAAAAAAATATAAATTAAAATATATTTTAATCTAATTATCATATTAACTTTTGTTATTTTGAGTAATTCGCACATAAAAAAAAAAAGAGAGAGAGATTCTAATAACAACCATCCAAACATTTTCACTTTATCAAAATCACTTTTTTCAAAATCTATTCTCAAAATTCATTCTTCCAAAATCAATTTCTAAAATCTATTTCCAGAAGCTATTTTCCAAACCATGGTTTGATTCTATCCAACCACCTCTTCAGTGTTTTTAAAAAATACTTTTTTGTAAACCGAGGCAAACTTCTTTATATATTTATTTTGTATACTGTAAAAACACTTTTAAAATCATGATTTAGTCTCCATCCAAACACCCCCAAAGCAAAGGAATATATATTTTAGCAGTGCAAGGATGAAAAAAAGCATAGACAAAATGAAAGCCATATATGGGTACTTGTTAAATAATTTTTTGTTCGCTAGTAATTCATTGACAACCCTAAGAACAATTGAAAGAAAATGAAAATGAGGCCCGATGCATCTTTGTTGCAAAATTGCCTAGTTGCAGCTATATAGAATTGTGTTACCACACAAATCGAAGATAAGAAACCAAAGATTAATTTTATTGTAAGACTAATTTCAACTCAGCATTGTTGGAGCCTGACAGATCTCCTAGCAACTTCTGCAGTCAGAAATCATCACGCAGATTTCTAACTTTTAAGTGGCATAATATCATTTTGCCAATATATATGGTTAAATGATCATGTATTTACAACTTTAAAGCCAAGCCTGAGGACAAACCATATCTCTCTTGAAACTCAGGTGTACTCTGAAGGAATTCCAGCCCTGGGTGGGTTGCCAAAAGCTCCCTTAGTACAGGTTTAAAGTCATCCTGAAATGATGTGAAATATCATTATCAATTATGTGAATACAAATATGATTAGCCAAGAAAATAAATACTTCCCTAAAAGAACTCTCCTACACCTTGTTTGAATGGTGCAAGTCAGGCAGTTATAGTAACTCAACAATATTTGTTTCTTTACATTATTCCTTTTTTGTTAAGGCGCAAGAAAGATATTTTTCATCTATAAAATCACTTTAATCATTATATTCTCTTCTCATTCTATTTCATATCACAAAACTAACAGCCATTATTTTGATGGAAGAGAAGAAAGTTAAACAAGCTGAAAAGTAGGAAAAAGAAATAGAACAAAAAAACCTGCGTAAGGTACTTGAGATCTGGTTGCTTTAAAATAGTGTATATTTGAGTCGCCATATCCATAGTCAACATGTTGCCATTAATCCAATAATCAATGAATGCATTCCTACAGTAAAAGCACGGATTTAACCATGACCGTTTATAAACAATTTATTACAGGAAGCAACACCATTTAACTATTATCCCTACACTCTGGAGAGGAGAACACTGCGTAAACCAAGTTTACTTTAAACAACAACCCATAATGTCTTCCACACAATAGATGAATCGGCATAATATCCAGTGTAAAAACATGTAAGCAATGTCTAGACAAGGAAAAGTAATCACAAGAAACATCATTAAATAGTGATGGACACAACTCTGACTCAGCCATAATAGGAACTTGATGAAGGTTCAATCAATGATCGATTTAATAATGAGAACGGCAATAGCTCTCACTTTAAAGAAGTCTAGAAGAGTTACCGTGCACAAAGTGACTGACAGGAAATTAAAGGGATGTTTGGGTCATATCATAGATGGTTTGGAATCATTGCACAGATTGAAAAGGCCATAAAAGAGTAGTGCATCAAAATTGAGAGGTGTAGCATACAGGAGAATGGGAGGGGTAAAATATAATGGCGGTTCACAGTTGTAGGAGGCACCTCTTTCCATCTCGCAACAACCAGAAAACAAGACACTGCTGGTATGCATGTGATTATACTTAGGCAGTCGGATTCATAGGTGAAACATTTCATAAAGTAAAATTTCAGAGCCATAATGTACACCTGTAAGTTCTTAAACATCTCATTTATATGAATTCCAGTCCTACGCATCACCAAGTTTTCAGATACAGGAGCAATCTGGCTATTGATTATAACAGGATGCCTAGAAGAATACTGTCACGTTAAAATGGCAATTTGCTAGGATGAGTTCTTGTTTAGCCACAAGCACAAGAGACACAAACTCAGCCAAATAATATATATACCCCTTCTTTGCAAGCCTAGTTTCTCCCTTCTTAGCCTTAATTGCTACAGCCTTTAATTCCTAAGGCACTGTTTAGCACACCCTAAAGGGTAAAGACGGATAGTATCAGTAGCAGTGGATAGTAATGTATAAAATATCCACTGTTAAAAGCCTTTAATAATATCACGTGTTAGTTGCACCAGCATACATAACATGTTTGTTGCTAGTACGAAAATATTATCACAAGATGTAAATAATATTATATACTCTTGTTTTAACATGATAGTAGTGATAGTAGTGATAGTAGTGATGGTGGGGAAAGGAACATTAATATAGCGTGGCAGCATAATGATAACAGCATTAGTAGCAACAGCAAGGCAAAGGAAGTCATTCTGGAGCTGGCGTGTTGGCAATGGTAGTTGTGGTTGTAACGCAAGATGACAAGCAACCAATGATGGGGGAAATGGTGGCAAGGAGAAGTAAGGAGAATTGCTATGATGTCCCAAGTAAGAAATATGATACTAAAAAGTCCTAGTGATAATAGAGTAACCTGAAATGACAAGTTCCAAGATAGTAAATGATAACTGCTCACTTGTCATTAGGACTTACAAGTAATTATTTTCTTTGCTTAGGACTTTACTGTAATTCTCCGACGGAAATAATGGGATGTTGTGGTGGGCAAAATGCTTGCGGCAATAAGATGAATTAGCAGTGGTAGGAACAATGATGGCAACAATCATGCAGTGGTAAGATGGAGGTAGTAAGGGTGAAAGTAGCATTAACCCCTTGCTTGGATTGAGAGAAAATTAAGGAGGAGAGAAAACAAGAGAAGAAAACATGAGGGGAAACAACTTTTCTCTTGCTTGGATAAGAGAGAAAATGTGAGAGGAAAGAAAAGTAGGGGAGAAAATAAAGTGGGCCCCATGCCTCATTTTCTCTCCAAATTTTCTCTCCATATATGGAGAGATTTGGGAAGGAAAACAAAATTTCCATGACTACCCCTACTATCTCTTACTCTCCATATTTTTTTTCTTTTATTATATTTAAAAATTTATTCATTTTTTATTTTTTATCTTAAAACAATATTTTTATTAAATAATTTGGCTTTAAAATATAATAATCTGAAAATATATATCAACTAAATAACTTGATTTTAATTATTTGATGATACCAATGTTAGTATAATTTTTCTATTGCAATATTTAATTTAATTTAATTTTAAATATGATATATTTTGATAAGGACATTTTAGTCATTTGGATATTTATTAATTTTCTTGCCTCTCTATTTTCTCTCATCTATCCAAGCAAGAGGGATGATAATATTTTCCCTCTAGTTTTTTCTTCTCTCTATTTTCTTTCTTTCTTTCTATCCAAACAGAGCATAAATGTTAGCGATGATGAAAGTAATAGAGATGGCAACATCAATACTGATTACACATAATGGTGGCGGCGAAGATGGCCACAACATATTAGCAACAATATAGTTATTTTAGTAAATGAAGACAAGGGCAACAATGCTTGTAACGATGATGATATGACTATTTATTAGCAAATGAAGATAGATATAGTTATTTTCATCGAAAAACATTACACAAGATTTCTTATCATTGCATATTCTTCTTCTCCATTGGCGTGGGTGGGTCAAGTTACATGGTTACAACTATATAAAATTAACTGGCCAGACAATCCTTTACATTAAAGGGCATATAAACAGAGATTGTATTAGTTTAACTCCATCTGGTCTAAACTTTATAGGGCCTAAGCAATCTAACAGAACGAGCATTGATGGTTGGTAACTCCTTCAAAAACAAATCTGGTTATCAGGTTAAAAAGAGGGATTTTTTTTTTTTTGGGGGGGGGGGGGGGCATGGCAACCAAACAAGTTTCAGCAGATATAGTTTTAATTTGATCCAGCGTCAGGATGACAATCTGATCCGGATTAAAAAAGGAGGGTGCAACAAAAGTTTCGTCAAGAAAAATTGAAATCCACACCTTGTCACAAAACCAGTTCCTTTGGTGTCAATCTTTCTGAAAATAGATGTTGAAAAGAAAGATGGCAGCCTGCAGACTTCCTTGGTAACTGATTTGAATTCTGGCACACCAAAGAAACAAGTAGGACATAATTCTTAGAGATGGTTGTTGGGATTAAGGAGTGATTATTTACGAAGCTTAAATATGCAACTTAATTAAAAATCACTTGTTTTCCCAAGCTGCATCAAACTGGCCCTTCAGGCAACATAGATATATTTGTGATATCTCACCATGCATCTGCAGTCCATCTAAGTGACCATAAAATAACTGATCAACTCTAAACAAGCATTGTTCTTTCAGTTCACTTCGAGGTGGGCGCCCATGTTGAAAGTAAAACTGCAAGAATGTAAGAGTATTTATCAAAAAAGAATGACACGAAACCTGAGATTAAAAATAGAAAAAAAGGGGGAAGGAAAAAAAATCCCAACACACTTTCAGCTGCAAGGCTAGGCACTAAAGATGCGTGTCAAACAGAAAAGACTAAGAAAACACGTCAGACTTGACTAACCTGAGGTATCAATTCTTTGACTGGCTCGCTGACAACTTTCAAAGGAGAACTTAAATTAGAAAGGCCAACCCTTTGTTTCACTATACGAGGGGAGCCAGACGTACTTCTTGGCGAAAGAGGAGGTGCAGTCCCAGCAGGAAACATTGAAGGCAGAGAATTGCTTGCTGCATTGGGACTGGAGCACGCACCTGGGACATTCAAGGGGACGCCAGACTTGGCTTCACTAAGCAGAGATGATACCTACAGACATTAAGAAAAGAGACACGAGATAAAAATCACAAATGCTCATTTTTTGTAAATTATTCAGAGGGTAAAAAGAACTTCAGCACATGAAACAAAAAACCAGAAAGGTATCTCCTTGTTAACAGCATTCCGCACTTTCATTACTATGGACATTCCCATTTTGGAATTAATTCCCCCTTTTGAATGAGCAGAAAGAACCAGAGATAAGTCATATTCCTCTAGAGGCAGCTACATAGAATACAATAGAAATATATTGAAATTAAATTGGGCGCACTACTGTCCTTTGGCAATGTATTCGGTATTCAAACTTCATGGTAGAAATATGTATCATGTCTCTAATAACGGGATTCTACTAATTTTTCCAAAACTACCGAAATCTGAAAACCAGAAGTCCTGCTATTCCCCTTTTGATATCGTAATTGGTTGCACGATACCTCGTTCTTTACTCATGGATATAGCCGACAAGATTCGTGCCCATACAAGAGTACATGTCAAATTCTAACACAGACCAAAGACAACCTAACGAGGCTTTTGAAATACACAATCTATCCACATGCCGATTCCGAAATTATCGAATGAATCCTACCACTCGATTACTCTCGGGAAGCGATAGCCACTGCTCGAAGAGCTTCTCGACAAAGTTTAGGTTAGACTTGAGGGCTAACGCAGACAACTCCGGGAGCTGCAATAAATCGACGTCCAACGCCGCCACGTCACTAACAACTTCCATGTTCATCCAAACCAATCCCTATCTCTCATTCACATCCAAAACCAATGAGCAACATATAGATCGAATCGAATCCTTGATTAATTTCCAAGAGTTGGGCAAGTTAACTTTCAATGCCTTTGAATCGAGAAGCCAAATATCAATTAGATTCTAAAATGAAAAGGGAAAAATGCGCTTGAGATTGACAGATTGGGAGGTGTAAGTTAATCGGGAACCCTAGATCTTTCAGGGATCGAATTTATTAACAGGTTATGACGAAGAACGAGAACGGTGCGGGTGATCCGGGAGAAAAGAATTACAAGCGAATGAGAGTGAAATGACCAGGAGGAGGAGGAAAATTGTCTAGAGATCCACGCAAATTTGGAGGGAGAAAGGAGAAATCGTTTTGTACACATGAACAATTGATTTTAAATAATAAATGGAACCAGGGAGAAGAAAGGAAAACGATGACAAGAAAAAAGTCGCGCAACTGAAGAGTTAACACGTTTACTCGTGCTGCAAAGGAGAATGGATGGACGATTTGGGGCAAACGGCGATCCGGCCCGCATATAAAATAAGGCGAAAATAAAACATTTGGTTCTTGTACTTTTAGTACTGTTGATGTTCGTCCCTGAAGTTTAGAATCTTTAAACCCAATCCCTAAAATTTTGGAGGCATGGCTCGCCATTCCCCTGTTGTAAGTGACGTGGCAGCGTTGGTTTTTTTTTTGACCAGCAGCAGCGTTGGTTAATAAATTTTTAATCAGGCCAAGAGATTTAACTATTTTTTTTTAATATTATTAAAAGATCAGAATGTCCTTCTATAGCCAAAAAAATTAAAAATAGATGTAGGTCGATTTTGATTTTAATTATTTCAGCTCTATTTAGTTAAACTATTTCCTTTATTTTTAGTTTGTTTGTATTTTTTATAAAAATAAATTATTTATCTATATATATTTAATGCATAATATAAGATTATTCTTTAAAAACTAAACTATCAAAATAAAAAACACTAAACAAACTTTAAAAAACACATTGTTGAAAAGTTTTAAATTGGATATCAATTTTTTATGAAAACATAACTTTTATTTTTGGTAAAATATTGTAAGATGATTAAAATATGAGTAAAATACTCTTACTACCCTTCTAGTTTACATCAATTATACAGATCTTCTTTTTATTTTTAAAACATACAGTTTAGTCTAATTAATTAACACCGTTAGGAATATTCTAAAAATATTATTTTAACTGAAATTTATATTAAAATAAAATTTATTTACTATTTTATTTCCCATTCTAATAAATTCCTCTATTATATTTTTATAGTTATATCAATTTCATTCAGTTAATTCAAACATAAAAAATTTGATTAAAAATTTAACTAATTCTATGGAATTTTATGATTTAAAGTAAAATATGAAAAATTATAAAATCTTATAATTTAGATCAAAATTAATAAATTTTAAATATAACTATTTTTAGATTTTATAAAAATATTTTTTGGAAAATATAAATGTTTAAATAATTATTAATTTAAAAAGAGGTATTTTGGTAAAAAAATAATTTAAAGTCAAACTTAACAATCAACTAACAGTTTGGATGGATAAAAATAAGATCTTAAATGCAAATGAGAGGTTTGTGTAGCATATATTTTAATTGTAAAGAAGGTTTATATACGTTTTTAAAATAAAAAAGAGGTTTCTGTAATTAAGATAAAAATGAGGGCAATCAGTGTATTTTACTCTTAAAATATCTACCATGTATTAGAGAATTAAAGTGAACAAAAATAAAATAATAATTGTTAAATTTCATAATTTTTTATAGCATTTCATAATTACTTTTTATTGGAACGAGTTTTGAGATGGTACGTAAAACTGAAGTTCATTGGGAAAAAAATTCACATTCATTCTTAATGAGAGTTATACACACACACATATATAATAAACATTTATCTATACGGTTATTTAAAAAACAAAAAACAAAAGTATGTGTTGTGATTATAATTCTAATTAAGTCTAGAATCTATAATCAAAATCAAAATCAAGCTTATACTTGCCATAAATTTTTTTAAACTATAAAGGGACATTCTGATATTTTAATAACATTCGGAAATTTTAATTAAGTCACTTCACTTGATTAAAAATTTGTTAAAAGTATAAATCTGAATTTAGATTTTAATATTGCAAATAGATTTAATTGGGATTCTCCCAATAAATATTATTGCTCATTGTATTTAAATAAGTAGGAAAAATAATACTTTTTTTTATTCAAACAACATTACCTCATCCAAACGAGAGTAGAAGGGATGGGATTAGTGTACATTAAAATGAGAGAATAAAAAACGAACAGTTATCACGATAAAATGGATTATGCATAAGATAACATTCCTTCTAAGTCATAGGAGTTATTTTGTAATGATTCTCGAGGAATGTAAAATCCCAGAGAAGTCATAGCTGAATAAATTTGATGGGAATTTTCCCAATTTTACAAAAAAAAATGGGAGAATTAAAAAATAAACAATTATTACAATAACTATAATATTCATTAAGGGAGACATATCATGTTTCCTGTAGTTATCTTCGCAAAAATAAATTAAAGACAAAAATTACATTAAAATTCACGGTGGCATCAGAATAATTTTAAATAAATTATTTGGTAAAAAGTTCAGAAAATAAAAAATTACTACTATTACAATATTGTATTTAGATTATATGATATTTAAAAACCTACATTAAAACATTTTTTGCCAGCATCTATATTAAATTATCAATATCTTAATATTGATGTTTATGAAATATTACCTCCAGTCTTAATTATAAAATCTTATTTATAGACTAAAAATGATGTCTTATAATTAGGATCGGAGGCGGTAGTGGTAATAATAGCAATGACAATAATTTCACTGGAAAAAATGTAATGACAATAATTGTTTTTTTGAAAAGAAGACAATGATTTTCTTAAATGTTGGCAAAAAGATAATAATTTTCTCAAACAATTTAGCCAAAATAACATTAAATTCTCATAAACTCCAAAATATGCAAAAAAAAAACCCTCTTTTTAAACTCACTCATCTGGTCTTATTTATTAGGCACTTTCAGCATGTTTTACATAGACCAAGGAAAATCTTAAATTTCATTAATTCTCATTTAAAATTTAATAACTTTCCAATTTTATTTCTATTTAATATACATTATACCCTATGTAAATATGATAAAAATATCTTCTCTTTCTGTCTTATAAATAGAACCAGTACTAATTAATGAGATGTGGCTGCATTAATAAGAAAATAAAAAAAAATGACTAGAAGGGGGAAAAGCACTTAATGGGACTTTTGTAATAGTTTGGACTCATCCAGTTCTTAATATAGGATCTAATTATTGAGTTGATTTGATTATAAATATAAAACCTATTTTTCATATTTATTAATTTTTCTTAAATTATCCTTATGGATATCCCTCAACCATGATTAAATAGAAGATGAAAGAAAGATATTAAGAAAGATGATTATGATATTTTAAAAAAAATATGTTAAATTTTTTATAATTAACTAATTTATCTAATTTTTTTAATCTAATCAAATTAATTAAATGTGTATTATATTAATAAGTGGATGAGTATTTTATGGCAGCTCAGTGTTATTTCCCTTATAATTTACCTCGCGTGCAGAGTATCCGTACGCCCACTGTATCGTGGCTAGTGACCCAGTAACAAGTCTCTCTGGGCTGTGCAGGCTACTACGGCCGGACCCGTGCAGGAACAAAGGACCCTTTTCTTCAGCTTTTGCTTCGTACTCCGGAGTGCAGCTTCATTGCTCTGCTGGATTAGATCACCTCACTCTCCCTGGGCCAATACCTGTATTCACCGTTCAAATCCCAAGTCTACGATTACACCATAGGGTTTTCCCATGGTGATCTGTGTGACCAATGTTATTACAAAGACGCTAGAACTAACTAAATCCGAACTGATAATTTGAATCATTCCTTTCAAAGTCTTTTACTTTTGGTGCGAAGATGCAAGGGTTTGCGGCAGCAGGTGGACCGATAGATTTGGCCCAACTTCAGTCTACCATGCAAGCTATCGAACTAGCTTGCTCTTCCATTCAGGTTCTGATGAATTTTTCCTGCCAAACGTGCTTGCTTGGTTGCTTGTTCCCCAGGGATTCTGACAGCTTCTCTTCAATTTTAAGTGAGAAAGGAACATGAGCAATACATACCTAAGGCAAATAAAAAGAAACTCTTGCGTGGATGTGAATTCGTTAAAGGAATGGAATTCGCAATAACATAGATTTATTTAGTTTCTGTGGAGCCAACTCTAGCTAGCATATTTTACCAGTGTTGAGATGTCCATAAATTCTTTGTCCACCGGACCTTCTTTCTTCCTGTCAAGCTCGGCGTCTCAGATTGAAATGCTGCAGAGTTGGAAATTCAGTATTGTACTCAGTTCCTAGTTGCTATTTTATCACCAAAACAACAGGATAAAATTCAACGATAAATTTATGTCAATTTGATAACAGTATATTTTAACTTGCATTTTCCCTCTCTCTCCTATTTGTCTCTTGCTGATCAGAATTTAAAAGTAAATGGTTAGGGTCAAACTCAGGTGGCATTAATACTTCATGCATTGAATACACGATATCATTGTGAATGAACTGAGATTTTCTGGCTATTTGCAAGGATTTCTATCTAATCCATCAAATCATTCTCGTTACACATCTCTTTGCAGATGCATATCAATCCAGCAACAGCTGAGGCAACTATATTGTCACTACGACAGTCACCTCAGCCATATAAAACTTGCCAATTCATTCTTGGTTAGTGTACAGTGAACAAACTGAATGCTTCTGTATTCTTGGTTTCCATGTGTCTTTACTGGCCAGTATTCTATTGTATGAGTGTCTCACCCGAACTCCTTCTCTTTACTCAACACTTAAAGGATGGGAGCAGCTTTTATATTTCTTTTTGGACAATAACAATTTATCCCACCAACACTGTCCGCTGCGTATTAGGCCGCTTCAAGTTTAGTATTTAATTTCGATTGTAAAGAAAATATGTTTAGTATGTATGGTGCTTTGTGTTTAGGTTTAGTTCATGCTGATACTGTGCTCATTTTGTTTTTGCAGAAAATTCCCAGGTAGCAAATGCGAGGTTCCAAGCAGCTGCAGCAATCCATGAAGCAGCTATTAGAGAATGGGGTTTTCTTACTTCTGATGACAAGAGAGGCCTGATTAGGTTTTCTTAAACCTTTAATACATAAACATTGTTATCTTGTGCAAAATTTATGGGGGTCTTTCCACTCCATCTAATGGCTGCTTCTATATTGTTTGGTTTCTTTCCCTTTCCTTTTGTCTTGGAAAAGAAGTGATTGTGGTCGGGAGGGACTTTTGCATTAGCTTGACTATTCATTGGACTTATTCGATGCTTTAACTTTGCCCTACATTGTAAACCCGGGGAGGTTGAGTCATATTTCCTCAAGTTGTGCTGGTTAATCTACGCACTTGTGATCCTCATACCCGTATATGTGTTCACAAGTGCACTATGTTAGTGGCAAGTTGCATGGTTGTTCTTATGCCTTTCTCTTAAGGCCTGGGAGTTTATATTGTATCACTTTGATTTTTATTAGAACATTTCTCTTGGGACTCGCTTATGCTTCGTTTTGTCCTGCTATTGCTTATTCTTGTTTGAATAACTCTTGCTTGCAGTTTTTGTATATGCTATGTCATGCAGCATGCCAGCTCTCCTGATGGCTTTGTCCAGTCAAAGGTTTCTTCTGTTGCCGCTCAACTGATGAAAAGGGGTTGGTAGGTGACACATTTTCCCTTTCCTTGTTACTCATAGTAATCTTGGCAAGTAATTTCGGATTTCTTTGTGCAGGCTTGATTTTACGACTGCAGAGAAAGAGACATTCTTTTATCAGGTGCCAGATCTTTGACTCTTTCTTTATCTCCCTTCAGCTTTGCTGTCAAAATGACTTTCTTGACATGTTAGGTTTTTTCCCCTTTATTCTTGTATTTCTAATCTCAAAATGTCGTGTTTTTCTTTGACACTGAACACGTGCAAGGGCATTTCAACTCTTGGTAGTACTGATCTTATATTTGCACTGAGCCACTATGAATAGTTTGATGCCTAGATTTGTTTTTGTTTTTAAAGAATTTATATTATTTAAGAAGCCACACAAGATTGAGTATCTTATCTGCTGCCTCATTAGATCCCAATTTATTACCATTTACCAACCGAATTTTATTCCAAAACCTTGCATGGTTTTCTTGTCTTCATTATGGCTGCTCTGTTTTCTTCTTCATTATATCCAGTTTGGATTTTTTTCTTCTCTATCCCACAATTTTTTTGTTAACATTTTCTGTCAAAATTTCTATTACTCCAACTTCCCATTCGACGTATGCTTAAGAATTTCAAAAACCGCAGGTGAACCAGGCTATCATGGGTATTCATGGGTTAGATATGCAGTTTGCTGGAATCAACTTCCTGGAATCATTGGTACATAAAACTCCGTTGTAGCATATTTGAAATTCTCCTGATATGAGTGAAAAGGATTATTTGTTTATTAGATAGCCAACTGTTTATTTTGTATTCATTGATATTCATTATACCTGTTACCTTGCTTCTTTATTTTGTGTATAGGTATCAGAATTTTCCCCATCTACCTCAAGTGTCATGGGTCTTCCAAGGGAATTTCATGAGCAGTGTAGGAGCTCTCTTGAGCTAGACTACCTGAAGGTCCTTCCAGTTTCTGTTTTCTTCCCTCATGTTATGCTGTTAGATTTTATTCCAGTTGATTGGAATTTTCCTTTCAGAATGGTCTTTATCCTTGAACGTCTTTCTTTGGTTTTGCATTAATGTGACCGCTCCTTTTGTCCACATTTATTTTACGTTTCTTTAATAATAGACGTTCTACTGTTGGGCACAAGAAGCTGCTTCCAAGGTCACAAATAGGATTGTTGAATCTAACGCTGCTGTACCTGAGGCTAAGGTTTGCACTGCTTCGTTGCGTCTCATGTTTCAAATCCTGAACTGGGATTTTCGTCACAATACTGGTGAGGCAAAAGGCAGTCTGAATGTCTTCTCTGCTGGAGTTAGGCAAGATGGGGATTCTCCAAGAAGGTCTGAATGTAGCTTAGTGCAGGTAATAGATCTGTTTCATTTATCAAATTGCAGTTGATAAAGTATCAAATGACAGCAGACTGATTACTGCTGATCATTAAGCATGAAAAGTCCTGCTTTCAGTACTGGAAATTTTATCCATAGATCCCCTACTGATGATGCTTGACCCTTTTCTGATTCCATTTGCAGCCCGGTCCAGCTTGGCGTGATGTTTTAGTGTTAAGTGGTCACGTTGGATGGCTTTTGAAATTGTATGCAGCATTGAGGCAGAAATTTTCATGTGAAGGCCACTGGCCTGACAGCCCTATCGCTGCCTCTGCAAGAAAACTAATTGTACAATTTTGCTCCTTGACAGGAACTTTATTTGACTATGGTATAATTGTTTCCTTTTCTACATTTTTATTAATTGTTTGTTTATTGTACATTTTTATTGATGAGTATTTTTAAGAGTCTCTTTGGTGCGACCACTGACTTTTTACAGTATCAACTTTTTAAGTGGATTGATAGTCTAATAATCCTTATTTGTGTCGAGCTTAAACTAAATTGTGTTTTCACGAACTCTGTTGTCTAAGAATTATCATCTGACAAATATAAATATAGCCAGAGGTTAAGGTTTTATTTCTAGATTATATGCTTCAAGAATTGAATATTGTTCAGGACAATAATGTCGGCTTAAAAATGACTTTTATATATATAGCTTTGAAGTTGAATGATTCAACTGCTACCATAACTCCGGATTCTGCTTAATTACATGGATTGCTAATTAGATACCTTGATTAGTCACTGTGACTTGGATATCTGTATTACTCCCTTTCTCAATTAAATTGCAATCTGTTGAAATTCTAAATCTAAATTTGGGTGTCTTTTTTCCATGATCTAGATATGAAAATGCATGAGCAGCATCTTCTGCAACTCTTATGTGGGATAATAGACTGGGTAGATCCTCCTGGTGTTGTTTCAAAGGCTATTGAAGATGGGAAAAGTGAAAGGTCTTGCCTTTTTTGTCATAATTCAGATCCCTATATCCTTAAAATGCCTCCTGTACCTGCGCTCGCACCCCACCATGATGTGATTTTATTTTATCATTATTTACCATTAAAATCTGGCTTTCTCATTGTTTTGATTTCATTCAGCGAAATGCTTGATGGTTGTCGTGCATTATTGGCCATTGCAAGTATAACAACTCCATACATTTTTGACAATCTTCTAAAATCCATAAGGTCAGCATCCTCATAATTGCAGTTTTCTTACACGGAATCTCATTGAAAGTTTGATTAACATGAGTAAGCTTTCTGTCTTTGATATCTTAGGCCCTTCGGCACTCTTACCTTTCTGTCAATGCTGATGTCCGAAGTAATTAAAGTCCTCATGACTAACAACACAGAAGAGGAGACTTGGAGCTGGGAAGCGCGTGATGTCTTATTGGATACTTGGACTGCCCTTCTCATGGTATCCATTCAGATGAAATCATTAAATTTGATTTGCATTAATTAATTTTATTTAGACATGCTTTTATGTTATGCCTTCTTTGGGGTGATGGTGAAATGTAATGCTTAGTAATTTAGTAAAGCCTCAGACTGTTATTATTTCTTATGATTAATGCATGAAAGGTTGACATTTAGAAAGCCTAAAAGACGCTATAATTTTGTCACCTTCAGTTAAAATGGAAGTTGATAAAGTAAAAGTTTATAAGCTTGTTTAGTTGTGGTCATCGAACTAAACTATACAATTTGAATTCAGCCAATGAATGCTGTCACTGGGGATGCTCTGCTTCCATCAGAAGGGATAAAAGCAGCAGCCAATCTCTTTGGCTTTATTGTAGAATGCGAGCTAAAAAGTAATACCTATAAGCCGCTTCCCGTTATTGTTTGTCATTTATTTTGTTTTATTTCCATTCTTTATGCCCCATATACTATTTTATAATGGCAATAGTTCTTGTTTTATTTAGTGGCTGCTGCATCAGCATTTAATGATGAAGCGGAGACAAACTATCTTCATGCTTCCATATCTGGTATGGAATATTTAATGAGCTGCACATGCCAATTTTTATAGTCTTTGTCGTTGCTGGACTTTACTTTTTGTTTCAACTAGAGAAAGCAAACTTATGGAACTCTGGCAGTGGAGCCTGATTGCTTTGCAAAATGATGAGGTTAAACTAACTTCATTTCCTAGGGCTTCAATAAATTTTGATTTGTTTTTTGTGTTTGCAGCCATGGATGAAAGGCTAAGTTCTTATGCTCTTATTGCAAGAACTGCAGTTGATGCTACAATTCCTTTGCTCACAAGACTATTTTCTGAGCGGGTTGCATGCCTTAATCAGGTAGATTCTTTATTTAATCATGAATTATAGCTTCTTTTGGATGAAGAATTTCGGCTTCCAGTCTGCCATTTTGGTTTGCTGCCCTTACCCAGGGAAAGAATAGTAATTTAGACCCAAAATATAAGAAATATGTTGCTAAAAAATTAGGCAGTGATATCAGATATCTGAGTAACTGGAAGAGTAACTATTGCAATTCATTCTCACTTCTTATTGCAATATATTTTCTATCTACATATCATAGGAACATAATGGAATTAGTTCATCTAATTGATTCTAACGAACTATTCAACTAACCGACTCTTATTACATCCTATTCCATATCTCATTGGCACCCCCTGAAAGGATCATTGACCTCAAGGATTCGTTAGTCCTGGGTGCAATCAGTTAAAAATTCTGCAAACTGTTGTTGTAGCCGGTAAGTCTACCCAGATTGCGTCTTTGATGCTGGTATTTCATCGTCATACTTGGGCACAGGGCTTTGGCAAATTCCCTCTTCTGTCACTTTCCTCTCAAAGATGCTAGTTCAAATGTTAACTGTCCCTGCTCATCTACAGCAGGCTGCTAGAACTAATCAAATTTAGTTAATCAACGTGCTTCCTGAGTCAGGATGTTAAGATGGGTGCAGTTCCTACTGACAGGCCGCCTTTCCCACTTTAACTATCTTTGTGGCCCAAAATAACTTGCTGCTAGTTTATGAATGGAGAAGTTATTGATCAGATTTCTTTGAATAAAGTCCAGTTTTAGGTAAACAAAATCATCAACCGAGCACCTGTTATGTGTTCTGTTTGCTAGTAGCCTGCCATGTCTGTTGGGATATGAATGATGTCTCAAGTATTGTTTGATTAGTATAAATAAAAGAAACCCAGATGAGATTAGTATCTCGCTGGATTATTCATCGATGATCAACGGTCACTGTTGTCATCCCATTTTGGGCCTTGCGGGGTTTTTGAGTATCTGAAAGATAGTCTTGTGTTTTTATAACTTGCTAGTGGTTTTCCATGGCTGAAGTTATTTACTTTGCTTGTAGGGCAGGGGCATTATTGACATGACTGAAACATTGGAAGAACTTTATTCATTGTTGTTGATTATTGGGCATGTAATTGCAGATGAAGGAGAGGGAGAAATACCTTTGGTATGCGGATTGCATTTTCTCATTATTTGCTTTTCTTTGAGTTTTTTTAATATATATATATTACTTTTTATCGGTGCCTGGGAACAGTTGTGTGATGCGAATAATCATGGTAGGATGTGTTGTGTGATTTTTAGGTTCCCAATGCCATACAAACACAATTTGCTGATGTTGTTGAAGCAGATAAGCATCCTGTGATATTGCTTTCCAGGTAACCTGCTGTCTCTTTTCTGATTTTGGGTCCCCTACTCTGCTCAGCTACTTTTTTGGAAACATATTCGAGATGCTTAGACACCGCTGGTGTAAGCTACAAAAAGCTTAACCAAACAAATTATTCACTTTTTATTATCAAAAAACTCTGGAAGTAATTAGCACAACATTCGTATAAATGGGAACTGCATCTGCTTTGAACTTAGGTGCAGGCTGACTGTACAAATTTTTTCATCTTTCTCTTGCGGGCCTTGATGATTAAAACTTTATGAGTGGAAGGATCTGAGCGAAAATGAGGTAGAATGTCAACTCAAAATAAAAGACTGCTAGTCACGAACTCAAAGGAATCAAAGGACTCCTTGTCATGAACATGGGTAGAACTAGAAAATCAAAATTCTGTTGAAAGCCCTTGCTCAGATTACCATGTCATCCTTCATGGAAGGTTTCTTAAGTCTTCTGTATTGACCTATGCTCAATTCATTTCAACTTCCCTGCACTAAGCACAAGATAATTCTTCCTTGCTTGAAGGTGCAGTCAAGATAATGTTTGGTATTATTTTATATGTCAAGGTTTGCATTTGCTATGATGTGTGATCTGATTGTAACCATGAGATCATTTTCCTACCTAATTAATGCAGCTCAATTATAAGATTTGCTGAGCAGTGCCTAAATCCTGAAATGAGAGCATCAATTTTCAGTCCTCGACTTATGGAGGTAGCATACTATTAATTTATTGATTCTTAAATTCTGGATTTATTTTAGTAGCAAATGACAGAATGTCCTGGGACTGATATTGTGAAAGTTTTGGCTTTCTGAAAATTTGTTGCGTATGTTTGTTGAATTATTTTGCTCCCATACTATCCCATACTATTAACCTTCAGTTTAGGCAGCTGTAATTTTACTTTAACTAAGGTGGCATGTTTTCTTGCGATAATTGAGTTATCTTCATTTATGCAAGCCATTTTGTAATGGCAAAGTGAAGTGTTATAAATTGCAGTGATACCTTGGAATTGCCATGCAAAATTGGTGCATTTGTATTGAAATTGCAGTCATTATTGAAGTGTGATGCTGCATTTTGGAGTTGCGTTAGTTAATTTCTCATTGAGAACTAATTATCTTCTTATCCCTTTGTGTTCTGTGCAGTCAATTATATGGTTCCTTGCAAGGTGGTCTCGCACTTACCTAATGTCTTCAGATGGGGCTGGAGACAACATCTTGAATTCCGGTCCTCTTCATCAACATAGTTCCAAAGAGGCTTTGATTAATTTCTTTGGAGAGCATAACCAAGGAAAAATTGTCCTCGATATTATTGTTCGCATATCCTTGATAACGCTTACATCATATCCAGGGGAAAAGTTTCTGCAGGTTTGGGCTTAAAACCCCATGATTGCTCAGTAATTGCACCTCCGTGTCTATAAACATATATAGCCTTCAATGAGGCTATGCCTCAGAATTCCATTATGTACAAGCTGTTAAATGGTATTTATTAGTTGAAAATACGGCAATGACCTAAATCATTCATGAATAACTGAGAAAGTTATTAATGTGGAACCTGTGTTTTCATGTGATGGTTACCTAGGACCTTAAAGTTGGAACTCCGGTGACCTCTATTTTAATTTGACATCTGTCTTTTGGTTAACTTATATGTCAAGAACTTAAATGAGATATTGTTTTCCTTTCTGACTATAAAAGTAAGCATAGCATTCAGTTTTATTTTCAAGAAATTAGATTTAAGCCTTTAATACTCTTACTCTGTCAAGCACTGTTCGGTTGTGAAAATATTGACTGACATTCATGAGCATTTTTCAGGACCTAGTCCTGAAATGTAAGCATGTATCGGGTTAAATATTTATTTATCTTGAACCTGAGTTATACAAATAAAGATTATTGAAACATATGAAATTGATGGTTGGTTAATGTATTCATTTTAAGGAAAAATTCAATATTTGCTGCCTGTTCTTGGTAAAAGGAAACATATGTACATTTATTATCATGCATCTGCTGATAACATAACTATGACTATTGATTATTAAATTGGATGGTTCTGGCACTTGAAAACTTTTGTTTAATGATCAGATATTAACCGTTCCCTTTTAATTAGTCTTTGGATCTTAAAATGTTTTAAAACCTGAAAGAGGATATCTAAAAACGACACTGGGGCTTTGAACTACCTTGACATGTGATTGGTGTAATTTTTCCCAGGGCCTCACTTGTTACCAGTTATTTCATTCATTGGTTCAGCAAAAGCATGTATGCGTCCATCTTGTTACTCTGGTGAGTCAATACTTAAAATCAAATGTGCTTTATATTGACTGAAGCACGCCAAATTCTGGCATTATTTCATGATTCAAAGTTAAGAATATATATGTTTTCAAAATCTAATTCATCCCTCTCTTTTTCTTCCCAGTATGATTCGACCAATAGTTGCATATACTAATATAGTCCATAGTCCAGAGGAACAAAGGAGCCTAGCTCTGACTGATGGGCAGCATTGAACAGCTGTGAAATATTCCAATAATAACTGTAAATTGTTCAAATAATTCAAAATGAATGAAGCATGTTTCTTTACATCCTGTCTTCCTTCAGCATGTTTCAATCCGCTTATCCTTTTATATCAAGAAGCTACAGGATGGGTTAAAAATAGTAGGTCAATCCTTATGTCCCAAATTGATTAGCTCTAGTATCCTTCTATTTGGTTAGTCAACTTGATCTTCTTGTATTGATGTTTGTTATCGGGCATCGCCAATGGCCCCACCCACTCTTAAATGCTTGACCAGTACTTAAATTCTCCTTTAAGGGATATGCAGCAAAGGGCATTGCCCACCGTGCTCTATCTTTGAGTGGGAACTTTTTGGGTGCGGTGCTCCCCATTGCTAGGCCTATGTGACCAATGATTAGTAATGGCTGGTGTGCCTTGTAAAATTGGGATGGTCAGGCCTGTTTACCATCCTTTTTTTTATGATTTTACTTTGTTTTTCAGACATGATTGTCTCATCTTTCAAGGTAATCTTTGCCTCTGACACACAACGATTGGATTGCTTTGCTGCTTTTTTAGCATTCTTTTTTTTTCCCTGGATGATTTGCCTTTAACTGGGAGGATTTCTTCACTATATATCTAGACATATAGTAGTTATTCTCTTTTCTTTTCAATCTCTATTTTCCCAATAAAAATGATATCTTCTGCAGAATTCATGGCATGAACTGGCAACTGCATTTTCCATTGAAAAGACCTTATTCTTATTGGACACTGCTCATCAGGTAAGGACTTCATTGACTTAAACCCTGAGGAACTTTGTTGCTGTGACTTGTCTAAGTGTGATCACTTCTTGTCTCAGCGATCACTTGCTCAAACGCTTGTCCGTTCAGCTTCAGGCATGAGTTCAGAAGCATCAAACCAGTGGGTGTTTGCTCCAAAATTTCTTGTGATTTCTATAGTTTTCTGATTCTGTGTAGTAATGTCTCTATTTTTCATGCACAGATATGTAAGAAATCTTATGGGTCACATTGCAACATATTTAGTGGAACTGTCCAGCAAAAGTGATTTCAAAAGTATCGCTCAACAACCAGATATCATCTTGTCGGTGAGGGCACAAGAACCTAGCTTAATCCCATATTTGTGTAAAAATAGTTCATCAATAACATTTTAGATGTCATGTAGGTCAGCTGCTCATTAGAACGGCTACGTGGAGCTGCAAGTGCTTCTGAACCTCGATCACAGAAGGCACTATATGAGCTAGGATTCTCTTTAATGAATTCTGTACTGGTTCTTCTGGAGGTCTATAAACATGAGGTAGCATTAACATTCTCTGGTATCTTGAGTTACAGATTTTTATTTCCTGGTGATCGTCTCATGATTGTTATTTCCATTGTTTCTTGGTAGACGTATGAGCATTTTTATTTAATCATGTAAAAGATATTTTTTCTTGATGCATTAAAGCACACTTTGTTTTTGCAGCTCCATTCTTACTCAAATAACTCTAAACTTCAGACTTCCTCGCGTTTGTTGTTCTATACTGATGTCCAATTCTTGCTTAGTCTGCAGTTGTCTACCTGCTGCTTAAATTTGTAGTTGATTGGGTTGGTGGACAAATTATTTACTTGGAGGCCCAAGAAACTGTTGCTGTTGTTGATTTCTGCATGCGCTTGCTTCAGCTCTACTCATCTCAAAATATTGGCAAGGTGAGTTTTTGATGGAAATATGGGAGTGTGGGATACAACCACATTTTCTTCATATTTGGGCCGTTTTGCCCAGCCTTAATTTTTTATTCCGCCAATCTAATATTATCTCCCTATTGCACCATGCAAAGTCAATGAGCAATTACTGTTGCTATAGATTTTCCAGAGTATTTAGTAATTTACTTTTCTTGTTATTTTCTACTTTTGTTCTCCCTCAAGTCTATCTTTGCATATTTTTCAGATATTGATAAGTCGTTCAGGCTGCTTACTCAGTGAGGCTAAAACAGAGAAGTATAAAGATTTGCGTGCCCTTCTTCAACTCCTTACCAGTCTTTGTTCTAAAGACATGGTGAAATTTTCTTATTGAAGTAGTTTATTTTTGCAATTGTAAATTGTTCTACTTTTTTCTCGTGCAATTGACCCATGTTGTGAATTATTAAATACAACAGATTGATTTTTCATCAGATTCAATTGAGACCCAAGGCACAAACATATCTCAGGTATCATTACATCACATCTACATGTCTCATATAAATTCGGATAATGGATCACTGATGTTGGGCCTCCCAGGTGGTTTACTTTGGTCTCCACATAGTCACACCTTTGGTTTCTATGGACCTCCTGAAATACCCTAAACTTTGTCACAGTGTAAGATATTTGTTCATCTTGTAAAAAAAAGTACTAGAATAATTGTCAAGATCCTAATCTATAGTATGCTTTACTTTCAGTATTTCTCTCTTCTGTCACATCTGTTAGAGGTTTATCCTGAGACATTTGCACAACTAAATAGCGAAGCCTTTGCTCATGTACTCAGAACCCTTGATTTTGGTCTCCATCATCAGGTAACATTTGTCTCGTGGCTTTTCTCAAATTGCCAATGACATTTAATGGAGCAAAAACTATAAAGCTGTGGGATTGAAATTGAGCAACTTTAAGCTTAGATCAAACCCCCCAAAAAAAAAATAGTAATAATCTAAGCTCAGAGAATTTATTTAAGAATCTCTTTACCTAATAAATTTCTTAAATTTAAAAGGAAAAAAGTAAAAATTTCACCAGTGTTGCACTGGTTTTTCATTCAAAGTAATATATTCCAGCACTGCGAGTTCTACTTGTCCTTTTTATATGTGATTTATATCGTGTCCATGAATTTTTCAGGATGGAGATGTGGTGAGCAAGTGTCTTAGAGCTCTCCAAGGTCTTGCGTCATACCACTACAAGGAGAACTGTTGCGGGTAGAATAGGTTTAGGTGCGCATGCCACAGGTTTAAAGGATTTAAATGGAAACTTGCAGGAAGGCCTACTGAGCTTGTTCCTTCGTTCATTGCTTCAGTTACTTCTTTTCGAAGATTACAGGTGAATAAATATGCCGAGTTGGTTTGTATGTGAATATTCAAATGAGGAACATTGCTATGAACCATGTATTTTACATTTTAGCGAATTGAACTGCTTTCCAATGGTACTGGTTTTCTTGTTACAGTTCTGATTTGATCAGCGCTGCAGCTGATGCTCTCCTTCCACTAATCCTTTGTGAGCAAGGCCTCTATCAGGTATGTCTCTGAAAGTTACTCTGGAAATTATACATTGGGTTATAAACTATAGGCATGTTTGCATAAATCTTCTCAAATGATTTATTCCGCTTCAATGCGACTCAATTTGCATATATGGACTTTGTTTTCTAGACTAGCTGTTTTCTCATGATCATCAATGTTCCCTGTAGAACCAACAAACCTTCAATTGCTCTTTATATAAGGCATATCGAAGTCTATTTATTGCTGTAAAATCTCTCTTCCTCCCTACGATTTTATAGAGGCCTTTCTGGATTGTATTTGTTTACAGAGATTGGGGAATGAATTGATCGAACGGCAGTCTAGTCCAAGACTCAGATCAAGATTGGCAAATGCATTGCACACACTAACAAGTGCTAATCAGCTTTCTTCCTCCCTTGATCGAATGAATTACCAACGATTTAGGAAAAATCTAAATAGCTTCTTAATTGAAGTTCGTGGCTTTCTGCGAACAATGTGAGATGATCAAATATTTTTGCCTGGTGTTGTATAGAAGATATATAGGACCATGCTAGTTGAAACAGCAGCTGGAGGAGGAAATTTTTTGGAGATAAGTGGCGGGCTGGTAAGAGTTTTTCAAGTTACGGAAACATCCTATCCTATCGTCTCATCGCATTCCTGTTTCCAATGGTGAAATTGACGAGATACGTTACGAGACGTTATCGGGAAAGCATATCGATGCCAAGACATTTCAGGGCAGAATTTTCTTCGCTGGGTCAAATCTATTTTGGTTTATCTTCATTGTTGTATGTATTCTGAAATTTTGTTTTCGTAAAGTATATTCGATTGATCCATTCGTGATTCAAGCATTTGCAAAATTCCTACATCACCATAGTTGCTGAATCTCACCTTGTTCTAACCGTAAATAAATGCTCGAACGCAAATGGCATGACATTAAAACCGGAAAAGGAATTGGGTTCCTGCCCGAGTCTGGACATATCGGAAACGGATATATTTGGTCAAATTTTATTTTTAAAACTTAATCCATGATACAACGTAACGCGTATATAAAATGATATGATGGTCTCCTACTCAGAAACGAGACACCCTCCATCAAGAAAAATGTTATCAGGCTGCGCAAGGACCTGCTTTTACCCCTACTCCTGAGAGACCATCAATCATGACGTAGATCTTTCTTTGGGATGTTCTAAATTCATAAATTCCTTTAATAGGTGAATAAAAAAAATTAGATATGCTACAAACCATACAAAATAAGAAAGCTAGGAGCACTTCTATGGTGCAATTTTACTTATAGTGCAATTTTATCCTGAAAAAAGTAGAGTAAAATTACACCAAAAATAAGTCATAAAATTATGCCACTAGAAAAACTCGGAGTGAAGTTACACTTGAAAAATTAAATCAATTCCAAATTCATAAAATTTGAAAAAAAAAAAAAAAAAAACCCCAGACTGCACGTAACAGCACAATTTTTTCCCATTAAATTAGCTGCATCTCCCTGGTCATAAAAAAATAATAAAAATTCGTTGTATCTTCATTTATAGCCAACAAACCTACGCAGTCTCAATCATTTTTTGACAAATTACACGTGTTCAGACCCTATGGGAGGTACACACGTCGCACCGTTGACCATAAATTAAATCGACGCTGCCGAACACTTCTAGATAGCACCTTGTCAATGTTGAGCACAAAAAAGGCCAGATAACTTGTGCTACCTGTGAATATACTTAGAATTAGCGATGCAGCAGCAATACCAACTCCCTCGATAACTACTAATCGTCACATGCAATCCAACAGTATGCTTCAGGATCGTCCTACTTCAAGAGGTCAGACATATAAAACGATATGTACTGTCACTTAGTACAAATGATTTCTTCCTCCTCGTTTCACTGATTGAACATGACCAGCACAAATTCTAGAAATATAAACATGGAAAGTAGATCAGAATATTTAGGAAAAAAATTGAAAAGACAACACAGTCACTGTGAACCGTGCTTTTAATTCGTCGGGAAGCCTGAATTACATAATCTGGCCTCAGTTACTTGTGCAGAATACTCTTCCTCGGCAATTTCGATTTCTTCTGAGCTTGGTTCTGCCAAATAATATTTAACCGAAAAGGAAAAAGAAAAATACTAAGCACAGTTTATAATTGCAAGCAAGATCCATGTTATTCTAAATTCAAAACAGCAAAGCTACCTTCTGTTTTTCCAGGGCCTCATAATCTGTCCGCTCCTGCCACTTGCTCCTGCGAAGCTTAATTGGCCGATTTCCAACATATTTACCTAAAAATCATGACACAAAAGTTAGCATATGGAATTAGCAATATATTTCAAAAGTCATTCTCTGCTTACATCTTCAGGACTACAAAATCAGAAAGAATAAAGCTACTCACTGGGCAATAGCCAACATAGACAACAAAAACACACTTCTCTCAGCAGCAGCAATACATTGGATGATCCAACATGTTAACCAGTTTAAAAACATGTTCAAGGTAAAAAAAAAAAATTTTTTAAAAAAAGAAATTTCACACAACACACAACCCTTTTGAAATAGTTTAATTAGATAACATCACCCTAAACTAAAGAAAATTAAAACATTGCAGCTACAAATTCTAGTTAAAATTAGCATATAAAAAGATTCCAGCAGAAACACGTCAGAGACTGAAAACGCAAAGCACCTGGGGAAAGGACATTGATGTAAGGTTCACATAGCAAATCACGAGGTTTTTAAGTGATGATTTCAACTGTCACAGGATGTTTTTGCCTTGTGTAGATAAAATTGTAATTATTTGATCATTTAGTATGCTATATATAATTTCCCCCATTTTCCTTTTTACATATGATCCAGCTGTATGAGTAATTCATTTCTGTAAATCAATTCATGCATAACAACAAAAAAGTCAGGACCGAACAGCATTCGCTTGTACTCCAGTAGGCAACCGTGCATGCTCTTGCAGAAAATGTCACAAAGGTACGCACTGAAACCCTGTTACTGACTTCAATAAGCCTTGCCCCTCACACTTAGAATAGCAGTGCCTTTGCATGTTCCTCAAATTTTTTTCCTTTTTGGGGAGGGGGAAAAGAGAGCATAACAAAAGATAGACGAAAGGGGGAGAAAAGTGAAACACAGCTGTAGTTTTGCTAATTACTGACCATTCATTTCTTTCAGAGCAGCAGCAAGGTCAGCAGGATTGGCAAAGCTTACAAATCCATAACCCTTTGTTTTTCCAGTCCGCTTGTCTCTGACAACCTACAAAATAATCAAATGAATTATAGTGATAGAAACAAGTTATCAAGTCAATTTGCACTGCAAACACGGATTGATTGATTAGAACTAGAAACTACAGCCTATCAAGAGCCTAGGGGTCTTAGCCTGGCAATTTAAGATTAAAAAAATAATAAAAAGACAAAAAAGCCCCATTCACTACTATATATCTTCCACATCCGACATCCTCCGGCCATGTGCAATTAATTATACTCTTTAACAATTCTTTCCAATTGTGAATAACTGTTCACTTCTTTCTCCACTACCACCCTTTTACTGTCAGTTTGAAACTCAAAAACAAAGTTCTCAAGGGTCACAATAGCTTGCCCCTTCTTTCACCAAACATATATATAGGTGGATACATAATCCCATGAGACAAGACTGAGCTTGCTAGAACCAAAGTAGGAGACTTCGGGCATAAGAAGTTAAATCAAGTCACACAAAATATCTTTGCATGGGAGTTCAGGATAGTTGGAAAGCCACTCCCGTCAAGGAAATGAATCAAGATCTGGGAAAAACAGATGGACCAGTTGAATCTGCTAAAAAGAACAGACCAAGCATCACATATTATCTAAAGGACTTAGTCACCATATATTGGCTTTTACTGTCCATAACCAAAACTTTTAGGATCTCCAGTCACATACAAGACACCGACCCCCCCCCCCTCCCCACAAAAAAGAAAAAAGAATGGACTAATTTCAATTCTGAAAGTCCAAGCATGCTCAACAGTGTCTCAATGACATCGTCTCAATACCCTTTTAACTTGTTAATAGGCAGCACCAAGGAACACTATAGATGACAAAATAACGTATCAAATTTAATCATAATAATGTCTGTCAAAATATAAGTTATGAAACAGGGCCTACCTTAAGATTCACACTCTGTTTCTTCAAATAAAAATCTGAAGAGGAAATAAAAATTGTTCACACTGACATGATAATTAACAAAAGTAAAAGACTTGGTCAGATGAGAGATCCACTTACTCGTGCCATGTTAAAGGAAGGAAATCGAGAAAATGTTTTTGAAAGAACATCATCATTCACCTCATTACCAAGATCACCACAAAAGAGCCGATAATCATCTGCCAAAGTAAAATAAGAGACTTCAATTTATGATTTTAACTTTCGCGAGAGTATCAGCATGACCAATTCATTTGCACCAGGTGTAAAAATGGGAGCGTGAAATTATATGGCAAAATGTGGCAGGTTGAAGTTGTAGGAATATGTTACATTCTTAAACCAATTGAGTAGCCTGGGCCCATACTAAATGTAGGTATATAAGTAATATAGGCAAAACATCTGAGCGTTAAAGAGAGGGAGGTGAATCAAAATACGTACAGCTTATGAACCAGACACCGGACCAAGGAACAATCCGTGAAGCCCCAGCAGGGCCAGAATAACATCCACATGAATTGCATTTTAAATGATTACCAAGGTATTTCTCTCATAATCCAGATGAATTGCATTTTAGTTACATTATATTTTCTTTAAGCTACTGGATGAAAATACAACTGTCACCATTCCACATTCTAAATATCTGACACGATTTTTCAGAAGTTTAAAAAATTATTTTTGAAAAAAAACTACTAGGTCAAAAGTTGTCAGCCTGAATTATTCAAGGTGACCATTTTAAAAAAGGGCAAGAACTCTAGTTATCTCAGTGAGATGGGGAATCTAGTCTTCCATACCAACTTGTTTAATATATTTCCCTTTTCACGGGGTCATCTGTGTTGGAGCCGTGTTTGTGTGTGTCACTGCCTTGAGCCATGTTCATAAAGATGCAAGCCACACAATAAGTCTTGAAATTTTTTTCCTTTAAAAAAAACGGGAGAGAGAACACAGGATCACAGTTAAAAATCCTAAAAGATTTTGACAGAGTTGAATTGTGAAATATGAGGATTGTCGTCGAGATGCAAGTTGATTATCATTATAATAACATGATGAATTAGAAAAAGAGTAATTACAAAAAAAAAAAAAAAACCATACTTTCTGGCCAATCTGCAAGAGTGGGATCCTCCCATGTTTGGCCAGCAGCTTTGCGAGGAACTGCTTTCTTTTTGGTCTCCGCCTTATGCTCAATCTCGCTATTTGCAATGGCCGCCTTGACACTTTCAAGAGCCTCAGGTGTAATTGTTTGTGCATCCCTTTGAAACAGTTGCTGCGCCTGTTGTTAAAAATGATGATGATGATCATGAAAAATACACAGTTGGACATTCAATTGATACATGCCATCTTTTGGTTCTTATGCACAAACGAAACCGCTACGGGAAGAATGTTATATGCCACACAGCAGGCCAAAAACAATGCCCAACTATTCTTGCCTCAGAAAAATGAAAAGAATTAAAGGCAATTATCTCATTTTACGCAGTAAGTAGATAAATTAAAATCTAGTATGGAAGTCATCGCGCAGGCATGTATTGAGTGCAAAGAACATCTACCAACCTGCTGATACTGCGGCAGAGGATACAACCCAGCGACCGGTGCCGGAGACGGATAAAGGGAAGGAGGAATTTGCACTGCTGGCGATGCTGCCACGTATGATGTCCCATACTGCGCCGCTAGGGATTGCTGGAGGTGAAAGGGCACGGGGAAATATGAACCGTTGGAATTGGTGAACTGGGAAGACACAGAAGAAGCGACAGAGCCTGATGGAGTCGCCATGAATTGCAGATGGGAATGAGCAATTTGCCTGTAATTCAGCTAATCAAAATAGGAGATCGGCAGTGAGGTCCAAGGGTTGGTCGGCCCCAGCGAGTCGAGTCCCCAGATAAAAGGCATTCGACGTCTCCAGAAATGCTTTTCTGTTCCCCGCAACCGTCCCCTTCTCTCTGAAGTTCTCGCGCCTTCTGGTGCGAACAACAATCCGAATCCTATAACCGAGTCCGAGTGTGCTTTCCGAAGCATTCGGATCACGTGCGTTTCTCCCATATAAAAAAGGGGAAACGGGTCTCGTTTAAGCTAATAAACGATGTCGTTTTACAGAGATGTCATGGGGCTTTTTACATGCATACTATAAACAATAATTTATTTTACTCAGATGCTATAGCATGAAAATATTTACCAAGATACTACATTTCAAAACCATTCAGGTAAAGATTGAGTTTAAGTTTATAAGGAACTTGTTCTTACCAAGAACGAATTCAGTAGGTCCCATATTAAAAATTATAAAACTCGTTCTTGCCAAGAACGAGTTCAGTGGATCCAACCTTAAAAAAGTGAAGTTATTCACACCTTGAACAACTTTGATTTTATCTTTTAGTGCCATTGTCTTGTAGACCTTGTATACATTGAATTTGATATTTCTCTAAATACTATAGTCAAACTCAATTCCCACTATGTAGCATTTGAAGAATTTCTTTTACTATAGACAGACTTAAAATTCAATGTCTACAAGATCTACAAGGAAGCATATAAAAAATGATTAAATATAAAAATTTAAACAAACTCAACATATAAAATGACTAAATATAAAATTCTACTAGAATAGAATTTTATACAAGGTCTACAAGGCATACAATATATGCAACTGTCAAATTCAATTCCTACTATGTAGCATTTGAAGAATTTTTTTTTACTATAGAAAAACTTAAAATTAATTTTACTATACAAGGTTTATAAGGCAACATATAAAATGACTAAATATAAAATTCTACTCATTAATTAAGAATATACATATAAAAATTATTTAAAAAAAGTTAATCAAAAGAATGCACCTTAATTAGTTAAAAATAAAATAAAATCTTAAGTTAAAACAAAACATATACAAGAAGGCAATACACACCACCAGCTCTCCTACAAAAGAATGGAGAAACCTAAAAAGGAGGAAGAATAATGGAAGGACGAAGGAGCTGAAGAAAAAAAGACAATGGCACTAAAACACAAAATCAAAGTGTTTCAGGGTGTGAACAACTTCACCTTGTTAAGGTTGGATCCACTAAGCTCGTTCTTCGTAAGAATGAGTTCTACAATTTTTAATATAAGACCTATTGAACTCATTCTTTGTAAGAATGAGTTTTTTATAAACTTAAACTCGATCTCTACCTCAACGCTTGTGAAGTGTAGTATCTCAGCAAATATTTTTCATGTCATAAGATTTGAGTAAAATAAGTTACTGTTTTATAGTATGTAAAAAAGCCGATGTCATGTGATCCAGCTGGGCCAACGCACCAGCGCCCCGATAAATTGAGTGTAATGCAATGGTGAGGGATGGAATGTAATAAAAAGATTATTACAGTAAGTGTTTTTGGTTGATTTTGATAATATTTTTTTAAAAAACAATTTTTACATTAAATTTAATAATCATGAAAATTAAAAGGATTGAAATATCTTTTTTTTTTTGTTCACTCTTTTCCTTCCATCACCTCCTTTCTCACCTATTACCATAACTTAAAAAAAAAAAACCAAAAACATAATCAAAGTAAAATTCAAAACAAAAATAGAATTACAAAATCATTGGGTCAATTCAGATTTGCAAAGGACAAACGAAGAATTGGGATGTGCAAAAATGACCTAGGATTCAAATCCGCAGAGTTGAATGTGGAGGCAAAGGAAGCAGGGCGTAGTCGCTGATCAAGTTGGAAGGTCAGTGATGATGAGGTAGATCAAATGAGATCACGGGGCCAATGCCGTAAATGGGAGAAGTTCGGAGGAGTGAAGCCAAGACACGCACATCAATAATGAGCAGGACGATGGCCGTAGAACGTTGGAGGAGGATCGGTGGCACGTGACTTTATTTCAACGAGACAATAATGTGTTTTTTCCTGCTATAATCTCCATTGTCTAGTCACGTAATCCAGATGCAACATTTTTAAAAGAACGGGGATTACAAGACGTACCATTTTTACATTATATGAGTATAATCAAACATCTAAATTTGTCTTTTGCATCAATATCACATGTGATCCCCCATTCATGAAAACCATCCAAACGGCAACGGGTTATTCTTCTATACTATTGTCGGTGCCTATGAGAACCCATCGGTTGCGCTTCTAACTGCCACGGCATGTGAAAAGAATCTAAAAACTGTTTGGATGTTGTCAGAGAAGGCACTTATGAGGAAAGGAAAGGCAAAGACGACTGTCTTGAGAGCGAACCTGGGAGTGAACTTTGAAGTTCGGACGCTCACACACACCCCTGGTCCGAACACGCGACCCCAGATTGAAGACATTGGCCCATCTATTATTTGCGTGATACATCCGTTACTTGCTCCTGTATTAAATACAGAAGCTGGGCGTCTCAATTCGCATCTTCTAAATACTCTTCCGGTCCTTATTATAAGACCTAATTTGACTTTTATTTGGTCCTAATTATAAGACCCAATCCATTTTGTCCTTTATATTTATGCATTTTTTTTTCCAAGATAATCCTTCTATAATGATAGTTTTAGCCAATATACTTAATTAGCGAGCGATGAGGGCGATGGTGAAAAGACAGGCCAGGGAATTGGAAAAAGATTAATGCGCGATGAGTTGGGTAAACCGCTAACCTTGGATGCAGTGGAGACAGAGACAAAAACGGACGGTGGTGCGACGTGTTTATATGGGAAGGGAGTGACAGAGGAGATGGGAAAGGAAGACGCCTCATCGTGGCTCTTTTCTTGTTTGGGCTGTACATTTCTTAGATGGACTTCAACTTTTTCTCCATTATTTAGTTTTGATTTTTAATATAAAAATTAGTTTTTGCCAGCCTCAATCTGCCTTTGTTAGTTTTCCACCACTACAGCAAACGTACAAAATTTTCCTTCCTTCTTCGTTTGTTACCGTCCTTCCGCTTTCGCTTTTTCCGCACACCATCATAATTATTCGCCTCACGCATCTTCTAAATATAATCTTTTTCCTAAATCATCCTTGCTTATTGCGGGGGACAAAGGAAACGAGCGGCGATGTGAGGCGATGGTGAAAAGACAGGCCAGGAATTGGAAAAGATTAATGCGCGATGAGTGGTAAACCGCTAACCTTGGATGCAGTGTGAGACAGAGACAAAAACGGACGGTGGTGCGAACGGTGTTATATGGGAAGGGGAGTGACAGAGGAGATGGGAAAGGAAGACGCCTCATCGTGGCTCTTTTCTTGTTTGGGCTGTACATTTCTTAGATGGACTTCAACTTTTTCTCCCTTATTTAGTTTTGAATTTTTAAATATAAAAATTAGTTTTTTCGCCAGCCTCAATCTGCCTTTGTTAGTTTTCCACCACTACAGCAAACGTACAAAATTTTCCTTCTTCTTCGTTTGTTACCGTCCTTCCGCTTTCGCTTTTTCCGCACAACCATCATAATATTCGCCTCACGCTTTTTGGCATTAAACCCGCGAAAGACATCAAACATATATCTCTTCCTAATTTTCTTCATTATAACTCATAAAAAATAAATAAACTGAAATGGAGACAATTCTCTTCCTAGTTTAATACCCCAACAATGTCCATGATCTGTCTATGTTGGAAAACTGGTCACATGAGAGCGTGCGAGGAAATTAAAATTGAACCAGGGAGTGCGGAACCAAAATAATGATGGGTTTAGTAGGCTGGAGCAGGAACGATAACGAACCAGGGACTCAGGGAGCTGTCAGCATGGCAATCTTCTTCATTTCACAAGGTCAATACTCAATAATAATGGAGGAGAGGGGGGTGCCCACGAAGAGACGAAATGCAGCATGAGGATGTCGTCCGTGGCCCCCAAAAGGCGAGGGACGTCAAATCAGAGCACAGCCCAATGCATTTGGGGAGGGATTCGACGGCGGAGATCTAGACACGTGGCTCTAGGCTCGAGGATCGAGGGGCAGCTGATGGCAATGCCGACAGGCCGTACAGATGCGCACGTGGGAGCACGCGGTTGCTGGGGACCACAGAAATTGCAATCGAGCATCAACTGCCCAGGTGGACCGTAGATTGCGGGATCTTTGTACGGTCAACGCCCTTTTTTGGTTATTATTGTTGTTATGACAACTCCCCTCTCGCTCTGTTTTCCCGGAAAATTATTCACGCCGTACCATCACAGGATATCCTAATCCTGTTCCTCAATCAACACATACATAGTCCCGAGCCCTGGCTACCCTAAACGCCGTGCCGATTCGCGAATCTTTACTCTTTACGGCCCGGACCACATTTTATCACTAACTAATTAATAACTTGTTTTTGACGCGGACGTAAAGGGTTGTTCTTCCCGGTGAAAGATATCATCATTTCTGTTTCTATTACTAAGAAAATAAAAAAGCGAAAGGGGCAGTGAGTATAATTTGGCCCAGCGCTAATTATAGCAATGAATAATAATCGGCTAAATTGAAATGAGTGTGGGCAGCGGAGGAAGGACGGTTGCGGAGAAGAGGGAGAGAGCAGGTGGTTGGGTAATAATAAATTTTGAACAGCAAGTGAACAGCAAGCATTTGCCCAGGTAAAGAGGGGACTCCTCGTCCTGGCGCACCCTTTTATCTATCTCATATCTTGCTGCTCTCCATATTTATATTTTATTTAGCGACTGCTTTGTGTTGGTGTTCCGTCCGTAAGAGCATCAGAGGAATGACACTTGAAATTCGTGTGAACAGAACTTCTTCCACCCACACTGGTGGACGTTGTCCTGCACGCTGGACAGGATAGTTCCCCGTTCTCATTTTTGTTTTTTATTTTACTGGTGTACAGAGTCCCGACTAATTTATCACCGTCATCATATTCATCTTAGCATTGTGAATAAATTGGTGACAATGATCCTCTGAGTGATAAACACAGTGCTTTTCAAGTTTCCATTCAGACGAGTAGCATAGGAAGGCAATAAATTAAAGAGTAGCATTTGTACACCACAAGGAGCATTTATATTTATACACGTACTCTCACAAGTTCCGTAACATGTTTCGCTTCAGATGAAAAACAAGACTTTCGCAGCTTGATAGGCATCATCACCAAGATGTTAGCATATCATGAAATTTTGTAATACTACTTACTTCGAACTCTCAATATAAAAACTTATCGACCTTTTATTTTGATCTTAAATATAATATTTCTAATTCCTTTTGCCTCTTATATTTATCTTTTTTTAAGGTAGTTATTGTAATAATGATAATTCTAACTAATATACTTGATTAGCAAGGATATTTTAAGAAAGACAATACTCCTCCGGTCCTTAATATAGGATCCAATTGGTGAGTTGGTTTTGGTCATAAATATAAGACCCATTTTTTCATATATTATCAATTTTTTCTAAATTACCCCTATGGATATTCTTTCAACATAATCAAGTAGAAGAGAAAAATGAGGTATTAAAAAAGATGATTATGGTATTTTAAGAAAAACGTGTCACATTTTTATAATTAACTAACTTACCTAACTTCCTTATCTAATCAAATCAGTTAAATGGGTCTTATATTAAGGATCGGAGGAGTACCTTTTTATTGTAAATAGCTTACTTAACTAATTTTTTTAATCTATTAAAATTAATCAATTAGTTTTTATATTAAGAACATGAGATAGTATATTTTTATTGAGTACAGTGATAGAAAAGGGATGGGAAGAATCTCTCTGGGCCAAATAAATGTGACGCCTAATACGCCAGATTGACTGAATTTACAAGAGACACAATAGTTGCTGGAACTGCTGCGCATGCTACTACCGAAATTTTCTGTTGGTATCTCACTAGGCCGGGACGTGATGTTGCCCATCTCAGTTAAAAATTAACAATTCCGTACCCCATATTGACTGGCTATGGTCTAATTTGATTAAATAGCTGCAGATTATAATATTCATGCTAGCTGAGATGAATGCAGCGTTGTGTATTCGTAGCATATCCTGGGCGTTGTGTAAGATGACAATTGCCTCCCATGCACCACGCGCTCTTTTCTTCCCTCAATTCTTCGTTTAATTGGGCATTATGAAAACCCTAGTTTGTTTAATTAGTTATGAGGAAGCAAGCCGAGAGATCCTCGGGTACCAAGTCAGTCTTAAAAAAGTGGACCAGAGATCCATGGCGTGCAGAATGTCAATTTAACCCTCCTATAACATTTGCATATATTCCCATACACTTCTAAAGGAGATCTGCTAATTCATCAAAAAAGATTCTTACGTGCCCGAGCGCTCACACGCAACAAATTAAAACACATATCCCTTGCGCCTGCGCACAACATATCTAATGTTCACATATTATGGATAGATTCTCAGAAACAGTATGACCTTGCTGGACGATGATATCATGCATATACGTCCCACACAGCCACGCTCGGACAATCCATACCTCTGGGAAGAAGGTGAGGCTAAGGAAATCGGTCGTCACCCGTTTCTTCTTCCGTAGAACGGTCTTGTCATCTCATTTAATTAAGAGATCATCATTTGCTCTTTTTTTAGGTTCATGACCATGATGTTGCAACCGCCTGAGCTCATCACACTTGGAATCGGGTAAAGTGCCAATAACCATCATGATTGGCATTCCCTTTCCACAGTAAAGCTGGATTTAAAAAAAAAAAAAATCAAGTTTTCAAGACCAGCCAAGAAAGCCGGCTCGCGAGATTGAATTATGATAATAGATATTACAAAAGCTTTTGAGAAATTGAATCGAGAGCCTCTCTTTTAACGGAAATGACCTAACCCAGATAATCCACGAGGAGAGAGTCCATCGTCAGCTAACACGGCATCACTTTTCATCATGTTTATGCGGTCGCTGTCCAGTTATGGGGTCAGGCAAACAGCTTCCTCCCCTTTGATTGTGGATCCTTCAAAACTCGTTCTTCCATATTAAAGTCCATTACATGACCATTTTCAGCTGGCTAGTTATACGACTAGGTAATATCAAGGTTTCGTCTTCCTGTCCCACACAGATCTCGCAAGATCTTCTTTCAACTACTATATATACACAACGAACCCCACATTTGAATTCTTGGATTTCTCCACTAATCTACTCGTCCATTGCTAACTATTATTCTATATATTTCAAGCCAAAATTTAAACACACTGCTTCAGTATAATGTTGTCGAGAGATGTTTCCAACTGATCTCTCTCTCTCTCTGCACCTGCGTGAACGATCATTAAGTGAAAGACCCCCGAGTCCATCTACTCAAATAAAAATTGATTGATTAAAGACAATGTAATACGGCCGAGCTGCACCACTCGAACTTGATGAAGCCACCTGCCGAAAGCGCATCCAGCAACCAGCAGCTATATAGCATATATAGTTCACCCACTAGAATTCAACATACATGTACAGAAGACATGTATACATATATACCGATAGAGAGAAGTGACATATATCTAAATCTCATCCATTGCGAAATAAAAGATCATTCACAGTAAGAGCAGCAATTTATATTAGATAAAGTACATATTAAGTACATGGCTCACAGATACACTACAAATGTACTTATCTAGATATTTCATCTCAAAACACTTATCGCCTCTTCTGCACAATGATTGATTACTTGGAAGAGAGTTCCATGTGATAATTCGACCTCTATTCCTGTTTCACCAACTCATAACAGTTTCAAGGTACAAGGGGCCTCTCAATTCTCGACGATCTAAATCAAAGACACGTCCTCGAAAAACATAAAGGCATCTTTAAATTGCAAGCAAACCTAGCTACTTGGGCTCTTGCTAGTTACTCCAGCAACTCAGATCGATCACGAAGAAGGAGGGGGGGGGGAGGGGGAGAGGAGAGATAGAGAGACCATATAAGGAAGATACAAGGATGTTTATTTTCTGCTTCTCCATTGATCGCCACTAAAAAGGAGTAGCTGTATTAGCATTAATGTTACTTGGCGAAGGAAGCATCTTGGGCTTGGGTCTCTTCCTCTTCTTTTCGTAGCTAACTCCCCTAGCCTTGGCCTGGAAGTCACGAACCTCGCGCAAGTAAAGTCTGACGGCTCGAGCACCGAAGGGGTTGGACTCCGGAGCGCCACCGTGCTCCTCATAAGCAGCACGGAGGCGGCCGATGAGGGCGTCAAGGCTTCCCCAGGCCTGCCGTAGAGGGCAAGGGCAAGGAGCCGGAGGATTGGGCATGCCAAAGAAGGGGCAGCTCGGGTTATGAATCTTGGTCTTGCCAAACTGATCTAGGTAGCGAAGGAATTCAAGCACGTGAGCGCCGCTACACATAGACAGAGACAGTGGGGGACGGTGGTTCCTGAGGTACTGGCAGAAAGTGTTCCAGTCACGACGCTTTTGGTTCTCGTAACGGCTCGGAGTCGTTGGCGCCGACGATGGGGTGTTGGGGTTGCTGATCACTGCCTCCGTTGTTCCCGAAACCAAATCCATGTAGGAAAGGAAGCAGATCTCGAGCTTTGTTGGGTTAGATCTCGTACGTGGAGGCTGAGATTCGGGTTGCTAGGGCTTTCCTTGTGAGTGTGGAGCTAATGGAAAGTTGAAAATGATCCGAGCGGACATGTGATTCCTGGAAAAGAGAAGGCGCGACACTATATGTGGAGAGCAGGAGAGGTGGAAGCTGAAACGGTGCATATATGGGTTCCCCTAGCTAGAGAGCATTAGTGATAACCAATTTCCAGGCATCATCAGAGAGAGTCAGAGACCCGAAGTAGGCGAGCGGGAATGGACTGAGGAGAAGAATTGTTGGGATCGAATTAATGTTAACTTTGAGAGGAGTGACCGATGAGCGGAGGGAAAAAGCAATTACAGAAAAGAAGAGGGAAGAGGGAGTTAGGAGGGGGGAGAAGAGAGACAGAGGAGGAAGAGAGACTGTGCATTGTTTGGTTAGAGAAGGAGAAGATGTTATGTTTACAGTTTGGGGAGCGGAGAATAGGTTGAATGAAGAGAAGGGGTGATGCTACATCAGGACAAAGTTTGGCAGTCAGCATTGATGATAGTGACCACAGGACAATCCACATTCGCGCCCTTGAGCGCGTGTTTTACAGGCTCTCCTCTTCCGTCCGCGGCAGCAAGAGGAAACAAATACGAGCATGTAAATAATTGGAATTAGAACTGAAATCAAATCTTGAATGTGCGTGTGTGCGTGTACTATACCCGCACTATCCTTAATTACATGATCAATAAGGCGGGGGATTGCTATTTAATTACAAGTTACACAAGCACGAAGCATATTCTGATCAGTTAAGCCTTAGTTAACCGATGCGCTTTTTCCTGACCAGATAAAGAAACAATGCGCTTTTATGAACTTTAACCCTGTCTCAAAATTGATTGCCATGTCTGGAGTGGTCATGCAAAATTAATCACTCTCTCCGTTTTTAATTATATCAAACAAATATTTTCAATTTTTTTCATATGTAAAATAATTTATAGAAATTTAGGAATAATTAATTATTTTTAAATGAATCTAATTGGAGAATAAAAAAGACCTGGCCCACCTAAATGTAGAGTTGAGAAGAACGATGGGTATTAATGAAAAACAGAAGTGAAAAAGACAGAACAAATTTTAAAACCTAGACTTGTTAAAGCTATTTTAGTATGCATAAGACAATTTGAAGGGATTAAGTGCGCCAAATATATATATATATATAAACCCTCTGAAATGTTTAACACACACACGCACACGCATCAAGTTTTTTTATAAGGTATAACATGTGAATGTGCATTTATCCAAAGGAGACTTAATCATGCTCTGGTCAATAAACTCAATCGCATTTTAGAAATTATATAAACACCCACGCACGCGTATTTGCCAGGACCTACAGATGCTAAACCAATAAGCAAAAGAGTAGTTGAAATTAAGAAGTGCATAAGGAGTACGGGGAAAGAAGAATGTACGTACGTAGGGGAAGCGAACAAAAGGAGCATCCCGATTATAATACCAGGGTTCCGCTTTTAATTTGGGACGTTGCATTGGTTGGTGGTGTTGAAATAATCTTGATGGGAGGGAAGTCCTTTGAAGTTTCTAGCCAGCGTGATGATGATATCGCTTTCAAAGGAAAAAGCGCAGGAACCTATATACAATATAAGCATTAATTACGAGGGGAATTTTTTTTTTTTTTTAAAAAAAGAGGGATGGAAAGGGAGAGCAAAATCCGAGAATAAGAGCACATGAAGATGATGATGAAAAATAAACAAAAAAGGGAGGAGGGAGTGTGTGTAAAAGGGGTAAAACATGGGCAAGCGTTCCGTTCCAGAAAGGGCAAGCAAGGACCAGGATTGGGGCATTTGGAATCTCAAAAAACCCCACAAACAGGGACAGCCTTGCATGGGAATTTTGGCGATGTCCCATATGTAGCCGTAGGCCCCTGCCACCACAAATATGGTATTCTGGGACTACCCATACATGTGTGTCCATGATTAAACTATACGAATCAACCGGTAATAACAAGTGTTGTGTAGTAGCCAGTCAGGGCAGGCAAAGTGGGACTGTGCCAAAAATGGAAAAAAGAGACAAGTCCCATAATCAATCAATATATATGTAATCACTCCGCTGGTCCCTCCCTGTTCCATACATCCTCAAAATGCATGCATTTGCTTCGAAGGGGGGAAAAAAAGGGACCGTAAAAATGACTGAATGACTCATTTTGTCCCCTCTCAGGGTAACTGCGAGGGAAGAATTGGAGCGGATAATAGTAATACAACGTTGTATAATTATGAGACTGGTTTATTTGACGTCAACGAATACGCCGGTGATGCCTGTGGGGTACGTACGTGCGTAGCGCGTGGGGTTGCAGAGAGGAGAAGCAGGTGAGGATGAGAAGAAGGGTTACGAATTTCGGAGGAGGAAGAGGAACCCCACGATTAGGGCAAGAAAGCGGTGAAAATGACTGCACCCTCTCTCTCAAATCCATTCCTCAACACAGGACTCCGAGGCAGCTGGCGATGGCATTGTATCAGAAAGGAAGGGCAAAGAAAGCCGAGTTAATTTAGATGGATTGCCCCCTGGATCAAAGCAGGCTGTTTTAGTTGTCCTCACCTTAATAATTACTTACATTACTGCTTCCCCTCTGTGTCAGTGGGATCTCCCTGCTCTTCTCTGTAAAATCCCCATTTTCTCCTTTCACACTGTTTTTTTGCCTCTCGCTTGGTAATTCTTGTTTCCCCCTAGTTTTCAATCCTGCGTTGAGCGTACCTTTTATTTTGCGGAGTTTGAGGGAGGCGTACGGATCGGAAATGGAGAAGCGGAGCCACCATGATCCTTCTATGAGCATCTCTGTTCATCTCCGCTGTTATCTACAGTACATCTTCCAAACTTTAACATCGTAATTACAAGTCGTTTGATATATTATGTCATTCTTTGATGTGATGCTGTATTCATTCTGGAAGGAGAACTCTGCTAATTAGATGGATAACCAAAGCTTCCTTCTCTTCTGGGCGCACGGTTTGAAGTGATCCGGTTATGCATACATATACGAAGAGGTCGCACCATGTTAACATAATCCAATTAATTCTAGATTAATTCAACATTCGTAATGATTAATACTCTTTTTTGGGGCGGGGCGGCGCTTCCTTCTCTTCTGGGCGCACGGTTTGAAGTGATCCGGTATGCATACATATACGAAGAGGTCGCACCATGTTAACATAATCCAATTAATTCTAGATTAATTCAACATTCGTAATGATTAATACTCTTTTGGGCGCGGGCGGCGGCATAAATATCCGGGATAGTTTTAACAAAAAGAGAGAGAGAGAGAGAAAGAGAAAAGTATTAAGATAAGCGAGGCGCAGCATCAGAGAACAGAGAAAAGAGGGAATCATAGCTAACTTTAGGAAAATAACGACAGAATATCAGAAAGTTAAGCAATAAAGCGGAGCATGTGAGCCCAGAAGTCCTACAAGTTGTTACATCAACGGTTTCTTTGGAAATGACTTCAACCTAATTCCTAAAACGAGGATGCATGCCATTAGAAAAGCAGCAGATTGATTCGCAGATTCATTCTAGCTCTTGCAAATTGCTCTTGATTTGTTTTTCGTTCGAGCACGAATGAAAGGGAACAAAATATATATCAAGTCCATGTACAGTTGTACTTTAAAATGAGGAATTGTTGCGTGTTATTATTTTATGGGAAAATTAGAACAAAGTATTTAGTACAAAAAATTATAAAAATTAGAGTTGTTTTAAAGTGCGGATTACCCAGAAAATTCCATTATCCCGCGAGAAGAACGAGACTCTCCTTCCACTAAAGACAAAAAATAAGGCGCAATTATAACAGGGACACAAATCATGCGGCTGTGCCATTTAAGTTGAAGTTGAAATGATAGCACAGATGTGTGTAGTTATCATCAATGAATTGCATTTGCAGGAGAAAAATGAGGAAAGTTGGAGTCATGTCAGAGAGGGCCTGAACTATCAAAGCAATGATCGGGATCAGGAGCTTTAAATAATTATAACACAAAACAAAGCAAACATCCATAAATTATTAGCTTGCAAAATCAAACATGATGCCTGTTGTTTCTGTGTGCGTACGAGAGGGGGGAGGGTTTTTCTGCGAAGCAATTAACAATGCAAGCCATCGGCAAACGTCTTCTCACGTCACCTTTGACCGCAAAGATTAGCTGGGCTGCTGATCAATTCAAAGGGTATGACTTCCTAGAAATTATTTGGCGCGCCATGGATAAATCAGGAACTAGCTTTGGGATGATCACATTATTCACATATCATTTCGATTGTTCAAATTTAATTTTTTTATTTAAAATAATTATTTTAATATATATAAAATATAAAATAGAAATAATCTTTTAACTATTATTTTTTAAAAATAATTTTTTATTTAAAAATAATTAATTAAAGATTCTAAATCTAGACCTTTCAAATTAGATATAGATGTTTTAAATCTAATAAGCTTAGAATATTCATCAAAATTATAAGCATTAAAACTAGTTTCGTATAAATCATGATTTTGATGTATTTTATCCCACCTTAAACATATGCTCATTCGATCTTAAATATAAGACTCTTATACTAATGTGATATTTAGGACCAGAAGAGTATTTTTGTGATAATTTTAGGCTAATTTAAATTTTTTAGACAATATTTGAATCATTAACCAGTTTCAGAAAATAATAAAATTTTGAAATAATTATGAGATTATTGGATTTAAATTGTTAATATCTTATTTTTCTTATTTTTGTTATCGGTTTAAAATGATGATTTCACAAGCTTTTTTGATGATTAAGGAAGAACAAATTATAAAAATCCTATGTTATAGATTTAATGTTGGGAGTTCAAGAACAATCAATATTGCTTAATGGATATTGTTATGTCTAACGGATAGAAAGAAACTATTTTTCTATCATTAATATAAAAATTAGTTGATTAATTTAAATAGATTAAGAAAATTTATTAAATTATTGAATGTCAAACTAATTTTTATATTAAAGATAGGAAATACTACCAGGCAAGCCCCAAAAAAAAAAAAAAAACCGTAGGATATTCTTCATATATGGATCCATACATGTTCTGGAATAGTCACTTCACGAGTAGCCAGGAGTAACAAGACAAGACGCGGGATGATGCCTAACCTGAAGCAATGTGACCTGTAATTGCTTTCAACACGAACAAAAAAATAATAGTACCCATTTGATTAATCGCCAGAAATCATAGAGCCTGTTCGTCGGGATCATATTTTTCCTGGATGAGTTCTGCGGAAACTGTTGGCAACTCTCGTAACAGTTCATCTCTTTTCTCAGGGCGTTCAAGTTCTAACTTCTCATCTATCAACACCTCTTTCGTATGCCACAGTTGGTCAAGGATAAGTATCATTTCAAGCATTAACAAGTCTGTGTAATTTATGAGATTCGCAAAATATAAAGCAAAGGATATTCCCTCTGTCTTCCCTTGTCATTTGCATATTCTATTCGCTTTTCCAGATACACCAGGCGCTTTGCAATCCGCTATAAGAACATTTTCATACAACAAAAAGGTTAGGCAAAGTTAAAATGCGAACAAATTGTCTGATATATATATATATATATATATATATATATTTAAAAAAGGAGTGACAAAGCAATACTCCAATAAGCACGTGCAATGTTGAACTGAAACAAGGTCATTGCATGAGTTTGATCTGATAATTGATATTATGGCAGGAAAACAATAAAACAAGAGTGAAAGACAAATGAATTCAATCTCGTAATCATTCTTCTTATGTTTTTCTCATCTTTTCGTTTTTTTCAAAGAGCTTAGAGGCCAATGGCGAAGATGCTTCTGAACTCACTTTGATAACTAATCTGCCAATCACGAAAAGCGTTCGTGTTTCTCTCTATTTCGCTTTATTCATGTTTTAGCAATTATGATTATGATTTATTTAATTAAAGGATTGGTAAATTGAGATGTTTGATAGAAACCAGAACATACATCAAATTAACTCATAATTTTAACTAGCATCGAGTCAAGGATCCATACATGCTCTGTTATATCTTCATGCAGGCATCTGGCCTTTGCTTGAAGCTCCTTCTGTCAAATAACAGTACAAGCAAAATGATGCTCATATTAAAGTGCGAATGGGAAAACCAAGAAAGTAAGGAATATCTAGTCACATATAAGCAAAACTGATTCCCATTTCATACGCTTCTTCGAAGTGTAGTCAAATGGGTGAACAATAAAAGATGCAATTTCCTAACGTTACTTAGCACTGCTTCTTTAAGTTCTGTCCTTGATGATGGCCATCCTCCGAATGATAATACAAAAGTTCTTACGCATATTAAAAACAAAATTTTAACTTACAACGGTTATCTTTGGGAGCAAGTTATCTTTCACCTTTCGCTGCAAAGTCTCACATTCTTGCTGGAAATAAAAAAAAATAAAACAAATAAGGCTTCTTGTAATAGGAGAATGGAGTTAATTATAATGTATTTGAACTTCACAATCATATAATTTCTTCTGCATTCAATCCAACCGAAAAATAAATAAATCAATAAAAGGATGAAGTCTTTTTAACTAGACATTCATAGTTGATTCCAGGGAAATAACAGGTTCATTGCAAGGCAATCCCTCTCTAAAAACACACATTCTATCAAATATATGAAAACTTCAAAACTACTCGGTTACCTCAGTAAAGTCATCATCAGAAAGATCAGAAATAGCAATAGCTTTTGGCATAAAGGAAACTTGCAAGAAAAATTCATTATTCACACCTAAAAGAAAAACAAGAGAAATGATAAGTCAATTTAAGACACTTTCAGCAGCATTAAGAACTATACAATGACATGAAAGAACTAGCAAACAAAGGACGGTTCAAGAAGAAGGGGCAGAGAACCTGATATATGCAATTTCTTACCCAAGACTCTAACAAGATGATAATGATTTCCTTGCCTACGATCAGTACGATCCACGTGAATTCTGACAAAGGTTCCAATAACCTTATCTTCAAAATTTCCAGGCTGTTTTGATAGCTCTCGCACCAGGCTTTGTTTCAAGTATATTAGTTTAATATTTTCAGCATTAACGGATGCAAAACAACTTAATCGGGTTATATAATCCCCTTTCTTCAACAAAGATCTGCTCAATAAGCTTGGCTGATCATTAGGAACCTTGTAGGCAAAATTGTCTTTGTTTTCAACATCATCTTTCTCCCCTGTTATTGGCTGTAAGCCTTCAGCAATGTGGGCCTTCAACAAAGAATATACTTTGTTTTCTGATACAGCTTTCTTTCCAAATATGGGAGTCAACTTTTCATCAGGAATGAACTTCTTGTTGAATTTAGGGTGACGAAGTTGTTTTTTGTCAATATATTCATGGATGAGAAAACTAACACCCCATCGTGTGAATGGTTTAGTTACATCTTCCCCAATAGATGTAAGAAAATCAATGACAGATTTTGATCCCCATCCTATGAATTCCACTGATTCAGACCCCTTTCTATTGGTCCCTGCCTTAGGATTCCAGGTATCATCGATATCACTACTATATAATGTCAAATCATCTTCACTTTCACCAAATCTTCTTTGATGAAGAGAACTCTTATCCTTTTTATACTTGGTCTGAGCAGATTTTGACTCCCGTCCTATGAACTCCTTTGATTTGGATCTTTTCCTTTTGGGCCCAACCTTATGATTGTCTGCATCACATGATATCCAGCTCTCCTCATCCCCCTGCCTGTCATCGTCGTCCTCGTCGTCTTCTTCTTCAGTATCACTAAAACTTCTATGAAGAACAGAATCCTGATCCATTTTATACTTGGTTAGAGTAGCACAGACGACATCCCTAGTCAAACCTTCCTTTGCCTTCATGATCTCCCAATATTCCTTGAACAGAGCTTCGTATGTCTCTCTGTCATTCAAGCTAATTTTATTCTGCAAAGAAGCAAGAAATATATACAGGTCAATATTGCACTATGCTACCCATAAATATGAATTGAACAAACACTAAAATAGATCCTGTAAATTTACTGTGACCACTAGTAGCAAGCCGATCGCATCAATTTAACTGTGAGAAACTATAAACCAAAATAAATTTTACAATTTGGCATTCATATGCACATAATAATATGTCGCACAATATTATCTGCTGAGCAAGCTCTATCTCCATCATCTTGTTGTCAATGAGGCAAGATAGATGAAAAGCATTTTGAACCGTTTTAGTCAGACAGTATACGCTTCGGTAAATACAGTTTAATTTCAACGTTACTTAACACAATTTTTACTACTAGGAACCGAGACGTTCTTCCGCTACCTCAAAATAGAGAAGTTTTAATTGTCATAACATCACCCAACTTTCCAATCCATTCAATCCGTATATACTGAACAGCATCTAGAAGAAAATTGCTACATTCTACCATTTGTGGTTGCACCTACCCCCTTAGAGTCATGATCCAAGTTATTTTCTATAATGAAAACTAGCTCCCAACATTCGGAGCATAATCCTTTAGGGCCTCGAACAATAGCAAATTCTGAAACAGCATAGCACTTGTTGCATACAGCATGCGGACAGCCAAGGCAGTAAAACTTTGGGGATTTGTGGCAGTCGAAGCAATAATGCCGACCTGAAAATTGAAACATAGCATCATATTTTGTAACTTCCCCCTCTGGTTCGGCAACTTGGCGATTTATTTATGTTATTTTCATCAGAGCTTCCCAGAAAGATTAAAAGAAAAAGAATCTACTACAGAAAAAATGAGACCAGATTACATCACATTCCAAAACATGTGGTAACCTCCACGGCGATCTCATCCCTAGGTTACGCAACAAAAAACAAAAAAAAAAGTTAAACAAATGAACACACGTACTATGTAGCATGGTTAGTGATAAGCCAAATTTGTTCTGGGAAACAGGCATGTGGATGCGAGTGATTATTAGCGATATATAACCACCAGTGTAAGCACACGATTAAAATGCTCACCACAAATCCAAGGTTTTCCATCTTTAAAAGAGGATTCTTCCTCCTTTACACAGTCGAAATGATAAACCTTTCCACAATTCCTGTTTAAAAATCATATATAAAAAAAAGCAATCTGTTTAACGCGGGACAAGTAATTTGCAATATTGTGCTGAAGATGAAGGGAAATTTTTTTTTTTTAAAACACAGACAATAGAGAGAACTCACTTATGATCACAGACTACAAGCTCTCCGCCCTCCTTGCATTCAAAACACCAATCATCCGCTTCGCAAATTCTCCTCTTTCCCATGTAGTTGGCGTTCTCTGAGTAGCGCAAATGGCTTGATTTTAGGACAAGTTTCAGTTGCTTGAACCCCAAGAGAACCTCACTCTCGCAAGACAAAAAAACAAGAAACAGAAAGGAAAAGCTGAACGGTCACGGTGACAGTGTAACGTCATGAACTTAATACAATAGCATAGCGGCATAGGCCATAGGGGCAGGCGTGCCGCGACCCGCGAAAGCTAAGAAGGGAAACCTTTTTGGTTCCCTCTTTTTTCTCCCCATTAATACGACTAATACCCTCCAAGACGTATCGGATCAACGGTTGTCTCTCGAGGAGTGGGGAGAGGGCGGACCAGAGAATTTTCCGCACATGTATACATGTATATGTAACCTTTACGAATTCACGGGCCATCTTAATCTAAATTGCAATTTGAAAAAGGTGCCCGTAATCTAGCTATGTTTTTTATTAAAAAAAATAGCGAAAAAGTGAGTGGGAGAACACAATAATCCTGATTGTCACTTTATTTTTATCGTTTGATTTTTTTAATATTTTTTTGGCCAACGGTGTTTTTTATAATTTGAGTTAAAATTAATTGGTCATCAAACTTTCAATAAAATAAAAATTGAAAAGTTTGGCGGAAAAATTGAAAAACCCTTACTTTGATGTTAATTGTATGCTTTATTTTTTATAATTAATACATCGTGGATTTCACAGTTCATCTTTTTTTCCCAACTCATTTGGTTGCTTCCAGTAACATAGCACTAATTTCTCTTTTGTAACAGCAACAAAAATAGATTCCTATGATACAGACAACGCGTAGATCAACAGGAGAGAAATAATAAAGAGGGTCTGGCAAAAGCAGTACTTGTTGAGGCTAGCAGTGTTTTGGACCCCTCAAAGTGTTTTTAAAAAAATATTTTTCATGCAAGTCAAAATAAAATTTAATTCATATATGTAAAATTATTTTTAAAAAAGTAATTCAAACACCTTTTAATAGACAGTCAATTTTTTTTTTTTACCTGAATAATAGACAGTCACGTAGGAAGTAGCAGCTAGCAAATGAGGCGTCTGCTGCCAAGTCCCAAGTCCGAATACTATTATGCTTGAAGCTGAAACAGATAGCAGATATGGCGATCTTGCCTTCCAACTGGAAGCTCCTATCCCTCAATCCAACAAAACTTGATGAATAATAATTCCATATAGGAAAGTAAAAATAACGTAAATCAATGATATATACCTAATTACGCAGATTTTAAAATATTTAATTTGTTATATTTTAAAACTGACTTTAAGTATATTAATTTCATTCTTCATAAAATGATAAAATCTTATAGAATTCAATAATATCTTTAATTATTCCTTGAAGTTAATTGTGTTTGTGAAGTTTTAACTTCACTATGCTTGGGATATGGATGAAGTTTTTTTTCCCTCAAAACTTGACAGTAAACCTCATGCATTATCAAAACTGAGCTGTATACCCAAAAAAAAAAAGAGAGAGAGAGAGAGAACTGAGCTGCAGCCGGAAATATAGGTCGGGTCAAATGGGCTGGCTTAAATAATTCTTTTCTTTTGTTGCATATTGGCCTGTCGGGTTGAAATAAGCCATCTCAATAACAATGATTGTTTTTTTTTTAAATCTCTGCGAACCCATTTGGGTTTCAAGTTGGCCCATTTAACCCTTTTTCAGTGTTCTTCTTCTTACTTTTTTTCGCCAAGAAGGAAAAACCTGAAGAAACCTAAAGTTTAAGACATATATTTTTGTGGTGGGTCGTGTATGATACACACGTCGCATGAATTTATGTTATCCTTTAACTATGGTAGATGATACCATCATTTGATTTTTAAGATAAATGTGGTGAATTAACGATAATATTATTTATATTAAATGATATGAATTATGTACCATTTGCGTTCAAAGTTGATTACCTGGGTTATACAAGTTAAATTTACGGCCTTGGCGTGTGAGTTCGTTCAACATTGCAATCACATAAGCCGGGTAGGGTCCCATATGCAAACGGGTTGGTCCAACCCAACTCATTTTTCCTTCTAATCTGACCATACAGATGAATCCATAGGATTTGGGCTGACCCCAATCCCCATCCCCAACTAAAATAAGCACCTATATTTTAAAGAATACAAATAAAGACTTCCTAATATATAAAATTACAATTTGAAACTCTCAATTTGTAAAATAGTAAATAAGAACTCGATCCCACTTTTACAAATATGAAATCGTGAATAAAATGTTTAAAATACCTTTTAACCAAATAATAAATTCAATTTAACGAATGACAACTTCAGTAGACCAAATCATAACTTGACTGAGATTATGCCAAATGATAAGTTGATTATAAGAAATAATAAATTCACTTTAGCAAATGATAAGTTCAGTATACCAAATCACAATTTGACTAAGGGACATTTCAGATATTTCATTTACATTTCATATTTACAAAAGTGGAACCAGGTTTTTATTTGCTATATTTCAAATTTAGAATCCCAAATTACAATTTTACATATTAAGGAGTCTTTATTTGCAATTTTTTCTATTTTAAACAGGTTTAAAATTTCAATTTTTTATTTTTTTCTAACTAAGTTTAAATAAAGAGCAAGATGAAAAATATAAATCATTACAAAACCGCTGACACCCAGTTTCCAACTTAGGAAAGCGGATTTCATTTATATAAGATATATGGACTAGAATGAAGACCAGCCCTTGTCTATTTGTCATGAACAGTAATTTCCCTTCTTTTTTTTTTTTTGGGGGGGGGGGGGGCTCAAAATGGCCATATATTGTTACATCTGAAACGGTCTGAAGTAGACAGACAGAGAGACAGAAAGCAGTGGACACGAAATCGCCCCCATCACTAACCTCAAAGCTCCACGCTTAATGCATCACCATTGAAAAGAAAAGAAAAGTGGGCACATTGACAAGTGCCTGGTGCATCTCTGCTGATCTGAAACGCATCACTAGCCAAGCCCCCTCTTATTGCCAGTAAGCCCTATACATCATGAAAGAGTTTCCTTATCTGCTCAACCGTTGCAGGCATCAACGTGATCGGGCAACGCTTATACTGCAACAAGGCAACACAGAACAAGGGAGAAAATGTTAGCCAAGTAGAGCACAAGTGCCATGGAAGATACTGGTTGACTTATAACACTCCCATACATGAAAATCCATTTTCTACCAACGGTGGTCAGATTGACAGCACGGCACATGTTAGGAGAATTACGTGGCCTATATGGCCAAGGCTATATCCACCAACAAAAAATGAAAAAGACGTGTATGCATGAAATACTATTTATAAAAGTTGTCGATAGATCCTTGATATTCCAATGGGTTCGCTCTGTGACTGATAAAACAGATGTGAGAATCTAATCCCAACAGCTTATTTTAAACAGATATGCGTGACCATGAATAGTCATTAACATACTTTTTAAGACCATGTTATTTCTCTTAAAAGAGACTGAAAATTATAGTTTGGGAGGCTGGTCATCTTACCTGGGTAACATACTTAAAGATGCAAGCATAGCAGAAAACAAACCCCGAAACTGTAATAACAGATGGATTTGCACGCTTCTGTGAGCACAACGGACAAATTGTTCTGTCTGGCGGCAGTGGAATCCCCTCTTTCGCTACCTGTTTATTTTACAAAATAAATTCCAGGATCCTTCAGGCAATGAAGCAATATAACTTTTGACTACTGCCAGGATGACAACTATAGAGAAGCAATACTTGTAACAAACACAAAGCATCCCCCTCATCAATTCTCTGTTCCCCCATCTTAAACTTACTTGGTCAGGTTGTTTTCAGGCATCGGATAACGTTATGAACCAGCCAAGTGAAGAAGTAACAGAAAAAGAGAGATGAGAGGAAAGCCTGCAAAATGGCTTTTTCACCTTTGGGGGGGGAGGGGGAGGGGGAGGGGGATATACAGTCGGTGCTGACATTCTCTCCTCAGCAGACTGGTACCACCATTCCATCATCTACATATCATTCACAAAACTCGTTAATGATTATGCTACCCCATAATTTGGATATCAAGCTAAATGGTATTAACAAGACATCGCTGTATGGAATACATGTTCTCAGTGAAACAGAAAGTAACTTGTAATCAACATAAGCAAATGGGAAACAGAATGATTTTTTGTGCCATCAGAGACTGTACTAATAACAACCGTCAATACCACATATTATTTCCAACCTGAAGAAAACTAAGCCAACAATTTACGTACAATACGTGAAGTTTGAGGGAAATGTTGCATGATTTTTGGCATATTGTTAGCACTTGAAAATGGATGAAAACTTCAATAAGTCACATCTTACTCACTTTGAAAAAGAACACTGATGCAATCAAACCGGTCTGTGCATAGTCGAGTATTGTGTATGTACAGCTAAGCAGCGCTCCTTGTACTGTCTATATAAGATATATCACAGATCAGCAAGTGTTAGAAATAGAGCAAAAGTATAGTTATTAACACAGACAACATTGTCATGTAGTAACAGATTAGTCTAAGTTTACAAGAAAACCTGACATCAAAATAAAAAATTATACAGTAAACAAGTCTATTGCAGTGCACTTAAAAACTATGCCCGAATATTGCACTATGTGACGGGCTATACAATTATAAGCAGATAATGAACAAACCCCTTGAGTTCCTTAATCCATGGGAAATGAAAGTTAGATAAAGAAGATATTATCATCATGATAACTAAAAGCTCGCTGCTTACCTTCAACCATTGAGGGCCACGAAGTCTCTCACGTTCATGGCTACGAATCTTTGAAATTCTGGAAGAAGTATCCATCTATCTTGACAATAAGGAGTGCAGAGTCAATCTCATAACAAGAAAAAGTAACTCAATTCTGAGATATTTGCTGAGCAGTTAAACTAAAACAGCTTTTAACAATCACCATACTGAAAAGCTTTCAGCTTGTTCCAATTAGTTATAGCATCTAAAATATGACCCTCCACCCTTTGTATATCTAGGTATCCACTCTGTAGAGAGGAATAAAGAAATTGCTCATCTTTGATTCGCATATGAATACCTATAATATACATCAGGATGCTCTCACAATGACTATTGCCCACAACCAATCTCATCACTAATCATAAAACATTCACAATTAATGTAGATTATTCTCTTCAGCAAAAAAATGTAGATTATTCTCTAACACAATCTTTGACCACTTGAGCAAACAGTATTTACAAAGGAACATGCAAACAAATAGATTGGCTCTCTAATGCACACTTCATAGAAAAGCACCCAACCAGCCTCCGGCAGGGATAGTGAGAGTAATCTTAATGCTAGGCCAGCTAGCGGTTGATTTCTTCACACAGAAGACGGAAAAGAACTATCTATTTCGAATAAGAGCCCACGTAATACCAGAGGTGTTGCTAGGATTCTATTAAAGGTGAATTGGGCTCTTCACATATATAGTTAAAACAGAACTACAATATAATGTGAGCAAATATCAATATTTCTTACTGATAACATGAAATGAAATTGAAGAAGAAATATTTTGGTTCCTACTGCATGCCTCAACTCACATGAATTTCATGATACATGTTTGTTATGTCTCACAACTAAGATACGCGTTCTATTAAAGAGATTACTAAATGTAATATGTTAAATATCTACCAACTCTTGTCCTGTAGCACGGCAGACATGAATGCCAAGAACATGCAGTGCTAGCGAGTAGTATCCAGTAGCATCCAACAGGTATAGCAGCTGATAAGCAAATGATAAGCCTGCATTTGACATATTCTAAGTAAGAAGTTTATGGCCGATATCCTAAATCATCTAAAAGCAAAAGGCAGCAAAACCAGTTTCCTTCGAGATGCCAAGTGGTCCATAAAATTACGATTTATACTTATCTAAACCAGACTTGAGAGAAAAATCACAGAATGAATGCAGCTTCTATGTCAACGAAGTGCCTATATAATCCTGATTCTCAAGTCTAACTCCTCCTTCAAATAAAAATGCACAATTGAAGAGTGTTACTTACCCTCAGTAGTGGCATGTAACCAAGGATAGCAAAATCCTACAATTTTCTGAACTCTCTTTCTCATGCGTGCTCCAATGGAGACTTCAGCATCCAAGGTTCCTCTTGACACTTGAAAATCCTCTTCAACAAAGCTCTGGCTGACATCAAATCCATCATTTCATCTCCCCATAGAGTAGCTTGAAGCCTAGCTTCCCTTTCTTTATTGTACATTGAATGCAATTTAGATTTTAAATACGGAAGCACAACCTGAAAACACGACCAAACTTGGTTATACATTATCTAATAATCATATAATGGAGCCGCATAGTAAAGAAAGCATAACACTGTACCAAGAAAACAACTGAAAGAACTTTTTGTCGCTTCTCTAACCCAGAAGGACTAGTGGCATTAGGTGATTTCGAGCCAGCATCATCCTTCTTTGCCCTGATGTTAACTGCTCGTCTTCGAAGCCCATATAGAGATTCAGAAAAAGAAGCATCTATTGAAGATGGCCAACAACATCAGAAATACAGTCAGAAATTTGGAGACTTATTGTTCAAAATTAGATACGTTTAAGAGGGAACATGCATTCATTTAACAACCCAAAGGTGCTGCATCCATAAACTTCCATGATGCCCAGTCAGAAAATAGAGACAAGAGCCGAAGAAATATGAGAAGGAGGAACCTGTGGTTCGTAAGCTGTGAGTTTCAAGAACCAGCATTAGCAAGGCGAAAAATTCATCTTCATAGTCCAAGACTCTGTGAAGGAATGGTCTTCTTAAGGCCAATACCTGCACAATAGCTCACCCTTATGGTCACAACCAAATGAATTTCCGAAGTGTAAAGGGTGAAGGTAGAGAAAGAAGTGAATAGGATAGTAAAAGCATACACCAATTGAGTATGTAAGAGCAGCGCGGAGACTGGCAGGAAGCTGTTGAGCCGCCGCCATCTCGAAGAAGGTGGGACGAGTCCCTTGACCTCCCACCTGAAACAACATTTCTTTCTCTTTTCACTTCCTCGTTCGTTCCTTTCCAGCGAAATTCCCAATCACAAAGCCAAAAACAAGTGCCCAATCCGCAGTACATGCTAAACCTGCACGCTGCAAACTCACCGGCCCTCGTTCATCGTCCGATTTCTCCGTCTATAAGCTAAAGGGGTAACCGAATGATCATGACCACATCGGAACTTTTTGTCGGCAGTCGGACTATCTCGCTGCGTATGTGGGGCGATACGAAAACTGGGAATTACCCCTTATAACTGACGCGAATAGAGAGAGCTTTTATTACGTGGGCGCGCAGCTTGTTAAAGCCTTAAATCTATAAGAGCGTTCAGATAAATGTATAATTTTTAAGATAACAAACTTTTTAAGAGACAATCGAGAAAATATCTCGTAAAAGAAATATCCTTAAATATTTTATTTTATTAATGAAAATAATTTCATAAATTTATATACATAAAAAATATTATTACCTCAGAAATAAGAGAGAATCTCATTAATAAGAAGTTTAAAATTATTATATTCTAAATGAGAAATTTCTATGAAAATGTGTTATTATTTATAAATTCAAATGTTATCAAGATCTATTAAAATGTTTTTACCGAATCTGATGTAAAATTCAATAATTTTAAACCTCTTTTTGTGAAAAAATAATTGGCTTGGACCTAGAAATTCGGCTGTATATATGCTGGCCCAAAAAAGTAAAATTGTACTACTTTGGGGTTTTTAATATAAGACCTTATTTAACTTTTATTTTGATCCCAAAATATAAAACCCAATCACTTTGTCTCTCATATTTATGTATTTTTCTCCAAAGTAATCCTTCTAACATTGATAGTTCTAACCAATACACTTGATCAGTAAGAATATTTTAGGAAAGATAACATATATTTACTACAAATAACTAACTTAACTTTTTCCTTAATCTCCTCAAATTAGTCAACTAGCTCTTATAATTAGATCGGAGTAGTAGTATATACATAGCCACTTTTGTTTTTGACCTGACAATACATAGCCAACTTACACAATGGGAATACGTTAAAATTTTATTTGGTATAAGCACTCTTCATACAAAAATAAATTTAATATACATAGATATATAATTGATGAAATGTGTCGTCGTGAACCCTAACAATTGAGCTATCTATAGTTGGTGGGCCCAAATTTTGTGATGGAACCAACTGGCAGGCTGGAAGGGGACAACGAACCAAGTCTTGGCATAGGAGCATGGGCTCATCGACCGAGAAGGCGAGTCATTTGGAATCCGTTACTGTATGGGTGTTGTTCCCTATAATTAAGCATCTGCAATGCAACCAGTATAAGCGAAACCGGTTGCCTGATTGAACAGAGAGTGATGGCTGCAGGAGAATCATCCAGCGAATCCTTGGCAACGGTGGCCGACAAAGCACCGATCACTGCTGAGAGGAATGTCCGTCTCGACTTATTAGACACCCAACTCCCAAAACCCTGTCTGTAATCTTCTTCTCTTTCACTTTGGTTTCCGACTTCGCAAATTTTGATGATTTTGAACCTTTGACTGCTGTTCTCTCTCTGTACTTATAGATTTGCCCAGGGCCTTGATTGCTCCTGATTCAGAGAACGTAAATGGCACCTGGGGCCACAGCCATAACAACATGTCTGTGCTTCAGCAGCATGCCGCCTTCTTTGACCTCGACAATGATGGCATCATCTACCCCTGGGAGACATTCCGAGGTAACAGTATTCGCATCAAGGGGTTCATTTCCGTCCCTTGTCCTCCTCTTTATCCAGTCCAAACATTTTGTCCTGCTCGAATTGGTTGGTTTATTATCATTGGGTGTTCGATTTCTGTCTCTGATTCGCTTGTTTATCACAAGTTTGGATTTCCCTTGAATTTGATTAAGGTCTGCATCTCTTTATGCAGGCCTTCGCTCGGTTGGGTTTAATGTGATTTCTTCCTTCGTATTTACTGTTTTCATACACGCGGCTATGAGTTATTCTACGCTTCCCGTAAGGACATGTGTTTCCACACGCACCAAAACTGAGCATGTTTTCAACTCAATTATTCGTATAATACAAACTAAGCTGAGCATGTTTCGACACAGACATGGCTGCCTTCGCCTTTCTTCCCAATTTACGTGCAAAACATACACAGGGGAAAACACGGAGGTGACACGGGGAGTTATGACACAGAGGGAAGGTAAGAAGGATGATGACACGGGGATTTGGCGGGAACAAGGAACTTTTTGTCAAGTTCAATAACACATAGATAGTGCAGGTTCATCCCAGCAAATTTGGAGATCATGTTCAGCAAGTATGCACGGAAGGTGCCTGATAAATTGACGCTAAGGGAGATCTGGCACATGACTCAGGCCAACAGTGTTGCGTATGATTTCTTCGGCTGGTTGGTCCAATCCCTGTGTCTCACTAAATGTGATTGTGTGGGGAACTTACTAATAAACCAGTTGGTGTGTGTGTTTGTGTGTGTGTTGCAGGGCGGCGAGTAAATTGGAGTGGGGAGCTTTGTATATGTTAGCCAGAGACGAAGAAGGGCTCTTGTCAAAAGAAGCCGTGAGGCGCTGTTTCGATGGCAGCTTATTTGAGTACTGCGCTAAAATGCGCAAGGGACCCACCGGAAAGACGCTTTGACCCCTCCCGGCTCCTTCCTTCTTCATAGTTCATACCCTTCCGCCGGAGTGTTATTTTCGTACACAAGATCCCAATTTTCACGGATTATCAGTATTATGAAACATAGCGCATCGCACTCAGACCTGCAATTTAGTTATTATACCAAAAATCCCATTGCGCCGTTGCGTTTTATTTTTATTTAACGAGGATTACCTCGCTGCGATGAATATGATTTTGCCCAAAGCCCCAAACCATCTAGTTTTATTCCATTACTTGGACAACTAGTTATGTTGTTAAAAGGAAACTGGGATTCATGACTTCATAAGAAATTATGATTTTTATTGTTATGCCCACGCAGAAGGAACTTAAATGTCGAAGAAATAAATCGTATGAATGCTATTGACTAATGAGTTACTTCAAGATTACACTAGATAACTAAACCCCCTAAAATTATGTTTTGTTAGCCTCAGTAGATACCGGCTTCCCTCCTCTACCTCCTCCGTCAAATCTCACTAGTTCAGATTTAATATTTTAAAAAATTATTATTATTTTTATCCAAAAAATACTATAATTTTACATTAAAAAATACATAAGTAAATTTGAATTGTTAAGATCTGACCACCACAGTTTACCACTATACATTATCATTATAAAGTAGTTTTTTTCTGTGAACTGTTCTGCTTAAATTTTAGCAATTCAAATTTATTTATATATTTTTAAATTAAAATTATAATATTCTTGTTAAAAAAATAATATTTAAAATATTAAATCTGAACTATTGGGATTTAGGGAGTATTTGGGTAACCCTAAAAATACTTTTTAGAAGCACTTTTTGCTAATCGAAACAAACTCCTTTACATATTTACTTCATATACCGTAAAAACACTTTTAAAACCATGATTTTGTTTCTATCCAAACAACTTCTTAATCCAATAATGGTGAAAAAGGTAGAGGTGGGGTAGAGGAGAGAATCTAGGCGCAGCTCAAGTACCTATTTAGTTATTTTGATTAAAACGAAAGCAAATTACAATTACACAAAATTAGATATGCAGTTTCATTATATAGAGTATTTGTTATCATTATTTAACATTTACTATATATAGAATATTTTTTATTCAAAAGCATGAAAATATTTTTATCTGAAAATTTATTTTTTATTCCATTTTATTCTCAACAAAACAAAGCTTTAGTTTCCACTTATTGCCTGTGTGAGTGTAAGGCATTCAACGTCTAGCTCAGTCCTTTGCGGAAATGAATTTTATTCTAAGAAACGGGATCATACAACATGAATCAATTGACCATGCGTCTCTAATATATGTCATATGAAGATGAGTGCTGTAGGTTCGATATATAATTTTACAGCAACAAATAAAATAATGAACGATTCAAAAAACTTAAGAATTGCCAAATCTGGGCAGATAGATACTGACAAATTATCGACGATAAGAGAGAGATCATCTAAACTTCCTTGCAAATTAATCACACTGAAGTCTATATCACACAATGTTTTCCCTGCCGCAAGAAATAATGGCAATATTATAATAGTACGTGAGGATGAGTACCAAATAGACGAGCAGTGTGATCGTGTGAGTACCTCATGGACTTTGGTTGGGTGCAGCAGTTGCAATAGTTGAAGTAAGGAGCTAGCTTCATTGGTTCAGATTTTCCTCTTGCCTCATGCATGTTTCGCTAATTTTCGCTTCCCTACAAATGTCACCATAGCTATGAGCAAACCGTCTTATTCTTAAATCAAATTTTGTTGCCGTAACATTATCACTTAACTTGCAAGCCACAAATTGAGATTGCAGGAAAGCAGACCCCACAGACTAAGATTATCTAACTGACCTTTCCGCTTCTTATTGCGGCAGAATGAGCTTCCACAACAACATTGGAATGCTTTGATCGGGTGATCATGATCATCAAAGTCAATACCATAATCCTGTAAACAAATTCACACACTTCTTGCTGATGAGAGAAAATGGAGGACGTCGGAGAAAATTGTAATAAAGTGACATGCATGCATGAGGAAATTCAACTTCATTCTCGAGACGAGAAAACCATATTACTAAGCCAAGGAACATATAATAAACTCTTTATAGTCAAAAATCGAAGAAACTGTGTAGAAGTAATGCTTTTGCAGGGAAAAGACGCAAATATAATGTCATATGTTGATCAAGGCTTAGCCCACCTACCCACGTCAACTCCTCGTAAGCTCTCACATTCCTGTTAGTAAAGAAGGCAAGCTGCAGATAACAACAGAAAATCAACTCTCAATATCTCCATCAGTTAATTTCCTTTTTCCCCCACCAAATTTGTGGATTGAACTGTTAAGAATCTCCCCTTATAGGCTCACAAATAAGAAAGGTAAAATGAAAATATAAAATCAATTAAACATGTACATGATAATAATGGCGATCAGGTGTCTCCACTTCAACAGGAATGTCAACCAGATTTGCGTCTGAGCATCTGAAAGGGAAGAGCACAGATTGCTTTTAGAAATTTTAGATGAAAAGAAGAGGAGCAACGGGCGGAGGGGCACTAGGAAGAAAGGTACACCAATTCATGGACCACAACAGATCAAAAGCAACAACACACATCCAAATAACAGGATTTTGGGGGTCATTAAAGAAATTAGGAAACACTTTCCGATCCTTGCCATCTTCACCATAAACTGAGCTTGAAATTGTCAACACTGACTGTTGAAGTTGAGCTTGTTTATTCGAAAGAAGAAAAAATATGCAGGTTGTTACGCCATGAAATTCACCAACGGAGGCAAGTAAGCTATTATGTTCCACCCAGAAATTTAAGAAAATATTATTGTCTTCCAAATATAAGCCTTTAGACATATAAGCATTACCTATGATTGATAAACCTGGCAACATTTCCGTTATATGTTGCATCTAGACACAGTGCCTCCTCATCCTTTAACACACCTTCTGAGCCCCAATCTGCATCAAGGGTTACAGGATACGTATGTCTGTCATTGCCATTTTTGTGCACAATTCTTTCATGCAACTCCATGTTGGTTAATATTTCACCGACATATTCACATATAAAGGATCCCCTAGGCAAATCTTCCAGCGTTCTAAGGCCCCAACCTTTTCCTTCACCGGTAAAGAACACCTGAGAATTTAAAGACAGTAACGTAGCCATTATAATAAACTAGCAAACCGAAGCAGCCCAAGAAAACCAAACTACCACTAAAAGCACCGTAAGAAAATGAACGAGCAGCTTGCCTGCAATTTGCATCTCAAACCTCGTTGCACTACACGATTTCCACACTGCATGTCACATCCGCATTTCCTCCAACATTCCTTGATAAACTTCCTGATCAGATGCCCCTTGCACTGCTCAGGCATGCATTCATTCTTAGACCGCTCTAGTGGGCACTCTTCACAGTACACCAATTGATGAGCTTGAGGTTCCTGTTTCATTGACATGCAAGATGTGAGAAATTCGTCTTTCAACAAGCCCTGAATCGTGTAAGCAAACTCTCCACCAGTTTCTTGAGCACATGCACAAGGTAGTGATTGAGAAAGACAATCTCCAATACAATTTGAGCAGCAACCTTCATCCGCAATACGAGCCAGTGAAATATTTACATTAGCACTCTGATATATTAGATTATGTGGTATGTAATTAAACTTTGGCAACTCCCCATTACCATACTCATCTATCAAAGATATCTCCACCTTTTCTGAGCCTTTTGTTATGTCACTAAGAAACTGAAATAGCTTCCTCTCATCTCGAGCAACAGCTTGTTGGGGGTCATTTGTTAATCTGTTTGCATTGTTAAACTCAGGATGTGCGCACTTTTGATTCATAGTCATGCCCAATTTAAGGAAACTCTCACACATACTGTTCAATAAATTCACCATAGAAAATTGGGGTCCAATGATATTGCTAGGCTTGAAGTACTTCTCCTCCATGAACTTCATAACAGCATTTAAGTTTGGAATATTGAAGTTTGGCTGTCCAAGTGCGTGGTCACAGTTTAAGGAAATTTTCACTTCTCCAAATGGTGAAGAGGCAATGTCAATATTAGCCTTGCTGCTCGTGGGATTGTTATTATATGAAGAATCATTAATGACACGGTTCAGGTCCAGATAAAGAGAAGACACCAACTTGACCGGATAGTTTCCAGTCAAAACCTCTGACGGACCTGGGAAATATCAGGAAAAAGTTATATCATTCTGTGATATGGACTATAGAGGAAGAAATTAATTAGATTAACTGAAATAGATTCAAGAGCAGATTCAATGGTTTAGGATATGAAAGCATAAGAAAAGAACGTAGGACAAATTTCTGATCAGGAAGACCAGTCGTTACCTCTGCAACTTGTTGAACTGGATTCAGGATGTAAATTATTATGTTCAGTTGTTGGCTTCATTGTCTCTTTCCTATAATGTCCATTTGGTAGATTTTCTCTTCGAACAGGAGCAGTTCTAGGCTCATCAACAGGTTCGTCCCCGTGCCTCGCAGAAGATTCTTTCTCGGAATTTGAATGTCTATCTATGGCGGCCATGCCTGGCAATTTTGATATGCTTTCTGCCTCGGAAGTTCTTATTTTCAATGATTGAGGACTGATTTTAGGTCTCATATTGCTCATCAAAGATTGAGATGATTCAATGACTTCCCGTCCAAAAGTATTTAGAGGCGCTTCATTCTCTCCTGCAGATAATATTTGTCTTGAGTTGTCCATGGTGTACAAAAGCACATCATCTTCATCTGCCAATGATTGAATTTGTCTTTCTCCACCACGATAACTGATTTGACTTTTTCCCTTACCTTTTGCTTCCTATTTTAAAACTAGGGAATAAGGTATAAACTAAAAAGTATACCGTACAAGTATAGTCAAATGAAAGAAGTTGCTCAATGCAGATTTTTTTTTTTTTAAATGCAATCAAGAGATAGTCAAAACATTATAACTTTTAGTTTGTCAATCCTTATCTGTTCAACAGATATAATATACAAAACAAGTGATGAGAATGTGCAGATAGAATATTTAGGAACAGAATAAACAAGTAGATACTAAATGTACAATAGACAAAAGATGTTTATAAGAGTTACCTTATCTTCCTTAAACTCAAAGTATGCATCTACAAGCGTCCGATAGTTATCTTCTTCAATATATTTCCAGTTCTTATTATACAATCTTAACAGCTCTTTCAACACTGGTTCTACTTCTTCACGAGAAATTCCCAAGTCCTTCATAGCGCTGAAGGCCTTGGTAGCTCTTGAGTTGGGAGTAGCATTGGGAGCCATGAGAGTTTCAAGTAAATGTCCCCTGATTCGACACTAACATGGGAACCGCTTGCTTCTCTGTCGAGGCGAAACTTTCAAAGAAGGTGGCATTTATCTAAGAGATTCGAACAAGAGCAGGGAAGGACTGATAACATGAGGTATGAAGGATTAGAAATTTAAAATATCCTTGAACGTCGGGGAAAATTAATAATCAGGTAATTTTCCGGTGAGAAATTAAGAATTTACGACTTTAGAGCCAGCCAGGGAAGCTCGAGCATGCACGTTTAGCTGACAAGAAAATCTCATGGGAGAAGGAACAGCAAAGAAAGTTTAGTGTGTGAACTTTGGGGGTACCGGCGTTGCAGGGCTGCGTGTATCTGTAGGTCAGGCAGCCGATCGTCGCCAACATGCTAGTTTGTTGCTGCCCGAAAATTTATCAGCTACGTCTGGCGTACCGAAATATTGTGGACCCATGGATACTTTGAATATTTATTGGTCAATGTTTATTACTATTTTTGTCGTTTCCCGATGGCCGTTGGTGATACAGATTCCGATCTTCCTTGGAAGACTCTTTTGCAGTCGATACCTACTTCCCGTCTTCGTTGTTATAAACCATTCCAACATGAAAGGAAAACACGAATAAAAGAGATTTATTCTGATGGGCGTTCAGATTTAAACCTTCTTATTTTATTTAAAATACATCTCATAAATTTCCCATTATTCTATCATTCTATAAAGAGATTTATTTACTGGTAAAAAAAAAAAAAGAGATTTATTCTCTCTGGCAAAAAAAATATGAAGACATTTATTTCATTTGTTGCTTGAAAAGACTCATGTCTTAAAATATTCCAAAGTATGTGTTAGTTTATTTCACTCGCTCACATTTTAGTTTAGGAGAATTACAGAGAGAAATACCTTTCTTCCATTTTTTTTCCCCTAACCAAACAAGAAAAGAGAAGCCAGGTATTAAGTTTATGCGTGTGGGAGGAATTCTCGTTCCTCGAGCAGTTAGAACTTCGATTTTTCAGGCAAAAAAAACACAGAACTTTGATTTTAAATTATTATGATTAAGACTAAACTCTGATGAGTTAATAGGTTGTCTATATTATATTAATTAATTCATTTGCATGATTTTTTTAATTTATTTATCTCGTTCTATAAAATTTCTAGACCTTCCTCTTTAAAATAACTCTATCCAAATAAGTGTTTAAATACTTTAAAAAAAAAAAAACTGCTCATCGGCTAACGCCCATTTTGAATTTTCTCATCAACCGAACCTTCATCTCCAGCTGCAGCGAGTCCAAATATAGCAGCAAATCCCACGCTGGTAGCACGCCCATAAAAGGATGTGACGGTGAGTTGGCGACGCATCCAAGATGAGCTTATATTAATTTGTAAATATTGGAATTGGAAATATTATAATATAATTTACCTCGGGTTTCAGACAGTATCAAGCGAATAATACATGAATGTGGAAAGAGCAATTTGTTTCGTGAATCTAGTCTGTTTTGCCCATCAACATTAATTTCAGTTTAGTGTCATCGGCCGTCAGAGCAGCATATCAATTTTCATACAGGGAGCGAAGAATGATTAGTACGGAAAGTGTAATTTATTCGATGAATTTAGCGTTATAAGTGATACAAATTATAACTTTCTAAGTGGATATACCCAATTTAATAATATGTATCAAAATAATATATGAATGGTTATGCGGTACATTCATCTAGACTTCATACAGAGAACGGGACAGAGAGAGCAATTTCTTCAATGACCCTAATCTGTCCTACGGGCAAGTATTAATTTCATTTTGGTGTCGTCAGCAGTGAGCTATGCGTATCTGATGTTTCTAAATGCACTAGGACGACGGTTACAACAGCAGCATCAGTACATTCACATAAACTTTTATATACAGAATGAAAAATAATTACTCCTCTAATCTTTAATATAGGACCTAATTTTTGAGTTGGTTTTAATCTTAAATATAGGACCAATTTATCATATTTATCAATTTTCTCTAAATTATCCCTATAGATACGCCCTCAACCATAATCAAATAGAAGAGAGAAAGAAGGTATTAAGAAAGATGATTATGGTGTTTTAGGAAAAATATGTCACTTTTCTTATAATTAACTAACTTACCTAACTTCCTTAATCTAAACAAATTAGTCAAATTAGTCTTATATTAAGGATCGGAGAAGTATCATGCAAAGTGTCATGGATTATGATTTTCTGAGTGGATGTACATAATTTAATATGCACACATATATATAATCCTCTGGTCCTATTTATAGGACAGAGAGAAAATGTATTTTTTAGTCCTATTTATAGGACACTGAGAGAAATTTTTTATATGGATGTACAGTTTTACCCATAATTTATTATGGTGTTAGCTTTATTTATATGAGGTATAATGTATATTAATAAGGATAAAGTTAGAAAGTCATTAAATTTTAAATGAGAGTTAAAAAAGTTTAAGGCTTTCCTTGGTCGATGTGAAACATACTGAAAATGTCTTATGAATAAGACTAGAAGAGTATGTGTGTGCGGGCGCATCAAAGCAACATATATAATACAGTATATGGATGGATACGTTGTGCGTGCACCTCAACTTTGTCTTCCATGCACACAGTATGTTGTATCCTCGAGACTCAAATATCCATGCTCTTCCCATCTCCAGCGATGCCAGCCCAGCATCACGGGAAACAGGCAAGAAATTAAAAGCGAATTGAATCCTGATGATCCCACCTAAACTGATTAGCAATATATACAGCACAATATAAACCCGCCCGACAGAACAGAGAAGAAAGTGACCAATCAAATAAATTAGGAGGATCAACAATCTGTTAGCTAGCACTTTGACAGGTATAAATATAAGAACCACGCCCGTGCACAATTGACTCGGCCAAGCTGGGCGTACGTGTGGGAGAAGAGAAGGAAGAAATAAATAAAAAGGGAATATAATGACATATATAAACAATAATGGAAGGGAGGGATAAAATTGGAGGGGAAGGGAGAAGAAGGTGCTAAAAATGCACAGGGAAACCGATCGAGTTTGACAGCGCGAAGCCGTTCACAACAAAACACACGTGTCCTCCGTTGCATTATGTTCCGCCCGCTGCCCCATGCCTGCACCTCCTTCTACAAATTCATCAGTCGTGCCTTCCTTGTTCCTTGTCATGAAAACCTGAAGGTCGGGGGTCCGGCGGCCTAGAGGCTCTCACCTTCTGTCTCTTCCGCCGCCGTATCCAACATGTCGTTGCTCTCCGCCGCCTCCGCCCCGTTTCAGCTGCTGGAGATCAATCTCATTTCTGCCCAGGATCTCGCCTCTGTTTCTAAACCCACCAAAGCCTATGCCGTCGTTTCCCTCCCCCCTCATCGCAAGCTCACCACCCAGATCGACCACGACGGCGACACCAACCCCACCTGGAACGAGAAGTTCGTCTTCCGCGTCGACGAACATTTCCTCCACGACGACACCTCCACCATCATCATCGACATCTACGCCTCCTCCTGGCTCCGCGACATTCTCATCGGCACCGTAGGTGTTCTCCTCCGCAACCTCCTCCCTCCCTCCGCGCTCTCCGGCAATCGCAAATCCAAGTTGCAATTCGTTGCTCTGCAGATTCGCCGACCCTCGGGTCGGCCCAGAGGGATCCTAAATATAGGGGTGAACCTCGTCGATAGCACCAAGCGCAGCATGCCCTTGTACTCGGAACTCAGCGCATCCGCCGTCGGGGATTATGACTTCAACCCCGTCCAGAAAACACCCCAACATGACCTTCCCGACCCCGTCAAACCAAAGCTCTTGACGCTTCAGCGTTCTCAGAGCGAAAAGAATGACTCCACCATCAATGATTACGTCTATCATCCGACTCCTGCTCATAAGAAACAAGGTTCCGGGTATAACGAAGGATCCGAAACTGGGGTACAGCAGCCCAAAGGAGTGATCGTGAACGCAAATGGGTCTCTGTGCTCGGACGTAGGGCCTTCGCCATCGGTTGTGGCTGCGGCAATTGCCAAGGGATTGTATCCGGTGCCATTAACGGTTGCAAGAAGCTCGGGACTGGATGAGTGGTCGGAAAAGAACAATACGGAAGGGATGAGGACGAAGATGGAGAGATGGAAGACGGAACTTCCGCCGGTGTACGATCACACGGAGTACCGGAAGCTGAAGCAAACGTCGAAGCGACATGCGAGAGCGAGGAATAGAAATGGGTTGTTTTCGTGCTTTGGGAAGGCAATGGGGTGTGAGTTTTCGATTACGTGCGGAGGGGGTAACCGTAAAAAGAAGTACGGGGCGGGCAAGAGCCAGCTCACGCGGTCTGATCTCACATACGATGAATCTTCCTATATGTGATGATGGAGAGAGCTCACCGGACGAGGGAAGACATGTAGATGCTCGAACACTCATCATTTTGAAATGACTCTGTTGCTGCCGGCGCACATTGTAGGGACAGAAACAGCATTTCAGTATAGATCTCGACGCTGCTTTCACCCCCACCTTTTCTCTCCTCTTCTTATTTTATTCTTTTCTTCTTCAATTTAACCTCATCTTTAACACAATGTATATGATCAAACCATACTGATATCCCAAGATGCCTAGTTTACAGAGGATCTCATTCTTTCATCTTCATTTCTTGCATGATATATTCTTAATCTTTTATACGCCCCAGATGAATGTGCACATGAAAGATCAGCAAGTGATTCGTTATTGGGAGCAATGAGTTCTGTTGGAACGGGAAACAATTAAAGAAAGGAAGATGTATTGTTTATTTTGTGTTGTGGGCCGACGAGCGGGGTCAACGGCTTATAAGTTCTAATACGGAGTGTTTTCTGACGTGAAAAGCGAACTACGGTTAAGTTGTTGTTGGGCCATGAGGTCATGGGTGACGGATGAGCTCTGAAATCCAATTTAAACCCAAGGAATTCCGCCCAACAATTTGATTTTAATTAATAAACATTACAAAAAGGGCCTCAATGCTTTATTGGTTTTTGACGAGGGGCCTCAATGCTAGTTGATTGTATCGTTTGCTTGGTAAACTTAAAAGGGAAAATTAATTCGTGAGTCCTTATAGTTTACTTTAATTTTGAATTAGATCCCTATAGTTTATTTCGTTTAAATCAAACCCTTACACTTTGATCTGTTAAGCCCATCCATCCTTAAGGGTTAACACTGTTATAACACCGTTAAGTTTTGATAATGTGGCTAATAGTATGCTTCCGTGGCTAGCTGACATGTTAAAAATATAATATTAAAATTATTTTACTTTTAAAATTTTCAAGTAAACACAGAAAAAAATCAAGGGTTACTGTTTCTAGGTCTTCAATTTCCAACTCCCGCCGCGGAATTCCCACTCCCTAAATTTATATTCCCATTTTTTATGCCTATGTCATCTCCCCTCCTTCGTTCCATATATACTAAACTGATAGAACAAAAGAACAAAATTAATGAGAGAAACATAGAATGTAGAAAGCGTTTAAAAAATTATAACTTTAAAAAGTTAAAATCGTTTTTATTGATTTTGATTGGAATTAATATTCAATGTATAGTTTCGGTTTCAAAAAAGATTCAAACTTTATTATGTCAAATCAACATCTTTGTTCTCTTCTTATTGTGGATAGAGAAAATCTGCACATGTTTATAAGCGTAATATTTTTTTTATTTATTTATAGAAGATCAAAGATGGGACCTTTACAAATGGATATGAAATATGTGTTACCTGCTCGAAATTCAAAAACTGTGTTTGAGAGATGGAGAGCAAGAAATAAAATAAAACACATTGAGGCAAAGCACCGACACGCAGCCTTACTCAGATAATACAAATCGAGACACAGTACCAAAATGCAGTTTTACCTGGATAATACTGGTCACCGCCATCCTCCGCACCCAATGAAAATCAAAACTGAACATTCTGCAACTGGCTGCAAAATTAGCGAGAGGGCGGGAATGCAATGGTTTCCTGAATCGACAGATCACGATGGTCTTAGTTAAAGGCTTCTTAATCACCTTATTATCCACCTGTCGTCAAAATTAATCCATGTGGTGCCAACTCATGTTTCTTTATCCACATGTCAGTTTAGTCAGCCTCTACATCATCAAAACTTAACGGTGTTATAATGGTGTTAACCTTTGAGGATGGATGGGTTTAACGAATCAAAATATAAGGGCCCTATTCAAAAGAAATAAACTATAAGGACCTGATTCAAAATTGAAGTGGACTATAAGGACCTACGAATTAATTTTCCCAACTTAAAAACCAAAGGCAGGTGTCTATCCTTTTGCTCAAAAAAAAAAAAAAGGAGGAAGGTGTCTATCCAAAAAATTAACAGTGACTCGCATATTTAATATGATAGTAAGTTAATTAATCTGAGTGGGTTAAAAAATTTGTTAAGTTAGTTATTTGTTATATAAAACTACTATCTCTGGTCTTTAATATAAGATCCTGTTTGATTTTTATTTTGGTCCTAAATATAAAACTCCAATCCATTTTGTCTCTCATATTTATACATTTTTTTCCAAAGTAACCCTTCTAATAATGATAGTTCTAGTAAATACACTTGATTAGTAAGGATATTTTAGGAAAGACAACACCTATTTAGGACAAATAACTAACTCAACCTATTTCCTTAATCTCCTCAAATTAGTCAACTGGTTCTTATAATTAAGACTGGAGGTAGTATTATTTAATAAAATCTTCAATATGTGCATCTATTATAATAATTATTTTAAAAAAATAGATAAATATGAAAGACAGAATGGATTGATGTCTTATATTTATGATCATAAAAGTCAAACCAATTCTTATACTAGCTCCATTTTTTATTATAAAAACTTGTTTAACTTTCAATTTGGTCCTAAATATAAAACTCAAATCCACTTTGTCTTTCATATTTATTTATTTTTTCAAAATAGTTCTTGTAGTAATTGCACATGTTAAGGATTTCATCCTAATATATATGATTAACAAGGATATTTTGAGAAAGAATACTTCTTTATAATAAATAACTAATTTAATTAATTTTTTTTAATATCTCCAGATTAGTTAACTGAGTAGCGTGAGCGATTAAGGAGAGAGCCATGAACTTAGGAATGGACTTGTTTCAGTGATGTATGTAGGCGGCGAAATCTGAACTGGTAAAGAATTTGATGAAACATGCGGAGACGTACAATATCGGGGAAGAACGGACACAAGCCTAGCCGGGTGGAAGATGGGGATCGGAAGATCCACGGAGGAGCTTGTCTTGCACTGCTCATGACCGTACAGCACGGTGAAGTCAAATGCGCATGCATCGCGTGCAAGCGCTGCATCTCCTTGCCAACCTCTCCTCTGGGAGACGAATGAGATCTAATTACAAACAGCCGTCCCATCAAATTCAAGCCCATCATTTTTAGTTTATGAATATTTTAATTATAATTTGATAAATATCCGTACGGCTGGATATAGATTTTTTTCCCCTTGATAAAAAGAATATAAACATAAACATGAGTCCTGAGCAGTTTTGAGCGGCTGACTCCGGCGGGGTTGGACGGCCTCATACGCTGCTCCCCCCCCCCTCTGGGATACATGCTTGTTGTTTACATACTGGCGTCGAGCATAATGAATAAGCGTGGGTCTTGTTGGCCACCGAAAAAAGAAAAAAAAAAAGGTGGATCGGCCAAAAATGTGTTTGGAGTAGTAATAATTAAGCGTACGTCGCAAGAGGCTTCAGAAATAAATCACTCAAATGTTAGTGAGAAGTTGCTGTCATTGATTGCTTCATTTTTGAGCTTGTGGGGTGCATGAAGCTTGAGAAGAATAATGGTATTAATAATTTTTTAGGAAATATTTAACGCAGGAAAGTTATGATTTCTCCACGTGTATGGACGATCAATCAAACCTTTCCGCGTTGGGTTGTGTCCGGCTGCCCGTAGCCCTCTTTTTCAATTTTTACCCGTAAAATTACATACACGCTTGCACCCAAAAAATTTACCCCCAGGCTATAATTATTATTATTAGTAATTTTCCCTAAAACCCATACTTTAATGAAAAATTCTTTATTATTTTAGGAGAATCAATATCAGTGTTTTGTGGTGAGGACTGATGATTACTTCTGGTATCCATGTGTAACCTGGTCACACAGATGTAATCGGATTTTTTATATACAACAAATGTAAAGAGAAGAGAGAGCGTTTGTGTTTTTCTTGATCTGCTGGTTAGAGCAATCCATTTCAGATATATTCTCAACTGTTTTTGCCAGTTTTTTTCACATAGAAAAACTGTTCCCTCCTTAATAATTTTTCAAATAAATATAAAATAGGATATTTTACTAATATTTATCCTAATCTTTTTAGTAAACCACAACTGAACCCAAGGTTTTAGGTTTGGGTCTAATCCACCAAAAATGAATTTATTTATTTATTTTTATTCCCACACGTGGGAAGACATAAATATTATATTTAACTAGAAGAGTTTGGACAAGTTGATTTTGGGAGTGTTTAGATAAAAACAAAACCATGGTTTCAGAAGTGTTTTTACGGATTACGAAGTAAATATGTGGAGGAGGTTACTTCGTTTTGCAGAAAAGTGCTTCTGAAACCACGGTTTTGGAACACCCAAACAGAGCCTTTGTCATTTATTTGTTAAATTAGAGAGTGTTTGGATACCTTGAAAAGTATTTTTCAGAAACATTTTTTTTCAAATTGAGATAAACTCCTTTATATATTTACCTTTTAGACTGTAAAATCACTTCTGAAATTAAGGTTTGGATTTCATCCAAATACTCCTAAATAAATAAAGGAAACAGTAAGGAAGAAGATGGGCAAAAAAAAAAAGGGGAAAGAAAAAGAGCAAAAAGCTGAACCAGCCGGTGGAGACAAGCAGTTGATCAGCTCGAGCCTTGAAGGGAAAAAGCTCCATCTCCCTTGAGAACTATAAGAGTAACCAAATTCAAAGCATCATTCCTCTTTGATTATTCCACTCTCTCTCTCTAAGCTTTAAGAGGGGCGGGGGAAGAGAGAAGTTGACTCTTTCTTTTCGAAAGCGGTCTGCTCTGCGTCTCTTTCTTCCTCAAATTCTGTGAAGGAAAGCCGTTCCTCTCTACGTCCTGGTCCATTTGATGTGTCTTTGAGTGAGAAGAGGCTTGCTTTCCTTCCTCAATTCCCTTCCCCTCCCCCCTCTCTTGTAGGAGAATGAAAGAGCTGAGTTCCGTATGATCATTTGTCTGCTACCTCTGGAAAGAATACAATTCGGTACAAAATTTGTTTCTCTGAGCTTTAGTTCCGTCCTGTGGCTAATAGAGATGTTTGGGTGCGGGTGTTTTTGCTGGAGCAGCTTCCCTGAATTCTGTTCGTCCGAGCCAGAGCTGTTCTCTCTGCCATCGCCTCTTCCTCAATGGCCACCGGGTACTTTTTAAAGCATTCTACGATGATTATGGATTCTTTCTACTTTTGACTTGAGGGGTGTCCCTTGATTTTGCTAGAATTGCTTGACTACACTGGTATACAAATATAATACAAGGATGAATTCCCGATATTGGATAATTACCTGATTTGTTTTAGGATTAATATAAATCTTTTATTTTATTTTTTGGGATCGCTCTTGCGGTTGTTAACTACGTTCCCTTGGTTTTTGAGCACTGTGTTTCTGGTTTCCTCCTTGAAGCTGCATAATTTTTAGCAAACTGCAAGGACAATTAGATCGGAACCGAGATCATTACTATTCCATTGTACTAATTTGGCGATCACTATTTTGATTCCTGCATATCAATTTTCAAAATAGAAACCCAGAGCTCTCCCGTCTCATCCGGTAGATACTATTGAGTTCTCATACGAATTTCTTAGATGGAATGAATCCCATGGAAATTCTATATTGATTACTGCTTTCAATAGTTCCGTTGTTGTCTTGTTTCTGCCACCGTTACCTATTGCTTTGCCTCAAAGGATAGCTAAAAGAGCTTGTGTTCGTTGCAGAAAATAAAATGCTTATCTTGATTGCGAATGATTACTGTCTATCTCTTGTTAGGTAGAACTTAGAACTGAAAGATATCTTGTGCTTCGTGATGCCCCTGATGAATGCTGTATAATCTTTTCTGAAAAATTAATTCTTTATTGCAGCACCAAATGAAATAGGTGTTGGGTAGAATTGGCGATCATCCTAATTCTTTATCACCGCGCAAACTTTGTTAGTTTCTACCTCTTCTTGGTTCAGACAAGCATAATGCGTGACTTGGGTCTTATCATGAAACCTATTTCTTGCAATCCATACATCTCTGGTTGTGTTTGCTCCCGTTTGGCTTCATGTGTGCCCATTTTATCAATTATTATAGATGATTGACTAAGTAACTGATTTAAACTTTTCTGAATGATCTGGTCAGGTGGTGGTTTTGCTAATGGTAGAATATGCCTCGGGGAAATAGAAGTCTTGAAAATAACCAAGTTCGAAAGAGTTTGGAGCTGCGCTCACCTGCGAGGAACGCCCCAGGGTTTCACATTTTATAGACCAGTGGAGATTCCTGATGGCTTTTCCTGCCTCGGTCACTACTGCCAATCCAACGATCAGCCATTGAGAGGTTATGTTCTTGCAGCCCGTGAAGCTTCTTCTCCTGAAACTGAAGTTAATTACAACTCTTCATCGTTAGATAATCCAGCTCTTAAAAAGCCTCTTAACTATTCGCTGATATGGGGTGCTGATTCACCACATGATGGATGTGGTTACTTTTGGTTGCCAAACCCTCCTGTTGGTTATAAAGCCATGGGTGTAGTAGTCACTAGCAAACCAGATGAACCTCAAATTGGAGAAGTTAGATGCGTGCGAGCAGATCTTACAGAAACCTGTGAGACTCATGATTTGTTCCTAACAGTATACTCAAAATTGTCAAAAAAATTATTTCAGGTTTGGAACACAAGACCCTGCAAAAGGGGTATGCTGGGTAGAGGTGTCTCTGTCGGGACATTCTTCTGCAGTACTTTCTTTGATTCTGAACAAGTGTTAGATATCGCATGCTTGAGGAATCTTGATTCCACTTTACATGCAATGCCAAATCTAAACCAGATTCATGCACTGATCCAGCATTACGGACCCACGGTTTACTTCCACCCCGATGAGATATATATGCCATCGTCATTGCAATGGTTTTTCAAAAATGGAGCACTCCTGTATACAGAAGGTGGCGAGAAGGGCAAGGCCATAGATTATCAGGGATCAAACTTACCTTGCGGAGGAACAAATGATGGAGCTTTTTGGATAGATTTGCCAAGTGACGAGGATGCCAGACAGAATCTGAAGAAGGGAAACATGGAGACAGCAAAGCTCTATGTTCACGTAAAACCGGCATTAGGAGGTACTTTTACTGATATTGTGATGTGGATTTTTTGTCCCTTCAATGGTCCCGCCACAGTTAAAGTGGGACCAATGAACATTGCTATGAGCAAGATCGGAGAACACGTGGGTGATTGGGAACACTTCACGCTCCGAGTGAGCAACTTCACCGGAGAGTTATGGTCAGTGTTCTTCTCTCAACATAGTGGAGGCGAATGGGTAAATTCATTCAACCTGGAATATATTGAGGGGAACAAAGCCATTGTGTACTCCTCAAGAAACGGGCACGCTAGCTACCCTCATCCTGGGACTTACCTTCAAGGCTCATCCAAACTCGGAATAGGAATACGCAATGATGCAAGCAGAAGCAAGTATTTCGTGGATTCAAGCGTCGAATACGAGATTGTCGCTGCAGAGTATCTTGGTGATGGAGCCATTGCAGAGCCAAATTGGCTGCAGTATATGAGAGAGTGGGGGCCTACAGTAGTGTATGATTCCCATTCCGAAATAGAGAAGCTAATTAATATGCTCCCGTTGTTTGTCAGATTTTCTTTGGAGAACATACTAGAACTATTTCCTACAGAGCTTTATGGGGAGGAGGGGCCAACTGGTCCGAAGGAGAAGAAGAACTGGGAAGGAGACGAGATATGCTAGTGCTGTGCTGTCTCACTCGTGACTATCTTCATTCCCGTGTAACTGTTGTTGTTTTTCTTCCCCCACGTGAGTATGCGTTGCAATGCCTTTAGAAGGTCCTGTGTCTGTGTATTGTATTGGTGTTGTGAGTGTGTTAGGGGTTGTGTTCAGTGTTCTCCCTCCGGGCAGAGTGAACCGGATCAGACAACACTTGGTAATGCAGGGGAACATATCCTCAAGTGTGGATTTTTCTAAATCAATTCTTACTGAGCAAGGAGCAAGAATCTGTGATTCGCAGTGGTTATTTTACATTCGTAGTACTTAATTTACCCGCCATCCCTCACGTCATGGCTTGAAAATTGAGATCTTGTGTTTTTTTGTGTGAACAAAGCATTATGCCTTCCCAAGTTGACATGTGAATTGAAAAAAAAAAAAAAAACTAAAAAGGAGCGTACGTCAAGCGTACGTCAGCAAGAACCAACAACCAAGAAGAATGACAAGAAAATAATAATAACTAATTTATGTTCGTCGATCATTATAATTGATTTATATCCTGGTGCTTGAAATTATTACAACAATCATTGAAACTTTGATTTATGCGGGTGCTGTTTGAAAATATCCTGAATAAAAAGACCCTCACCCAGAAAAGGGATTTCCATTTTCAGTATTGACCCCTATACCTGGACAAAACGAATCTCAAATCGCAAAGGATTTTTTTTTTTTAAAAGCACGATATAACCATGTGAATAAACTGGTTATCAATTAGGTTTGTTAACCTAACTGAACATGAGTTTTTGTAAGCATATATAATATGGGGAAGACAGTTATGGAAAGCATCTAGGCGTAGGTCAGGTATTATTTTAAGGAGGTCAAGGACCGTTATTAATACGCACGCAATGATGCCTGTATATTCTTTTCTTTTTCCTTATTTCCCTAGCAAAGCAAGGCTACGGCAGCTATACAGCAAATATACGTACAAACGCATAAAAGGTTTTGGATAAGGAACGTTTCCATGAAGTTGATGGCCTCCAATAGGTGTAGCTGCTAAGATGCAATATTTAATTGAAGATTGTCGCAGGCCCTAACAATAATCTCAGAGAGACAGCAACGCACGCCTCATGTCATTAACAAATAAGTAATTGCTCACTCAGACGTAGGCAGTTTATTGGAAGTCAGGTGAGAATCTGGAATCATATTCCAAAATAAAGTCGCGCGCATATACTCCTTTTCTGAGTTGTCACCAAAACAGGACGACGTTTAAAGAGGAGGAGGAAGAAGAAAGCCAAGGTGGCAAGGGAAGCTGGATTTGAATGTTCATCTTTGCCACCCAATTAGCCTTAGAGTGGGGAAATGGCAGCCAAGCATTCGATGAAAGGCGATAGACATCAAAGTGGAGAGCACTTCTGCTTCTGCTCTGAATTGAGCATCACCCACCCACACATATTTCACACACATTTTCACAGAACTTGCACATATCTCCAATATCATTTATGGCAAGGCGATGGAGGTCCAGTGATACATTAGTGCACATTTATAGGCCTACTACTGATATCTCCTTCTTTTCTACTCTTTTGGTCCTATTTATAGGATTGAGAGAAGACATTCTTTGGTTCTATTTATTATTGTGTTGATTTTATTTATATGAGATCTAATGTTATATTAAATAGAGATAAAATTAGAAAGTTTTTGGATTTTAAATAAGAGTTAATGAAGTTTAGAATTTTCCTTACTCTACGTGAAACATATTAAAAGTAAATTATAAATAGGATGAAAAGAGTAACTCCTAAACAAACAGCGAATTAATTAATTCAAGAGCGCTCAGGGAAGCTAATAGTCATGCACACCCTGGACCTGGAGGAGGCTAAGAGCCCGCTTGATTTGCCACGGTTTGGGAATGTTCTGTAATAGTCAACTTTCTGATGTGTTTCGATTTTACATATTGTTCTTATTTTTTATTCTATTTATAGGATATTGAGAAAATTTTTTTTATATGGATGTATAATTTTACTCTATTTTTATTATCGTGTTGATTTTATTCATATAAGGTCTAATGTTATATTAAATAGGGATAAAATTAAAAAGTTATTGAATTTTAAATGAGAATTAATAAAGTTTAAGGTTTTTTTTAGTTTCTATGAAACATATTAAAAGTAATTTATAAATAAAATCAGAAAACTAGCTCCTAAGCAAGCAACGAATTAATTAATTCAGGAGGGCTCAGGGAAGCTAATAGCTATGCACACCCTGCGGCTGGAGGAGGCTAAGAGCCCACTTGATTTGCCACGTAAATGAAGCTTGGGAATGTTCTGTAATAGTCAACTTTTTACATATTATTCTTATTATTATTCAAATCTTTGATCAACCTTCTTTGCAGTCTTCTCCGACTGCAGGCGACGCATATGTTGGGTCTTTAGTTGTTGATTAGAATATTTGGATATTACCATCTTACCCCGAAACAATGAACCCTGTTCCTGTTTCTCTTGACTTTTATGATTCCTGACCTCCCTCTGCCGATGGCTAGTGGTGTCCTGTGGGGTTGCTCTCAATTACATACAAGTAGCATCAACAATATCTGATTGATACCATGGATTTGAGGATTGATTTTCAGGCTACGACTAGCTTTTCATGACACTAATTATTTATTGTTTTCAAATAAACTTTTTTTTTTCATGTTTCAGTTTCTGGGCTGGAGAATTTTTTTCAGTCGGTAGTACATGATAAATGAATTTTTATTAATTTATTCCTTCTACTTGAATGAATAAATAAATAACTCGTGTAAAGATTTAAAATAAAAATATGATTTCCAGAGTTGAAAAATTAATAGCCAGGCTTTGTAAACCTTTTTTTTTTTTTTCTCATTCTGAAAAAAGGGTCCAATAAAGGGTTTCATTAATTTATTTGTTTTTCAAAATTTATTGTTATCAAACCAATGCTCTGTTGATGAGCCCAGCTGCACGGGATCGTTACTGGGGAAACTAAATTAAATTAAACTTTTTAATTTATGTAAATTTACCGTTAAAGATATTATTACAGTCAGGTCTCCAGAAGATCATTGCAAAATTAGTGTTTCAGGGTTTGGATACTCGGTATAATTCTCCTCTCCCGGGAAGAATCTCAGACGAAAGGTCAGAAACGACAATTACAAGGATGACAATTCAAATTTCTTTTTGGGCCTGAACAATTCAAAGTTCAAACTCTCTCAACTCTTCTCTTTCCCACTGATAAAACCTGCGTCTGAGGGAGAAGGACTCTTTCTCGAGAAAATTTTGAGCGCCCTAATCGAATTACAATGAAACCAAATATCTGGGTCTGCTTGATAATTTTGTTCGTTTCTCTTCGATCTGAAGCTTCTTTGGGATCTCAAAAGACCGATAAGGCTTATGTCACCCTTTTGTATGGAGATGAATTCTTATTGGGAGTTCGCGTTCTTGGAAAATCGATACGCGACACTGGATCGAAGAAGGATATGGTCGTCTTGGTCTCGGATGGGGTGTCTGATTATGCCAAACAGCTTCTCCGGGTAATCTTCTCTTTAACTCTGCTTGCTTCCGGAGTAGATCAGGTTCACGTGTAACAATAACTCAAATATCATGTCTAGTCTTGTTTTCATTGATCATACGACTTCCGAAGTGGTTAAGGAGAACCATATTCTTTCGGTTTTTCGGGTCAAGACAGAGTCGCGAGAAGTGAAACACGTTTGTTTAGTTAGCCCAATGTTACGCCGCTTAGAATTCTGAGATTGATTTGAAATTGTCTAATCGAACAGACTATTAAGCTGTATCTGGAGTTCGATTTTCTTTCTGGTTGCCTTTTTGGAACACAAGTATATGGAAACCTCCGAGTCTAATTTTACTGTCCTTTCTGTTTAAATTGGAATCAACCTAACTCAAGATGAAAGAGATGCCAAGTTAGGAAATCCCAATTTTTTTTGCCGTGTTAATATTAATGTCTGGCATTAAAGCTTTTGTCTAGTTTCGCACTTCTCTCTTAAATGGGTGGTATTTTTGCGTAGGCTGATGGGTGGATAGTTGAGAAGATTAGTTTACTGGCAAATCCTAATCAAGTACGTCCAAAGAGATTTTGGGGTGTCTACACGAAGCTGAAAATCTTCAACATGACTAATTATAAGAAAGGTAAATATTTTTAGCTATTATTGTGGATGTATCTGGTTGTATAAGTATTGGAGGATATCAACCATGTAGGCTCCGTCCTCCCAAATGGGGCGGATCTCCTTGAATATTTTCTTCCCTTAAGTAGGAGTATTTTCAAAGTGATTGAGTTATTTCAAATGTTTCCTTTTCATTCTTGAATTGTAATGTTTTTCTAGTTGCTTTTAAATAAATTCCAACGGGAGTTAAGTATCTAATTCCTGAGTTCTATCCCCCACCCCCTAAAGAAAAGAAAGAAAGAAAGAAAAACATCTCAGCCTTTTTTTTGTTGGGATAGAGATTATAGAATCAGTTTATTGGTTTATTCTTGAATGCAAATGTGCAGTTGTTTACCTCGATGCGGATACTATTGTGGTTAAAAATATTGAAGATCTTTTCAAATGTGGAAAATTCTGCGCTAATTTAAAGCATTCTGAGAGATTGAATTCGGGAGTCATGGTAGTGGAACCATCTACTACTGTTTTTAATGACATGATGAGCAAAGTGAAGACCCTACCATCATATACGGGAGGTAAAACAATAAATACTTATTACACATGTTGTAGGTTTGTTTCTTTTACATTTCCTAGGCATCATTTACTAGATATGATCCTCAAACTTCACTGCATCTCAATAGTTGATTTTGTCTTTTTGTCTCCTTTGGCAGGAGATCAAGGATTTCTTAATTCATATTACTCTGGATTTCCCAATGCACATGTTTTTGAACCCAATTTGACCCCAGCAGTACTCAATTCTAGACCAGTTCCTGAAATGGAGAGACTTTCAACACTCTATAATGCAGATGTCGGGCTCTACATGCTTGCTAACAAGGTACTGGAGTATGTGTAACAAGATATCACATCCCTCAATTTAATCATCTGACAATTCATGCTGATTTATCCAGTGGATGGTAGATGAGAATGAGCTCCGTGTAATTCACTATACTCTTGGGCCTCTTAAGCCTTGGGACTGGTGGACAGCATGGCTTTTGAAACCTGTGGATGTCTGGCAGGTATTTGTAAAACTTAATTTCCTCTATTGGCTTGTTAATGTTGCAACATTTTGTTCTTCCCAAAGTTTTGTAGAGAAAACTAACATGATAGGTGGTGTTGCAGAATGTGAGGGAACATCTTGAGGAATCCCTTCCTGGAACAGCAGGAGGCCGAAATCGCAAAGATGATTTTCTTATGAAGTTTCTTTTTCTACTACCTCTTTGTGCTTTACTCTTCTGCTGTTATCGGTCATTTGTAAAGGTCAGCTACTGTGCTTTTTATTATCCTCAAAGGATTAAGAAAGCAGAAGTGAACTTTTGTCTGTCTCAACTTATTGTAATTTGTACTTGCTGCAGAGTCCAGGGTTCATTAGTTCGTTTTGTAGAAGTTCATTATGGGATCATGCCCGACATCTTTATTATAGGATTAGAGCAAGTGGACCACTTGTGTATGGTAGTATTTCTACTACTACGATCAATTCCACTTATCAGGTAAAATTTCTGCAAAGTCTTTTCGTGCACACTTGCATTTCTTTTTATTATGCTGAAAATTCTTTTTCTGTGATGTTAAACAGCTCTTAAGTAGTGCCCAGTACAAAGTCCCAGCTTATTTGGGTAGCGTTTCTGTCAGTGTCTGTTTTATGGCCGCGATGGTGTCTCTGGGGATAGCACTGTTGATTGTACCTCGGCAAGTGACCCCATGGGCTGGTTTACTCTTGATGTATGAATGGACCTTCACACTCTTCTTTGTTTTCTTCGGAGGTTATTTACATCTAATTTATCGATGGGGAAAACTCACAGCATCTCGAGTAGCATTGTCTCATCCTGAATCTTCTGATTATGATTCAGAAAAATGTATGTTCTTTTAGATTCAAGAAGATTTGGTAGTTCCATCTAACAGTTAAATGTGACCTCCGGATTCATTTGGCTTTTTAATATTGGTATTTTGATGTTGTCATCATTAATTTTGTCTGTTATCTGTTCTACAGTTCATCAACGACAGATTCCGTCTTGTGATGTTGTTACATGGTATTATGGCTTAGGGATGGTTCTCTTGGCAATTGCAGCCCCATCTTTGCCTTTTATTTTTGGAATCACTGCTTTGTTTTTGAGGTAATTTGCTCTATTTATAGCTCTTGTTAAAACAAAGCGAAATATCTGTATTTGGTGGTGTTTTGCTCTTACGGCCTGCTCTTTACACTGGGACACCATGCCATAATCTATATATCTTGTTAAAAACCGAACCACCATTTGATGTTTAACTTGAAGCGGATTTTATTGTGTTTCTGTCCTGTAATTTTGAGTGTTTTTGGGTCCCCTCAGACCTTGTGATGACACTTGTGATTACTTTGTGATGATACTTGTGATTCTGATTTCTGTGATAATAGGTTAGGTTTGATGGTTGTTGGGGGCATAATATTAGCTTCCTTCATGACATATGCGTCGGAACACCTTGCAATAAGATCATTTTTGAAAGGCGTAGAAGAGTGCGATACGGCACGTGATAGTAGTCTATGTTTCTCCTGCTGATTGGAATTTTTGACTGGCAATGTAAACTATCCTAGATAATTATATTATAGTTCCCCTTCCTTCCATTCAACTAACCTAGTGCTTTTCTACTGGCAAATGTAATTTAGAAAGTTTTGTCAATCTTGAATATTTTGTTTGAGTGGCTCTGTTGTAATATTATTCTTTCAAAAGTTGTACCCGTCGATGAAATTGCCCTCATTTAATGTGACAAATAAACCATGCTGGCTTGAACTTGAAGCCATGGCAATGGACGGGGCATCATATGCTCGGTATGGCTTTGATTGTGTAAGGGTACGTTTGGATCACCGTTTGGAGGAGGAAAAGTGTTTAGAAACATGTGAAACGGCGGTTTAAAGCCTTTTTAAAGTAAACACATGTTTGGATTGCTGATAATTGTAAATGAACTTGTGCCATAAATAGATTTCTTTTCCAACGCTCCAAAGAGAAGCTTTTGCCTTCTTTTGCAATGCAACTGATGGGGTTGACATGGGTGAATAACAAAATGTTTTTACTTTTTTGTCCCAGAGAGAGAGAGAATGCTTTTATATAAGATTTAATAGATTAATTTAAAAGATTAAAAAAAGCTAAATAAATTATTTAATTATATTTTATTTTTTTGGGTGATAATTTAATTATATTTTATGTTACATGATTTCTCAAAAATATGTATATATATTATTAGGCTACATATTAGTTTATAAGTCAAGCAAATTAATGTGAAGAAAAATAAATATAAATATTTCAGAATAGTTTATTTAAATTTCCTAATCTTCTCAAATTAATTATATGTATTTAATTATATTCTATGTATGTTCAAAATTTTCTCACCAACAGATATTTTTATTTTACAATTATAATTTTAATTACTTTTTTAACAATTATTATATTTATTCAATAAATTTTATATCCTTTTTAGTCATTTTATATCTAAATTTATTTATTTTATTAATTATCTAAATAACTTTTAATTTTTTCAACTGACTTTTTATAAGCACATATTCAAATATAAATCGTATTACACTAACTCATTTTTATTCTAATTTCAATTATAAAAGTCAGTTAGACTAGAAGTCAGTTTTGTCTAATTCTAATCCAAACACATCCTATGTGAGCAAGCAGGAATGTGATCCCCCAATTGTGGGGCTATAATTTGTTGCATTTTTATTTTGCGTGAACAGTATAAAGAATGCTTAGGCAATTACCTTCAGTACAAGTAAAGATCTTCCATCAAAGAAGGGACGCAAGTGTAACCCACATGGATAAATATGTCTGGACAATAATAAAGTTGATCGTTTCGGCTTATTTGCATAATAAAATGGCTGGTCTGTTTCTTTGCTGGCACCTTCCACTCGCAACTTGTCTATAAATTTATTAGGTTACAGGCACTTGGAGTTGGATAATGTAGTGGAATTCACACCATAAACATAAGAATAATTCTATTTAAAGTAACAAGTACCTAAATTCCAAGGAGACATTATTGTTATTATTTTTTTTTGGGTGAACTTTATTATTATTATTTATTATCGTTTGGTTCGAAGGGACGGGCTGCTTAATTTTTTAGGGGCATGTAAATAATATCTGGTGTTACTGAGTATTGAGAAGGGCAAGTGTGATGGGACAAGCATGATAACGCGCCTAAATAGGAACATTAGGAGCAGGTGGCGTTGGATTTTGGATTGAATGGAAGTAACGAGGCTAAGGTCATGATCATGCTACGTGGGCATCTTCCCTTGATGCCTCTCACCAGCCCCTTGAAAAGTTGGAAATCCTTTTACTTTGCACCGGCTGGGTGGGAGGGACCCACAATGACTTGCTCTGATTTCGTAATTTAATTATAAATATAATCGAATGAACTGAACAAGACAATGGCTCGAAAACAACCATCATCCCTGTCCCACGCTGGACGATGATCACCGCCGACCTACCTGCGCCGCACGCTATGCACACTAATCAACCTTCAACCCTTTCTATTTGTGCCCAAAAGAACACGAGAGGAACTTGAGAAGAGAACAACAGAACGCCAAATGAAGCTAAATTAATCGCCTGTTCATATTCTCTCTTTCTCGCACGCATATAAACACACCAGCGAACTTGTCATCCAACTGCTTTTCCCAGATGAAGCAGGCGAATCCCCGGCTTCATTCACAGGTCGAAGGCAACCCAGCTGTGAGTTATACATGTTTAATAAAAAAGTGTTTAGGTGGAATCAAAATCTTAATTTTAAAAGTATTTTTCTGAAAATAAATATATAAAGGAGTTTATCGATTTACAGAAAAATACTTTTTAAAAACACTTTTCATGCTTAACAAACACCCTTTTGTATTGCAATATACTTAATGCATACTTAAATGAAAGTACTACTTTCTGTGAAGCTATTAGTTGGGTTTTATTTTGAATAAGCAACTAGAGTTGGTTCTTTATACGCGCACACAATCTAGCTTCATTTGATATTGATGGGAAATTGGGAATTGAGGGTGAGAGATTACCGCCACAGACACGTTCAAATGTTAGTAAACCAACTCCATTAACCCATTATCTTAAAGTATGGATGGTTGTTGGACCAAAAAAAAAAAAAAAGGTATGGATGGTTGGTTGTCCATTAAAAAAAAAGAACCAAAATCATGTTTTGTTGGAAGTAAATCCACCAAAACGCGGTTTTATTTATTTTTCTTTTTTAAGGAAGGAAAACCAAACATATATTTAGTTTTATCAGGTTATATTTTCATTTAAAATATTACTTACTATCCTTTCTCTTGAATACACACCAAAAACCCGCATACAATCAGAACAAATCAAAGCTCGAGAGCGACGTTATGGCTTTGCGCTCCAAATAATTTATCATTAAAAAAAATATTACTTTATGGATGACAACAACAAAAAATGAACTCTACATGAAAGGAATGACAAAAAAACAAATAAATACATTAAATCGAACAGATCCCCACCCACAAGGAAGAACACTCTAATTGATACTACGATTCCGGTGAGGCCGGGGGCAGTCTTCTTCCACTTTCCTATGCTTCTAGTTGTAGGTACAAAAATGTGAACTAATCAAAAGGAGGGGGAAAAAATTCTTGAATGAGTCGAACATTGTGGTGTGAAAAGAAGCGGTAAAATGGAGACGGTGAAGTGGTCTCGCATGCAAGTATGTTGCTGGAATCCAGAAGGTTAGTTGCAAAAGGGAATAATAGGGCGGCGAGCCTAAACTAAGAAAGAAGGACCGGATTTGACGGAGCACAAGGGCCACAAAAAAGAAGGATGTGATGTCAAATAATTGAGAAAGGCAGGATGATATATCTAAGTGTAAGTTGAATCAGTAGCTGTTCTGCTTCTAACAGAGCTGTCAATCTATGCGTGGCAACAAGAAACTAAAGCCAGAGTTCTCTCGAATCAGCGGTGGCGGTTCAATATCCGCGATATCTATTTGCTCCATTGACTTTGATATGTCATCAACCGAAAATGGGATACTGCCAACATCACACACCCACACACACACATATCCAATTGTTAATAACATATCCATGCATACATTTATATGCATATATATAGACATCATCATAAAATGGGAACCTACGAACTCAAACATTAGCAGGCTTAAGAACTATGATGGGATCGAATGACATCCACCCCACCTGGAATCATCATCCAACAGGAAAGAATTGCTGACTGCATTATTTGAGTCTTCAGTCATCAGCACTCTCATATTGGATATTACCTGATCCCACAAAGCTTGTCAGCCATCATGCGACTTTGATCTGTTATGGATGATAGACTCATGAACATGGTTTGACTTACATCGGGGGATACGCTGTGCGTGCCGTATTTGTCATCCCAGTACATGGTACTTATCCGATACAGCTGCTGTACACTGAGGACCTGCACATAGGGAACTAAAGGATCGGTATGAGTATCCTTAAAAAGTAAAACGAGATTGCCTTCACTCACCGGGCATAGGTCATGGCTTATTTCATCCAGCGTTTTCTTTGGCTTCTGATGTATGACCTGATTAAATGAAGGACACAAGTTATCATCACAAGTCCCTAATTTTTGCAGTCCAACCATCAGAAGCAGATGGGTGTGAAATGAGAAGGATACCAGGAATCCAATGGCCTGCCTGATATGTTTGAGCTCATCCCAGGCTAAACCTGCATACTGCATTGGGGAGGAGGTCGAGACTATTAATTAATCAGCAGTTGTGCCTCACACAACAGAAGAGCATGGTACTGGAGAAGGGAAATAAACGGACCTCATCCGTTGCTTTGTAACACCAGTGCTCCAGTTCAGCCAAACCAGCTTTCACATATTCCCCATTGCTGAATGAGCAGCACTCCCGTCTTAAAAGAAGACTGCAACCAAGAATACAAATTTGAGACGCTAACACATGAACGTTTCAACAAACAGTGGAAGGTCAATAAACTAACCTGTTGAATAGCTGGACGTTGATAAAAGAAAAAATTTGGGTGAACACCTTCCGAACTAAAAATGGAGGAACCTATCAAAACGAAAGCACGGGGTGAGGCAAATCAGTCAAACAACGTTGACTAAAAGGGAAGATAAGAAATACAAGAGTAAAATATAAACGTGCTTGTCGTGAGAATTTCATAACCTCTCTTTTCTTGCTTTTTATAAGAGGTGGACATATCTCCCTTAAGGAAAAGTTTAAACTCTGAATTAGATGCATGAAACATGAACTCCTCGGTGGATTCAGCGGAGTCATGTATTTAGTGTGAAAAATTCAGTTAGATTTACGTAAGAAAGCAGAAATTTCGAGGGCAAAAAGGGCGACGATGTTAAAAGAGGTTCTACTAACATGATTCGCTTTTAAAGTATTAAGAAAGTTCCCGAGGCTCTTCACTATCCCCTGCCAGTGAGCAATCAATGCTCGCTGGGCTTCCGTGTTTGCAACAGAGCGCCCTTTAACCAAGCCTGCTCTGGATGTTCTCGGTGCCTGTCTCCTCAATTCAAACAGTTACTTACATTTCAAATATATTGCCTTGCATGGAAATTTTCACATGCTAGTAAAATGTGTACTGGATAGTTAGTAATGAACTTATTGTGGGTACCTGGATGCATAACCCAAGCAAGGGAGATATTTCTTTCTTCAAGTTATCGCGAATCATTCCATATATCTTTTCCACATATGCTGTAAGCTGCTGTTTGAAAAGAAGAGCCGGGTACTTGGCTTCAACTTGTCGCAATGTATCTACTCCGCCGCTTCCGTTGATTAGGGCAAGGTTGACTCCAGATGGAGCTCCGCGGAAACTCTAAAACAAACATCAAGCGTGCAAAAGGTTAAGCTTATCTTTCTCCATACTAGTTCATATTTCCAAATAAGGAAATTATATTTACTTGTGTCATCCTCCCAAATAGTGTTGCTGATGAAGAACGACGGCGTTGCGGAGTGATTCCGGCGGCACCACTTGCCTTGAGTGTGCGCTGGAGTAGCAAGAGAAGTGTAGAGGCATTCGATAACCAGTAAGCCAAGATATCATTGTTATCCTGGGTCTAAACTCCACATGCAAACATCTGAGTTAGAAACGTAACAAGAGTAAGAAAACTAGACCACTGGCTTTCAAAAGTTGAACTTTATTCACCTCAATTGCTTGGCCAATTGTTTGAATAATACGATCGAAAACGCTAGTACGCTCTACTTCAAAGGATCGCCAGTGCAAGAGGCATTTGTATATGATACAGGCTGCAATCGGTCTGTTCCCAGCAAAGCCTAGATGTTGTGCAATACATCTGATGAGTAACTCTTGATTCTCCTGCTGTTTCTCATTCAGTGACTTTTGTGGCCTATCCTCCATTTCATAGTGTTCCCTCTGAATCATTGATGGGCTATGAAGATCCTGGTCAGTTCATCAGGACGCCAAGAAACCATCAAATTCGCATATACAAATATTTCACAGGTGTACACTTATTTAAAATATGTTTAGTTACCAAAGGTGCCTTTACTTCCCCTCCGACATGAACCCCTCCTTCAGCACCTCTCTGTCAAGAGAGAAATGAAGTCTTCAACATTATCTTGTGTCTTCAAAATTATTAATCATGGACGTAAGTTTCACACCAAAGAGTACCTGAATAATAGATCTCGAGCGTCCTGAAAGGAACTTATTAGGTGCCATGGACACAGCTTGTTGACGTAGAACCTGATTCTCCGATCCTAAATTAGTAATCTTCTCTTCTAGCCTAATTAAAGAATTATGAGATCTCAGTCAAACATCTAAGGAAAGAGCGGCTATGCCAGTGATAAATTTTATGGAATCTTAGGGGAAAATGTACAAATTATAGACTTTGTCCAATTTAGGGAGATAAAAATGGAGAAAAGAAAAAGAAATCAGCTCTGATGATTATCCAACCATATTAGCACACTCTTCCTAAGAGGTTGAGACTCCATAGTTAGGAACATAGTATTGTAACAAGTTTGCAGTATTAGAGAAATCAGGAAACTGTTGCTTAGCGTGGGAAAAATCACTGTCAGGTATTATCATTCATTAAGTAATTATATTACCTGGTCAATGATTCTTGTAGCAGACGAACCTTCTTCTCGGTGTCTTCTAATTTTTTACCCCTTTCTTCACTAGAGACTTGTGCTTGGTTGTATTTTCTTTCAAAGTCATCTGCCCTCTCTTTTTCTGACTGGAGTGACGTCTGCGGGAATATAAAGCAAAGGAATATTCATAACACTGGATGATCATTATATGCCCGTAAAGCTCTAGAACAAACTGAAAATCTGTCATCTTCTGATATATCAGTAGGAATATATATTCAGAAACAGGTAACTTCCAAGAAATATTGTTGCATTATCAATTCATCTTGATGAACTGCAATTGGCCATAAAAAAACTGTTATTTTCACCAACTATTGAATACTTAGATTTAATCACGTAATTATTTGACGAGAATGTACAATAAGTTAAATTTAAAGTACTGACTCCTTCCAAGGAAAAAAATGTAGGACACATGCCTTAATACATCCCTTTATATGAAGGAACTTTCTAAAGAAAGTTTTTCATATGAGCACACACAGGAGGTTTCCCTGACAGGTATACAGGCATCTCAAGGAAGGAGCATGATCAGTTTCATTTTACAAGCAAGGTGTATACCAGAACATAACAAGTGCGTTGGCCTTGAAAATTCTTTTCTGGTTCTCAATCAGATGTGCCAAGTTATTGAAATTTTGTTCCACCTAAGTAGTCAAAAGCGAAAAAAGGCTTAAGAACCGACAATTGAGTGATGAACCACTCTATAGGCTTTCTCACCTTCAGGCTCTCAACTTCTGCCGTTAGTGATTCAATTTTTTGTGTGTCTTCAACAAGAACCTGGGTTTCCTGAATAATAGGAGGTGCTTCTTCAACGGCTTTCTTTGCATTTTCTCGTTCTTTGGCAAGTAAAGCATGGGTTTCATCAATTTTAGTCTGCATCTCCTTTAAAGAATTCTGCAGTTTTGCTACCTCTTGTGCTTTGGCTTCTTCTAGGTTGGTCTGCACATGATTCCAGATGTTTTCCTTAGGGCTTACAAGAGGAGAGGTTCACTACAAACTTGCAAAGATGGGTCTTTGACTCTCCATTATTTTTTGCCATTAATGCAAAACGTTTTTTTTTTTTCAAAATTCATGATTGCCTGGGTGTTTGGATAGAAACTAAACAATAGTTTTAAAAGTGATTTTACAATATATGAAGTAAATATGTGGAGGAATTTGTCTCAATATGAGGAAAAAATGCTTTTTAAAGGCACTTTTATAGTTTTCCAAATACCCCTAGCATAAGAGATCGAAACCGCAAAACTTTCCAAGAATAGGAGGTAACTGAAAAATATATACGTTACCCTCAAACTTTTTTCTAGTTGGAGACGCCAAGTGAGTTCCTCCACTCGTTTTTCAAGCTTATCCTTTGCTTCTTGAAGTGCACCAGTTTCTCTCGCAGCCTAAAGGAACAGCAAACATATGTTAATATAAATTAGAGTAACAGCAAAAGCGTTCTAGAAAACCAGCAAAAGAGAATTATGGTACATCATACATGCCCCACTCATATCACATGATGAATCTTGCAGAAGCAATTTAATTGGAAAGAACAAGACGCCTTGGGCGCAGCTTTTACATTTAATCCTTTCTATATCAGGCAAAAGGAATCACAGGAATTGCTTGACTTTCAGCTCAGGCTACAGATTGATTGGGTATTTTAATGCTGTTCACTAAGGTTTATCGTATATTGACTTCTCTTAATTCTTTTCACTGGATATGGTAACTTCTACAATAAAAATGGTAAACAGAAGCGCACAAAATTTGTGTCTCTTGTAATAAAAAACAAAGAATTAAAGCTTGTTTTTCAACAAGAGAAAATTTTAGCAATCCCTGGTATAAACAGCAATGATAAGCCCATCAAAATATGTATTTAAAAGAGGTGATTATCAGATAAAATTGCTTGTCATGTGCATCTTAAGTTACATAAACAAAATATAGAAGAATCATGATAAAGAAACTTGCCATTTTTAACTTCCTAAGTTCCCTCCTTGCAACACGGCCTCTCCATCTGCATTGTGTAATTATTGCAGCTTTCTTGAGCCTCTTATAATATGAGGAAGCTTTATGGCATCGCCACCGAGCCTGCAATTTTTGAGAGAGATATTATTCCAAATATTGAATACAAATCGCCCTCAATTGGGTCATCCTAATCATATAGTACTTGACTATGACCTGGATGGCAATTGCAGCTTTAGACTGCTTCCTAAATCTGAATTCCTTACGTGCAGCCATTGCCCTTAAACCCGTTTGCAAGGTAAGTACTGTAGCATGGAGTCTTTTATAGGCCTTCCTAGCTTCATATCGGCGTACGTTCTTCTGAATTTTCTTAGCAGCAGCCACCTTTCTCATGTTGTCAAAGAGTTTGCATGCTAGCCTTCCTACAGATCATATAATAGATAAACGAAACTGATTAAGCAGCAGGATGTTCAGCACCGCGGTGCTACATCATTCTATCCGAAGGAAATCCAAACTCTGGAAAGGGAATAGCTTTCATCATAAAAGACGATTTAGGCTATTTCGCTACAAAAATCTCACCTCTACATACAGACTGCATGTATACGGTAATCTTTCGCAAAGAAAGATAATGATTACGAGCTTGATGGGTTCGTACGCGCCGTTGGATAATTTTTGCTGCATTGCTGAGTACTTGAGCTCTCCGTGCATCCAGTTCAGCCATTTGGCCAGCTCTCAGGAATACTTTTGTTTTACCAATCTACAATAGTTAACAGCCAATGAAATGAATCTTTTTCGGCCCTGATATGATACGGAAGAGCATATACATATTTCACATTCATGCATGTCCAAGAAAGCCATGTTTGCCTTAGTTACTCGTAGTCTAAAGACTTGTAATAAATTGATGCTGCATAATGTCCCTGAATTTAAGTTAACGTTGTTGCTAATGACTTAAGAGCTTCACTATCGATATATTTGTATTCTATTTAAGAACCAGAAACAAGAGGGTGATCCTTATTGATCATGTAGGACATTTCCAAGTACCTGATACCCTTTTAGCCCCATCTTTTCCAGAATCTTTTGGCAAGCAACCTTTTCTTCGATGCTGTCCATAAATATAACAACTTTATAGATTAGAACTATGTCCAAGTTGGGGGAAAATACTTGGTCACACCGAGTCAGAATTTTCTTCCTCTGTGACACAACAGATACTAAAAGACAGTACTTACTTGCCTTCCATGGCCTCTGGGGCAAGGAGGCCAAATCGATTTATAAATTCAAAGAAAGCACGACGTGTAGGATAGCCTGCACAACTGATTCTGATTGCCTCTAAAACACCCTGTAGGAGCAAGTGTTAAAGACTGACAAAAAGGGTTCAAGACAAGAAGCACTTTTTTACGAATCATTGCCCGATGAGTAAGATAAGGGAAAATTTTAAAAGCACACTCACACCACAGCGAAGTTGTTGCATAATGTTGGCATTCTCAAATATCGCAGGCTTAAGAAGGTTGTTTGGTTTCACACATCTGATGTAATGAGGCTCTGTAGAGTTTAGTGTTTCCATTAGTGACTGTAGTTGTTGCTGCACCATTCAGCATGTGAAAACATGATTTGTTAACTTCCCTAATATTAGAAGGCAGTTCAATTTTTGAAAGTATAGTGATATGACCGTGTGCATGTTCAAGAAATTAATGGCCAGTGAAGATGATGTGCACAAGTTTAGATAAGAGGACCGAGAAAGCAAATTATACCTTAAAGCGAGATGCAATTGAGGAAAATTTGGAAGATTTAGATGTCTCTTCTGGAAGCGGAGGAAAAAGTCCTGCTACAAAGGAACATTTGGAAGCACCCAACAAATCTTGATGTTCAGGAACCACATAATCCTTGTTTTTGTCTAAAAATTGATTAGACTGGTATAAGACCTGCAAATATATAGGGTTAAAGTAGATGGGAATATATATCTGTTTTTCTCAGCAGGTGGTACCAAAATATTTTATTGTACCTCCCCAGCATAGTGAGCAATGGTGAAATCTGATCGAGACAATTTCGGCTTTATAAAGCGCTTGTGATTCTTGAATGTTTGATAAAGCTTGTTAGCAAATGTTTCATGTGTTGACTTAGGAAACATGCTGAAAGATAACAGCAGAGAAGTGAAAGTGAGGAGGAAGGGCTAGATTCACTGTGATATGTACAAGGAACTTTAGCTGTAAAATGATCAGAAAAAAATTGAATCAATATGATCTTTACGCTCAAAAAGAGAAAATTAAAAATCATATGTCAAATGGGGACCAATTTTTCTAAATGGAAGAAGTTCGGGGGGGCAAAATTATAATTTACCAAGCTTCATCAAGGAGAGCGATAATTCCTCCAGGTTTCTGCAAAAGAATAGTCCAAGTAAGAGACTAGAAACAAATAAAGTGAGAAGGAGTGTCAAAACAAGGGTTTGAGTTTTAAAAAGATGGTAAAATAAGCTCATCAAGTTATTGACTATACTTGAGGGGCTCTTGTATTTCATTTCCAAGGAAGGCCAAAAAAAAAAAAAAAAAGAAGAAAGCCCTGAAAGAAAGCGAATAGGGGACAGAACCTTTTCGATGAGGTCCAGGACATCTTGATTATCAACAAATTCAATATAGCTCCAATTAATCTGTTCCTTTGTATATTCTTCTTGTTCCATTTTAAAGACGTGCTGAAATTCATAATCAAAACCATAGTAAGTAAAGCAAGCAAACAACATTTATGAGAACACTAGAGGTGTTTGATGTGGTCTGAGGCATTGCCTGATTGAAATGCTGCTGCAACTTCTCATTGGTGAAGTTTATGCAAAACTGCTCAAAACTGCAGAGCGTGATATGTTGAAATTAAGTTTCAACAGATTGAAAACAAGTAGAGCTAGTTGCTTACAATATCTTCTGTTATACATCCTCATGGATTTGCCTGTATGAGTAATTGAATATGCAAGTATATTCTGCTATACTAGAAGTTACCTGTTAGTTTTAAAGCTTTCAAAACCATAGATATCAAGGACTCCAATCAAAGATTTGGAATTAGGATCCTGTCCGATTGAACTATTAATCTTGTCCACCAGCCTGTTCGAAAACAGTTATTATATAAATGAATTTGGCATCAAAACTACATCCCATATCCTTATCTCCCTTGCTTACAGTACTTATTAATCATTAAAAATAACACAAAATATTGATTCATTTCCAATTTCATCATCTTACCAGTCAAATAGCCGAGAATAAATTGTTTTGGCCAAGCCATCTCTGCTTATTGCTGCACTCTGGGGATCAAGGCTTCGTTTTATAACTTCTTCAGGGGTGATCATCACACGTTTACATAAAGCATCTTCCAAGGCATCAGCATTACACCTAATAAATTGTGAAATCTAATTATGTCAATCGACTTTTAAGGTGAGTGATCACCATGAGGACAATACAAGCGGTAATACAATAGCACCATACATGAGAAGCTCGGCAGTTGTTGCCAGGTGGAATTTGGCTTTGTCATCTTTGGGAATTGATGAGTCAACTTCTTTTCCTTTAGAAAAAGCAATATTACCAAGATGAAGGATAGCAGCGACAACTCTGAAAATTGCTTCCTGGGCACAAAAAGAGAAAGGAAAAGCCGAAAGGTAAGATGTTAATCTTTCTATGCTTTATGCATACTCATGAAATGAAATACCTGATCTTTTTGGCTTATTCCAACGATATCCATAGCTCTCCTAGTGGCAAGATACTCACGAGCATCACTTGAATCAACCAGTTCATAACAATTTGACTGGTTAAGGTAATGAAATGATTTAGGAGGTCCCAATTTGTATTTCTCTATTTCCTGTTGACATAAGTTGCAATAAATTTATACTTAATGAATTAAGCAACAATAACTAAATAAGCAGATGCAGCAAGCTACCTCCTGTGGTGCAGCACAAAGAAGATAGAAGCAGTGGTAGTTGCGTTCAGGATCATTAATTTGGCAAACTCGAGACCTCTCCAGAAGGTAAGTTCGAATTGCTGCTCCTGAGATTCTTCCACTTTTATCGAATTGGATCTCAACAAATTTTCCAAAACGGCTGCATCATGAATTTAAGAATTTGAAACCAAGGGTTTGGTAATATCTTAAGAGCCAAAGGTCATGTGTATACCAAAAACAGATTGTTTTGGTATAAAGAGAATATAATAATTGCAATCTATATTTATTAACTGTCATCAACATCGCAAAGACTTGGTACCATAACAGGGAATTCAAGAAATGCAATGTGACGGAGCTCAACTCAAATTTATACTAATATCAGAAGGAAACAAATGGAATGCTTTATTGCCACCATAATAACAAAAAGACTCACCTGGAGTTGTTATTCCTAACTGTTTTTGCATTGCCAAATGCTTCAAGAACTGGATTTGACTGCACTCAGATCGGTCAATGTAGAAGTCCCATAAGAGTTCAAATCAGAGTATTATTTTAAAAAAAAAAAAATACAAGAAGGGAAAGTCCTAGAATAAGTGGTTTATCGAACCATACTTCAAGAACTTGTTGTTCAACTGTTCTTCCTTCAGTAGCAGCCCTACCACCTAGGTAAGCAAGGTATCTCATAAGCATTTTTGTAGTTTCAGTTTTACCAGCTCCACTTTCCCCACTGACCAGAATTGAATTGCTTTTTCCTTCATTAACCATTGCCCTGAGTTCAATAATATCACCCATCAGATATTTGGTTCAGTGATAGAAATGGAATTCAGCTCATTTCACGAAATTAAGTACCTAAATGCAACATCAGCAACTGCAAACACATGAGGACTTAGTTCTCCAAACGGTGCTCCCTTATATTGTTGCATCATGTGAGCATCATAGAGATGTGGTAGTCTTTGGAATGGATTTATCGCAATTAAAATATTTCCAGTATAAGTCTGCCATGGCAATAGATGCAATTAGTAAGATAACTTCTTTAGTTAATGAACTTCGCTGAATCTTATCACATGAAGGGGATGAAAGCCTTACGTATATTTCATTCAATTCATATCTAGATTTTAAGTTCTGCAGGACCCCAGGCTCGTGTAAATAGGACAGCTTAGTCATGTCATCCACTCCGCCAGCAGGAGCTTCCGTATCTTTGGGGTATATTTTTGATAATTTTGCGACAACCTTAAAATAATGAAATACGAGTACAGATTATAAAATTTTGCTACTGCAAACTTTTGCAATCCTGTTAGTTGGCGATACAACCATGAGAGAAAGCAAGTGCTTCACCGCATTATTATAGTTGAAAAATACTTATTCCTTTCCCTAATGCAGCACAATGTCCGCCAGCAACAAATCAATCGTAAAGGGGAAAAAAAATGCTGGCGCATTCTTCCCTTGACATTGTGTAGTGTTTTTTTGTCTTTTGTACTTTTGTTTTTATTCCATCATGATCTAAATGAAGCTCATACACAACTGATTGACAATGTTGAAGATGGAGTTTATTTCTGCAACTAATTATAATGATCACAATGAGAGGTAATGCATTATTGTCATTATTACTTTTGGGCATGACTGGTGTCACACAAGCAATCAGAGTTCAAATCTTCATCTAATAGTTTAATCTTAAATGGGTCCTTCAATATGGATTTCATTTTGGATAAGTAAAACTGACAGAAAATCCATGAACCTTGCCTTTAGATTACATATAAAAAGGGGGAAAAGCGTAAACGAAAAATATGAAGAAACAAAGTTATGTTGCAATCTGCAGACCTTTTTTCCATCGGTAGTTTCAATTTCTACATCTGTTCCAGTGATTTTTGACACCACTCCATCAGTCCAAGATATATCCGGGTCTTCAGCCCAGACATGAGAACCTACAATAATATTCACAGGTGTCCCCTGCAGATGGCAATAGCCATTTTTCATAAAATAAACACTCAGACACGAACACGTACATGCATATACTGATTCCATGTAAGTTTCTAAATAAATACTCAGGCTATCGTGTGTGCACGATAAGCTAAAGAAAGTTTACAAATATTTCCACGAATACACGTCTAGAAAGATTATAAGATTCGAAACAAATCAAATATCGTATTGATTCTGATTTTCTCCCTGTATTCGGATCCATGATATAAACATCCCAACAAAGTATAAAAATCACAAAGGGTGACCAACGCCCCACATGATAAGTGTCACATTTTATCCTTAGTTGGTTTCCAGAAATCTTAGTATCATACTGTAGCATGAGTTTGTTCCAACCATGCCAGTTGGAGTTCATGTCCAAGTAAGAGCGCACATGACACTATATATTTCACTCTAAACAGTATAAAGTGAGCTTGCCGTGCCCCCGGGGGGGGGGGAGGAAGAATTTTTTCTACTTATCCCTTAAAGGAAAGGAGGGGAAAAAAAATCTTCCTTGCCTCGAGAGGGCGTCACAAGTCATACAAGTTTATCGCCATTGTACATTACAGAACGCTTTACGTTTTTTTTCTCCTTGTTGATGTCCTCGCAATGGGGTTATGGGCAAAGAGTTAAAAGTTTTCATCATTCTTTGACGCGAAGATCGGTACAAAAATGTGACTGTTATTTTCAAGTCACCATAATGCATTTCTAAGGATGCTTCTTCTTGGCTTTTTTCCCCCCCTAATTACCAGCATCAAGAATGCTTCTCTTAACCGTGTCCGTTTATATTACTATATATGAAACACATGAATGCCATAGTAAATTAACCTGATCGAAATTTGAACGTAAAGCTGTTTGACGTGATTATGAAATTAGCATCAGTGATAGCCACGTTATAAAAAGTTGCTAATAACAGCATGCCATGCAGGAAAACCAGTAAGAATGAAAAAGGAAGTGGCGTACCATTATTGAACTCTAAATTGGAGGCTTTCGGAGTATGTTCATAAAGGTAAGTAATTGAGAATCCGATGAACTTTTCGGGTCTCCATGAACAGGTCTCGGAATGCTCGATCACAAATGACCAGAATATGCAAAAAGGCGCAGGGAATCAAAAAGATGGGAAGGCCATTGTGGGAAGAGAAAGGAACGGAAAAAGAAAGAAAGCAAGAAAGGGGAAAATGGAGGGGAGAGAAAGTTTTTGTTTAAGGAAGTGAATGTGAATGGAGGAGGGGGTTGAGGGAGTGACATTGTTCAGGAGGACCTGCAAATTCGGGAGCTTCTCTTTCCTTTGCTTTCGCGCCAACTCGTGGCTCCTAATCGAGTCTCTCTTTCACTCTGCCATTTTAACGGAATTCAGTATGTTCTCTTACGCTTTTATTTTTATTAATATTCCACCGGTTCTTAATATAGTATCTAATTATTGAGTTGATTTTGATCATAAATATAAGACTCATTTTTTATATTTATCAATTTTCTCTAAATTATTCCTATAGATACTCTTTCAACCATAATCAAGTATAAGAGTAAAAAAGATATTAAGAAAGATGATTATGGTATTTTAAGAAAAACGTGTCACGTTTTTTATAATTAACTAATTTATCTAATCTCTTTAATCTAATTAAATTAGTTAAATGGATTTTATATTAAGAACCGAATGGGAGTATGTTTTCTTTGGGCCTTGAGGTTCCGCTGTTTTTTCTTTTCCACATCAATTATATCTCTTTATTCTGGTCAAAAACGAAACGAGTCTTTATTAAATTAAATCACAGGCAAGCAAAAGGGACAGTGGAGTCTTGCCCAGTAAGGCCCAATAAATGAAAACTCATTGAGGACTGAGGAGGGAACAGAAATGCCGTGAACAGCAACCTCATTGGAAGGACCCAAACTTTATGTGGGAACATTGATGCAAAAGAATTCATAGTAACTACGCAGACTCCTCCGACAAGCACGAGGGATGAAGTTTGAGAAGTTACCATCAAAGACCGCACAGTTAGCTTTGCCCAGCAGTTCAGCACATGAATGCTAGTTATATGATGTTAAGGTGTGGCCGTGTGGGCATCTTTTGCTAACTAAATTTATATACTAGCTCTGTTTCTTATTATAAGAGCTTGTTTGATTTTTACTTAGGTCCTAAATATAAGACCTCAGTCTATTTTGTCTTTTATGTCTATTCATTATTTTTAAAATAGTTCTTATAGTAGTTGTATATGTCAAAAGTCTCATCAAATAGTAATTCCAGCTAATACACATGATTAGTAAGGACATTTTAGAAAAAATGACATTTAGATATAACAAATAATTAATTTAATTAATTTTCTTAACCTCTTCAAATTAGTTAACTAGATTTTATATTAAATACCGGAAGTAGTATCAAGTTTCATGCTCGTACGTATTCCAAAATCAGAAAAAAGGGAATGAACGAAATAAATGCCACCAACATGAGCTACATGCGGCCATATCCATCCATCCCGCATTAAACCCGGCAAGAGAGTTAATGCGTGCGTGCGTGCATGCCCATCCATGATGATGAGTTGAGTTAGGGTAGAAAGAATGCGCCAATTGATACTACCTCCTCCTCACCACCACACATCAGTCTTGCCCAACATATCCCCACCCATGTTAGGGAGCAATCGGAAGGTCGGGAAACGAATGCCGGGCGGGAAGGAAGTGAAAGAAAAGAATGAACAAGGACGCGTCCAATTTGACAGCGAGGGTCCAGGCGTTGCCACCCGATTGGAACAGCCGCGCCACGGGATGAATAACTGGGTGACACACACGTACGTACACATAGAAAGTGTATGTAGGAATAGGGGTGGGCCAAGCAAGTTTGGTTCAGTCAAGCTCTGTGCAACCAGTGTTGTTTGGACAGCGCCATTGGAGGATGGCTATAAAAGGCAAAACACAGAAAGCAAGCCTTCAGAACATGTCTAGGAAAGAATGGCGTAACCGGTAGTGGGGCAGATAAGACTTTGTGTTATATTTTATAGGTTTCCATCGTCACTTCCATCAAGATGTATCATTTAAAAAATTCAAAATAAAGTTCCTGCGATTTTCCCCCCACTGTAACCGCCTGTGAAGTCGCAGCTTTTGCCTTTTGCCCATAAGGTTCATAACTAGTCCAGAATACGAGATCATACACAAGACCTGCGAAATAGCAGATCTCTGTCTTGACAAATATTGCTTCTTCTTTTTTTAATTCTTTTTTTTAAAGGCATATAGATTCTCTTATTAGAAATAATCCTATTCGAGACAATATCAGGTATTAAATATGGATAGATATTGGAACCTTTGTTCACTCTGACAGACTAACTCTTTCAACAAGATCTAGCCTTTTTGGTGACAAATGGTGCTTTTGCATAGAAATCATTCTGATTTTTTGAAAGCCGGGAAAACATAAAGGAAATTGATCGAGGGTTTAAAGTTTGCGGGTGCAAAATCATTTGATCTAATTTCTGTTCAAGTCATGGTTTCGCACTGAATATTACTTCCCACAGTCCATTTAAAAATAAAATAACATTATTTCGCACTGAATATGAATCTGGTGGGATGTTTAGAGAAGACTGTTCATTTGAGCAAGTTATAGACATGAACCAGAAGAGATGCATTAACTAGTACAGGAAACACGAAGCAAAAGTTTGTTTGGCTGGGCTTTTAACATCCGACCAACAAATTAGCATGTCCACATAGAGATATATCTATATATATATATATATATATATAAAAGCAGCAAGGCCATCCATTGAATTTCTGCCCCTGCCCCGAAGACGCGATTGCCTAATTCTCCTAATAACTGATATGCGCCAAAAGAGCCACACATGCTAATGAGTAGCTAGTTGGCATCATCGGAGGGTCTGAGGTAGAGGGTTTCACCGCCTTCGCCTCGGCCCTCGGCGGCGGAAGTGCCGATATCAGGCTTGGTGGTGCGAACAAATTCAGGAAATGCAGATGCGGCGTCAGATTGCAACATGTGAAGGCCTGGAAGAGCCGCACCTGAACTCATGCCCAGTTGGCTCTGCAAGGCTTGCTGCTGCTGAAGTGCCGAGTAGGGCTGTTGAGCATACAAGAGAGAAGACCGAGCCGCCATTAGTTGCTGCTGTGTCATTTGCTGACCCTGCATGTACTGGGTTCCCTGCTGCATTATCCCCCCACCACTTGGGTACTGCACAACCATTACTAGTCATGTTGCGTTCTCACTGCTTATTACTGTTACTTCTACAACATTTGACAACGGAACTATATGGATGTTACATGTACCTACCTGACCAGGCATGGTAGGTGGCTGAGGCTGAGAATCAGCGATGGCAGCTAGGTACATGAGGTTTCTCTGCAGCCTTGCTTGGTTCCTGAATCATTCATTGCTCATTAATCACACCAACATGGCAACATCTATCATCATTCATCACACTTCCTCTCGATATTCACGAGAAACCCTTCCGGCTCAAAAGCCCCCCCCCCCCAACACACAAAGACAAACTCTATCTAACCCATCACTTCGGCCTAATGCACAACTCGGAACATAAAGCTACTGCGTACTCAAGTTAAACCCACAAAATATTATTCAAATATGACATCTTCTTGGAGGTAGCATAATCAAAATAATTAATGGACGGCAGGTTCAAAGCTTACTTCACGTATTACTACTATTTTGGAATGATGTCAGCTTCCCAAAGTAACATCGATACTCTAAACTATTCATATTGATATCATAAGCTACTTAATCACGCAACTATCGGTATGCAAAAAGTCACCGCATAAAACCCGGTGCAAGCGCAACCAAGGACCTGAATGCCAACAATAGAAACTCACAACAGACATTAATAATGTGTTGTTGCAAACTTCAATGTCATGCAGATATTCCAACCTAATGATGATATCTAGACCTAATGAAGCTGCATGGTTTGGAAATCTATTCAACATTTATGGACACACTTGTTTGGAACTGTTAGAAAATGAAGACACGAGGAAATCAGAGGACGCATAATTGGAGTGGTTCTTACTCCGCACACTCGCTCAATTTGCCAGAATTTTGGTTTTCGACGATCTTCAAAATCAATGACTTGTTCTCGTCCAAGTACTGCGCGAGGAAAAATAATGGTTAGAAACAAGGTTATATAAAACTCTTTATGTCTATGCATTTATAAACACACATAACTGAATATCTCGCCAAGTGTGACGCGAGAACAAGAAATACGGGCAGACAAAGACAAGCAAATGCAACCACATACGCACGTTCAGTATTTTAATTTTCATCTATGACATCCAAGTTCAGCAAAAGTATGGAAAGCACAAAACACAAGCCGTGTATCTGGATAAACTAAACCTTTCTAAATCCAAAAGGAAATCAGATATCCAATAAGAAGGGGAGAAAAGGAAGCCATGGATACCAAACAAAGGAGAATAAGATTTACAGCTCATGCGGTTGGCGAAAAAAGTACTGGTTGGTGTGGTTCTTTTTCAAAAACTACAAAACGAGGAGCAAAATACCAAAAAAGACTAGTCAGTAAAACAGAACTTCATTTTCACGGTATCCCTCTTCGAATAAAGCAAATAAAATACAAGAGTCAAAGTAGTATGCGACTGGGAGACATAAATGTAAACAGAAGCACAGTAAGAAAAAGTGAGATACGCGTAAGAATAGGAAAGGGCAAAAGCAGCGAGGATTCGGTTCAAGGCAGGGATCGAAACAGCAGCAGCAGCAGCAAATAGCGCACATGATATAAGCAAAGAGCAGGCAGCTATATGAAAAAGCGAAGAACTTGCCACCACTGGATGGACGCAAAAGCAGAAACCGGGTCAGAACTCAGAATCATGACACCACACTCAGCAGAAGTAACAAGGAAAAACTGCACAGCGAAAGCTGTAGCAGAAAGTGACAAGAAAGAAGCAGAAAAAAGAGGGGGGGGGGCAAGGGATGGCCAGAAACAATAAATCAGAGGAAGGAGGGGAACTAGAAGTGGGAATACAAGACCCACACATGAGGGGCGAGACAAAAGGCGCCCAAGGAGAGGACATGAAAGTGCATATGAATAGCAAGTGTATTCCAACAAGAGAGGCACAAAGAAATCAGGAGAGAGGCGGAATGAAGGGAAGAGCGTAGACAAAATAATGGCGGAGGAAGGGGGGGGGAGGGCAAGACCAAACCTGTTGAATGTGATCAGTGGTGACGTTGCTGGGGTAATAAGCTGCCATCATGGGCTGCATCTGCATCAGGTGCTGCTGCATTTCTCTCTCTCTTGTATATCCAATCCAAGTCTAACTCAAACCTAAGCAGAGGGGCGAGCAGAGAACAAAGATTGAGGGGGGGTGCAACCGCAAGGAGAACCAGAAGCCCTCTGCTGCTGCTCTACGCTCTGTTCCGAGTTCCGACTTTCTACTCCTTAGTCCGCAGAGGAAGAGAGAGGGTTTGGGGGGTAATGTAACGCTAGGATTGATATTGATTGGTTGCCTTGAGAGTTGGCCCTCGGTGTTGGGGTGAGAGACTCTCCTCTGAGTTGTCTAGAACTGCGTGTCAAAGAAAAAGTAGGTCACGTGATGGATGAGAGAGAGGAAGAGGGGGAAATGAGAGAATTATAATATCGCAGGAGTAATTAGGAAGGGGGGGTGTTTATGAGGATGTAGAAGTAAGAAAGGTGGGTGGGACATGGGTTGGACTCACAGAGAGAGAGAGAGAGAGAGAGAGAGAGGTTGAAGGGCATCGGTCTCACAAATAATAAATGGGGATGACGTCGGCCCGGGGTAGGAGGTTCCGCGTTTGGGCAGTCCACGCGCTCACGCTCCCCACACCCCGCAGGGCAAGTGCACGGCCTAGTAATCCCCGCTCATTAACGTTGATATCTGCGCCCCACCCCCCACATAAAACAAACGTCGATGTTTGTGCAGAATCGTTGTCTGTCTCTCCTCTTTCTTTCATTTCCTCCTATTACTCCCCCACCGTCCCAGCCCCCCCCCCCCCCAAAAAACCAAAAAAACAACGACAACTTGCTCTCCTTACCATCACAATCCCCTCCCACCGTTCCTTCAACCTTCAACCTTCATTATTCTTCAGTAATGGCAAACTAAGATTAATTTAGAAAATGTCAATAGATCCCCGAAAGCTAATCTTATATCATCTTGGTGATTGAAATAAGATATTGAGATAAGAGATGAAAGAAGTGTGCTCACAAAAAATGGCTTACGCTAATGACTCGCTCATAATATCATTCGCAAAGAGAAAAAATGGATATTTCATCAGATTGAGAGTGCTTTTATCAAATGGCAGCTTATATGCATCGAGAAGAATCGATAATGAGCTGAAGATGTCTGACGATTCCAGTAACATACACTTAGGCGCCTACCATGCATAAAATTTATTTGATCGTGCAGATAAGATTTGTCACGCATCTTGATATTTTATACAATTTTACAGTAACATACACTCAGGCGCCTGCCAATCTTAATACAGGAGATTTTTCCGTTTTTTGAGGCATGGGATTTTGGTAGATAAATCACGTATATGTTATCTCATGGAGGTTTGGATAGGATGATATTGTAAAAGTGTTTGAATAAAACAAAATTATAATTTTAAAAATAATTTTACAAAATATAAAATAAATATTGGGAGAACTTTGTCTCAATTTATAAAAAAATAAAGATAAAAAATGTTTTTGTCTAAAAACAAACAGTCCCAAAATCAAATGGGCGGGGCGGCTCGATGATTGGACTAATCGAAGTGTTCGTGTGGTGAGGGTCAAAAAAATGGCACACCGTCACCCACATAGGCGCTTTACTATTCAGCTAACGGGACACCATCTTTACAAAACTAATCAACAGAAGCTTCAGATATAGAGTGAGGTACCCACGAAAACCCACCAAATCAATCAGGGCTCTAGGGATCCTATCGGCTCATGGGAAAGGGCAGCGCCGACAGAGGGATGGGAGGAGCCATGATGAATTCGGAAGTGAGAGAGAATAATAAGCGCATGATAATGAGACCTTAGGGAGGGGAGGGAAGACAGCTGGAATTAAGAGAGATGGGACCCAAAGGGTCACATGCAAGACACTGCAGATACAACTGTGGCACAAGGAGAGGAGCCTCCAGGGTCAAACCTGTGGGTTTGGGCGTGGGTCCAGAGCAGAGAGTGGAGTCAAATCCAGGACAAAGCAAAAGGTAGGTGCTGCTCCCAGGTGCAGCGACATGATGGGTGGTTAGGGTGTCTTTTCGCTCCCCCTCTCTCTGCCCTACTCCTCCTTCCCCAACCAAGTTACACATTCCATCCAGATCATCATTAAAACTCGAATCATTACTCCATTAACAAATTCATCACTTTTCAATAATCAAAAGAATCATCTCAATCAAATACAACAATGGGGCCACATCGCCCCAGGCTCCAACGCCTAAATAAATTCTTAATCATTCCGACCACCTATCTACAAATTCATTATCTCCATCTTTTCGGGTCTGGAAAGTTCCTTGTTTTTGTTAAGTAAGCCTCCCTACTTGTACAAAACTTTCGGCCACCCTGGGGGTCGCAACTAACCGCTGCTTGAGTAGGATTCCCAGCCATCTTTTTCTAACTTCGCAGCTTTCCTCAGCACAGTTTCTTTCTGGTCCTCTTGATATTGACTCATCCTGCACAGTACGGTAAATGTCACATCAGCTGGAATCGCCCCTCAAATAATATCTTCCGTATTTTCTACTAAATATATCACGCTGGGGTAAGGGGGAAGAGAGCAACCTCGACAAAAGACTATCATCAGCAACACCTAGCATCCTAACGGCCAGCAACCCAGCATTAGTTGCGTTATTTATTGCGACTGTGGCGACGGGAACCCCCCGCGGCATCTGCATACCCAATAAGTATCATATGGGTTAGTCGGATGCTTACAAACACAAGGTCAGCATAGAACAACAGATCATGATACACCCATGCTAGATCTTTTCAGGGATGAAATCCATTTTTCCTCTTTCTCCTCATTTTCCCCTTTAACAGAAACTGCAACGCATAAATAACTCTTAACAAGCGTCAAACAAGAAAAATAACTAAGATAACAAGTATTCATTTAGTCCCCTATGAAATACGTGAGCCATTATGACAATCGTAGGATCAGTGACGTAAGAAAGATAATCAGATGTGAGTGTCGCAAAGGCCATGATGCAGCCGCAACACAAATTGGCCTAAAGATGATCAAAATCATTGATTAGTATGTTGGGATGCAAATTTCTTCATCAGATAATGACAAAACAGCATATCTTCAACCATTACACCGCTAAATTAAAAAATTTATACCTGAACAATTGACAAGAGTGAATCAAGCCCATCAAGGGATGAAGCACGAACAGGAACACCAATAACAGGCAGGGGAGTAAGAGCAGCTACCATTCCTGAGTTACAAATTATTATTGCCAGTAAGACGTTTAGTCCTTAAAGAGATATATAAATAGCACATATTAACTTTACCTGGCAGGTGAGCCGCACCACCGGCACCAGCAATAATAACCTGTATGCCTCTCTCATATGCAGAGGAAGCATACGAAAACATCATTTCAGGGGTTCGATGTGCTGAAACAATTCTTACCTGTGAACCAATGTGAAGAGCTAAGAACGAAACAATGCTGTAAAGGAACCCCAAAAAAAAAAAAAAAAAAATTGATTAAACCAAAAACTTGGTCTGACCTCATGAGGCACACCGTAGCTTTCCAGTATTTCAGCAGCACTCTTCATGACAGGCAGATCTGAATCGGAGCCCATTACGATACCCACTCGTGGAGCAACTATATTCAACAAGCAATGCAAAAAGGTAGATATAAGTGCAAGAAACGCACTTTCTGATCATTGCTAAATAGTTGAATGCAAAATAGAGGATGAGTAAGGCAATATAAGAATCAGCAAATATAGAAAGTTTACATTTTCTGTTTTATTCTTACTCTCATTAATCACCAAAGTTTTCCCAATATAGAAAGTTGTTCTGTTTTATCAGAATCATAAGAAATGCTGCATACATTCAAATAATAAGAAATTCCTCAAGGAAAATTTACGATGCTGAAACACAATTGCAAAATTTTCTCAATTCACTCTCAAAAAAAAAAAAAAAAACTTTGATAAGGAAAAATATAATTCCAAAGCTTGGGTGAAAAATTAGATTATCCTTGAACAAGAATAAAGAGGGATGCAATGTTAAGTAACAAGTTAATTATCAAGGAACAACATGATTGGATAGTGGAGGGGCCAGATAACGTGTACTTGAAATGGCAAGAGAAAGTACTTATTCTAGCTATTAAACTAATGCATGAGATGATAAAGGAAAAACATGATTGACAAAACGATATTCTGGAGTATAGCCACATAATGTTAAAAAGTACGTAGCCAAAGCACAAAAGAAGAGAAACTTGAGCCACTAACCTGCAGTGTTGCCATCTAATCTCTTTCCTTCAACCATTATGGCAAGATTTCTTTCAATATTGCTGAGGGAAGGCCCCACAATGGTTATATGTCCCATCTTTCTTTGCCTTCTCATTTCTAACAATATCATCACAAAAACGGTTATTTGTATGGTATAAATATTTATGCAAAACGTACGAGTGATCCAAGTCCAACATTGAAATAAGCGACCAAGGCACTAACATAACATCAAATACATTAGCAGAAGTTCACCTGGTTTATCATACCAATGAACAGTAGCCCTAGGAATAGTCAACGCCCTTTCAATCAATTGATGAGCTAAATGGAAACCAGGCTCGCCCTATGATCAGTCATTAAGCAAATTTCATCCACAAAATTTCCATAAACGATGATAACTAAAAAATAAAAGACAGATCCATATCTCTCACACTTTAACCGCAAATAGTTTTTTTAGCCATAAAACTCTCCTACTAGTCACTACAAGCAAAAGATAACTACCTCTTCTTCACCTAGAACATTATACATGACAGCAGCTGGAGTTTTCATTGATGTATCACCAAGAGGAAGGCCAACAACAGCCCGTAAATGCTGCTCAAATTGTGAGGTGTAGCAAGACTCAATTGTGTGGTGCCCGCTATTGTGAGGTCTAGGCGCAACTTCATTTAATAAAATCTGCCAAGAAAACACAGATGCAGTTAATATCAAGCGATGGGACAAAACAAATGCGATGCACACGTGACTTTATAAAATTTACTAATTAAGAGGAAGACATAAGTTATTTAAAAAGTAAAAAATAAGACGTGTCTAAAGTTGAAGAAATAAATTCCCAACCACTCCATCACTTGTCAAGAACAATTCAACTGCAAAAACACCAGCGCCTTCCAGAGAGTTAACAGCCTTGCGAGCAACTTCAGTCGCACGTTCCCTAATCTGCCATTTCACATTAGCAGGAGCCTTAACTATGTGACATATGTTGTCCCTACAACAAACCACAAATCGTTTACCAAGTAATAAGAGTGGTAACTGCTGCATCCAACAGCACATTACATGGCAGAATTTTCAATTAAAATCTTCCGAAGACCTTAATTGTGCTTATACCACGTTACCTGTGAATGGTTTCAACAACTGGGTAGCATGAGATCGAATTGTCTCTTCCTCTTGCCACAATAACAGCTAACTCCTGCCATTTTATAAAAGCAAAAACATAAGAAAATCCATAGAAAATGAAAATGACCAGCCAAAACTAAGTTTTGTTTAATCCTTCAGTTAGGGACAAAGAGCATATAATTTGCAAGACTGAATTGATAAATTCACTTGGAAGTCTAATCAAAATTCTTTCATACAATAAATTTAACAATAAGAGATTTTTGCAGGTGATGCTAGCATTATGATATTGGAATAGGTTCCATAACCAAGTATCTGAGATTTGCAGAAAGGAGAAGTGTTTACCAGTGAATCGTGTAGTATTAATAATAATGATGATGATGATAAAGAATTACTACTTTATTGATATGTCACTGAACCACACCTAACAGACTCAGTGGAATTAATCTCATTCTTGTCTTGACAAAAGGTCCAGGTCAACTAGTGGATTATTGTTTGGAAAAATCTAGAAATAAATTCACCATCAAATATCAATGGCATAGTTTAGATATTCACCTTAACAAAAGGTGCCCATTTCTCCACATACAGACCACGACCAAAACCACCAAGAGCTGCAACTAGGGAGAAAATAATTAGACAAGAAAAAAGTAGTGTCTCCAAACAAATGAGGTAGAATTTTTTTTTCCCATAGTTGACTAGAGCATGAACCCAGAGAAAATTTTTCCTTTACTCTCCTACTCCTCAAAGAAAGTAAAAGGACAATAAAATTCACATATCAATAAAATAAAAAGAAAAGAATACACCTGCTAAAAAGTTAATTACCATTTATAGCAGAAGGGAGCTCCGCTTCACTTTTAGCAACAGCATTTCCACGCCCATCATAAGCTAATTTCCTACTCTTAATCATAAGAGGATAGCCAAAGATCTCACCTGCTCTCTTAGCACCTTCAAGATCCTCTATCTGTTTAATATATCATTCACATGTTCTCCAGCATTATTCAAATATTCATCATGTTCAATTACAACCAATTATATCATGGAGCTTATAAACAGTACCAACCTGTATAAACTCGGGAAGTGGAATGTCATGCCTTGAAAAATGCACCTTTTGCAGATACTTATCCTGTACTATGCTGAAAAAGTCATAACAGGAACCACTGACATAATCGCCAGCATCTTAAAGTTACAGGATATGCAAATCAACAAGTCCATAGATGTTGCTGGGGCCAAGAACAAAAACAGAATACAAAAACTCAACCTATTTTTAACTTTAAATGGGGGGGGGTTTATAAGAATTAGAAGATATGTGATTGATAAATTTGCAACAACACGCCAGATAATACCTGGATGATTCGTACAGTAGAGGCTTTGGGTTGGCAGTCAACTCCATGCTGTTCAAGCTTCTCCAATGTAGCAACATCGACATGTTCAATTTCAAAAGTCAATACCCCACATCTGAATATCCATGTCACGTCAGAATACACAAATTATTTCCACGAAATGAAAAATAAATAAATAAAGATGCATCTATTGCATACAGAATCTAACCTCTTCGCAAATTCCTCAACTGTAGCACTGTCATCAAAGCTTCCAACCATATGATCAAAAGAAAGTGAACTTGCAGGGCAGTTCTCCTGGGGATCTAGAACCATGACTTTAATGGCCATCTTAGAAGCAGCTTGGCACAGCATTCGACCAAGCTGACCACCCCCCAGAACCCCAACAATAATTTCAGAGGGTCCATGGACAGGGAGTTCATCGGTCCTATACATACAACAAGGTAGTAATTCGTGAGCTTTTTCCCCGTAGATGTTTCGGTTTCAGAAAGTTCGCTCTAGAAAATGGCATTTGTAAAAGCGAATCCAAAAAATGAGCTAAGAAAACAAAAGCAAAATAGCAAATAACTCGCAAACCTGATAGAAAGATCACCAGGTGATGCCTGTGGAGGAAGGTTCATGAAGAGCGGCGGGTGATGCTGTTTTATCTTAAAAGAACAGAAAGGAAGACGACGACACCCCAATGAGAACGAAGAAGTCTTGCGGGAGCAAAAAGAAGGAGCGAAGAAGCTGTTGTGAGGTGACAACACCGAGCGCGTACTGTGAAGCATTCCCAAGCCTTACTCTCGCCGCTCTCCCAGGTATGTATGCGTCTTCTTTCCCGACTCCTAGCTTATAAGCCTGCGAATTTATTCGACAGTAAAATATACGCACTCCTCCTCCATTTATTGTCAAAAAAAATTGTTTTAAGAAATATTCCGCCGAGTTCCTAGTATTAATTTTTTTTTTCCCACATAGTATCTCTGACAAATTGGAGAAGCGAATAAACCGAAAAACAAAGACAAGCAGACAAAGAAGGGTTTATGCATTGGAAGGTTTAAATAAAAGTAGGCCAATGAAAATCTCAAGTTGAGGGGTGTAGAGGAATCGAAGTAAAGCAGTGAGCGCATTCAAGGGAAGTAAGCTAACGTATAGAGAAGAGCTGAGAGACGAAAAGAGTGCGTTAGAATCACTGATGGCGTAGGAGCCGACTGACGGAGTCAGGCTCTGTGGAGTTCCCTGGGGGGCGCGACGCCGAGTTCTCGCGGCAAATGATGAAGAGGGGAATATCAAGTTATCAACCCTCGCCTCGGAACACATTTGGCCCGACTTAAGATTAAAGATATACTTTTTCTAATCGTATTTATTAAAAAGTTAATCAAAATTAATTTAAAATAAAAAATATATAAGGTAAATATTTTTATTCTTAAATATATCCTTATTAATAAAGAAAATAAATAAAAGTTATAACAAATAAATTAAACAGGAAAAAAATTTATAAGAGTAAAATTTTAAAAAAACCTTATTAAATATTTAGACAAAAATAAATGTTATCTTGTATAAAAAAATCAAATCTTTTTAACAAATTTATCTTATATTTTAAAATAGAGGAAATAATATTTTTAAACATGTTTTGCCTGAAATATTTATACAAAATATAAATTCAAACATATTAACAACTTAGTTTCTTATTTTGAGAACAACTTTTTGTATTTTAGAAAAACAAAAACCTGTTTCGTAATTTATTTTTGGTTAATTATTTTTTTTAAAAAAATAACAACATGTTTTTGAAAACCAAAAAACCAAAATAAGTTTTGCATATTTTTTAATGTTTTGAACAATTGAAAAAAAATTCTTCTCTTCTCACTTATTACTCACTACCTATCACTACAAGTAACAACTGTCATATATCAAAATGTATTTTTAAATTTTTTAAAAATATAATTTTTTTAAAATTATTTTCCAAACAAATATTTTTTTCTGAAACTTGTTCTAAAAAATAATTTTATAAGTCTTTTTTTTTCAGAACAAGAATATAAAGAACAAAAATAAATAGACCCTAAATTACCCCAACTAAATCCTTAGGTTCTCTCTAATTATATTCTCCATGTTTTATAAAATAATTTTTTTGATTAAATTTAAATTTTAAATAATATAATCATTATATTATACGTATTATTTCTAATGTATACTTTTTATATGTTGCTATATTTATCTTGATATTTTTATACTTCAGATTTGGCATAACATATCTCTCGGTTTTATCTTAATTAAAAAAAAACCATGATTTGATGTTTCTATTTAATTCAATAGGCAAATTTTATGTCCTTTTCATCTTCTAATTGTGTCTTGTTTAGTTCTTAAGTTTCAAGTGCCTAGTTTTTAGCATTAAAAAAAAAAACAACGCACGTACTTTCTCTATTCAAAATATAAGCTAAATGTTATTTATTACATTTATCAAGAAACTAATTAAAATCAATTTAGAACAATAAATGTGTAAGGTATATATTTATTTTTCCTAATATACCCTTATTAATAAAGAGAATAAGTAAAAGATATAATAAATGAATTAAAGATGAAAGAGAATATACAGAGATAAGATTGGAGAAAACTCATTAAATACTTGGATAAAGTGAATGTTATCTTATTACATTTATCAAGAAACTAATTAAAATCAATTTAGAACAATAAATGTGTAAGGTATATATTTGTTTTTCCTAATATACCCTTATTAATAAAGAGAATAAGTAAAAGATATAGTAAATGAATTAAAGATGAAAGAGAATATACAGAGATAAGATTGGAGAAAACTCATTAAATACTTGGATAAAAGTGAATGTTATCTTATTAAAAAAAAACCAACATCTTTAAGAAATTTTAGCTTGTATTTTGATCCGGAGAGAAAGTATCTCCTAATGCCCAAGATATGGAAATGTACAATCTCAACGGTTATCTATCACTAATCCGTACTGGAAAAAAAATCGATCAATGTATTGCATCCTTTTTATGTGAATGTGAATTAATTTAAAACATTTTAATAAAGAGACAAGGTCGTTAAGCTATGATTAACACCCATGTGTTCAAGCTATTTTTTCCCCATGAAAAATCGCTTTTGTGGGAAAATTTAATTTTATTTGTGACAAGTTTAAGAGCTGGTATATGAATGAACAAGCTTTAAAACTAATAACGCGGGAAGAGCTGGAAAGAGAAGCACTCAACCGGCAATTATGTGGGACACAAGAACTCATGCGTGCATGGAAAGTGAAAAAGAAATTGTTGGAATGAATGGCTGTGTAGGCGGGGGTGAAAAAATACAAGTCTGAAGTGGTCAGGGAAGGATGAGCTCTACAAGTTGAACCACCTAGTATGCTAGCAAGTAGGAACATCACCATCCCCAAGCCTCACCTCCCCAGTATTCATTAATCCTGCAGCAACTGCCCATCCACTCCCCTGCCTCTCTCTCTCTCTCTCTCTCTCTATCTCTACAACAGGTGGTCACTGGCAAGGTCCCTCTTCTCTACTCCATCTCTCGTTTGTTCCTATCATCGGAAGCGGCTTGTTCTGACTCAGCAGTCTTGGCGGCACGAGACAGCAGATTGTCAAACTTGTCTGATTTGCCCAGTACAATCTCAATCTAAAACAAAGTCAACGAATTAAACACACACCCTCAGCCACTTAACTAGCTAAATAGAAAAGGCATATGCTAATCAGTGAACACATATGGAACCCACCCTGGCCTTCTGCACGAGGCGGCCTCGATTCTCGTCCTTGATCCCAACTGTAGATGTCAAAACTTCTGTTCCATGCCATATAATTGTTTAGATCAGTTACAGTCCCCGTTAATTGGGTGACACGCGCACATACAAGAAACAAATCATACATACTCTTCTCAGTGGCCAGTCCACTGTTCTTCAATATCTCAGCAACCGTCACCACCGTAGCAATAGCTGTACCCACAACATAAACGCGTCTCAACTTTTAGTAACTCTTGGATTTAACAAAAACGCATCAATTTAGTACTACCTCCGATCTTAATTATAAGAATCAGTTGACTAATTTGATGAAATTAAGAAAGTAAGTTGAGTTAGTTATTTGTCCTAAATAAATATTATCTTTCCTAAAATATTCTTACTAATCAAGTATATTGCTAGAACTATTATTATTAGAAAGGCTACTTTGGAAAAAAAATGTATAAATATGAGAAAAAAAATATATTGGAGTCTTATATTTAAGATCAAAATAAAAGTCAAACAGAGTCTTATATTAAGAACGGAGGTAGTACATATGACGAGAGATATTCAAGTTTCCAGAGTATATCACACGAAGAAAAACACTCAAGCTAAATCTATACTCCTATGAAGCGTCCGTGTCATAAGTAAAACTCTGTTTACATTCTATCCATAAAACTCGAGGGTGTGTAAGACGATTCTCCAGGTCCGCTCGTCAGAAACAAGTATAGACGTACCAGGAATCAAAGCCAAAATCTTAAAAACGCTCAGAGAATAAAGTAACATGTCAAAACTAAGCTCATAAAGGAAATGGATAATTTGTCCAAGCAGATGAACATATATTTGGTCTCATCACCGAACCATATAGTTGAAATTGAATGCAGTGCATCTAAAAGATGAATGGTTGATGAACAGGCAGGCTCAAGAGAAAGAAGTACCCATTCCCAGAGCCGAAAGCTCCACCTCATTATGTTGCTGCATGTACCTCTGCATCAAAGAAATAACATCAGATATAAACATCAAATTCAAGCTGCGAGTGCTGACAATTCTTTTAAACAGAATTTCCGTTAAAATCAACCATCAACACCAAACGAGTTTGATGTACGCTCTATTAAAATTAGCGCCGCGACTGCATGTATTGCAGAATCTTTTTCTGAAGATGAAAACCAAATGCAGCTTGAACGGCGAAGCACAAATGCAGTGGGAAGAAGATAGGTACAATGCCCAAAAGCAGCTAAAGTACACGAGGTTTAAAATTGCAAGTGTGTCATCGAGTAGGTCGAGCAGTAATTTAAGATTTGACGGGAAGGTTTCCCGTAATCATCTAAAGATTAAACAAGTCGCAAAGAAATGCTAGGAAAGAGAGAAGAGAGAAAGGGAGAGGACGTGTGTATATATACCTTGGCGAGATTAACGTAAAAGAAAAGAGGCTTCTTAGTGTTGGAAACTTGGATTCTGTTCTTTTTCTGGGAATGGGTAGTGGCGGGAGTGGGAGACGCCATGGTTAAGCTGTGTTGGGGAAGCGGGAAAGAACCATGAGCTGGATCGGAAAAGTAGGGAAATCAGTTAGAGGAAGGCTTATATAGACGAGTGCTCTTTGGTTTTGAGCAATTATAGGAGCACACGTGGCGGCTGTGGAAAGGCATGCGGACGGGGTCGTGGCCAGCTAACTACCTCCCCGAAACAGCAGAGAAATTGGTCAGTTGTTGGCAGTTATTGCTCGCTAATCCCATGGGCCTCCCTTATTGGGCTTTGTCGCCCACTCTAGACCCAAAGCCGGACATCTATTTTTAGTGTACAGCTTCATTCCGTTTCCAACGCACGAGCCAGCGGGTCCTTGTTCCACATTCTTATAATTACTGCTCTGGCCCGCCCGCCACCCCGTGTCTGGGTTGGTGACCTATAAATTTGAATAAAATGACTATGAATGAGCCCTATCTGCTTCAGTAGCAGTTATTTTCTTCGGACTTATCAAAACTCGAATTATTTCCGGCGAACAAAAAGCAAAAATCCAATTACAATAAAGGCGACAATAGAGAGTGCGTTAAATGATGCCTGCTGCTTTGTGAGCATTTAGTCCTACGCCAAAAGAAAAGCATCGCTCCAGACTTGCTCACTAAGCTTTTGCTGCGGCAAAATATTATTCCTCCTTCCATTTGGAATTTACAAAGGTGGTTGATTCATTATATATGTGCGTGTGAAAAAAGAAGAAGAAGAAGATTGTTATGTATTGCTGTCTTTGATTTTAAATATTAAGTCCTCTTTTTTTTTTTTTTTTACCAGAAGTATTAGGTCCTCTCAAGTAATTAATTCGTGGAATAAAACTAAATAAATAGGTGAGTTGGTTATTTATGATTAACTTGCAAATAATTTAACAATTACGTGGAAGGATGCACATGGCTTTTATAAGAGAAACAATATAATTAGGACGGTTCTTAGATCAATCCGGTATACAATGAAAATTGATTGTGTCTAATATCATCATTTGGTAGCGTAATGTTAATTAGTTGGGATTACTTGGCTTATAAAGATGATTACAGGTACACCAATTATGTCTTTTTCCTTTTCCTTCAGTATCGTTCTTGCGGAGAAAGTGCCCAAATGGAGGTGGCCTCACATTTACGCCTGTCTGGTTAGAAAACCGTGATACGAGTAGTTCAGTTAAGCGCTATCAGATTGCCATCAAGGATTACGATGATCCCACCACCGAATTGAAGTTTCAGGGCAGCAAAACAAAAAGAAATAAAATAAAATGAAAAAAAAACAAAGTTAGGAATATGCAAGTCAACCGCCGGGGTCCATCCATAAAATAGATGAGTTGGCCAATCATAGATTGATTTTTTACAATCCAAAGGCGTATCGTCGATATTTGCAATGAAGCTAGGAATGTGGGGGGAGGATACGCAGGGGAGGGCTTAGTTGCGGGGGATGATCAATTAAGTACATGTACAAGCGAGTATGGGTTGAGAGGGCCAAGTCAACAGCGAAAGGAAAGGTCAGGAGAGACGTTATAGAAGCGAGACATAAATATATATAAATTTAAAATGGAGAAAGAACATGAGAGGAGGTTCAATTTGTGGATGGCACGTCGGTTAAATTAGCGAGTGATCCACTCACCTACTACTGATGTAATGTATGCATATACGAGGGATGAAATGGCTGTGGCAATATAAATGAAGAGTCAGCATCAAATGAGGGTGCGTACGTAGTTGTGAATGCAATTTATATACATATGTGTGTGTGTATGGGGTCAATTAATGGTGAAGGTGTGGGGCGGGATTAAGTTGTAGCTGGCAAGTAACAGAGAGAGAGAGGTGGGAGGGAAGTTATGATGAGGAAGAGGCAGGGGTTGGAGAGATTTGCGATAGTGAATGAAGTGTGAAGAAGAAGGAAGAGAAAAGGAAGCTTAAATGGAGGTGGGAATTCCACTGATTGCGTTGGTTCTAGGGAGTTCAGTGAGTGTAAATAAAAAAAGAATTAAATAATTAATTTGGGGGGGGGGTGTGTGAGTGTATGTGCGGGATTAGATGAGGAGGTTGCAACCAGGGTCATTGATTTCAAACTAACCAACCGCGCTTTCCTGATGATATGAGGAATGCTGTCCTACACGTTGAAACTGAACCCTCTCCAGCAATAATGAATATACGTACGTAGTACACACACACACACAGAGCTGCTCCCTTTATATATACGCATGAATTTCGTGGGAAACAACCCATCTTCCTTTTCGTCCGGCCCCCAATTTTCTCATCATTTGAGTTTTGGTTCAGTAAACTAAAGCAGCTTTTTTAAACCTCGCACTACATTTGATGACGTTACATAAATACAAAAAAAAAAGAGTCATGTGGAACAATAATTGATGTCTATACCATAGAAAGCCATAAAATGCTCTTTTTTTGGGATGACGTGCATGCATGGTTATATATAATGAACGTGTTGCGTGGAGGGTGTACTGTGTGGGAATAGATGCATGAGGGAAAGGGTGAGCGTACCTGAGGGAGGAATGGTTATGTTTTGGAGTGAGGGAGAGGAGCAGAAGTAAGGGCACCGTAATGCGTAATCATTCCGTGCATGCATGCAAAGCACTTGCATTGCCTGGTGACTAAATTCAATTGGCCCTATATCTATCTGTATGAGGAGGGGAGGGGGCAATAAATTTGAGGAGTGATGAGTGAATATAATGCTGAACGGCTGTGATTCGATTATCAAAAGAAAAAGCACAGACCTGCCCCGAAGGAGTCTTCCAATTCAAAAGCAGACATAAAAGCTAAAAGCGACCACCACTGTACGTGTTCCCCCGCCCCCCCAATTTCAAATTCCACCATTCTCTCCCAAAAGCCAACACTCAGCTCTATCACCCCTCGTTTATTTTAATAGTGCCAGTTCCTTATTCGTACGTTTATTTCCACAGTCCTTTTTAATTACTATCTCCAGTTTTAATTATAAAACTTTGTTTATAATTTATAAATAAAGTCTTATAAATAGAACCGGAAGTAGTATATTCTCTTGATTAAACAGCCAAAAACAAAAGGCACCTTGTCTGACGTGAAAAATATGTTCACCCCCTTAAACTAGGCGAACCTTTTCAGCCTAGGGAATTAAACAGGCGCGCGCACGTCCATCAACACTAATTTGTATAATTGTTTCGTGGAAGAAAGTCAACTACATTGTTTCTATTTTATTCCAACGCCATAAATCTTTATTTATTTATTTATTTATTTTCATATCTATGTAAATCCATGCTAAAATTCAAAAAAAAAAATCACACTTTCTAATTTGCAGTGAAATTTCTTTTTCAATCGAGCCGCATGTACGCATAATGCCACAACAGTGTCCGGCGCTCTTTGTTAAGGACAGATCCGGTACGTAAATGACCTCAACAAAATGATCTCAATTCATATAACTGGGAATTAAATTGGTCATGAGCCCCTCCCTCCTCTCCAATCTCCATAAATTCAGCACCAACCACAGCATGATGATGCAGGAGAGGTCACGTGATAAATGTTCAATTAATAAATAATAGAAGTGCAGGTCACGTGATGCTGAGACTTGAAAGAGCTGTGGCGGCATCAAAGACGAGTGCTGCTTCCCACCCCATCTCTCTCTGGGTCCGCCGTGGGATCAATAAGGGTACTTCCTGCGTCCTCATCACAAAAATGAATAAAGGCACAACAAATGTATGTCTATCACCCAAATAAACTTATCTTTTCCCGGGCATCATATCACACATCTGCCTCACATTACAATATTTTGACAACACCGCCTCTGCCCTGCCTTCCACATCCAAACGAATCGTTCCATCTCTTTTTGTTCCCCTGTCCTTGCTAACAAAAATGTATATGTTCAGGATTAGACTTTCCGCCCACCTTCTCCTCCTCCTTCGTTAGCCTCCAGAGGTGTCCCGCACCGGATCATCCCTCCGCTCTCTGTTTTTTTTCTTTTTTTAATTTGTTACTGTTATCGCCCTCAGTCCATACGTATTTGTTCTTATGCATACCAGCTTTGCCCTACTCATGTATCTTGATTCTTAAGTCAGTGTCACATCATTCCCACACTTCCCTCTTCTTTCCTGAACTCCATATATGCGTGGCTTATACATTAATTGCATGACGCTGCTGTCCTCAGATCGCTTCCTTCAATTTCAGTTTTCATCCCTTTAACTAACTATCCGACTCCATCCTCGTCTCTTCTTTGTACCTGCGTCTGCGAAAATTATACTAACCTCCCAGGCTTTCTGCCCTGTGATGGCTCATAGAGTTAATTAATACTCCTCCGATCCTTATTATAAGATCCCATTTGACTTTTTATTTGGTCCTAATTATAAGACCCAATCCATTTTGTCTATTATATTTATGCATTTTTTTCCAAGATAATCCTTCTAATAATGATAGTTTTAGCCAATATACTTAATTAGCAAGGATATTTTAGGAATGACAACACTTATTTATTATAAATAACCAACTTAATTTACTTCCTTAATCTCCTCAAATAAGTCAATTGGGTCTTATAATTAGAACCGGAGGAGTAGTATTTTTATAATCATATATTACAAGCTCCACACAGGAAATGACAGGTCTAATTCTGTAGAATATTTCAATTTATTTAAAATTTGATAGACCTAAATAAAAAATAAAGCCCACGATGAAGTATAATATTACGTCATCTACTAATTATAAAACTTTATTTATAAACTTTTGGACCGGAGATACTAATTAGGAAGCCATGATATTCTGTTAATTACGGTTGAGGTGTCAGGCAAAAAAAAACAAAATTTACGGTGGGGGTGGCATCCAGGTCAGCGGCACAGCGCGAAGAGGATTTCCGGGGCTTATCAATCAATTTGTCCGTATTTGGAGGGGAGTGGGTCAGAGAAACTCCGAGGGAGGGATCGAACGTCAAGTCTGTTCAAATTTCACTGTCCGTTATCACCGTCAATTCTTCGAGTTTGACAACGAAAGTACAGATGTTTCCCAACCCCCGCTTCTAACATCAAAGTGAAAAACCCTGCTCACTATACATATATATATATATCCATTATTTATTACCCTCCCCAGCAATACCACTCACGGGGAAAAAAGTATATTATATAATTAGCCCCCGCAAAAAAAAAAGAGTTTTTGTGAACCTCCCTAGAGAAAAGCAATATCATTTACGAGTTTATTTGTTCTATTTTGCACGTACAGTGGGGGGAGAGAGAGGGAGAGGGAGAGCGGCGAGGAGAAGAGAGGAGGAGGAAGGCCTCCGGAGAGATCTTGTCGGATCGTGACCGAAATTTTCACATTCTCAGCTGATTGTGGTGCGCTTCTTGCTCTTCACCTCTTTAATCTTTTCAATCTCTGCAATGTGGGTGTCGATCTCTGATGCTGCTGCCATGAGATTTAAGTTCCCTCGTATGCTGCTTTGGGGATCTTTCTCTCTCTATCTTACCCTTGTTTCCTTCTGTTGATGTGGGTGTCTTTCGCAACGCTTCAGCAGAACAGGAGCCTATCTATTTTCTTCTTCTTTTTTTCCTTTTCATCTTTCATCTCTTGGTACTCCTCCATTGCAGTGCTAGCTCCCAGTCTTGGATAAAAGGATTTCAAGATTATCTGCACCTCATCTTCTTTAATTGGTGCTTAATTCATGGACTGGAACGCCAAATATCACCAGCTTCCTTTTGAAAACGCATATTGGGCCCAAACCCGGGGTTTTGTTCTGCAGGGCTTCAACATATTCTTGATATTTAATCTTTAATGCGTTCCAGATGTCCATATATTCGTTTTCTTAGTTGTTTTCTTGGTTTCTTGGGTTCAAGCTGAGTCTTTTTTTTTAAATCCTCTGGCTACCAAAAAAGTGCTTTCATTTTAAAACTCGGCCTAAGGATCGTGAAACGCTTGTTTTATGATGCTATGAAGTCACACAATCATATCGAGATATCTTTTCTGATGAACAAAGGTTCAGCTAGAATAGCATTTTCTTTTTGAATTGAGTAGTTTTCATCTTTTATGTTAAATTTTGTGTGTAGGGGAATCTATATCGTGTCGTGCCTCCGCCCTCTAACTTTTATGTTTTAACCTTCTTCTCCCTGCCATCTCTCTCTCTCGGTTTGGAGTTGGAGTTTTGGCACTCCGGACTTGTAGGTTTATCTGTGGTGAATTTTGAGCGGAGTGGAATGATGTTCTATTAATCTTCTCTTCTTGTTGTTCGAGAATACATATGTGGAAGTTTTCTTCTCAAGTCAAAGTGATGGATATTTTCAATCAGTAGCAACATCTTCAAACTATTATGCTGCTTACCCTGTAACTTGTATGGTACAGTGTCATGGGGAGGGAAGTTACTGGCATACATGTTGTGGACACGAGGCCAAATCGTATCGTGGCGACTTCAAATGGCAGTTCCAATGACAAAGTACATGTTTCTCCCAGAATTGCTGGAGTTAAGCTTGACACGAAGGATCATGAGGTAATGGAATGTACTGAAGTTAATTCTTTCACTGAGAAATGCCATGAGAAAAAGGATGTCTCGAGTGCTGAGAGCACACACCAGTTTGCTGATTGGACTGAGAAGAATGAGAAATCAGAAGCACAGACGACGGGTGGCAGTAAAAAGCTAAGCTCACCTGCTACAAGATCCACAGCTGTGGAATTGGAACCTATAAGTGACTCTGTTCCACTGTCATCTGATATGGCTGCTGAAAAGAATGGTTCTGACCCGCTGAGTGTTGGTAGTACTGAAGCTGTTATGACTGGTTTGAACATGTCACCAAATGCTAACAACACATATTCACCAAATTCAACAAAGCATTTGCAGGTAATTGGAAGTCTCAATGGCTCACTTGATGATGTGCCATCGTTTCTTTCTTTCTTTCTTTTAAGGAATTTCATCAAGAACTTCATTTCTGCTTAAGTTAAAATGTGGAGTTGCATTTCTATGTAGTATTTTCGTGACTGTGCTTGAGAAATTTAGAAGGTGGAGTTGTTATTGGCTTATTCCATAGTGGACCTAAGATATTATATTCTTTTTTATGCATTTGTTTGCTGACATTACATGATTAACTATAACTGAGAATTTGTTTTTCCTCTTGCCATCATTAAACTAGTAATTCTATTTCAAGAATCATGTCAAAATGCAAATAGAGATAAGGAAAAATCCCCAAGAAAATGCCTTTGAATTATAAAATTTCAAATCAGTCTTGTTCACTACACTTTGATAACAATTGACAACATTTGAAAAGCAATGATGATACATTTTTGTAGTCATTCCTGATTTAGGATTTTGAAATTTTAGAGGTTTTTTTTTTTTTTGGATTCTCCCTGGAGATGATTGATAAGACTTTGTTTTTATGTAGCAACGAATGCACATTGAATTCTTTGAAAAGTAATCTTGAAATAGCCACTCACTCAGGAAAAGCAACCATCCTTAGAAAGAACTGTTCAGAATATTGAGTTTACCTGCTCATATAGTTAAAACTGGTATTTTGTTTATATTGTGCAGTGTTGTGTTTTAATGAGATTAGTGATGTCCAAAATCTTTTTCTTTATTTTCAGACAAACTCGCCTTTTTCATCAAGGAAATTCCTGCACCATGATGATAAGAAGCACCATGATGATGATGATAATTGGTCTCTTGCTTCCTCGTATCCTTCAAACATAATAACATCCCGATGGTCATATAGCTTTAGATGTGTGAGAAGGACCTAGGCAGCTGCCGTACAATTATCTGATATCTCATGGATTTTAATTATAACTGTTGTGTAACTCTAGATATTGCTGCAATCGACTGGACTCACATCTAAATAACATGACAATTGCCTTGCTATTTGTTCCTTTAACCACACTGTAGTGCTGCATCTGCCCGCACAGCTAGATCTAGGGTAACTGTGGGTTCAGCCCCCACATTTCGATGCTCGAACCGTGCAGAGAAACGGAAGGAGGTATTCTTTTAGAGAACTAAATTTGATATATTTCTGTGAGACAGACTGCTTTTGAGCCGGTGTTATTATCTTCGCTTTGGTTTTTCCATCCAGTTTTATCTGAAGTTAGAGGAGAAACATCGAGCTCTTGAAGAAGAAAGAAATCAATACAAAGCAAGGCAGAAGGTACAGTGTTTGGCTCTTTCCTTTTCTGTAAATTTCCTGAACCGAGGCTTATTGATAAGCCCATGTGCACGGGGGTACTGTTTTCTGTGTCTCTTCTTATATTGCTTTTTAGTTTTTACGCTTGACATTGATCCAACAACTGTTTTTAGGAAGAGGAAGAAGCAGCTATCAAACAGTTGAGGAAGAACTTGGTAATCAGAGCAAATCCAGTACCAAGTTTCTACTATGAAGGACCTCCTCCCAAGGTTGAACTCAAGAAGGTACTCTTTCCTATTTTCCCCTGACAGGACGTAATATGAAAATCATGGGAGTGATTCTTGAGTTCACTAATGTTGTACTCTTTTTAATGGCAGCTGCCACTGACTCGGCCCAAGTCACCAAAACTAACAAGGAGAAAGAGCTCCGGTGATGCTATCAGCTCATCTTCGGAAGTTTGTTCGCGGCAGCAGCGTCACAGCCTTGGTAGTCGGAAAGAGGCTTCTAACAGCCCTGTCACTCCAAAAACTAAGGAGCATGTTCTTGGACGCAAGAGCAATGGCAGTTGCGAAAAATCAAAAGTGGGTAAGGAAACAAAATCAGCACCTCCTAAAATCGCCCAGCAAACAAATGCAGACATATCAGTCCACTGATGAGCGTTCAAGATTTGGCTGACCTCCCGTTGAGAGGAAAATATCCTTCATTTTCTTTTCATTCGGACTGACTTATTAAGTGGATTGTGTTGAATTGTATATGTTTTGTAAGTTATATTGGGACTCATCTTGTTATATACGAAGATAGAGTTATGATCTAATATGCACTGCATGTGATATTCCGAATACTGGCCCGGCATCTGGTAAGTACAGAGTAGTATGGGGAATATTCCGGATTCTATAGTGTTATCTGAGTGCAAAAACTAGTCTACGGTGTGTTTTTCTCCCTGTCAGAAAGTAGAATATCTAACATGGGATAATGGATTTTTTTTTTCCTGCCGGCTTGTTCCATGAGTATATGGGTTCGGATATTTTAATATGATGGGCGACCTTGTTTTTTCATTTACTATTGCTTTTTTAGGTAACGATTGAACCTGGGATATGTCTAACACATACAATATTCTAATATCAAAACAAAAAACGTCTCTATAGTTAGTGTGAAATTGTAGGTTATCGGATGAGGACGAGGTGTGAGGTTTTCACAGATACATGGATCACTCCATGCGCGAAATGCCGCTTCAATCGTATTATTCAGGAACACAATTGTAAAGAACTTCGCTCCTCTTTTTTTTTTGGGCGTGAAATAAAAGGGGAAAACAAAGTGACAATTATAAACGAACTGAGTTGAAGAACTTGAGTCTCCAAGGTCGCTTGTTTTTACTCTCTTCTCACTCAGTCAGACTGTCGTCGATATTTGATTGTGAACATTGCCAAGTAACGGTTCTTCTCAGCAGTTTCCTTGCATCCATATTCATACACACCTCTTTTGTTTATTTGATTATATAGCCAATCAATCAAATAGACGGTAAAAAATTGTGTACTGAGACAGCTGTGGAGAAAAGAACTGATTAATTAGAGCGCACAAACTGAAGTTGTGCCATTGCGTAACTCACTACCAAGGTTGGTTAGACAGACAAAGAATCATAATCCTTTCCATCTGCAAATATGGATACATATAGTCATGGATAAATAAGGAGAGAATGAACTTCATTTTGGTGACTCCTTATGCAAATAATTTGCTACAGACGTTGTAGGTTGTTCGACCGGGAAAAAAAACCAGGAGGCCAAAGAAATTATGAAAATACAGAAACAATCAAAGCTGTATATATTCTCTGAGCTGATTTTTCCATGGCATCTCAAACCATGAAGCTATTTCATACAACACAGCGATTACATCAGCACCATTCTCTTCATCGTCCCTTGGGATTGACAATTTGTGAGAAGATGGCATTAGAATTCTCACTCGACTCCTTGCTCGTCTCCTGCTCGCCCCCAAGGCTCAGATTCTTATAATGTGTTGCTACGTCGTTGCCTTTCAAGCTTATCTCTTCGAACTCACCTTCATCCGTACGCGAAGACGACTTCATTGAAGCATCGGGATTTTCCTGCAGCTGCAGGGCAAGTTCAAGATTCCACAACAGATCATTCATTGTGGGACGATGAATTCCATGATCTGACAAGCACTTTTCAGCAGTATCTGCAAACTTTTTTAAGCTTTCTGGACGGATCTTTCCTTTGAGATTCGGGTCTATTATATCCTCTAGGGTCCCTTTTCTTTTGTTGAGCAGAGCCCAATCCGCCAGGCTCACCTGTTCCTTGGAAAGGCTAGGATTCAGAGCAGGCCTTGCACAGAGTACCTCAAACAGGACAACCCCAAATGAGTACACATCAGATTTCTCAGTCAATTGTTGTCTCCTGAAATATTCAGGATCCAAGTATCCAAAGCTACCCTTTACCACTGTGCTGACGTGGCCGTTATTCATGTTTGGACCAGTTTTGGAGAGGCCAAAGTCTGAAACCTTGGCAACCCAGTTTTCATCTAGAAGAATGTTAGTTGTTTTAACATCCCTATGAATGATGGTGTACCTAGCCCCGGTGTGAAGGTAGTGAAGTCCTCTAGCAGCTCCAATGCAAATCTCCAACCTTTGCTTCCATGAAAGACCATTGACAGGTTTGTTTCCCTTGTAAATATGTTCCCTTAAAGTGCCACGAGCCATGTAGTCATAGACCAGGCACATTTCATCGTCTTCCTCACAAAACCCGATCAGTGAGACCAAATGCTTGTGCCTAAGCTTGGAAAGCATCTCAATCTCAGTCTGGAATTCATTGACGCCTTGTTCCGACTGCGGGTTGGACCTCTTGATTGCCACTTTAAACCCATTATCAATCACACCTTTGTAAACCTTACCGAATCCTCCAACCCCAATAACATTGGACTCATCGAAATTCTTGGTCGCATGCTTTATCTCTGGCAATGAGAAGTACCTGCAAAGACCTTGAGCCGTGGCCGATAAGGTGACACCACCAGTGCTCTTCCCAGAAATCGTGGATTTGCTGGCATTTTGGGTATGCCCATAGAGTGGAAGCCAGCTTGATGTGTGTGACTCTGACCCTGGGACCCTCTTTTGCCTCTGGTAAACTGCAATGCATAATGCGGCTAGTAAAGCAGCCCCTCCGGCAGCTCCACCAATTATAGCGGGATGAGTACGTTCATCCTTGTTTTGGAAAGATTTTTGCTGGTGCCCCTGTGCCTTCAATAGCATGTCAGAGGGCTGAGGATTGGGTCCGGCCAAGGTTGTGTCGTTGAGTTTGAATATCTCAACCCCGTTTAGAATCGCATCATAGAATTCAGGCTTCGACTCAGTTGCAGGGTGGAGAGCAAGCCAGAGTTGGTCGGCGCCGGGCCCATCCAGTGCATATACAACGTAGTCCTTGTAAGTTGGCACACCTCTCCCATTTGTCCATGCAATCACGTCCGCCTCGGACTGCGCCGTTTGATTATTCACATATATATTGAAGGTTATTTCGTTGGTTCTGTCATATGTGAAATCGCAGAAGTGTAACCTCACGAGATACATGGAATTAGGATCCACTTGGAAAATCCACGTGAGGTTAAATTGCAACGTCACGTCCTTGTCGTTTCCCATATATCTCGACGTGGAGTAGACGGTAGGAGGAGCAATGTAGTGTGGCATGGTTTGGTAGTTGATTTGGACGCTCTTGTCCGCTTCGGAGGTCGAACCCGTGGATGCACCGTAAAGATACGGCGTGTCGTCGTACCACGTTCTGCTGAGATTCGAGTCTTGGGTTGGGGATATGTATTGTCCTCCAACGTTCAGTCTAAACATTGTCTGCGAATGCAAGCTTTTGGCATCCATGATTTGGCCAACACCCACCACTGTGGCCGAATCAAACAAGTTGGGCATTTCCAGGAGTTGAATGCCATTCACAAAAGCGAAGGAGCCCGGGTACTTGTCAGAAGGCTTGAAGGTGAGGGTAAGGGAATCTGAGTTCAGAGGGGCGAGGGAATATTCTCTGTCAATGTAAGCTTGCGAGAGGGCTTCGCATGTAATAGAGGCGCTGAAATTGCTCAGGAGGGTGATCCCATTTGCAGTGACCGAGAAATATGAATTGGCAGGATCGAAATTGGAATAGACGGAGGGATAAAAGTGTAGCCTGAGCCAATAACGTTTGTCGGGACTAATGGGAAATTTGTAGGTGGCCTCGGACGTGAAAACCCGAGCCGACATGTAGGGAACCTCGGACGAAAGCGAAGGATCTTGGTAGGAGGCTCTGAACGTGCTGGAATCACCTCCGGATAGGTACTTGTTATCGGGGCTCCACTGCCTTCCATCTGGGTCTTTGGCTCCACCATCGGCCAGCCCACATCCCAGGATCAACGGCGATGGGCTTTGGCTCCTCACAAGAACGGCATGGAAGACGGGGGAGAGACACAGGACAGAGAGCAAGACGAGGAGACGTATGTTGTGGGCCATGATGATTCCAGAGATGTTGGGAGGCGTACAGGAAAAAAGGGGAGGGACGCAGGATTTTTCCCGTACGCCCAATCAGCCACAAAACGGCCTTGTTTATGTTTTGCGTCGCCTGAGGGGAAGGGGGTAATTGTTTGTGCAGACTCAACCATCTAAATGACCTACCTGGATTGGACGGACCAAACCAGGCTAGGAAACATGGCGCTGCTTTTTATTGTTCTGTTTGTTATGAGGACGAGGACGAGGACTCTTCTTTTGCTGCTGCTTGCTCTGATCTTGAATCCTAATTTTGGGACTCCATTTTACTTCTATTGTTTCACAATGGGAGGTAGTTGGAAACCGATGTTGACGAGCCGAGATCGCTATTGAACGAATCCAACATAGTTGCACTAAATTTAGCATTCCTTCGTTCCCCACACCTTTTTGTTGTTGTTACTTGCATTTACGGTTCAAACAGTATCTATGCCATTGTATTCTTGCCTTGGGAGGAGTGGAGGGTCATCACTCACAACAAGTTCTATTCCAGAGTTATCTGGTCAAGTCTCGGGTATTTTTATTATAATTAAACAGAATGACTAATAACACGAAATTAATTAATTGATCTACTGCTATAGAATGCTTTTATACAGCTCGAATTTCAACCGCCTTGCTCTGGTGAACAAGAGATGTTTACAACTTTGATTGATATTTTTTTCACTGTTGTACAACATCGCTCCAAACAGGAAAGATCGTGTGGAAAAAAAAAAAAAACTTGCCTATTGACTATGTTTCATCTTTGATTAATATACTGAAAAAGGAAAGAAGAGAGGGGAAAAGCGAAACTTTTCATTTACGCAGGGTCTAATATATTGTCAGTGCAAGAATGGTATAATTGGGAAACAGTAATTTTGACAGGGAGGCAACGAGAAACAGCCTTATAAAATATAAACTATAAATCATGAAAGTGTACGTTAACTCTTCATAATCTCTAGTAATGGATGATTAATTACGTGGAAAGTATTAGCATCATCATAGTCTGATTTCTGAGACCATAGGAAATGGATCAACAGTTAGTTAACTAGGAATAGAAGGGGTGGGGATGCGGGGTATACATTCAGTTCAAAATAACTTGATACGTAAAAGTTACCTGAGAGGCGGCAAGGACATACATATATACTTTTCCTAATTTAAATGGATTAAAAAACTTAGTTATTTATAATAAATTTGTATTATCTTTCCTAAAATATCCTTACTAATAATGTGTATTAGTTAAAACCACTAATACTATTTAATAAAATCTTTAACATGTACAACTACTACAGAGACTACCTTAGAAAAATGAATAAATATTAAAAATAAAATAAATTGAGATCTTATATTTAAAACCAAATTAAATACCAAACTTACAGAAAGTAGTAACTGTTATAAAATCTCAAAATTATTCTCCACGGAAATTATTAGTTGGAGAAATTTGGTGAATTAGTTAAAATATTATTAGTTAGGGCTGTTTTATGGGGGGGGGGGGGGAATTAATATTGCAGATAAAACCCAATACAAACGCGAGGGGTAGATAATTAGAGGTGGGGGAAGAGCGAAGATTGAAGGCGAGTCGAAATTTTCACCATGGGCGGGTAAAAAACAGAGCGACAGAAATAGATGAATGCATGAAAGAGAAAGAGGGGGTGACAGAGTGGGAGTTAATGCGAAAGATTAATTAGAGGCAACACACTGAATTAGGGGAATGGCGCTGGCCACCACGGGATATTTAGGCCAATAACACACAAATATGCATTACAACTTGCAACTGCTCATCTTTCGTCCTAAAAATAACCTCCCTCCTGTTCCGAATGGATGGTGGGATATGAAGCACCCTAACCTCTCCTCTCCTTTAAATCATTGCCTCCCCCACCTCCATTTTTTCTTGTTTCTTCTCATTCTTCCACTCGTCCTGCGTACACTCACCCATCATCCCTGCTTGGCGAGGCGGCTCTTGTTGCTGCCTCCGCCTCCACAACCACGTCCCATCACATTACTTTTGCTCTTCCTTCCCTGCCTCCACAACCCCATGGCCGACCATGATCGACGGCATTTTCGCCACCCGTCTTCTTCTTCTTCTCTGCACGACTCCGGGGATGAGTTCCGCCACATGTCGTTGGAGCCGCCGCCCTGGCACAACCGGAAGCGACTGTCCAAGCAGCTGTCCATGTGCGAGACGCGCCGCAACATTGCGTGGGAGAAGAGGCGACGGCAGATTCTGGAGCAAGAGCGCCGGAGGAACGGGGTGCGTCATGATGACGGCCATCATCACCATCATCTGACGGACGAGGATTTAAACGAGCTTAAGGGGAGCATAGAGCTGGGATTCGGATTCACCGAGGAAGACGGCCAATCACTGACCCACACCTTGCCGGCTCTCGACCTTTACTTCGCCGTTAACCGACAGCTATCGCTTTCCAGCCCCGGATCCACCCCTAAAAGCCTCGGCGATCGTTCTTCCTCGTTCGGGAGCTCAAAGAGCGACTCTGATTCGTGGAGGATTTGCAGCCCAGGTGATGGTTAATTTACATGTTCTCATGAAACTGGATTGATGTGATTAATTAATTTGTTGGCCTGGTGACGGATGCGTATGTGCGCGTGGATTGGTGCAGGGGAGGACCCCGAGCAAGTAAAGACGAAGTTAAGGCACTGGGCTCAAGCCGTTGCCTGTTCTGTGATGCAATCTTTTTGAATGAAAGGCAAGCAGATGGTGTGCGTGCAGAGACTCACATACCTACCCACAAATGCAAATGCAAAGGTGCATGAACTCTGGGATTATAACGCGTGTGGAGGAGGCAAGGAACTGAAACAGTTGACTCCAATTTGGGTCGTCATGGACGCAGAAGAAGATAACGACCCAGGTGAAGGCGTAGTAGTGTGGCAGGGACTGCTCATTTTGCGAGCCACAGGAGGAGATCATGTAAATGCCACTTCATGGGGGCACGTGGCTTCTCCCGTGCGGATAGTACTGTCCATGCTTAAACTATATCAACTCTTCATGATTTCCTCTAAACAACAATCGCATATAAAGTCAATCATCTCATCTACTAGGCTATTTAGCATCCTTTTTCTTTCTTTTTTGCCCATGCATGGCTGCCTAGCCATTTAGCAGCTCTCATTCTGCTCATATTTTCGCATCTTCCTGTTTTGCATTGGCATCACTGCCAAATACCAACAACTCAATCGCGCATTTATATATATATATATATATATATATATATATATATCCGCATTTTGCTCCTCTTGCTCTTCTTTTTATTCCCCCTAGTTATTCTATTATGATCACTCAACAGTTTTACACCTGCTGACAGCATAATAATAGGGGAAAAGCCAAACCATATGCGCTGCTGTTTCGTGCCATTTTAAATTTATTTAGAGAGCTCGGGTGTCAACACGGTTGAATGACTCAAAAAAAAAAAATTGATAAAGAGCAAACGGAAGTTTTTTTTTTTTTTTATCTCTTTCACAATTTTACTTTGCATATAAAAACACTCACACATAAGGTATAATTTGATCATTACGCTACTAAATAGTATAATTTATGCAAATTATATGCCCAATTACACGAGGCGAGAGCTTTATGACATGAGAATTATTCAGGTAAATTTGAGAATTTAATAAAAGGAAAATTACACGCAGTTTCACAGAAGACAATTAATTTTGAAAAAATCCCTGAAAATTCCCAAATACTTCCTAAGTTCCCAAGGACCTCAGAGCAAAAAATTAAAATTGTGAAATTACCTACTTGCTCTCATTGAATGACAACATGCAGAGCTATAGTCACAATCTACATAGTAGCCAATTACAACCTACATTTGAGCCATTCACAACATGCACAGAAACCAATCACAACCCACACTCAACCGAATAACAATATGCACAGTATACAGTCACAACCTACACAGCAGCTAATCACAACTTTTTCTATCGGTGAGGACAAGTAGGTAATTTCACAATTTCAATTTGTTGCTCTGAAGTCTTGGGGACTTAGAAAGCATTTGGAGATTTCAAGGGACTTTTTTAAAATTAATTGTCTTTTGTGAGACCTGTGTGTAATTTTTTTTTAATAAATTGTAATTCGTTTTTTAAAAAAAATAAATTAGATCGTTGATTTTTTTTTTTTGGCCCCCACCTTGAGATCGTTGATCCTCGTGCAGAGACTAAAAATAAATACTCATGGTCGTTTGGCGCGTGATTCCCCCCCTAAATCCAGAGAAAGCAGGTGATGGAAGCCAGAAGACAAACGCCTTTCCCTTCGATCTCATCTTGGCACCGTAATCAAACCCTAATTACCTTTCACTCCAATTTCCGATTTCTGTGCTTCCCTGCATAGTGCTTTCATTCTACCCACTCCTATGTCCGCCATAACCACCTCTGGATATGGCACACTCACTTCCTCCGCCACCGCCACCGCCACTGATCGACCTAATTCCACCACCGCCTTGTCGGATATATCATGCGGATCCCGCCCCAATGTTGCCACCCTCCGTCCATGGCGCTACCTGCTGGACTTCTCTGCCTTCTCCCGTCCTTACTCCTATGCTGACGCCATGGCGCGTCTCAGACGAAACCTCTCTTACTTCCGATTCAATTACGCCTCGTGGTGCTCATTGTTCTCTTCCTTAGCCTCTTGTGGCATCCCGTTTCCATCATCGTTTTCCTTGTCGTTTTTGTTGCCTGGTTCTTCCTCTACTTCTTCCGTGATGCTCCCCTTGTTTGTTTCCACCGTACTGTCGATGATCGGATAGTACTATGTGTTCTCAGTTTGGTCACGGTGGCTGCACTCGTGTTAACTCATGTGGGGCTGAATGTATTGATCTCTCTCATAGTAGGACTGTCCATTGTTGGCTTACATGCCTCTTTTCGACTTAGCGAGGACATGTTTGTTGATGAGGAAACCGCTGCCGGAGGCGGCTTGTTGTCAGTTGTGGCAAGTCAGCCTCTGAGACCAACTTATACGCGGATTTAGATTTACTGGGTATGGCCGCCGTTTGCAGCATGCAACTCATGTTTGCCTCATACCATGAAGTGAATTCTTCTGTTTTGTTTCATATAGTGAAGATTCCAGTCCAAACTCAATCAAGACATTAGATTTGATTGCATTTTTCAGAAGAAGTGCTGGAAACGATGATAAATGTTGCTGGTTTTTGGGTATTCTCTATCTGAGTCTCTGACTTGTATCTCACATTCAGGCTGCTGCGACCTTGGATTATCTTCTGTGCTCGGAATTGTGACAATGGATGATAAATCATTTTCCAAAATTAAATTGGAATTAGGTGTGTTCTGTTACTGATTAATTATAAGAAATTACCTGCGTTACTCTTCGAGGAAGTGCAAATGAAAGAAAATAGATGACGAATCTGTTTGGCTAGTTCAATATTGGTGTTCTTTATTAGTGTGATGTTTAAATTTAACATATTAATCTTGTGCCTGCTGCTGTACAATCTCATCGTTCCACACTTCAACTGCAGTTGTAAATTTTTTTAATTGGGACCACACTGTACTAAATTTTTCCAGTATTTGTTTAACCTTGAAGTCATCAAGATAATTCTATCTAATTTTTCCCATATTACTGTTCGTTTCCTGGAGTTTGGTTTAGGGTCCTACTTCATATACTACATACATAATTTGATATGCCTCATATATCTTCTCCAATTTTCTTATCTTCTACACTAGTATTTTGCCTTTTATGCATTTCCCTTGGTTTTTCTTGGCTGAAGAAGGTGAATTCTTTTACTGTTGATTATGCTGATTGGAAAGAGACGACAATACAATGATTGCAGAGGGGAACATAGGAAGAAATTTTTAGAATGTGTGAACGAAGCTCTTCTAAAGGTATCTAATAAAGATGCAGGGAGGATGATTGTAAGCAGATTAGTGATTAGTGTAGATGAAGAGAAGAATTAAAATGGTAGGAGGGGAAGAGACACAAGGATTTCAGGTGCCGGATGAAATGTGATAATCCGTACTTGTACAAGTCCCCTAGGATTGGAATTCGGCTTTACTTTTTCCTTGTTTCCTCATGTTTTATTTTAGAGAGCCTGAATGCTGTATTATATTTGGCCTGATAGTAGGGGAAGATCATGATTTAAAATGATTGAGACATTCTGTTTGGCCAAAAAAATGATTTGAGGCATTTTTCTTGGGGAGAAGGGAGACTATCTTGTTGCAAGTTTTTCCCCCTTGGTAGGTCCATAATCTTGTTCGAGGCAATGTTGAGTACTTCTTCAGCGAGTATTCAAATCTTAGTTCATCACGTTGTGGGAGATTAGCCTTTTCTATTAGACCGTCTATCTTGTTGTAAGCTGATTGCATCACATCATTCGTTTTTATTAACTCAGGGAACTTGCAATAGTAGTTCTGGCTGTATTATAGATTCCCACCTGCGCTTTACGCATGGCACTAGCTATTTATATAACATTTTACTTGATATTATAGTCACTAGCTATTTATATAACATTTTGCTTGATATTATGGTTGGTAACTATTGAATTACGGTGTCGATGATGATATTGCTTTTGTTTTTAGCTGTTTCAGTTTTTAGGTAAGATTCTGATGCTACAGTCACCATACTTCATGCTTTTGGGGAGCGCCTATGAGTGAAGGCAACTTTACTTCGTGCTTAGAGCCTGATTGATCACTTGTCCACCGCAAACCACCCCCCAACACAAAGAGAACCCACCCCCCTCAAGACACAACAAACCCTGTTCTTTTTCCTGGGTAGTGTTGCGAAACCCACGATTTGATGAGATCATTATTGTCTTTATGCCGCTTACAGAGTTCACCCGACTAAGATGGCTTATGTTAAGTGAGCATTTGAATCCCATGATGAATCTAAGCTGCGCTGAAACCCCGGGGGGGGGGGGAAAAAGAGATTTTGTTTGTTTGTTTTTGTTTTATTAGGAGGGTGTTGTGGGGATTCCGTATGGGGAACTAAAGTGGGCACTCTTTCCAAGTTCCACTCGAATTACACCCAGTTATAAAAGTCCCTCGGCAGTCATAAAGTCGTTGATCGGCTTGGATGTATCGTGATCCACCCAACTCAAGTGGGTAGCCCCGACTGGATGTTTGGTAACAAGAAAATCTGAAGGCCGTTCCAGTCCTTGTGAGAAGAGGTGGCAACCATCTCTCTGTTCAGAGCACACGGCTTGGGTGTCTTGCAATCAGGGACTTCCGCCACGCAGCTTTTAAACGAGCGTCTTGACTGCGTGCTTCCGGGGAAAGAGAGAATTCAAATCTATGCTGTAGGTGCTATTTTTTGATGCTATGGAGTAATGTTGGGCTGATTTATTCATTTGTTACCTATATGGTATCCTATGATTTCCGAGTTTTCATTCTCAGATACAACAAAATGAAAGGGGTCAACGTGCAACAGCGACAGAGTACTGTAAGGCATTGTAGTTAGAATCCCACGATTCGCGATTTGAATCTTGTGATTCAAGACAAAATAGACAATAAAGATACGAATCTCCTATTGTATCTTTTTGTAACGTAAATAGTGCGATTCACACCAGAATCATGCAATTCAGGCAGTGTTGAGTCATGCTGGATCTGACTCAACACATTAAAAAACCTTTTTATGTTTATTTTTTCTGATTTTTTTTGTTATTTATAGGAGACAATCTATCATATAAATACTCCCTAATGCACTTATTACTTTCAGCTTATCAAATACAATCAAAACCCTAATTTTTTATTCCCTAGTTGACTTTGGAGACTATTTGTTCTTGAAATTTGATATACATTGGTTTTTTTTATTTTTTGTGAGGTATATTAACCTAATATCTACAAACTTTTGAGGTTCTCTTTATAAAATTACCTATATGTCATCTTTAATAATTGTATATGAGTCTTACGATTCATGATAAGTTTCAATTCAAGATTTGAAAAATAAGCTTTCCGATTCACATTTCGTATCCCAATTTGATAACCTTGTGTAGGGTGATTTTTCATCTGCAGTCTCTTCTCCACTTCTAGAGATAGCCGTTGATCATTGCTCAACATATTCAACTCACACTCTTGAGTTCAGACAAGACATAAACAAAGATGCACCAAGCCAAGGTTAAATGGGTGGCCAATTTGTGACATAGCCAAATTATGATGCCATCGGACTGAAAACCCTAAGGTTTAACGCAAGAAGCATTGAAATCACATTATCATAATCTACAAATCTGCCAGGGGAAAAAAAAAAGCCCTTAATCCTCCTCAAGATTAATCGAGTCCTTAAACTTTCCGTACAAAATTTTCTTCAATTCAGCCATCTCTGCAAGCACGGATTCCTTCTCCTCTTTCAGATTTTCCAATTTCTCACTTGTCACCGCCTTCATTTCCTCAATCCTGCCCTCAACTTCGTCCTTTTGCACATGGGCAAACACCTCTCCTATCTGAAATCGTACCACTTCCTCGTCCGTGAGAATCAACTCATTGCTGGCGTCCTCCAAGTTGTCGCAAGTTTCCTGAAAATACAGATTTGATATCAAAGCCAAACTAGAATCACACATACGCAGTCAGCATTGGAAACAATTGTAGTAAGTACTTCCTTAGACCGACTTTTATTTGCCCTCTCTTTCCCCTCTTCTAAGGAGATCTGATTCCCACTTTTTCTCTTACCAAGTATTGAAATGTAAAACAGCTAATGCGGGTGTTAGATCATATTGCGTAGCTAGAGAGATTGAACAGCAGGCAAAGGCTCAGGCCTTTTCAAATCAGATGCTTATTTCTATACTGCTATCACTCATCCCATTCCCCGCTGTACTTTGTTCGTAATCTATCTAGTAGATCCCGGCCAGATCATGCATCAGAGAGCAATCGACTCTAAGTCTTGCCACCACGCAATGTATACAGATACAGCCAAGGATAGATTTTGACAACGTTTATGAATTTAATGGGATCGCCTGTATAGGAATTTGCATGAAGTGAGATCGGCAAGCACCAAAAACATGAGAACAAAACCAACAGTCAACCTCACAGTGAGGATGGCCAACAGCTATTACGGTCTTTCGGGAACATGCGTTCCCGTGGGATTTCTTCCTTGTCCAGTACTAGCATCGTAAAATCCTTTTTGAAGCAGGCCTTCTCACAGGAGCAAAACAAGGAGAGAGAAAATATAAACAAAAGCTGGAGGTTCCTTTTCTCATTCCGTCTGATGAAAGTTAAAGCGAAACAAATACAGGATGCCAGGATGAAGAAAATAACGAGAAAGACGATCAAGAATGTATGAAGATGAAATTAGGAATTACGACCTTAGCGATTTTGATCTCATCTTCGAGCTCGTGAAAGCGATTATTCAGCCTTCCGAATTTGTTGATATTCTGCTGGTCCTCCCATGTGACTTCTGTATCAGATCCTCCGCCCTGGTCGGAAGGGATTTCATCAAAGAGATCGGTGAAGACATTCAAAAGGACAGGGCAAAAGTGAGAGAGCCTTCAATTAGGGTTTCGAATTACCTGCTGCATTTTTATGCCTTCAGCCTTCCGATGGTCAAGCGGCTCGCTTCGTTTAGATTTTGGCATTTATCTCGTATTTATAGGTGGGAAAATTTTCTTATATAAATATATAATTTTATACTTTTTATTATTGTTTTGATTTTTTTATATGAGATATAGTGTATATTAATAAATAGGAATAAAATTAAAAATTTATTAAATTTTAAATAAAAATTAATAAAGTTTAAAATTTTTTTTAGTTTATGTGAAACATATTGAAAACAACTTATAAATAAGATAAGAAAGTATATATAAAAAAATCCCCGGGAGAATGAATGTCACCAACAAAAAAAAAATGCAGAGAATAAAGAAGGTAATATGCCCAATATATTTAAAATTTTAAACAGCTGTGAAACAAAACAAATATTTTTTGACCAGAAAACAAAACAAATATTCATTCACTCACTTCTGCCCTAGTATAATCTGATTGATTAAAATTGTGAAATTTAGAAATTATCTTTAAAATAAATTACAGATTTTCAAGAAAAATGTAAAGAAAATATGTTTTCTCTGTCCCTTTTATTTGGGACAAAAAATACCTGCATCGAAAGGCATAACAGTGATAATTATTATCTTCAAAACTATATCCCGTGCTATAATAATAATAATAATAATTTGTAGGCTAACCGAAACACTGTGAAATGATAAATTAACAAGTCTGAAGCGAAATCAAACTTCTGTTAAAAAAAAAAAAGAAGTGGTGAAACTAAACTAATGGTATTTTTAATATAATAAGCAAAACGGTTAGTTCATGAGATAAAGTGTTTATGCATAAATAAGGAATTAAATTTACTTCTAAATATAAGACACCATTATTTTTTTTTGAAAACATCACTATTAATTATACATGTTAAATAATTCTTATTAAAGATAATTTTAATACATATAATTATAAAAAGTAATTTAAAAAAATTAATAGATATTTATTATAAATAATTAATTTAATTAATATTTTTAATATCATCTACTTATATAGGCATAATACACGGTTCCATGTGTCCGGAAAAAAACGTATAATTCTCGTTTTGCTTGGTGTGCTTGGCGACTAAAGAGATAAAAGCAGAGTTAAAAAGCAAGAGAAGGTTTGAGAAGGCGAGACTTAATCGCATGGTTATAATACCCGCTTCCAAAGCCGCAAAAAGTCCTCCTTATTTCCGCCTCGGGCCATTGGCGTCTCTGGAATCCAGGGAGCGACCGCATGAAGTTTTTGAAGAAGCAACGAGAGAGAGAGAGAGAAACGAAGCTGGAAGAACGTTGATTACTCTGCCTTTGTTCTCGCTGCTCTCTCCCTCCCCTCTATTTCCCTCTCTATTTCATGTATTTGTAAATTCTCCAGGCTTCCCTGTGCCGAAACCCTATTTTCCATGTTTTTAGCACCATAGATCCCTAACAATCCATAACCGCCAACAAATCTCAATGGCTGCCGATTTAGGGCAACAGACGGTGGAGCTATCCACCCTCGTGAGTCGAGCTGCTCACGATTCATACGCATCCCTTAAAGAACTAATTGACAAATGCGGGTCCACTGAACTCTCTGATTCTGAAAAGAAGATTAGCATTCTCAAGTTTCTCAACAAGACTCAGCAGCGCATGATCCGCCTTAATGTCATCTCGAAATGGTGTCAACAGGTCTCTCATATCTTTTTAGTCCTCTCAATTCTCTACCATCTTCTTCTTCACTCCCTCGTGAATGGCTGTCCATGTTCTCCCCTTTTCGTGCTGCCTGCATCGTAATTTTTCGTTGTTTCTGGGATAGCTAGGTGAAGGGCGAAGAAAATTGAAAGTCTAGGATTTCTTTTATTCTAGTTATTACCGTGGCGTGAGGTTTGGCCCTGGTTGAATTCCAATCGCTCCTCATGTCGTGCTAGTGTAAACTTCCCGATTGAGTGTTTACCTAGTTGTACCTTGCAAATGCTAAATCGAGATAGATAGAAATTGTGTACTTTGCATGAACCGAGTCTGCGTTTTGGTTGTTCTAGAGAACCGATTGTTGATTTGTTTTCTTCGACTGAATTCACTTTAGCTGCTCCTTTTTTTTTTCTGGTTCATGGAGTTTCGGATGAAAATGAGTCATTTACGCGAGCAATGAGAGCTTTTGTCGCTACAATTTTGTTTGAGTGCTTGAATATCGGGTGAGTTTTAAATGCTTGTAATGACTAGGAATGAATATTGGGCTGGCTAACTCTAGGATGGATTATCGAATTTAAAACATAATTGGAGTCTGGGATGGTCCTTGTTTCCTGTATTCAATGAGGAAGCATACAGACGCTCACTATTGCCAAATTAACCAACTCTTTCTCTCGTTGCATTTTAGCATCTTAAATAATTACATACGATCCATTGAATACTGGGCAAATTTGGGAGTTTCATCTGATCACCCTGTGGCTTGCTGCTTGTAGTTAATCGGTATGTGTCTGACTTGCAGGTTCCTTTGATACAGTATTGTCAGCAACTTACCTCTACTGTATCAAATCATGATACGTGTTTTACTCAAGCGGCAGATTCATTGTTTTTCATGCATGAGGGGCTTCAGCAAGCCCGTGCTCCTGTTTATGATGTTCCATCAGCAATTGAAGTTCTTCTGACAGGAAATTATGAGCGATTACCAAAATGTATAGAAGATGTGGGCACTCAGAATTCCTTATCTGAAAATCAGCAAAAGCCTGCTTTGAAGAAGCTTGATATGCTTGTACGCTCAAAATTGCTTGAAGTTTCACTGCCAAAAGAAATTTCTGAGATTAAGGTTTCTGATGGTACAGTATTGCTTAGGGTGGACGGAGAGTTTAAGGTTTTAGTAACTCTTGGCTACAGAGGGCACCTATCAATGTGGAGGATATTGCATTTGGAGCTGCTTGTTGGTGAAAAAGGCAGACCTGTGAAATTGGAAGAATTGCGGCGTCATGCACTTGGAGATGATTTAGAGCGAAGAATGGCCTCTACTGAAAATCCTTTTTTGATACTGTACTCAGTTCTTCACGAGCTATGTGTTGCACTTGTTATGGATACTGTCATAAGGCAAGTGCAAGCCCTTCGACAAGGACGATGGAAAGATGCAATTCGGTTTGAGCTCATATCTGAGGGTGGTGCGGGCCATGGAGCAAGTACAAGTTCTATGCAGAACCCTGATGTGGATTCTGATTCATCTGGCCTGCGAACCCCAGGGTTAAAAATTATTTATTGGTTAGATTTTGATAAAAACGCTGCACCAGACTCAGGAGCGTGCCCTTTTATAAAAATTGAACCTGGATCAGATCTCCATATAAAATGCGCACACAGCACCTTTGCCATAGATCCATCAACGGGCAAGGAGGCAGAGTTTTCATTGGACCAGAGTTGTATTGATGTTGAGAAGTTGTTGTTAAGAGCCATATGCTGCAACAGATATACACGTCTTCTGGAAATTAAGAAAGAGCTTGCTAAAAATGTTCAGGTCTGCCGAACAGCGGATGATGTTGTGCTTCAGTCTTCTGTGGGTGAACTCGATACTGAATATAAACTGGTTAGTTTACGCTTAATTATCAGTTTCTTCTCACCAAATGTATATATAAACCTTCCTTTATTTCTTTCATAAGTTCGGTTCCCTGTTGAGGATAATTTTGTTTGTCATGTCATATTGCTACGTTGTTTTAGGTAGTTTTTATCATGTAGGTAATTTTTATCATGTACAACCTTCTTCAGGTTTTACTTTATATGCTACTTTTTGGTGTTGGCCCTTTATAGATTAATACTCTTGGGAGGAAATATAAGCTGAAGTTGTGCAGGGTTGTGATTGTTCTTCTAGTTAGCGTTGTGGTCTTAATCCTGCATATGTAACTTGTTTTAAATTCTGATTCTGACTGTATCTGCCATGCTTTGCAGTAGTTCATATAGGGAATATCTTATGTTTGATGATAAGATCTTTGACATCGATGTTTATGTGAAATTTCATATATGCTACACGTAACATTTTCATGATGATATCAATTTTCGCTGAGGGATGTTTCCTCATAAGTTGTAATGAAGGACATCATGTTAGTTCCAATCATATGTGTTTATCTTTCTGGGATGTCTGCTAAATATTTGTGTGTTACTGTGTTGATATGTCTGCATTTAGTAGACTATTCCTGTGCTCTTTGACATGCCATGCAAAATGCAATTGCGAATTTTTTATGATTTCACTTATGTTTGCTTCTTTTTTTTGTTTTTAATGGCTTCGTGGTTTAATATGATACCTTGTCTTATTACTTGCTCAATTTCACGAGGGCTTTTAAGAGTTAGATTTGTTTCTGCCTGCAGAAAGATGATAAAAGCAGTAAGGACTCTGTGGGGCAGGAGGCATTGCGTGTGCGTGCATATGGCTCGTCATTTTTTACTCTTGGAATTAATATCAGGTACCTTTTGTGTTGTCAGTTCAAATTAATATCAGGTACCTTTTGTGTTGTCAGTTCATATTTATTTTCTTATTTAGTCATCTTGTTCAAATATGAGGGATGGTGGCTGTTCAAAGAATAAGTGAAGTAATGGATAACTATGTTTATAGGCTTTTGATAATGCTTGCTGGGGATTTTAGTCTGGATTCCCAAGGAGACAAATACTGTATGCACCTCAGTTTCCTTTGTTTTGTTATTTAGGAATGGTCGTTTCCTTCTTCAATCATCATGGAATATAGTTGCTCCTTCGGCCCTGTCAGAATGTGAAGAGGTTTTAAATCAGGGAACTGTGACTGCAGCTGAGGTCTTCATTAGCCTGAGAAGCAAAAGTTTATTGCATTTGTACGCTTCTATTGGAAGAATTTTATGCCTAGAGGTTAACTCACTACTTCTCTCTCCTTAAATAACAGAAAAGATACACACACATAATGAATGTAGGCTGTCTTTTAGTTGAATGTTCATAATATGGCTTTCCTGTGGTTCATGTCTTATTTGACATTCTTTCAGGTGTATGAGCATGGTTTGAGTACACTGAAAATACCCAAGAGCATTATAAATGGTTCAGCTATACTAGTGATGGGATTTCCCGACTCTGGAAGCTCTTACTTTCTGGTTATG